GGTGACTGGATCACTCACGATCACTCGTCCTGCGGTGATCGTGTGGTCCGTGCGTTTCTGCCTATCTTATCGTGCTGACCGCCCTTGGGGCAGTGCACTGCGGTAACGGCGGTTGATTCTGTGACATTTAGTAGACTGATTAATTTAATAGTATAGAAATCATATAGTATAATAAGTTTAGGATTAGACTGCTTCTTAAGAAGCTCTAAATAATAAGAAGAATATAATTCTAGTAGTTCTATAGCTAGAAATTATTTCTATATATATATTATATCTATATAAGATATAAGAGATATATATAACTTATATAAAGTATTAGAAGTATATAATATTGAGACTAATAGAGGCTGATATTAATAAGAATAGGCATTTTAAAATATATTATAATAAGTATAGTATCTTTTTATATAAGAGGAAAGGCTATTAGAAATAATAATATAATAGATTATTATAGGAAATAGATAGAGAGTTATTATCTATATAATCTTAAAGAGATTATATATAATATAAGTTATAATATTAACTATAGTTAAATTAATAGCTTAATAATCTTATTTAGTAGTCTTATAGCCTTATTTTAGTTATTAAATCACTCTTTTTTTAATTTTATTGATTTTATTATATTTTTAAATAAATTAAGGTGTTAGAAGACCAAGGGCCCCCTATTATAGTATGTAATTAATCAAGTTTATTGGTTGCTTAGATTTTAGTGGGATTCGCTGGTATCTCTAAGTACCACTGAACCAGACGGCCCCCTCTTATTCGTCAAAAGCCGGCGGTACGAAAAACCCACGTTTTGGCGCTCAAGGGGATAGCTCTTGACTAGACTGCTTCTGTGATTTTGCTGACGTGTCTGTCAGCACCAGCACATCTTAGCTCCCCGCTACCCGGGTATGGATATGTCAGCGTAAACAGTACATGATCCTTCAAGAATGATCCCTGTCGAGGCAGACTATTCTTACTGGGATTTGTGAGTATTAATAAGGCGGAGAGAGCCGAGGGCTTCCATTGCGGGAAAATTCACGCAGGTCATCCCGCTCTTCAGGCAGTTTAATGTTCACCATTACGCTCTGTTCATGAGTTACAACGCTCGAATTCCTTCTGGCCATTGAGCTGTACAGAGTCAATATGAACGCCTCAGCAGTCTCTCCAGGGGACCATTTCTTTGAAGCAGACGGCATCCGTTTCCACTACTTCGTCGGTGGAAGCGGTCCTCTCGTTGTTGTCCAGTCAGTTGGCTGGGGTATGCCCGCGGACTACCTCATAAGTGGTTTTGGTCCTCACCTGGAACAGAAGAACTCAGTGGTGTATTTTGAGCCGCGCGGCAATGGCGAATCTAGTAGGCCTGCTGATGCTGAAACAATGTCCGCCAAAAGGATGGCCGAAGACCTGGATCACCTCCGAAATCATCTTGGGCTCGAACGCTTCCCTGTTTTGGTCGGTGCATCTCATGCTGCCGCCATAGCGCTGTGGTACGCCGAGAAGTACGCATCTCGAGTTGACAAACTCATACTTGTTGGAGCCCAGATTATGGACAGTCCTCCCAATACACACATGATGGACTGGTACAGCAAGCGCAAGGATGACCCTGCATACGCAGCCGCAGCGGCTACGCTGATGGGGTTCTATGGCGGAGGGTCGGAAGGAATCCCCAGGACAGATGAACAATTCAGGGCAGCAATGGACACGCTCCTGCCGTGGTATTTTTCAGATACCTCCAAAGCCGACATTCTGCGCCAGCAATTCGCGGCGGGCAAGACCCAGCTGGCATTATACGGCCTCCAGACGAACGTAAACGACATGAAGCCAGAGAACAAACTACCACATATCGAGGACGCAGGCAAGGTGCAGGCCAAGACACTGATACTTTGGGGTGCGGAAGACGCCATGTGCAGTCAAGGGGCTGCACATGCTATCGCGAATGGCATCGCTGGATCCAAGTTGGTCATCATCCCGGGAGTAGGGCACTGCATGCACCTCGAGGCACCAGAGAGATTCGGAGTTGAGCTGTCCAAGTTTCTCGATCTTTGATGATTCTGATGGTAGCCTCTGAAGTACTGTCAATCGACCCTGAATCACACGACAGGTTCGATAGGCCTAGCTCGGCAAGAGGCCCCTGACTGTATATAAAACCGGTTTTGGGTATCGAATTTGACAAGCTACAGAAAGAAATGATTGCAGTGCACGTTCAAGCAAATGTTTGTGTGAGAGTACTTGTAGTTTAATTACTCATTTTGGCCTCCATTGAGTCCCAGGACTGGTAAGTAGGTAGCATTGATAAGATAACAAAATTCACTAGACGGCCGATGCAACCACCCTTGAGCCACCAACTCCGCCTTCCTTGTGCCTCTTGGCTCCCAAGAAAAAAGGGCCCCGAAAATTCCAATCTGGCCAGAAGAGCTTTAGCTTCCATTCGCCTCCATCGACATCCACCAAATCTCGCATTCACAAAACCACCGAAATCTCCCCCCTCCCCCATTTCGACATTCCCGACCGCTCTCGCCCCCCTTCTAATACTTCTTCCACGACCTCCGGCCGCCGTTATCCCCCTCTTGTACCGTATTCACCGCTCTCCAACTCCGTCAAGATGAATCCCCAAGTGTACGTCTACGATGCGCTCGTTCGCGACGCCCATGCTCGCGGCCACGGTCGCTTCCCGATCGCTGTCCCATCGCCGGTCTGACTGACAACGCGTGCAGCACCAACCTCGTCATCATCCTCGGCATGATGCAGGTCGCCAAGAAGGTACCCTTCGACGATCCCAACGTTCTCAACATGTGCCGTGGTGCCTATGTCCTGAGCAACGTGATCATCCTGTGCATCTACTGGTACATCAACTCGGTCATTGACCGCAAGAAGGGTACGTCCATGCCCTGCCACGTCTTACAACACACCAGGAAGGAGGAAATGTAGAGGCACAGACGCAAGGAGCAGAGCTGACAGACCAACGCTGCGACAGATCTCACCACGCTCAAGTACGTCGAGCCCGCCCCGATGGGGTCGACCGAGGAGGGCAAGCTGGTCACGACTACTGTCCACGCCTACGACAAGTCCCAGCTCAAGACCATGCTGCGCGGGCAGATGATGGGTGTTGCCATGATGGCCTTCATGCACCTGTACCTCAAGTACACCAACCCGCTGCTCATCCAGTCCATCATCCCCCTGAAGGGTGCCTTCGAGGCCAACCTCACCAAGATCCACGTCTTTGGCCAGCCCGCCACCGGCGACCTCAAGCGGCCATTCAAGGCCGCTGCCGGTTTCATGAACGCGCTCCAGAACGGACAAGTGCAGAGCGACAAGAAGGCTGTCGAGGCCGCCGAGCGCGCCGGCCGTGGTGGTGTCAAGGAGGAGTAATCTGCTGCTGCGGTAAGGAAACGCACGACATGGTGGCGAGGGGGAGACGCTGGCGCGTGTGGCTGATCCAGCAGGGTTTGGTTCTCTCGAGGCTTTTGCCCGGACTCGGCTCGGATACCCTAGCCCCAGCCTATGCTTTTGGGGCCAGGACGGCCCCAAATTCGGTTCAGCCCAGCTTGCTGGCACGTGTTGTGCCTCGGCGAGAAGTAGGATAGGCCCTGTGTAAAAGTAGTGTAACTGTAGGGAATCCTAAACAGACACTCTCGATACCATGCACCAGTCCGGGCCTCAGGAATGACGGATCTTCAACCGATGGATGCAGTGAAACGCGCACGAGGGCGTGGCTTGCAACCCCACTAAATTTCAGATCAGTCGACCACACTAGCTGCATTGGCAGGCGCCAATGCTTGTAATCATGGATGCTGACTCGCAGGCTGGCAGTGAGCACTGCCTGGCGCCATTAGTGCCAAATAGCACAACGTCATGGTGCTGTTGCAGATAACTCATTCTCAAAGTTCCAGTCGCTTCTAACGACACCTCCCCTGTCTGCCGCCCGCAACACATAGCTATGGTATACTGCATCTACAAGGCGCGACCTTCTCTCAGCCTTCCGTGAAGCCGACTTGAGATCAGCCGTTACTAGAAGACGGGGCGCGTGCCTTGGCCTTGTTATGGAGCGTGCGTCGACACCCCCGCCCCGCCAGGCAGTGTCTGGAAATCCAGCGTCACCGCCGACGCCAGAAGTGACTCGCCGTTTAGTAAGTCAACCCTGCACAGTCGCTGGTTCGACGCCTGCAGCAGCAATGATGCGTAGCGCAGGCTAACGGCCCTGCTTAACAGGAAGAATCACGACTCAAGTCCAAAGCTCTCCGCGACCAGAACGAAGCGGCGCAGCGGGCATCCGGTGGAGTGTCGACACCGCATCGCACCCCCTCGGGATTCATCCCGACGGATGATATTCATGTGGTCGGGGCCGGGCCTAGGCAACATCAACCCAGCAGCACTAAGCGACCGCACTCGTCCATATCGCAAGCCTCCCCTTCCAGCGTCCCGCCCTCGAACCGCGATGGCACCAAGCAAGATGGCGAGATCAGACCGGCGCGCAAGTTCACCAAGTTTGTGGACTACAACTTCAGCGCCATGACCGACACCAAGGGTGGTTTCCTCTCGGCCGAAGACGACCCGTACAACAAGGCGTTTGCGACGGATGCTGCCGGCAGCAAACCGGCCGGAGAGGAGAAGCCCAAGCACATGACGCAGAAGGAGTGGGAGAGGCTGCAGCTCCTTCGCAAGCTGCGCAGGCAGAAGGCCGGCCCTTTCGAGCCCGGACTGAGCGTGCTGGCAGATGAGAAGGAGCGCAAGAAATGCCGCGAATGCGGGAGCCTCGAGATCGACTTTGTCTGGGACGAGGTGTTTGGGTGTCGCGTTTGCAATACTTGCAAGGACAAGTATCCAGAGAAGTACAGTCTGTTGACCAAGACGGAATGCAGGGCAGATTACTTGTTGACAGAGCGTGAGTTCCCCTTCCTTCCACCCTCCCCGTGGTTCTACTCTCCTGCCTTGTTCCCACTGACATCCGACTTCATTTGGGGGCAACAGCCGAACTCAAAGACGCCGACCTCCTACCACATCTGTCAAAACCAAACCCGCACAAGTCACACTGGCATGACATGATGCTCTTCCTCCGGTATCAGGTGGAAGAGTACGCATTCAAGGAGAAATGGGGATCGGCAGAGGCGCTGGATGCCGAGTTTGAGAGGCGCGAGGCGGACAAGAAGAGGAGGAAAGAGGCCAAGTTCCGGGACAAGTTGACGGAGCTCAAGAAGCGGACGAGGACCGAGGCATTCCGACGCAACGCCGCCAAGGGCGGTGCGGAGCAAGGGGCAGGCAGGGCTACAAAGTTTGGGGACCGGGTCGGAGCGGCCGAGAAACATGTGCACGAGTGGGGGAGAGCGGTAGAGACGGAGGAGGGCATGACGGTCAAGAAGTGTCTTGAGTGCGGACTCGAGGTCGAGGAGCTTGCGCTCTGATGCAAACAAAGCAACGTGCCTTGTCCGGGTCAGACAGACAAGCAGAGAGGCAGAGAGACAGAGATCGAGTTGACGATACCAGGGCAGGGCAAGCAGCCCCCGGCCTTGCCGGAATACTACCTAATTGATACCCGCCAGGCTTTTTCTTAGATCTTGCTACCTGGCTTCAGCCAGCAACTACGTCACATTGCCCAAAAAGCACGAACACCGTAATCTTGTCTGAGTGCTGGACGTGGAGGAAGCCGATCAGTTGTGATCGCATTTTGAAACGAACCAGAGACTGCTAAACCACAGCACAGGCCACCCGCCCCGTGGATCAATCCCATTCGTGGCACCCTGGACTGGACTGCTGGACGAGCTGCCCTGCCCCGGTAAAAAGAAAAAATTAGGGACTGTTCCAGAGGACCCCTGCACGACCTCACGTGTATTGGCGTGTGCTGATTGGCACAGGAGTGGGCTTTTCAGGAGCTACAGCCAACACTTGTCACGTCCGAGGCGCCCAAGGCAGTCTCAATCCACACACAGTCGTCCCTACCCGCACCCCCATCCGTCGAATCCCCCACACAAAGGGGGAGAGAGCTTCCCAAGTCCTCACTGCTGCTGCTGCTGCTGCTAGTTCCCTACTGGTGCTGCAGTGCGTCCGTGCCACCACAGTCCACGCCCGCCTTTCTCGCTACAGGCGAAAACCTGGCTTCGACTTCGCAACAGTCTCGGCCGGCTGTATCGCGACCTCAGCTCGCCTTCGACATCCGGCAAGCACACGAGCTGCGCGTTTTCTTTATTCCCAGACCTAGCATCATCTGCAGCCTAGCTTTCCCCGACGGGATCCTCTTTCTCTCGCAGATAAATTCTGCCCCTGACCAACCACGTCGCGTCACCAGAGGTACCTAGCTCCCTCCATCGAGCACCCGTACTATCACTTGGACACATCGACCCCCTCATAAAAGCCGACCTGCATCCGTGGCAGCGGCTCTCTCGACTCTCTCTGAGCTCGACGAAGCTCATTGCATAATCCAGACGCCCTTGACGGTTGTTGTGGTGCGCCCCGCGTAACCGCCTGCACCTTGGACCCTTGGGTCTCTCGTGTCGAATCGAACATACCTCTGTTGTCGCCCTGCCGTCTTTGTCGCAGCGCAGATGCGCACGTACCCGACTAGTGGCCATACCTATCCGCAGACAGGATTCACATCGAAGCCGATTCGACATCACGCATTGAACGCCCCAGGTGACCGATCCTCTCAACGGAGGAGGAGCTGAAATCACGGGGACGGCGAGACTGGTTGCGAGAACAGGCAGCTCCCTCTCTGGTGCCATGGGAACCAATACTGGCAACGGTATGGGCGGCCCCGGGGGCGATATGGGCCCTATGCAGGGCAACCCCTCAAACCAGCCTCATGCCACAGAGTACACGTTACAAGGTACGTATCGCCATCAATGGCTGATGCATTGGAGGCGCTGACATGGGTTTCTGGTAGGCGTGATGCGCTTCCTCCAGACCGAGTGGCACCGCCACGAACGCGACCGCAATGCATGGGAAATCGAGAAGCAGGAGATGAAAGGCAGGATAGCCTCGCTCGAGGGCGCGGCAAGGAGAGCAGATGCGACCCAAAAAGCCCTGAAAAAATACGTCACAATCCTGGAGAAAAAGGTCAAGGAACAAGCCTCCCAGTTGAAGGGTTCTACATCGGCATCGGCATCAGCACCGGACCAGCCGTCCTCCACAACTGATTCGTTCGAGCGCGCCAAGAAAATCCAGGAGAAGCTTCAAGGTACTTGCTCTATATACCACGCCTGCGTCTGAGAGGTGCCGCTAATCTTTGTATTATAGCAGCCTCTGCCAAAGAACATGGAGATGCCACTGGCCAAGGCACCGAGCTGGATCGTATTGCCGACGACGAAACACAGCGGACTGACCTGAAAACCTTCCTTGATCAGTGCCAAGCCGAATTTGCCTATCTCATGATCACACCTGCCAATCCCATTCCTCCCAGAGAGTCGCCGCCGCTTCCCCTGATCGACGATCTGCGCGGTGAAAACGAGCCAGTCTTTGGCCTGCCCATCGCCCAGCAACAACTCGACCAGTTCTCTCAGCCGTCGCGGCAACCGCCAAACCACATGCGCGACGCTCAGCGACCTGCGCCTTCTCCTGCCAACCACGTACCTCCCCCTGCGCAGTCTATCTCCGCCAACAACTTTGCCGTCAAGGGGGGTTCCGATGCTCAGGCAGCTCCCATGGTCCGCTCGAGTGCTGAGGCAGCACCACTTTTCGGCAATGCTGCTGCCGACTGGCCGTCGACTTCTTCGGTCAGCACGCGCCTGGTGGAGGAAAGCATCGCTGATACCAACAACGCGTTGAAAACGCTCGGTCGACCAGAGACGGGCGATGATCCCGCGAACAAACGAGGCGCGATGGACCCCGATGGCTGGGACTTTAGCGAAGCCTCTTTTACCGAATCCAATGCGCAGCCTGCCACTTCCGCACAGCCAACAACTACCCGACCCGATAACGATGCCTTTCCTACCGCCGACAACCTTCCCAAATCCCCTAGCCGCGGCCCTGGCTCCCATCGTCGCAAGAGTAGCATGTCTCGCCGGAGAAGCGCTGACCACGAGCTCTCTCTCAACTCACTGGGCCAAAAGTCGGACAGTGGCAATTTCAAACTACGCTTTGGCCTCCGCGGACATCTCGATACCGTACGAACAGTCATATTTTCAGGGGGAGGCAGCCCGGGGGAGCCCGAGGTTTGCACGGCCGGCGATGACGGCCTGATCAAGCGCTTCCACCTTCCTCGCGCCGCCTCGCAACCAGGCGGCAGTAACGCTGCGTCAGATCTTGACGTGCAGGCCGACTTTACTCATCGTGGCCATCAGGGAGCAGTACTGTCCATCACGTCTTGGTCACCGTCGCCCAATTTTTCAACGGGTGGCCGTGCCCAAGGTGATGGTTGGATCTTCTCTGGTGGACAAGACACCTTCATTCGTGTCTGGGAACGCGGTCGGGTAGACCCGAAGGCCACTCTTGAAGGCCATAAGGATGCAGTCTGGGCGCTCTGCGTCCTTCCTGCAACACTGGGGGCAATATTCGGCCAGGAGAATCGGTATGGATCCGCCGACAGGATCCTGTTGGTTTCGGGCGCGGCAGATGGTATAGTACACGTCTGGGCAGTTAGTGCGCCGCCACAATTGAGCTCGCCACAGCCCGCTGGCGCTGCTGGGAGGCGCGGGCCGGGAAGCGGCGGGCGTGTTAGAGGCAACTCGATGAGCTCGGGCTCAGGCTTTCCCAACAGTCCACAACCCAGCATGGCTACCAGTAGCCCATTCCACCACACTCTTGTCCACACCATCACACGCTCAAACTCGAATGCCAGCCCGACAAGCATTACTGCTTTGGGTGCTAGTGGAGAGACTTTTGTTGTTGCGTATGCCGATGCTGCGATCATTGTCTACGACACCAAGACAGGTGACGAGATGGGCAATATGGCCAGCTTGGAGACATATGACGGTACCCCTAATACAAGTGTCAACGCTGTGGTAGCCACCACGTCGGGCCTTGACCAGCCGCAACTGGGCGACGACGATGCAGGCTCCGGGGGCGGCCCTACGGGTGGCGGCCGAGCCATGGCTGGTTCTGGTGTTGAGGGCGTTATCATTTCGGGCCATGAAGATCGCTTTGTCCGGTTCTTCGATGCCAACAGCGGTAAGTCTTGATGCATGGCTCAGTCTCGTCTCGGATTATGCTGATAGTGTTGCAGGTCAATGCACATACAACATGCTCGCCCATCCTGCTGCAATCTCGAGCCTCTCCTTAAGTCCCGATGGCCGCGAGCTGGTCAGTGCTGGCCACGACGCTTCGCTTCGCTTCTGGAGCCTGGAAAAGCGTGCATGCACACAGGAGATTACGTCCCACAGGATCATGCGTGGCGAAGGGGTGTGCTCTGTTGTGTGGAGCCAGGACGGTCGGTGGGTTGTGAGTGGCGGAGGTGATGGTGTTGTTAAGGTCTTTGCACGTTAGGAGACGGCTCCCGCAACGCCCTCACATCTGTGGCCTCGTCAATACCACCGCTGGTCCCTCCCTTCGATTAGGACGGACCAGACATATCGCAACAGCCAGAAGCCGAAGCAGATGACTCACGAGGCCCACCGAACGTCTGCGGGTAATATATCACCGATTAGCTCAATGACCTGGGATGGGGACGAGGCGAACGGGGAATGGTAGAGTTGTTCGGGTAGCCAGTCTCCGTGGGCGATGTTGCAAGTTGTCCCGAGGCTCTCATCCGCTACGCAAGCACCGGAGGGCAGCTCGTTCGCTCACTCCCGTCGACGGAAGAGAGCCATGGCCGTCAGCGAGGATTCGCGACCTTCGGCTGACTTGCTACTGTCGCCGATAACGGCTCTGGGTTGGTTGGACCTGGGGAATGAGGACGCACGCAGCCCATTGTAATGAGTAGAACGGAGTTGAACATACAAGGTTCATGTATCACAGCATCTTCACATAACAGAATACTTTTATGGTTTGTTTCGGTACTTCTAAGTCCTGCCCACTTCCGGTCTTTCTAGAGTTCATTATACGTCAGGCTAGCTACTGAAGTAAGCACCGTTCTCAAGATCTGATAGAAGACCGCATTGTTGTGGATTCCATCCCAGCGCCTCCCGGGTCTTGAAGCTCGAGGTAGGATTGTCGACGGTCACAACCTGACCCAAGAAGGGGCCAAAGTGATCTTCGGCTTCGCCACTCGGTTTGGACACCACCGGGACCCCAAGCTTTGCTCCAATCACCTCGGCTATGTCCTTCATCTTGACCCCCTGCTCCGCCACGGCGTGGAAGGTTGAACCAGCTGTACCATTCTCCAAAGCCAGTCTGTATGCAACCGCACTGTCCAGATAGTGGACCGCCGGCCACCGGTTCTGCCCATCATTGAGGTACACAGAGACACCCTTTGCACGAGCGAGGGCAATTAGTCTCGCCACGAAGACGTGATCGCCATCCCCGTGGTTTGTTGGCGGTAGCCGCATGATAATAGCCCGAGACCCATTCGATGCAAGCTTTTTCGCCAAGGTCTCGCATTGCCCACGAGCCGCAAAAATGGGCGATGTTGGAAAACAGGAATCGTCTTCGGTCACGAGCCGACCGTGAGGAAGTAGAGTTGTCACCGAGGTGACGACAAGTGGACGGTCGGACCCAGCAAGGCCATCTGCCATTGCCTGGACGGCTCTCTGGTCTGTGTTGCAGCTTTCGAAGAAGTCTCCATGGTCGTGGGCAAATGCTACATGGATGGCACCGTCCGATGAAGCAGCCCCTTCTTTGAGGATATCCAAATCCTGGAGTGAACCTCTCAGCACTGCGGCTCCAAGCGCAACCAATTCATTAGCCGAGTTGTCGGAGCGGGCAAGGCCTAAAACTGTGTGCCCAGCGTTGATGAGGTCCTTGGTAATTGCCTTGCCGATGAGGCCGGTCGCCCCAGTAACAAATACGTGCATATTGATTTTTCCTGACGATATAGTATGCTACGATTGGGAAAGAAATTATCGGAAGACTGTGCTATTACAATTCCTCGAGGAAGAGAGTAGGTTTATATACATTTGTGATCGGTACAAAGTGGACTCGCGAGGTTGCGTGCTCCATCGCGGGAGTGTCCACGGACTCTCCGGGGGGATCTACTTCGTCCCCCCTATCGCCGAACTTCTTTTGCTCTGTAGGGAGCACCTCTTTCAGAGGATCTCTTGTATCCAGTCTCTGTGTCGCAAATACTCCCCAGCCTGCACTACATGCTAGTTCAGCGAGATTGCCGTGTTCTGCGGGTCTGAAATCCCACACTCGATATCAACAAGCACCCGCCAGCTTGCTTACTTATTTGACTGGGGCAAGTGTTCAGCGGTGCCATCCGAAAGGCCGACGGACGGTCTTGATTTGCCACGAGGCTGAACCCTTTGTCATAGAATCACGGTTCAAGGCCTTTTTAATGGGTGGCCTTCTGTGTTGAACACATATCGATCCAGGCTTATCGTGTCGGTCGGGGAGAACATTAGGTATAAGTACTTTAGTGTTTCTGAAAACCAGAAGCTCTGCAATCACGTCAGTTTAGGATGGCGCCGGCACGCATGGAGTAGCACTTACCTCCATCGAGTCCAATCTTTGGAGATTGTTCGGTTTGGACGTTACATCGGCGATCGAGGCATATGCCAACTTGGTCTCGGTGGCTTTCGTGATGCTCTCAAACATCGTCCAAGCCGACTCCTGAAATTCCGCCTTGCCCGTCATGCGATACAGGAGGAAAGCGGACTCGACAGCCTCAGGCCGAAGGATATATCGTGGATCCCTAGCGTGACGAAATCCTCCCGGCAATGCTTGCGCATTACCATCGTGGTTGGTGTGGCCTCCTCCAGATACCCAGCGCTGCTCATCCCACTTGCAATCCTCGTCGATCGAGGGACATGGCACCATTCCAAATATCTCTGGCAGCAGCCCGGTCGGCATTTGCGAGTAACCCCATGTGCAACCGCGTGTCAGCCTTTCGCCAATGTTGACATCTCTATCCTTTCGGAACAGCTTCCCACCAAGACCAAACATTCCACCAGCGAAGCAAGTGAGATGTTGACTCTCGGGATCAAGTACGGTATTAGCTTGACCTTTCTCGTTGGTCTCGACCTCCACGGTTCCTGAGAAGAGAACGTCTTGTGCTCCGACTGCAGGTGGAAGCATCGGGCGGAAGAGCAAGTGCTCTGTCACAGCTTCAGCAGCGCCGCGATATAATCGCTCGTATTTTGGTTCCAGGCCTCCAAGAAGAGCATACATCTTGGGCAGATACTCGTAAAGGCTGTCGGCTAACGCGCCAAGCGTGAATTGTGTAGATGGCATGGTCTCGTGACGAAAGTTGATAAGCGTTGGCCACATACCAGGAAGCGCCGTGCGGTTTTGGTATGTTTCCAGAAGTTCGGTGACCCGGTTGATGGCATCATAGTATTTATCGTCGCCTGTGAGCTGTGAGAGGCGCGTGAACTCGAGTCCCAAGGAGCAGGGGGACGCAGAGGGATCACCGGTTCCGGCTAGTTGGTTCCCTGCTTGAGCGTCTGCAAAGTTGAGCCAGAAGCCCGGCAGCCGGTTGGGTGTGTCGAAGGCGGCATACAGCATTTCGCCAAGCTCCACGGCTTTTCTTAACAATACCTGCTCCCCGGAAAGGTCGTAGGCGCTCAACAGCCCACCGAGATATCTAATCGTGGTTTCGAAAAGATTCAAGGCCTTGTCTTCTGTCTTCATAAAGTCTATCCCCGCTACCGCGTTGACAGCTTCATAAAAGTCGTCCTTTAAATCCATAATCCAGAGCGTGTCAAGGGCGTCCATGATCGTTGCAGCCAGGCCCCCAAAAGTGTTCTTTCCTTCGCCTGATAGAGGGCCAAGCTCGTCATACTTCCAAGCCAACTTCTTGTAGCTGTTCCAGCTCTTTAAGAATGCCTGCTTCACCTTTTCCCTTCTGGCTTCGAGAATCTTGTTGGACTTCGGGCTGCTGGGCGACTTACCAAAGTCGTGCTGCACCGAATGAAGAGGCAGGGGAGCGCCATGAGGAAGAGCAACCATGTCCGCACGAGAACGAGGAAAGTGATGCTGAAATTGAGACCAGTCATAACTTGTATGGACATAATTGTATAAGGGTGCTGGACTGGACAGCAGTCGTGAATGAGAGTAGAGGAAGAAGACGATCGTGATTCCTGCAATCAAAGGGATATATCGACGCCTGGGAATTATCATCTTGACTATCCCGCGGATCGGCGAGGAAGAAAAGGGCGTCATCTCAAGCACGTGGATCTCGCAATTGCAACATCTGAGATCTTGCTAGACCAGTGTGGCTCGTGTTGGCTCGTGTATGCAGGCTTCCCATCAGGATCGGTTTGGCGTGTTTTTCTTCGAGGTAAGGGATGAATTTGAAAACTGGTCTCAGCCCGACACTCACACCCCTGCCGGCATTCCCCCTGAGGTCACATATGGGGACAAATTGCATTGGCCACCCACCCACTGATCGGCGGTTGGGGCCGGCCCCAGCCACACCTAATGCTGACTTCACATGGCATAGGTGGGTCATGCGCCAGGACTGTTTCAGGGGGCCTGAGCAGTCATCTGTGATATTATTATTCCTTTTTGTGAGGTTCTCTTTGCAGATGAAGCTGCCAAAATCTTAGACGGCTCCGAATATGCCTTGCAGGTCAATCAAGTAGCACGTTCTGCGGCAGTCAATCAATCCACGATGTGAAAGCTAGCAAGAAGGGATCAAATCCCAGGCCTAGCTCGCATCTGGCCCTGATTGTGCGAGAGTGTATGGGCATTTCCAGCATCATCCAATCATCAACCTGGTATAAATACCTGGAGCCAATGCAACTCTGCATAAGCGAGCTGACATGGCCCCTTAATCTTGCAATAAGCAAGAGAGAGTACAAAGTAGTGATGCTTCCCTAAAAGGTCTGAATATTCCCAGCAAAGGTGATGCGATATGTCGTCTCTTTTCTGAAAGCAGGACCATCGACTGAACGGAGATGCTTTAAAGGCAATGAGGCTTCTGGTGTTTGGAGCGCTTGGCCGATTGGCCTGGCATGTGGTAGGGGAGAGTTGCGACTTCACACCCGTTCAACTCCCCATCAAAACTGTTCAAGTGAATTTGAATATCCCGGAATCGTTTATGATTGGAATTCCTGCGCAGGTCGGGACACCTCCGCAAAGTATCTTGATGCTTCCTTGGCCGTAAGTACTAAGGGTTGCGTGGAGCGTTGAATGAGTTGCTTACCTTTATTTCCAGAGAGTTGAACAACACTTTCATCTACGATCAACAGGACTTTTGCGACCGCACCGTGATCTTCAGTGACACTATCTGCGAGGTACGGCGCGGACATCTATACCACGAAGACGACTCAACATCCTTTACAAAGGCGAACTCGATTGCAAAGGCTGGCGGCGCCACTCAGGAGCCTGGAGGGCCGGGAGCAGAGTTTGGCATACCGGAACTGGAGACTACTAGTCTTGGTGGCACGGAAACTATTACATTCGACAACACGCCGCCGCTGAAGAATTACCCTATCGGTGTCCCGCGTCAGAAATGGGATGCAGGGTATACATATCTCCACTAATTGGGACTAGGACGGAATTCCACATATCTCAACAGTCTCGTTGCATCTGGACAGATCGCTTCCCGTGTCTGGTCTCTTTTCTGGGGGCGCATGTGGCTCCCTCAAAACGGGATTGACGGCTCATTGGTCCTAGGTGGTTATGATCAGCAGAAGGTCCTTGGGAGAAACTTCACCGCTCCATTGGACTACTCGGAGACGACAGGGTGTTGGACCGGGATGAAGGTGCAGATTGTCGATATCAAAGTTAACTACAGAAACGGGGAGGAGCAGACCATCCTTCCGCTCAATACGGCACTACCGGTCTGCATTGTACCTCAACGACAGCTGCTGGCCGAGATCCCGCTGTCATATGTCGACAAGTTCGAAGAAGTGACCAAAACTAACAGTTCGGGTCCATCGTATGGGATACACTGGTCTGCAAGGCGATTCGATGCTGACAAGGCGTAAGTCGGCTGAGACTCTGTTGATTTCAAATTGAAGGCATACCCTAACAATGTTGAACCCAGATTCGACGGCGACTTGACCATCGTTCTCTCTTCTGGTCTCTCTGTTCGCGTACCGAACAGCCAATACCTCCCTCCATTCGTTACACTCGATCGCAATGGAACCCGCATTTTTGACAATAACACTCGAGAGCTGCTTTTAAATGGTGTTGGCAAACAGCCGGCCACGTTGGGGCGATACTTCTTCACGTCTGCATATCTCATGGTAAACCATGATGCAGGTACCTTCACGCTTTGGCAAGCCAATCCAACCTCCCGCAGCAGCTTGGCAAATGTCGTCAGCGATGTCAGCACAGGGACTGGGTGTAGCAACGAGAGTGTTGTGGTTCAACCGAGCCCAAGCCGGTCCGCCTCTGGAGGAAATGGAGCAGGTGATACCGGGACGAATGGGCAGAGAGGTCCGTCTGTCGGTGCTATCGTTGGTGGAGTAGTTGCTGGCGTGTTGGCATTGGCTGCGTCATCCTTTGCAATTTGGTTTCTGCTGCGGAAAAGGGCCAGAGCAAGAGCCTTAGGGTCAGATGGCGGACCTCCTGTCCCGACGGGCTTGCATATTGAGGAGCAATGCCCAAAGTATTCCACGAATGGGCCTCATTGGTATCAGCAAGTGACACAATCGCAAGAGCTTGCAGGTTCGGAGCCTAGGGTTCACGAAATGTACGGCCCAATACATCCTGTACATGAAATGGACGGAGGGGAAAACCGAGGGAAATAATACATAAACCAAGCTTTCGGGTTTTCAATCAATCACTATCCTGTCATGACAACATGAGCGGCAGAGGTGGACGCGCAGGAGATGCATGTGGGTACGAAAAGCCGCAAGCAGACATTGGCCGCTAGCCAATCAAATAAGATACGCGACCAACAGCAATTGATGAGTATCGCCATTGAGATATCAACTTCCAATGAACCACTCAGTATGTTTGGCTGCGACGGCCACTTCCGGCGTTCTGGTGCCATCTGATGTCAAGAATCTCCCGGGTTGGCCATCATGTAGCACTGGTGGTCTTGGCAATTCAACTGGGCAGTTTCCGAGGGTAATCATTGCATGAGTTAAGTCCGGAGAAGTCATTATGGGGGGTTCACAACGCCGACTGGCGTTATATACTCGGATTTATCTGCTCTGTTTTAGCTAGTTCGGCCGTAGCAATCGCCAGAAAGGTGAGCAAGCTCTCCATATTTCCAGCTTCAATCAAAAAGTAGATAGGTCAAATGCCATTATAAAAGCGGCGTTATTGTCCTTTCAAAATTGCAATACTCCCAAAAACGAAATAGAAGACAATCTTGCCCCAGTTCCCTTGACCATCTCATGATGAATTTCTATCTGTCTCACTTCGTCTCGCTGATCTGGCTCGCCCTTGTCTCTGGCGTTGCTGCCAATTTCGATGTGTACATGGTCGAGCAAACCGTCATCACAGACCAGGGAGTGTCAAACATCAAGCTCTGGCAAGTATTCGAGGCCGAGCCCAAGAACTGCAATGAGGTCTTCAACACGCCACGGTGGGCCAACAGCCGCGACGTCAGTGGAACCAAGCATGGCGTCCGCTGTGAGGGAAGCGGCTGCGACTACAAGCCTCCGGCGGGCAACATCAATGTCCTGGAGATGAATTTCCACGGGACGAATCCAGTCTACCACTGGAGTGAGTTCCAAGCCAAAGTGTAGCACAGCAGCATCAACTAATGGTCGAGACAGCTCTCTACAAGGACCGTGGCTGGACAATGGTTGGGCGTAGGTTATCCCGCTGCACCTGGTAGCGTGTATCCCGTCGTCCTGCAACGATAAGCTGACTAACGAACGACACCAGTGGATGGCAACACCTATGGAAACTGCATCGTGTTTCCCAACGGTGACTATGACTGTCATCAGGGCGCCTACTACTATCTTAATGGGTATAGAAAGTTCCGCTGCTTGACCAAGTTCACGGCGAATGATATCAACTAGGCCGGTATTTGTCTGTGAGACGGGCGAGACGGGCTGTGACATCTCTCATGGATATTACAGGTCTTCGGCACATTACACGTGCTGAACCTCTTCATTCTCTTCTCACAAGCTTATCAGGGCAGAGCCAATGTCAAGCCCTGCGCGAGGTTGAACTTCGGAATGATCGTAAGATAGTACAAATACACGAGCGTCAACATATGTAGAGGCACAGGCTGCTCATCAACACGCTTGATATTCTCGCCAACTTAATGTAATGTTACACAAAACGACATCAACACACATCCCACCCATAAATACAAATCCACTCCCTGCACACATTACCTACCATAAACACCGGTGCAGTTGCGTCTTCCACAAAAAGGCAAAAAACGACAAATCTCCCACCCTGCTATGACCCGGCAAGACCAACACAAGAAGAAACAAACCCGCCGCTCACACTGATGAATCCCGCCCCCGAAAAGCTGGTGCTCCTGAAGAGCAGGTGCTCAGACGAGGGCCGCACAACCGTCTGTCGATTCCGTATGCTATGGTAAACCCGGTTAGGGTCCAAGCAGCAAGGGCTCGTGTATCACTTGCTATATCGCCTCATCATGCCGTGTGTGTCCATGCCAGAGTCCTTCTGGGGGCCCATGTCCATCCGTGTGGTAACAACCAGCGGTGGTAATGAGGCGCAGCAGATCAGGCCGTATGAAACCATTCCACCACGAGATCGAGTACTTCACAGCTTCCGCCCGGTTGTCATCCAAGGTCCACGCAATTGAACTGCGGTCGGGAAAGTTCCTGTCGCTTGTAATGTGTATTAAGTATTCGCTCGCAAGCAAAATTGCCTATTGCTTTTCTTTCCACCTCACCAAGGCCTGCTGATCGCAGCCTTTCCCCATATCAAAAATAGATTTAGACATAGCCATCTAGACGTTATGTCGTGAAAGCGTAAGATTCGTAACAGACGTGGTAGACTTGTCATCAAGTTCTTGTGACAGCCAAAGCCACATCCCGTCCGGGAGAGGCTGCTGGGCTCAAGAATAAGTCGGGGGTATCAAACGTGCTCGAGGCTGCGGGTGATCGGCTTTCTTGACCTATCACGCTGAGCCACCGAGTTGTCGTGGAACCGTTTCCGTCGGCTGATGATGGTTGCCCATCGGAGCTGTAATCTTAATTCCAAAGTCTCCCCGCCTCCAAAAAGTCTTTCGTAGTATCGGTTCGTTGTCGTCAAAGGCCTGCCACATGAAAGAAGCAGTCCATCGTCTCGATCGTCTCAATGTCGTGGCCCAAGCGTCTTTTTGGCCAGAACAACCCGTTGAAGCCCCCCGGGCCAAGGAGGGGGTTGTCTGAGACACAAATGCATATACCGAGTAATATCAAAACAGGTCCCAAAAAAAAAGGTTCAAGCTCCGCAGTGGCGGCGCCGTATTCGAAGCCGAAAAGCTGTACAGAGTCGAGAAGTATGGAAATACATTAAATGATGTATCATGATGCATGATCGAAATCGTCAAGAGCACAGAATGGGTTTGCGATATTGCCGAGGGTGGTAGATGTCGAGGTCCCGTAACAGCATCATCATTTCGTCCTGGGAGTATGCGGGAACCCGGCCGATATAAGCGAGCTTGCATTGTCGAGGAGATGATGGTCGCCGCTACTCAGTTGCTAGCAACCGAGGTCGATCGCAACCCGGGGTTCACAATGCCAAGGCACGCAAAGGGGTTTCGTAAGAGCACGTGGGTGGGTCTGCAGAGAGCCAAATTGCTCAAAACAGAGCGGCGGAGCCGGCGGTGGCGCCAACACGTCCGGTGTTGTCTGAGGAGTCTGCCCGTCAACCAGTCAGCTACATAAGTGTCGCGATTGGAGTGAGGACTACTGTACCGCTGCCTCTCTGCATGTGCCCATTTGTCCGGCTACGTCCGCCAAATCCACCTGAAGACTCCCAGTTGCTAGCGGGGCCGCGAGGCTGGCGATCGGGAGCATTGGCACGACTGCCGGCACTGGTAGCACCGGGCCGCTGGCTACCGATGGCGCCCGGAGTCTCCCGAGCGCGGCCGCCGAGGTTGTCGTTGCTGCCGACGTCGTAGGCTGATGAGCCAAGGCCGAGAGACGACAAGCTGTTGACGAGGAGGGACGGGTCGGCCTGGGAATTGGAGGCGTTGATGCCACTGCCCGGCGTTGTGGGGGTAGCGAGACCGAAAGCGCCGCTGTCATTACCATAATGGCCCATGTAGGGCATAGTGCCACCACCAGGGTTGTTGGTCGATGGGACGTTGAGGCCATTGTTGTTGCTCACAACAGAGGGCGAAGGGCTGGGACTGAAGGAGCGCAGATCAGCAAAGCTCTTGACTCCCCTCAGCCCATTCATGCCGTGGGGTCCGTCCGGGCTGCCGGGAACGGCAAGGTTTGTCCGGCCGAGCGACTGGAGGGACGGATGGTGTTGCGGGCGCGACTGTTCAGCAAAGTCGTAGGTCGCAGCACGGCTCAGTCCACGCGGGTGCTCATGAAGGCCGACGCCGGGCTGTTGGAGGTGGCCAGTCGGTTGATGCGTCGACATTGGAAACTTGGTCTTGCGTACGTGGACCTGCCGGTTCTCGCCTTCGCCCATCGAAGTGTGCTCGAGGCCCAGGTTGTGGGCAAGGATGTGAATGATTCGGCGCTCCTCGGGGCTCGTCTCGCTCGGGAAGATGAGCACTTCTTGATCCGAATTGTTTCGGAAGACGAAGAGATCAACATAGTATCTCAAAGTTGTTGCATCGTTCATGTCAACGGGGCCCGGGGCAGCTGACGCGGGCCAGCCCACTGGCGACTGTTGCGACGGCACTTTGCGATCGACGGGGGGGCGGGCGTTGGTGGTGCCAGACAAGGACGTCATGGACGGCTGGTGACTCGGGGCGCGGTGTTGCTCTTCGAGCTGGCCACGCTTCTCGCGCTTTTCACGTTCGATACGCTCTCGCTCATGCTCCGGAAGCATCTTCTTGTACTCGACGCGAAGCTTTCGGCCGCCGATCTCGAAGCCATTCATATGCTCAATGACAATGGCAGTGTCAGCAGCATTCTGGAAGTTGGCAAAAGCGAGACCGCGGAAAATGCCATTGTCGAAGTGGTAATTGAAAGCGTATGGCTGGGGAAGGTTCATCTCAAGCATGGTGGCAGCCAGGACCTCTTTGCGGATGTTGAAGGGTATGTTTTTGATAACAATGGCCGTGGGGATGAGATCGCTCGAGTCCTTCTTCTGGTCCTGGTAGCCTCGCATGTCGTGTCCCATCAACCCGTGGGAAGCACCGGGAGGGGGCATGCCGAAGAGGTCGTTGCCACCGCCGTTTGGAAGCCCCATGTGCGAGCCTCCGCTGTGCATGGACCCATACTGCGATCCGTGATTGCCCTGCCCGCCCATCGAATCGGTTGGGGACATCCATTCCTGAAAGGGGAGAGAAAGTATGCATGTCAGTTCAGAAGCTTGATGACAGAGTACAGGGCCAAGGTATATACCGTGTGCAAGGCGGGTCGGCGACTACCGCCACCGCGCATCCGCGAGCCGTCGTTCAAGGGGCCGCTCAGGGTAGCAGCAGCGCCGGCATTGTAATTCCAGGTCTGGCTGTTGCTCAGCATGAAGCTGGCCTGGTTTCCTTGCGCCGAAGAACCTCTGTCGTATCTTGACACTGTCTCAAAAGGAGTGAAGCGATCATCGCCGTAGAGAGAGGAGGGCTGGCCGATGGACTCTAAGGGGGGTTGGTTTCTCCGAGCAGCTCCCATGCCAGACGAGAGGCCGACTGTCGCATAGCCTGGTCGTGTGGAGGACGGAGAGCGGTTGACGGAGGAGCTGACATAGCCGCCATAAAACTGATCTTGAGCGTGTTGAGAATTCATACTGAAGAAGGAGCTCCGAGGGGGAGAGGAGAGGGCGGTGTACGAATCGGGATGCAGGCTCCGATCGGGGGGTGGACAGCCCTGCTGTGGCGGCGGCGGCTGCTAGGGCTGCTGCTGCTGCTGCTGCTGCTGCAGGCGACTGAGATAGTAGCGACGGACAGACGACGCAAGATGAAGACGTCGGATGGTGGCAGCAGCAGAGAATATTTTCGGGGTTGGAAATTCTGGGCTGCTTGGAGAACGGAAGCAGATTTCTGTGGGGATGGGTGTGGATATTTTTTTCCCTCAGTGACGCGACAGGCGTCGGCAGAGAGACCGTCAGGAAGAGAGAGAGGCAAAGATTGAGGAGAGGTCGGCCTCGTCTCGTCTGTCAGAGAGATGGCGAGAGGAAGAAAAGTTTCGCGCCACGACAAGTGACGAGAATGCGAGAGGAGAGAAAGGATCAGGTAAGGTTAGGTTAGGTAAACCGAGTCTGATGCAACTGTGGTCAGGCAGTCAAAAGATTCGCCATGACCAAATAGGCCTGGTTCGGGGGCAGGATGGGATGCCGGTAGGGGGGGGACCAAGAAGGTTAGGGGTGGTGGTGGTGGGAGGGTTGGTCGCGCGCAGCACCGGCACAGAAGAGAGGTACCGGTCAGTAACAGCCTGGAGATTGGTTGGTCCGGGAGAGGCACACAGCGCACGAGGCAGAAGAGGAGGAGGAGACGGTATGGAATAGAGCGTTGTTGTGTGTTTGTGTGGGTGGAGAGAGCGAGGCAAAGACTGTCGGTTGGTCGACAGAGCAGGGAGAAGGTGGGAAGAGATACGGTGGTTGATGGATTGATGGATTGATGGATTGATGGATGGAAGGCCCAGGAATGATGATGGATGACTGGGCAGGCGGCCAAGCGGCCTGGGGAAAAGTTGCTGGTCGCCTGGCCTTCGAAGTGGGAAAATTTTGGGCTTAGCGTTGGCTGCCCCTCTGGTGGGTCCAAGGTTCTTGGTACACAGGACTGTCTGCTTGACGTGCCAAAGGCTAAAGTACAGGCTACTAACGGTGCAGGGCCAAGGCCGAGTGACTTTTTGCACCTCAGCGATGGCCCGCCCGGCTAGAAATGCAAGTATCTTGGAAAATGAGGTGCACAGTTCTTCACTTCCTCACCTTGGTGCAATGAATGATGCAGGCGGCTTTTTTGCAGGTGCCTATCACAAGTCGGCAGGACGTGAGAAGCAAGTCAAAGATAGTTGCTACCTACCTGTATACCTTACTGTAGGTAAGTACCGTAGGTTGGAGAGGGAGAGGGGGCGCCGGCTGCATCTTTTTCACCCTTTGCCGCGTGTGCGGCGTGCCATAGCTTTGCTGCAGCCAGCATCGATTGTTTACCTAGGTACTCTGCCATCCTTCTAGAGAGTACCCAGGTATGAATGAAACATCAAGAAGGCATCTCCAAGGGCAGCAAGGCAAATTCCTGTCGAGACTGGTCAAGGCTAAAATCAAGTACCTACGGCAGCCATACCTAGTGTCGGTAGCCCGCAAGGCGTCTCTGCCTCCAGCATGAGGGAGCGACCCAGCGAACCCCCTCCGGGTCCAACCCACTGGCCCCGGGCAGTTTTTAGGCTGACAGGCCCTAGCCCACTTTCTGTAATTGCCCTGTTGGCCAATTGGTACGGCACCTGCAGCTTTCCAAGCTCCAGCATAGCGCTGCTCAGGTATTCCGAAAATGAAGCTACGGTTTGGCTGTACCTAGGCCGAAGAACAACAAGGCATTGTTTGGATGAATAACGTGCCAGCCAGAGCGGGAGCTTGAGCTGCAAAACCAAACATGACCGATTGATGGGGCCGGTTAACGACCTTTTTCTCGCTACCCCTTCTGTCTTTACATCTAGGTACCAAGGCTCAAGCCGTCCGGAAAAGCCTCCACCGTCTGGTGTACTTGTAGATGGATCGTTGGCTCACATGTATGAGTTTACAGAGAGGCCCGAGAATCGTCGCCCACGAACGAGGCGCATACGGAGTCAGACGGGGAAACAATCGCCAGGCTCATCCAGGTGGATCGCCAGGGGCAAGCTTGTTGGAGCATTCCAACATTGCCTGATGGCCCGAGAAATGTACTTGTAAATACCGGGCGGGCCCTAGCAACCAAGACACCCGGTGCTCCCTGACACGCATGCCTCTCGAGACAATTGGAATCTTGTGGTCCGAAAATTCTCAGCCGTCTTGCAGCAGCCTGGTGGGTGCGGTGTGGCACGGCATCGTCGTTCGGGTACCCTTGAAAAGAAAAGTCACATAAGTCGACCCCTTTTCCCCTTTTCCTTGTTTAGAGTACCTACGTCTGGTACGGAGTGCGTGCCGGTATGCATTTGATCCGAGCTGCTACCCCTTTACAGCCCCCAGCGGCTCACGACGTACGTCCATCTCAACCATTCGCTCCGTTGCCCGTTATGAATCGAGGTCAACCCTCTCCACACGGGTGAGGGGCCGCCCCATCACCACCAGCTCAGTGAGCAAATCGGCACCCACCCGTGCGCCTCCGCTCATCGTGGACCATGGATCTCCTGAACACGCGCCGGGATACACCTTTTGCCTCACCACCATTACTTGCACCTCACGCCCGCCACTCCCTCCGTCTAGCTTACACACTCCAACTCACGGCTGCCCGCGTGATCTTGGTCCGCAGTCACGATGTCTCAGCTGTGCATTTATCACGACAAACTGGCTGTCGCCTCTGTGCACGCAGTTGCTGGGGTTGGAGGGTCTGCCTGTCCCACCACCGACAGACTCTTGTATTCGAGTGGTACCTAGGTAATGCAGGCAAGCAGTCTCTCCCAGGACGCGCACAACACGCGATGATACCTTGCCGTCCATCAACGACTGCTCCGTAAGTACATCACTCAGTGAAATGCAGATCACGATGTGGCATTTGCGCATGCATTTTGCCTCAAATCCCATCCTGGGATGCAAGGTTGCCGATTGCTTTGGCCAGCATTTCCCTCATTTGCCCAACTCTTGTGCGTGCAGCCCCGCAAGACTCCGTCCACACCAAGTTACCATCCGGGACTTGCGGGACTAATAAACGAATGACTATTGTAGCCCAAGACCCGATTGTGGACTCTACCTATTTCTTCAAACATGTCCTCGATGCCCAATCACACACGCTCTCCCCCCTAAACCCGATGGCTACTAGTTGCAAGCCGAAAACCTGGTTTTGCTACCCTCCAACCGCAGACGATCGTTTGCCAGATCTGACGATCACACACTAATCCCAACGCCGCTCTCCATATTCAAGCAAACATCTCTCCCATCGTGTCCAGTGATCCCAAACTCTACCTCTCCAAATAAATACTCTTCTTCCTCTATGTAATGGGAGATAACCTGGTAGTAGCTGGCCAAGGTCATGGAGAGGGTCTCCAAATGACCACAAGGTGCAAGTGAACAAACGCCATATTGTTATGATGCCAACCAACGGACGACACACGGATCTTTGCCTTTCCGATGCTGCTAATATCTTCAATTGACATGATATACTGCAGAGCTTTGGATCCACTGAATTGGCCAAGTGAACAAGTCCTGGAGCCTAGGATATGAAAATGCTGCCAATAATTATTGGTGGACACTTTTTCGATTCCTAGATCAGTTGTTGAGTCGCAATTGTTTCCCTTCTTATTGTGGTTTTCATTCTGTATCTGGATGCAAGATACAATGAGTAAATGGGTTGTTCTACATAGATAGAGACAACTCAACAGAGGTTACCTGTGTACCAGATTTTAGCAGCATGATAAGATAAAAAGCAGATAAATCAAGACAATTCTAGTATTCTATCGGTGCTCTTCTGTATCTCCTTGAAATCAGGATCTTCTCATAGGACTGTGCTCTCACTACAGTGGTGGAGATATGGTGTCAATTTATCGAGTTAAGGTTGTAAATTGAAAAGGGCACACATGAAACAAATAATCAATACCCCAAAAGACATCTGAAATATAACTAAAGACAGTTGCTGAAACCTGACAAAGCAAACCAACAGATCAATTTAGATCATATCCCGGGCGAATTCATTTGTCTGCCTATTATATTTCCGAGTGGTGTTGAATTGTACCAAGCATTTCTCTTGCACTACTTGAACAAATCTAATTATCCAGATCGTCAGCTGTCGAACTGAATCTCAAGATCACAGAAAGACCTGGATGATTATTACTATCCTTCTGACTATCCAGAACTTAGCCCAGTAAATGAATGGTTCACCTAACCATTCATAACCGCGCAACAGAGGCTGCTTCCATGCGGGCACTCAAAGACACAGCGAGCAGTTCAACATGAGGAATTTCTCTAATGTTGTCCAGATTTATCTTTAGGTGGAAGTGTATAACAGGCCTGACATACATTGTGACACTTAAATCTTGATATATATCCAGACATGAGGTGCACGCCTTGGATAGCTCAGCATACTTGTGAGAGGGCCTGCGCAGCCAACAACTTTCCGAACTTGCGAGACTATAAGGGGGTCCAGCCGTCTCATCAAGACAAAGTCTCAGCAGTGGCCACCAGCTGTGGATTGTGAGGCATGAGAGGGCATGGCTTCAAGGGCACATATCTTAGCTTGATCAACAGCAATATCAGTCCCACCAACCCTCTGTTAAGCACCTATACATCCTCTTTAAGTCACTTTGTATTTCAATGTTGCATGCACCTATTTCTACCCGTTCAGCAGGATCAATGATAGGGCTTAGCTTAACCATACTGTGAGCCTCATGGGTCTGAATGGGGACGCAGAGAGCACAATATAGCTGGGAAAGGGACCGAGGTGGCACAAGACAGGTCCGACTTGATGATTGATTAGAGAAACAGACCTAGATAGGCCCCATCGACAAAAGACGCCCCTTTCCTGGCCCTAAACACAACTCTGAATACAAGGAAATCCCAGATCCCTCCACAGCCCAAATCCGCCAGGAACCCAACAGAAACAAGGTGAAGCCCATTTATCACTCGGAAAGAACAACCCAAACAGTACACAATCAAACAGGAAGACGTGTGGCGGCGCGCAGAGGCATGGCACTAAGCTTCGGCGGCCTGCTTCTTCTTCTTCTGCTCGACCTTGAGCAGAAGCGCCCTGTTGATATGGGGAAGAACACCACCAAAGGCGATGGTGGCACGGATGAGGGTGTCGAGTTCCTCGTCACCACGAATGGCGAGCTGCAGGTGGCGGGGCGTGATGCGCTTGACCTTAAGGTCCTTGGCGGCGTTCTGCGGCAGAAGTGGTGGTCAGTACATGTGGCGAGAATCCACGAATGGCTGCCTAGCCGGCACTGATGCGATAGGGACAGAGAGAACTTACGCCTGCAAGCTCAAGAACCTCAGCAGTTAGGTACTCGAGAACAGCAGTAACATAGACGGCGGCCTTGGCACCGACGCGCATCTTGTTTTGGGTGTTGGCCTTGAGGAAACGCTTGACACGACCGCAGGGGAACTGGAAAGATAATCTCTCGTTAGTACCGTGACCATGGCGACCGTAAACATGTTATTTCAATCCAGGCGCGACCCAGTTTGCCCTCGATACACTCGACATTCACCGCAGACAACGGAGAACACCATCGGCGGAGCTATGACGCGTCACCGGGACGATGCGAAAAAGGTGACTGTGCTTCCAACTGTCCCGGGCGAGCTGGCGAAAGGGAATCGCGATGGGTTCGCGGGCGTTTGTTGAGGCTCGGGGAGGACAAGGGCGCTGGTCTCGGAAATCATGGAATGCCTTGGGGACGCGTGCGGGACCGAGTTTTTGTCGTCTTTGGGATGGCGGTGTCGTGGCCGGTGTTGAACGAGAACGCAATGCGCAAAATCGCAAGGAGAAAAGCTGTTGACGCGACTTACCTGAAGGCCAGCTCGCGCAGAGTGGCTCTGCTGCTTCTTGGGACCGTCGACCGAGGTCTTGCCACCCGAGCTCTTGCCGCCAGAAGACTTGCCCTTGCCGCCAGCCATTGTTTATCGAGGGGCGAAACGAAGTCGGAAGGTCGAAATAAAGCTGTTTTGTTGATGCAGGTGATCTCTGGGACAATGCGACCGAGAATACGGTGATATTTGATGAGCCGGGGAAAATGTTGTTGTGGTGATGGTCGCGAGTGTGGAGGCGTTTTTTCCCGTCTGGTTGACGTGACTCTGAAAAAGCTGATTGTTTTGAGGGGGGGGGGGTGGATTTGTCGAGTCGAAAATTCGGAAGGCTGAGGAGGAGAGGGACCTAAGCTTTGTGTTGTGATTGCACTCAGAGCTAAGAGTTAGCACTTGGAGGGAGATTGTCGCGCGACCTGCATCGAGGTATCCCCCAGCTTCAGGTGTCAAAGGTCCCCCAAGGCCAGCTAAGAGTAGCGAGGCAAGTTCGCTGTAATGGGAAAAACCAAGACCTGTCTGGCAGCCGGATTCTGCGCTAAAACCTAGATCTGACTGGCATGCCTCGCGCCAGAGGCCAGCATATTTGACGTGCGGTGCGCTTGAGGTACGGCGGGCCGAGATAGACCAACCGTGCACTTTCTTAGGCTCCCGGTCAGGTTAGGTGAGCGAGTCGGTCGTCGCTAGACTGGGCGTGCGTGGTGAGGCAGGATGCGGATGCGGCCGTGGATGCGGCAGAAGGCAGCCAGCCGCTCGAGGCATCAAAGCCATGCTGCCACAGGCCCGAGATGTCTCGAAAACCAGATTGTGAGTAGCTCCAGGAGGCGCCCTTTCCAACGAGCCATCTTTGATGGCTCCCAGGGCAGCAGAAAAGGAGAAGCGATACGTACCAAGACCGACTTACCTAGTTTTGCGGTGACTCTTGGCCAGTTGCGGCCCGCAAAGACTCGCCCTCATGCCGGCCTGTACTCGCACTCGAGCGGCCGATCAGGGCAGGGAAAGTCGGGCAGCCTGCTTCTGATGCTATATAAGCACGGGTAGGTGCAAGCAAAAGAGTAGCACAGCATGTTGCTGGCCGTCTTGCAATCGCCCAAGATGCAGCTCCAGGTTGGCAATGCGGTCCCTTCTACGACGTTTTGCCTGAGGACTCACTGCCTGCCTGGCTCCCCCGCCCTTCTCGCGCCTCGGAGGCTGCCAGCCCCACTACCCGAACGCACGAACCACAGGTTAGACTTCCAATTCGACAGCCACACTTACCCTCAGTCGTCAAGCCACAGAACTAACCACAAGCCACACACACGTAGATAACACGTTCATCAATGGCCTGCACAGACACATACACATGCCAGTCGCAAATTGCTTGTTTACTGTTCGAACCACTCTATGGAAATGCGGCATTGAATACACGTCTTGATCAGTCGAGGCTCGCATGGCCGACAAGTCCTCTGTCCTTGCGCGTTTTGTTTGAGCAACTAGCAATATGTGGCCCCTGTTGGATCAACCAGCGAGTTGTCTGGACCCTTTTCTCTCTCAGCACCCAAGCCACCTAAGATATGTCCTCCCTCACAATGGCCTCGCTCCTCCTTCTCTCAGGTTTGACTGGTTCTTGGATCTGGAAATCCCTGGTGTCGCTCTCGGAGTTAGTCAAGCAACTCAACACTTAGCCGCAGACAAACTTGCCTACCTTTCCATGTCCCAGGGGAGCATCTCTTCTTTGGGTAGTCGTGCTCGGAACCTCGCTTCCAGCTGCTTTGCCCTCTCCAAGTAGTAGTCCTGCCGCTCCTCCTCCAGCTCCCTCTTGTATCGTTCCACCTCGCTCTTCCATCGTTGGTGCTCTCCATATGCCTGCACTAGACAATATCGTAAAAATCGTGCCCGGACGCGGGATCTCTTTCTGCGGCACGCACTGTTCTTGCTCTCTTGCCATATCACAAAGTTTTGCGTGTACTCGTCGCGCTTCACACGGCACCAGGTTTGCCAAGATTCCACAAGTCGGTGGCGTGCGGCAGTGTAGTCGTCGAGCGTGAGGTTCTCATAAGACTGATGGGTGCATTAGCAGTAGCCCCTGGCCGGCTGTGCGCATTCTCCGATGAAGGGCATGGGGGAATAGGCAAGCTTACAGGCGGGAGGCTCTCGTCGTTGTCATGCCCGGAAGTCTGAGGTGCATCTCCGGCCGCGGAATCCAGCAGATGTCGAAGGAGGATATCCTCGGGGCCCGGAGCCGAAGAGTAGCTTGGAAGCGCATCAACCTCATCAGGGTCGGCCCGCTCCTCCATATCGATCCTGCTGAGTTCCAAAGCTGCTTGAATGTCTGCCTCCTCTTGCGCATCCAAGTCTTGCTGGGCCTCCATAGCTTCCCGAGGGCGCATGCCTTCCCATGCACCCAGATCTTCCTGCAAACTCATAGCGTTTTGGCTCCAAAGCTCTCTGGTGCTAATCCTGATGTCGCTCGAGATCTTCCCTGATCTCGTAGTAATATTACCAAGAGGTAGAGTTGAAATGCAAGAGAAGGAACCAGTGCGAAATTGGTGTTGGGAGTGACTTTTCAATCAGAGAAGGGGCGCGCCTCCAGGCAGGATTATCTTCGCCTTGTTGAAGACGATGAATACTGTATCTCTCTATGATTACCACTGTCTGAACAAAACCTTGGCCTATTGAGAAAAATTCCAGTGGTTATATACCAAGAATGGGGTGAGGACGGGGAGTGGCAGTGTCGTTCAAAATGCGCGCGCTCTGGCCGGTACCAAGAACTAATATTTGACAAGCCCATGGAACTGCCAGTCCATGTGGACACCTCAGCCACTGACTGATGAGAGTGATAATGCAGCCTGGTTCGTCTGGATTCAGCCCCAGAACCAGAAAAGTCTACAAATCTGGTGTCGCACTGATTCGTCTTGATCCAGTGTTGTGCACGTCAGAGAAACTAGTACATCAAGAAATACTGACGGTTCGATTTGATCTGAAGTTTCTGCTTTCCATTTTGACTGTGCAACAAAGCAATACCCATCTATATACACTCTTTTCAAGCTTCGAGGGCTTGATAGTAGGCTCGTTTCAATCTTCGAGAATCAACTCAAAATAGCTTGAAAGGCGAGCAATTCGGCGCTCAAGAATCTATGCCGAACCACTATAGCACGCGGACAGCAAATTCTGGTCCTCAGTGCTAGCAAAAAAACTCTTCGTCTGTGGCAGTGAAAGAACCAAACTTGTTGCTTTGAGAAACTGCTAAACTTGCGGGTGGTACGGCCGTCTAGACCCTGAACCATTTCCTATTGTTCCTAGTCCCTTCGCTCCGCACTCGTGACTCTACATTTCCCGAGGTAGCCTGTCGCAGCGGGTCCACCAGCGATATGACAAAGCCGTCCTTGTAATGCATCTCCTTGCTCTTGGTACCCGCGATCCCCGTGGATAGCTCCGTGTCGCTCCCTGTGCGGCTGTGCGTCCCGTCCACGGGGCCCAGCCCCTCACTTGGCGTCGTGGTCAGCTCGTACCGGTCCTCGTGAGTGATGTCGATCTCCTGAGTGACGAAAATCCGCCCAAAGTGGCTGCTAATCCTGGGCCAGAAGACGGGCACGCTGGCGCATATACTGGCGGCATCGACTTCCAGAATGGCCAGAAGGATGCTGATCGGTCCGTACCAGGTCGGATCTCGGACGGGATAAGTGGCCGCCTTGTGCTCGACGATCGTGGCCAGGCGCCAGACGGAGAAGACATTGACACTGGCGTGTTCGTGATTAGCAAACCGTCTCTCTGACACATAGATGTGGTTACAAAAAGACACCATCGCCGGACTCACAGACAGCCCATGAACAGCAAGGCCAAAAGACCCCTGCGAGTCTTCTGCGGTGTATGCTTGTCAAAATACATTGGTACCGGCGCTGCCAGGACAAGAACGTCGAGGACCATGTTGACGCCCGTATGGCTCTCGTACGTTGCTGCGAAAATATGGGGGTTGGGCGACCCAAAAGCGTAGCACTTGGCACCTGGAGGGGCAAGCCACAAGTCCTTGATCGGGAAGCAGGGAAACCAAGCCATGAAGGTGTAAGCAGTACCCCAGAGGGCCGTAAAAATGAGGAGGCCGACGCAAAGTCGATACATGGTGGTGCCGCGGTTGTACACGCGGAGATACTGGAAGAGTAGAGAGAGTTTGATCAGGGCTGTGCAGGTTATGTAGGCCGCGCTGCCGACATAGAAGACCTAAGTGGCTGTTAGAACAAACCTCTTCCACACACCCTACAGGTTGAGAACAACACACAATAATGTAGGCCCGTGCAGTTTCCGGATGCAAGAGAGCGAAGTGCTTCCCCATGCCGTAGTTGGTGGCTGCAGAATCGCGGGTTAAAACGAGGCTGAAGCATTCCAAGGTCTCGAGTAAGCTTACCAAGGCATATAGCGCCAGTGCCGACGACTGTAAAAAGCTGTGGACTGTATCAGCCTCGCCGCTCATTCTTGAAAGTGATGAATGAAGATAGTCTTACAAGGTAAACCACGATGAGTAAGTCATCCCATCCAGGTGACCGCACGACCCACAAACGCGTGTAGAGGCGAGTCAATACACATGAGCACGAAATTATCTTCGTGAGGATTAGTCTGTCAGTGCATGCTCCTTGCTGCTATCGGTGGAATCGTAAGTTTGTACGAGTCTAGACTGACCAAGAAAGTAATGGACACCCCGAGGATCGTTTCTCGCTTGTTGACTAATGGTTCTGGGTCATTGAGATTGTCAAAGAGGTGACTGAGATCACCCGAGGACGGACGGCCTGCCATTCTGTGTAGCTTGATGGGAGCATCTGGTACGACCTGCGTCCTAAGGTTCCATCATTTCTCGTGATGCTTCTGCCGACCCCTCCCAATGAACAAAAGAGCGATGAGGAAATCTGGGGAAGAAGAGGAGGCGTGGGGCTAGGCCAGAGCCGACCTTTTCTACAAGTATGGCCATGGACCACAGACCCCTTTCTCGCCTGCCGATCATATCTTATTTCGACCCATGCCACAGAGACTGCCGATGCACAAACTGTCATCCATGTCTGCGCGCGCCAGAAGGAATCCGCATGTTTCGTTTTGAGCTCGGATTGACAGGCATGGCAGGCGGATGTGTTCCCTCGAGAGTGGACTTCTGGCTCAGCGTAGGGCGGGACTAGGCCTGATAGAGGAGTGTCAGACGCCGGAGGGATGTGATCTGGACAAACTCTCTTCCCTACTTTGCCAACTTTGGACAGCAGGGTGACAGGGATGCTTGCGAACGCGACATGGGTTAGGAGCCCAAATTCTCACGTCACAGGTGGCTTTGACTTTGAAACACCGTCAGGCTAATATCTCATCTCAGAAATCTTGTGTGATAGGTTGAAGGAACGAGAATGATGCTGTTGTTTGCTTGAAGCCCGAATGGATATTCTGTCCGGTTCACGGACGAGGTGACGAGGTGAGGATATCACCTTGCAACAAGTGGATGATGATTCCGACCGGATCCTCTGGAATCCTCCGGCAGGGGTAAGTCGTGGGGGTTGTGATCCAATTTCCCCTTTCTCGGAACAATGCCGGTTTTCCTACAGCGTGTTCGAAGTTTCAAACCGTGTACCCCTGTAGCAGAGCGGATCTAACCCCAGTGCTTCGAAAAGTGGAAAAGGTCCGGCTAGCTCACAGCTAGCTCACACAGTGTTCTCCATCACATCTAAGAAGTCTACGGGACTCGGTCTTGCCGCAAAAAGGGCTGAAAACCTGGCCGATCAGTCCCTAGTCTACTTGTAGAACTCGACGGACAGGGCCTCCTTGCCACTTTTTCGCCAACTAAGCGCGCCTTACGAGAAGCGCAGATCTTCCAGTCCCCTGCGTGTGCTCTGGGAATACCTACCTACTGAATCAACAGCCCCTGTAGACTCGCATCATGTGAATCACGCAAACAGGTCTTGCCCAATATTAGGCTACACATGAGATATGCGCTTGGAATGCCATTGACCAAGAGCTGCGGTAATCGGGCTGAGAGTTGTGCTTGCCAATAGCGTTCCAATCGCATAATATCTTATGTGATCACGCTTGGTGCGTACCAAGGGTTATAGTTCTGTTCAATGTCCTCAATGCTTGCTCAACTGTGGTGTTGAGCATTTAGCAAATCAGCAGATGAGTGTTCTTGCTCTGAATGTTCACTTTTGGTACTATTCATTCATTCATTCATTATGAAGCGTGAAGCCGGCTAGATACAGACGAGACATAAATCCAGCCCAACTTGCCCATGCCGAGGACTATGGGCTAGTAGTGTAAGCCCTACTACCTAAGGCTTGCGAGGCTTGCAGAGCTGTCCATTGGCAACAGGAAGCTGGAAGACGGTGTGAACGCTGGCGTGATCAGAAGTCCAGTCGTTATTCTTATGATTAGGCTCCGGGGTGGGACTGCCAACTATGAGTGTGTTGGAATCAACGACGGTCATGTTGCCCTTGTGGTAAATGAAGTCGATGCGATCCATGGGCTCCTTCCTGCCGTTGTTGTCCAAGTAGATTGGCGACCAGGTGATGCCGGGGACGGCGAGTGGATCCGGGTGGATGACTCGGTACGAGTCGATCATGCCGGCGTTGGTGGGCTCGACGGAGGTGGGCCAGGGCACGTTGGCGTAGCCGCAGTGGGTGTCCCGAGTGGCCTCTGTGTAGTCCAGGTGGGACGGCGCGTTGAAGTCGCCGAGGAGGATGACGGGGACGCTGTTGGCGTTGTCAAGATTAGACTTCATGAGCTCCAAAGACTTGCGAATCTGAGGAGTGCGTCCGGACTGGGCCTCGCGCGCTAGAGTCTGCTCCACAGTCATCTTGGAAAAGCAGAAGTCGTAAGGTCCGTACGGATCGTAGCCCAGGTGCTGGTTCCAGACGTTCACCTGCTGCTTCTGGCCATCGAGAGCGATGCGCACACCCAGGCTGTAGCTGCCGGGAATGGTGTAGGTCTCGACGATAGGGTAGCGGCTGATGGTGCCGACGTCCTGGCCTTGATAGACATACCAGCCAAGAGCCTTTGCCAGACGGTTGGCATGGTCTCCAGTAGACTCTTGGAAACCGATAATATCGAAGTTGCCACCAGCGAGGAAGCGAACTTGCTTGCGGTGGTAGTCATTTACCTGAGTACCGCCGTGCCATAGATTGTAGGTCAGGACGTTGAGAGAAGATACGAGCACCTGGTCGGCGCGGCGGACTGGGATAGTAACTTCCAGTGTGCTCGACCCCTTGCCAGCGAGGGTGGCCTTGATAGTGGCCTGGACCTTGCCTGCGGCAGTGGGCTTGCCGGAAATGATGCCGCCCGTGGAAGACACCCCGACCCAGGCATCACCGGAGACCTTTTCAAAGCTCACTGTGGACGGATCTGTGACGCCGTTGAGTAGGCCGGCAATGGTAACACTGAAGTCTTCACCGACACGGGCGTTCTGAAGAGTGAACTTGGTGACGATGAACTCGAATGGGACATCGGGGGATGGCATATAGAAGAGGATTGGCTCGGCCAGCCATTTGTAGCCATCATTGGCGAGGAAGTAAGCCTTGTACTGTTGGCCGCCGGTGAGAGACGAGGCAGCGATCTGGACCGTGCCGTCGGTCTTGGGAGTGTACGCCCAGGTCAGGGAGGGGTTCACTTGCTTCTCCTGGTCGGGGCCGCCACCCGAAGCAGGGTAGATGCCAATCCAGTTCTTGGAATTTGCCGTAGGGATCGAGTACTTGAAGGTCAGGAGGGGCTGGTCAGGAAGAAGCTCGAATTTGCCGTCCAAGGCACGAGGCTCGGTGGGCATGTAAAAGGTCACGGGCTCGGCAAGCCACTTGTAACCGTCGTCGGCAAGGTAGTAGGCCTTGTACTGCTTGCCGGCTGTGAGGCCAGTGGTTGGGACCTTGACGGTGCTGTCGGCATTGGGAGCGTAGGCCCAGGTGATAGAAGGGTCCACCATCACCTCCTTGTCCGGACCGCCACCGGAGGCGGGGTAGATACCGACCCAGTTCTTTGACTTGGGGGACGGAGTCGAGTACTTGAACGTCAGAAGAGGTTGGTCGCGCAGGAACGCGAGCTTGCCGTCAGCAGCGCGGGCCTCGACAGCGACAGGGCTGGCAGCCACCAGGCCGACGGTGGCCAAGAGGCCTAACACAATAGTCGAAAAGCGCATGGTCCGTATGGCGATGTCGAGGATGTAATGGACCCGGGCTTGGGACTTGCAATGCGGAACCGAGGAGCTGTCTCGCTTTAAATGCCTTCAAGACTCGGACCCATTGGGCTTGCTCTTTGCACCTCCGCCGGCGAAGCAAGGTTGAGCTGGGGTTCACCTCAGGGTTCGCCGCGGCCGTAGCATGGAAATATTCTTGACCAGGTTAACTCGTCTTGGCAGACAAAACGTCCCTTACCCAGAGCAATGGAAAGTGTCATCAAGCTTTCCCAGACCAAGGGTGCCAAGCCAATAATTCGCACATTGGGACGTTGCGTTAGATGGGGGGAGGAACCACGTTGCGTGACGGCGTTATGCTTATGTACCAGGAGCCAATGCGGCGCGTTTCTTATGCCCACGGGGATCGCCAAGCACATGCTGCGGGCGAGCATGGATCAAGAAGATCCCCACTGGGGACGAGGATGGGCCAAGGTGGGATTGATGCTAGGTACGGGCTGGCGAACCGGGTTGATCTCCTCTTCCAGGGCGGCTTCTTGACTCACCTTCCAGAACAGGTCCCAGTGTTACTGTGCCGTTTGATGACGCCCAATGCGAATTCGGAGTAACGATCAGCCGTGGCACATTCTCATTTCCAGTGTCCCTGCCGCCTGCCGACCCTGACGTGGACCTGCATATCGAATCTGCATTCGTAGTTGCATGCCCGTACGTGCGCTATATTGCACCTCATCTGTGCCATCCGACTTTCCAACACCAGAGTTTGATGTGCGGGAATGTCAAACATTGAAACATTGCGGGCGGGATGGCGGGATCTCCAATCCCCACTGGAGTCCACGTGGGGTGCCCGGAACTCGGCCGGAGCAGTCAAAGGGACAAATGAGCAGTCCTTCACAAGGCACACGTGCAAAGGTTCTACTTCGTACATGCGAATGCTGGAGTACCCATGCTTGGCACTTCACTACGCAGAGGTCTACCAACTAGTTCTGCCACTAACCAAGAACTTGAGCGTTGGGAGGTCAGGGACCTGGTACTCCTCATTTTCTAGCGGCATTGATACAGAGAAGCCTGCAGGCATCCGATCAGTTGAAGAAGCCACTGTGCAAGTCGTTGGGTGGATCTCTACGACGCGCTAATCGAATATTGGGGGGCACAGCATGCGGCACAGTCTGCACTCGGGAACATGTGGCATGACCTCCTACTACAAAAGCCTGTGTAAACATGTGTCTTGTGTTGATGCCGCTTCTGTGGACTTGCCAGGGTTCAACCCGAAACCTCCCGTCACTTGCAGGATTCCTTGCAGGATTCAAGATTGATCGAGTGGACACCTGGCGCCGGTACACAGCTTCATAATACGGTATACCGCAGAACAGCGTTGATTCTCAAGGTAATCGTCAATGCTTTCATACCCTTTTCGATACGTGGGCCAGGTACGGCCGTTGTCATAGCGACTTTGGTATTGCTTGGTCGCCATTTCTAACACTCCATGCAACCTTATCGCGATTGCTCTCTTCTTACTCTCGTTTTTGACCATACCCGCAAGCCTGACAAACCGATATGCGTCTGCCCCAGAACGTCTCCGGCGCCAGGCCTTACGCAGAGTCTTTGCAGCGTTTCCGGCTCTCCTGGCTGTGTCATTACTGGCGGAAAGGACAATGGTAACTGTGGGGGCTGCGGCCAAACGTGTCCTTATAAGACGCACTGCGACACGGGAAGTTGCCAGTGTGATCAGAGCCGGTGTGCCAACAATACCTGCCTTGACTTTCTCACCCATCAGGTTGCTAACATCATGGATGTAAACATTTCCGCACTGACTCGGCTAAGTCCCAACTTGGACACCACGCCCAGGTTCCAGGGTCACACGCGCCAGCTCGGGGATCTGCACGCTTCGTCAGCTAACCGGTCGGCGACCCTCACCGTAGATAATTGGAGGGAAAAGAAGAGCTATTGTTTACATCAGGCATGTTAGCTGTTACACGGCCCAAAGTCCGGAAGACCCCCGAGTGAACCAAGGACATCCCCAAAATAGTTTGTAGCCGCGACACCCCTTTCAAAAGTAGTAGTCCATCCCTTTAGGATACCTTCGATGACTCTGACTCCGGAGAGATAGAGGTTCCGAAGTGAAGGCTGTAGCCCTCCGTGATCTAGAACGAAGGGAAGCTCAGGAAGCTCAGAACCAGGAGGTTCACGATCGAAATTGGACCCTGACCGCATCAGAATGATCCGGGAGAAGTCTACTTTGTGCTGGAGGGCAGCTCGAAGCAGCGCCGCCAGAATAGCGGAATCCTCCTGGGCCGTCATGACGTAGTTGGCCTGGCCAGATGTGTACACCTTGGCAACATGTGCCATAGCCTCGGACAAGCGGTAGCTGTGCCAAAATACATTGGAAGAAAGCACGTCGCCTTCGGTGACGCATGGCTTTGATGTAGCAGCGCGGTACATGTCGTCTGCAGCTCCAGGGTATTTTGCTCGGTATTTGGCGGCTTCTTCCGAGTCCTCGAGGTCGGCATTGCGAGCGAAAGACATGACGATTTGTCTCAAGTCATCGTTCAGCTCAAATACCTCTGTCCCATGTATGTATCTTGGGAAGGACTCGGGCGAAGGTGCACCCATTGGCACGTACCCGGTGGACCAGCTGGATGGAATGTCTCTGCCGTCCCATTCCATCTGTGTATCGACTTGAATAGCGAACTTGGCAAAAGTCACGGCGCCGATGGTGCTGACCCTAGGATTGACACCAGCGATCCCACTCAGGATGAAATAGGACTTGGACAGGTCGAACCGACTCGAAGACGTGAGCGCTGAGACCGACAGAGCTGCATTGATCACTGTGTCCGAGGCTTGTTAGCAGCTTTCCAGAATTCACTAGGTCCAGAGCGTCCTCTCACATCCGGTCCCTGCGGTCATCAAGCATACCGACCCATCTTCAGTGCAGTGGATGGTGTCGTATGCTCGTGAAAGACCCAGTAGAGGCACAGTACGAGTGAAACTGACCTCGCTGTCTTTGGACAGCCAATTTGCGGCTTCTGGTTTGAACTAAGAGAGCAAGGTCAGTTTCCTGTTGAAGAACACATGAAAAAGCACTAGGGGGAGTGGCTTCACCATGGCAATAATGAACACCTTGGGGCGCATCATGTGTCCATCCGCGGGGTCTATCCGCGAAGAGCTTCTCAGGTGATCAGGAACGATGGCCCGGACCATCTTGTCCGTACGAATCAAGTCGTGATGCGATACCGTCAAGCTGAAGGCTTAGATTGGACTTTGAAATAGCTTTGTGCTACCCTACTATATTGAAGGGTTGGACGAAGAGTCATAGTTGTGCGGTGGTCGGTTGCAAACGACCTCAGATGGCGGGGTCGAGATCTTCTCAAAATGGTTCCGCCATCGGGATTACGAAGCTAGGTGCTCCAAGCCCGGACATCGTTCTGGTTGTACACTCTACTGGCACACATTAATTTTGTGGTTGTCAATCACAGTCCAACCTCAATCACACGTTAACATCGTTCTAATGCGAGATGTGTTCAGATGTCTGTCTGCATAGCATCCAGCTGGCGCTTGACTTCTCTGGCTCATGGTGTTCAAACACTGGAAGAATGATCACGGACTTTATTATGGAGACTTTTCTGCCCAACACACTGGTTCAAATCGCTATCCCGGATGTCAAATAAAGAAGAAAATGGTCCTTGTCCGGCCAAAGAGGCCTGTGCTGCGTAATCAGGGGGTTGATATGGGCCGCTGGCGCTAATCATGCCAGGTTTGGTCTTGATGGTGCGGCATCATCACGTCTCAGACAGGCCCAAAAAGGGCGAGCAAGGGGTTCGCCATGCCAAGACTAAACAAAGGCTCCACCAGATTGATGTGTTGCAGGGGAATCCTAGACGACTTTGGCAATCAAAAGACCCTCGTAGCGAGCTTTCGCGACGCGAACGTCAAACGTGCAGGGCAAGGTTTCCCGTCCCAGCAAGGGTCCGGGCTTATGCTGAAGGACCAGAGGATTCACAGAGTAGATATTCGACGATGCCCAGATTGAGCAGACTTTGACTTGTATTGTACTCTTCAGCGCTGGCCCGCATTCTCTTCTACCAGCGGCAATTGATTTGCAACTCTTTCTAATTAGTGTCGACGCGTAAATATTCGGACAAAGTCCATTTCGTCAAACACTCTGTCTGCGGCACTTTGACACGAGCGCAAGGATGGATCAAAAACATTCGCCATACGAAACTGTGCCGATCACAGACGACCGTGACCATGAAGAGTCGCTCTCCATGACCGAGGTCGATGAGTCGCTCATGGGGGATGAGAAGCCTTGGGCGCAACAAGGGGGCAGGCGATCACGAGAAACGAAATCGTGGCTGGCGGCGTTTCGGTCGCACCGGTGGCTGATTGACACGTCTCTCTTGGTTGTAATTTTGGTTCTTGTACTCCTGCTACACCGAGAAAGGAGGAAAGATCCGTCCACGACACCACAGCAAGTCGGAGGCGATTTCGGTGGCAACGGCCCTCAATGTTGGTCGACTATGGGATTCAACGACCAGTCTGGGGGGTGAACACGCTGACATTAGGGACACAGTTGCGACGCAAGTCGTCAAGTTCGAATCCGATATGTCATTTACGCCCATGAACACGACCGAGTGGTTCTCAAACGACACACTTGCTCGTTGGAATACTATTATGCCTGGTAAGTTCTGTCCGCCAAGGCTTAGAGTGTGAGACTGATCTCCCAATAGCTGGCACTGGCTGGGGATCCTCCGAAGGAACCTTCTTCACCACATCCATGACCCATCAGTTGCACTGTGTAGTAAGTGGAATACAATGAGACGCTTCCTACCGAAAGGAAGATTGCTGACCGACGGCGGGCAATAGTTCATGATGGGCCGGATCTACTCTGGAGTCAAAGCGGGCATGGCCGACAATCTCCCAGATGACTACCACTTCCATTTCATGCACTGCATTGACTACCTCCGCCAAGGCATCATGTGCACCGGGGACCTGGCTCTTGAGCCGCATGAGCCCAACGAGTCGGAGCAAAGCGGCGGCTTGGACGGGGGGTGGAATGGACATCATGGTATGTTATTTTCACATACGATGTAGCTCCACGGCAACTAACGGCAGAGCAGTGTGCAAGGACTACAGTCAGGTCATCAAGTACCTAGAGAGTGAGTCAATTGGCCCCGTGCATCCCCAACCTATGATTTCGATGCTGATTTATCTTAGAGGAGATCACCAGCGGCGTTCGAGTGGTGTTGGACATAGACGACTAGTCATGTATTGCAGAATACTATTGCCAGATCTATCCGCGACAGTCCCCAGTGCATCTGACTTGCGGTCCAATGCGGGATGCATCTGGCATGCGAGGCACATAGCCGAGAGCGAGCTAAGTTGAAGCGTGCAGTCGTTCCCAAAGACCATTACCACCATATGTAGGTGACGGCTCAACTGTGCTAGCTCTAGCCCTTGGTATGTATGTAAGGTGTGAAGAGAGCGAGTCATTCTTCACGAGCTGCTTAAATGGCCAACTTTGAAAATGCCGCTACATCCGAAGATATCTCCGGCGACCCACACTTTTCCACCGCGAAAACGGAGTTAGGCGGTCTTTTCTTCCAGGATCTGTCCGTCTCGGCCGTGTCTCTCTGGGAGAATACTTGCCTGGAATCATTCGCACCCCGAGAAACATTTATCCAACTGCTCCTTTTCAACCTTGATGTTCCATTCTACACCGAGTCCTACGGCCGAGACGTCTGTTCCCGAAACATGACAGCAGAGAGAGAACCCCGCCGCCGGCGTCGCCCAGCGCTCTCATGCGTGGAATGCCGGCGCCGCAAGATCAAGTGTGACCGCGATGACCCGTGCGGGCACTGCAAGACATCCAGGATTCACTGCGTCTACAACATCTACGGCAACACCAACCCAGTCGGCAACGTGCAGCCATCCTATGGCTCTTCTGGGCCCTCGCCGCCAAGTCCCTCCGCTAGAACAGCACATCCATCCTCTGCTGATCTAGCCTCAGGAAGAGCTGTGTCGGAGCAAGCAGGACGTACTTTGACTCATGATGGACCCGTAGTGCCACAACTGGGCACCATTGGTACGCCGTTATCAGTTTATGATAATTCAAACCAAGCCCGGTCGGGTAGCGACTGGGGAGCGCATAGTGATGTTCACAGCCTCATTCAGCGCGTACAGAAGCTTGAAGAATCGGCTGCGAGTAGTCCCGCCTCGAAGGCTCAAGATATTGGACATAGACAGGATGCTCTCACCTCACCAATCACGCTACAGGAGGCACAAATCACGTTGAACAAGACAAGAATCCTTGGCTGGAGCAGATGGGCTGCTGAGACGACTGTGGTAAGTCCGCGCTTGATTTATTGCATCTCCTCGGTTCGCTAACCTCCAGCGACCAAGTTTTCGACGATTCTTGATTTGTTTCACATCTTTACCGGAACTGATGCCGTTGCTGTAAGCGGACATGTATCGCACGACGACTCTTTCAGGGATCCCAGCCTCGAGCCTATCGTTGCCGACCTTACCAACTTGTACCAGAGATGCAAGTCCTTGGCCAAGAGTACCAAAGTGGGTAGACCAAGTCGGACCCTGAGGGATCCAGACTCTTGTTTGGCTCCCCCATCTCGCGAATGGGCCGACAACATGGCAAATCTATACTTCAAATACTTCGAATCGACATATCGCATCCTTCACGTGCCCAGTTTCTGGGAGGAGTACCATCGATACTGGGAGGATCCCGGCCATGCCAAGGCGGGCACCCGCCTCAAGGTCTTGCTGGTCATTGTCATCGGATCCAGTTTGCGAGAGCATGGAGCCGAGGAATTACAGATTACCAATAGAGTGCACCGGTGGATCTACACTGCGCAATCGTGGCTTTCTGGACCGCTCGAAAAAGATCGCTTGGACCTTACAGGCATTCAAGTGTTCTGTCTGACAATTCTTGCCCGCCAGATCTTTTCCATCGGAGGAGATCTGGTCTGGATGTCCATGGGTGATCTGATCCACCGTGGCATGAGGATAGGTCTGCATCGTGACCCCAAATTCCTTCCACCAATGCCTACACTGCAAGCCGAGATGCGACGGAGGCTCTGGGCCACCATACTAGAACTAACACTGCAGTCCTCCATGGACGCCTCGATGCCCCCGAGGATATCTTTTGAGGAATTCGATACTGAGCCGCCTTCAAACAGTAACGATGACGAGATGGACGAAACCACGACAGACCTGGCACCCCATCCTAGATCGACGTACACGTCTGCCTCAATGCAGCTGATTCTAGTCGACTCTCTACGTGCGAGGCTACGGGTTGCACAGCTGATCAATGGTCTGACTCATGAAATCTCTTACACGGATGTGCTAGCTCTGAGTTCTGAAGTTATGGACGCTTGCGGCGCCTGCGGGGACTTTTTGAGAAAACAAGGCGATGTCATGATCACTGCCTTCCACAGAAACTTCCTGGACTACCTGCTCAGGAGATGCTTGGCTTTAGTTCATTGCCCTTTTGCCTTTCAGGCAAAGAGCAACCCGCTTTATTGTTTTTCTCGAAAGACATTTGTTGACGTGGCCATGACCATTGTCTCTCCCGAGCCAGACGACGCGTTTGCGCACCTACTGCTCATTGGCGGCGGGCTGTTCCGCGAAGGTATCCGCTACGCGACTACTGCCATCAGCCTCGAGCTGATCGACATGGTCAACTCCCAGAAGAGGGACGGGACTCTGGCACGGCACTACCGAACCCGGGAGGTCCTCAAGCAGACGATCCGAGATATGATCGAACTGTCTGCGGATCGCATCCGCCGCGGAGAGACCAACACCAAGATGCACACCTACTTGAGTGCAATTCTGGGCCAGGTCGAGGCCATCGAGACTGATGGACCTGTTGAATATACTATTGCGAAGGCTGCCAGGGACAGTATGGAGTTCTGCTGCAATCTAGTGGAGGAGCGAGTTGGAAGCATCGCTCTCTCTGGCCTTGCCGACATTGATACTGGCATGTCGGTCGATGGCAGTGGAGATGGGTTTGACTGGGATTTCGATTTCGAGATGAACTTTGGGTTGATGGATGATGGCTTTACTTTTGGCTAGTGACCGCAAATCTTGCTTTTATAGAAAGGCTAGATAATGGAAATATTAGGCCAAAGATTAATATGTGAAGCTACAGTGTTAGCTAAAGTGGTTGGATAGATAGAAGACCGAGAACAAAGCGGTCCAGATGATTCAGGAAGGGAAGAGTCCAGGTGCCTTCTAAATTCAATTTAACCTATAGCCTAGTTTCAGAACCCTTCTGATTGCCAAGTACACTCCTATCGTGCACGCCAGCAGACTGACTAGTCTTCCCAAGCAGCCCTCTCGTTCATCGGAGATTGCTCACCCCGTGGGCCAGCATCTTCACCTGGCGTTGAACCATAGCTTCGGGGGACAGTTTCAACACTCTCTTCCTCAACCTCGGGAACGGCAGGCAGTAGAGGTCGTCTCGATTCGCGGCCTGCATCCCTCGTATCGTCTCTGCCAGCTGTCCTCCAAGCTGTCCACCAGCTCGCCCCGTCACGCATGAGAAGCAGCCCAATCACCTACAGGACGGCCATAGGTTAGCACGGAACGATAGCGCATGAAGCATCTCAGACCTGCGCGCTATTCTTTACACACCTGCAATAAGCCCACGGCAATGGCCACGGCAAAGTCTGCTCCCGAGGAGCTGCGCAACGCGGCTGTCCAAGGTTTTCTGCAGGCCTCGGTCCTTCCGAACATCTCCGCACACTGACTCCCAGGTCCGGAACGGAAGGGATAGGCGCGGTCTTTGACCGAATTGAAGCCGCAGCAGTTCATCATATCCTGAATACGCCGGATGCGTGTATCGTCATGATTGCGGTACATACGCATCCAGTCATTCTCCAGCACACAGTTGAGCGCGGGTGAGGGAATGATCCCCTCGAACAACAAAGTGGCTAGGATAGTCGTGAGGAGGGCCTGGAGTGTTTGCAGTACTAAAGGTGCAAGCCGTCGGAGGCGGGAAGATGTGGGAGCATGGGCGACACGTAGCAGCGATGGATGGATGTAGGCGTTGAGGAAGCCGAGGATAGGGAGGAGAGTGGCCAGAATAGAGATGACCGGGGAGAGTGGTAGAGAGAGGCTTGAGGAGTGGAAGTGAACTACTCTATTTTGGGAGGACGAGATGTTTTTTGTCAGCTTCGGTCCCTGATAGAACTTCGGTCCAAGGACACTTACGCAGCGACCCCAAAGAGGACCATGCTGACCTATCACCACAGTGAGCTTCCAGAGGGCCTCCTGAACGAGTGTTCCTTTGACACTTACCAGCAAGTACACCAATGCCGGGCTAAAAGATACCATGTTGTCTTAGCGAATAGCCGAGATCTTTTGCATTCAATGAGGTGAATGAGTATTTCGAGAGAAGCATAAAGGCTCGGATGTGGAAGAACGAAGGTGTCGGCATGCGGGGTTGTATGAAGGAGGAAATGTTAAGAGATGCAGCTTCGTCATTGGCCAAGACTAGGACAGCACTTTCGAACTAATCATTGGATGGAATCAGGTACTCCCTGCTGCACAGTGACGCTCTCGACCGTCATGGCAGACCGCCTGACCTACGCTGCAATTTATATCCCTGGATACGATTTTGCGCTTGGGGACACAGGGGGGGCACCCGCGTTAAAAGCATCCGACTGGCCTAGAAGCCCCTGTGATGACAACTGTCGATTTGATTGGCTAAGAATCGACAATTCATGACAAGAGGCGAGGTCGTTCTGAGACTTCAACAATTACTATGCGACCAACTTGATGAGCAACCCATTTGAGATTGTGCAAAGGTAGTGGTTCATGCTGTCAGATTATAGCAACAAGCCTAGTGACCTAAAGCACCCGGGAAAAGAGATCTAAGCAATACGGAAATTCCCGTCTCATCGCTCGCTAATTGGCATCTTGAAATCAAAGAGCTAGAACAGATATAAGTGAATGTATCAAGAACAACTTGCAGCATCCTGTTTGTGATTGACAAATTTGGACGTACCAGCTAGACAGTGGCCTATGCTTGATGTGAACGCCTTTCGCATTCCTTCTTGAGTGCTTCGTTAAATGTGGCCCAGTTCTCCATCGGCTGATCTTTCCTAATGAACGGCCGGAATAGGTACGTTAAAGGACCCCAGAACTCCTCCCGTTGCACAAATGTGGTAGTGGAAGGGTCGTTTTTGTTGTGAGCGAAGTCAAATGTGTGCCTCCCCGTGAACAACCCATAGAGTGAGCCGTCCCAGATGAAATGCTCAGGGCGGTTATCCTAAGCGGGTTGTTAGACTCTGCTCCGAACAGCTGGACGCCTTGACTCACAACCACAGAAGGATGAAAGGTCATGCCATGCATAGAGACCCTGAGGCGGTCTGATGCTTGTAGATCCAAAGGATTCTTGCCAGACTCAACAGGCCTGATATTCCACCCTTGTTGCCATTGGCTGTACCCGGCGAAGTCCATGAACTACGAGAAAAGAAATGTGTAAGCGGAGCATTCGACGGGAAACAGTCGAACAGCATAGACATGCTTACTACTTGCCGAACAAGTGCCGGCGAGGCCAGAATGTCAATCTGCGCAGAGATCGTGATAGGAGCCATCTTGGCGAGGTCTCTTTTGGCTGGCAATGTATCTTTTTCAAAACGGTCTGCTATGTGTTCGTGCTGGACGGTGATGTATGGTAGGTGTGGGATTGCTTGTTGGCCCGTCTAGAATGCGGCGGGCTACCTCATTATATACTCCATGGTGACCTCGCGGCAGCAGCGACTTTCGCTCGGGATGGACTCTCTGCGACGAGCGGCCCTCGACTCGAGAGCCCCGAGAGCTGGGCGCGTGGTCGACCGTCGGGTTCCCGAGGCTTGGCAGCCCGTTCCGGCCGGGTGCGAAAGCGCCCGAACTGGAGTGACAGCCAGCTGTCAGCAGCTGAGGCTACCCCCACATTTTCTCGCTTTCCTGCTCGCGTTTTTCTCGGCCAACTCTCGCCTGGACACTCACTCACTAAAGCAACGAGAAGCGCGAGAATGATGCAGCCGCACAAAGCTTGTTATTAGCTTAAAACCTAGGCAGTCAGCTGTGGTTCAATTGGGGTCTGTAGTCTGTCTGGTCTGGTGCGCGTGAACCGCGGCCCGCCTAGAATTCGGAGGCGACATGTACCCGTCCGGGGCGCAAACCCTCCGTTTCTGCGCCGTCAACGCGTTGACGTCGACACTTGGCGCCCGACCAGTTCGGGACTTGTCATGAATCTTTATGTTCGCCATGCGGACTTGGAATATATAAATCAATCTTTTCTTCTCCATCCAAGATTCTCAATTCGGCCATTCACCCAGAACATCAAGAGGAAGAAACACAAACGCAACACATCACAACTTACCAACCAACTCACGCACCGATTGCCCGGCACAGACCATAGACACCCTCACGAACATTGAACTTGACCTCATCACAACCACCACACACCAGCTTCAACATGTCTTCCAGCACTACCGCATTCTTTGGCGCTAGCGCCGGCGTGGGCCTCTCGGCCCTCAAGCACGCCCTTGCCGCCGGCAAGAACTGTGTCGCCCTCTGCCGCACCCCTTCCAAGCTCAGCAGTGTCTTCCCCGAAGAGCCCAGGTTGCAGATCATCCAGGGCAACGCGCACGACGTCGATGCCGTCAAGCGCTGCATCGTCAAGCCCGACGGCGCCCTCATGGACGAGATCGTCTCCACCATCGGCGGCAAGCCCGTCCTCTCCAAGCTGTCCATTGACGACCCGGAGGTCTGCCGCAAGGGCATGGCCACCCTCCTCGACGCCCTGGCCCAGGCCCGCGCCGGCGGCGCCACGGGGCGGCCCCTCATCGTCGTCTGCAGCACCACAGGCATGTCGCGCTTCGGCCGCGACATCCCCTACGCCATGTACCCGCTCTACCACATCGCGCTCAAGGTGCCGCACGAGGACAAGCGCATCATGGAGGACCGCCTGGTCGAGAGCGGCGAGGAGTTTGCCATTGTCCGCCCGAGCCTGCTGGCCGACGGCGAGACCGACAAGGTCGTCAGGACGGGTATCGAGGACCCCAAGACGGGCCGCGAGTCCAACGCCATCGGCTACACCATTACGAGGCAGGACGCCGGCAAGTGGATCGCCCAGAACTTGTTGCTCAAGCGCGAGGCCAGGCACATCAACAAGATCACCATGATCACGACCTGAGGCGGACCCACGCGAGAGGATGCCGATGTCGATGATTTTTCCAAATTATAGAGCGAGCCAGGAGTTGTGACTGGGTTTCTGTTAATAGATCTTGTCGAATTTTGTTGCTGATAAGCTTTCCCTAGGGAGAATTTGAATCAATAAATAATTGGAATACCCACTGAAGTTTATTTCTCCTCTTCCGTGAGATCTGATACTGCACAGCTTGATAGAACAACACACGGGTCTGAGAGCGTCAGGCTAAACAGATTCAGGCACTAGACAGATACCGGTTGCCCAGACCTTTATTCCTTCGTCGGACGAATCTTCAGCCGCTATCATCCTATCTAGCTTCCAGCAGTCTATTGGTTGGTGTGTATTGATTCGAGTGAGAATGAGCGGTTCACATGAGGTGAGATTCTAGAATTGGTGCTGTTGGGCAGCTTTTGGAAAAGCGGGTCATTCCGAGGCCGATTTAATTCTCGTCGTCAGCCCGAGGACTGGGCTTACCACCTTAACGTTGTGCACGTCCAGGCAGCAGTCCGGACCATCAGGTATTCTCGGCGGTATCGGCCCTTTCGAAAGAGTGGACAGCATCTTTGGCCGCCAGCGTACACATAACTTCTCGCACGTATCCGCGCGCGCAACGTCGACTCTCAAAAAAGGTGGTGGGGTAGGTTACCCGCCGCTCGCCTGCTCCTCGGCCATCATGTCCGAGAATGTCGCGACGCCAACCGCCGCACCACCGGCCGCGCCGGCGGCCGCGCAACCGGCCAAGAAGCTGCGTAGCTGCGTGGTCTGCCGTCATCGCAAGGTCCGCTGCGACAAGCAGTCGCCATGCTCCAACTGCCGCCGCGCCGGCATTGCCTGCACCGTGCCCTCCAATGACCGCCCGCCCAGGTGGGCGCGCCGGCTCGAGCGCCTCACAGACAGCAGTGCCACGGCGTCTCCCGTGGCAGCCCCAGAAGTGCCCGATCCCGGAGCCACCCAGGTGCTGGATAGGCTGCGAACCCTCGAAAGCCTGGTCAAGGAGCTGAGCGGCCAGCTCGAGCAGGCGAATGCCGCGGGCGGATCGTCTAACGCCAACTCGCCTGGAAGTGCCGCTCAGGAGCAAGGTGCCGCCCGGACGACAGGCAGTACACCGTCGAGCACGAGCGGAGCTGCCATGCAGAAGCATTTCGGCAGGCTCATCCTTAAGGACCAGGCACAGAGCCGCTATGTCAGCAGCGGCTTCTGGTCTCGGGTGAGCGACGAGGTTAGCTCTCCCAATTGGAAGAACTCATCAAGTCACGCGTATTAACACTGGTGTAGCTTGATGGATTGAAACAGAGCACGCAAGAACTCGCCGACAGCGATTCTGATGATTCATCCGATGACTCTCCCGGTACTACACCCTCGACACGGGAGCACAACCGGGCGCCGTCAGACCGCTCTGCCTTCCTCTTTCACCACAACCTCAGCAATACCGGCGGCAAGGGGCCAGACTTGCGCCAGTTCCGTCCACTACCCTCACAGATTCCATTTCTCCTCAATACGTTCTCTGAGAATGTGAATTTTATCTTGCAGATCATGCATATGCCAACAGTACACAAAATGGTGCGCGAGGTCCGGGGAGATGCCTCAACGCTCAGCCCATCTAGCGAGGCTGTGCTGTTCTCAACCTACTACGCAGCAGTTGTGTCCATGGATGATGAAGACGTAAGTAGTTTCTGGACTTGCTCAACACAATAGGCCACGCCAGACAAGAGACTAATCGGATTGATCTCCATCAATCAGGTCACCACAAACTTTGGCTCTGCAAAAGCTGATCTCGCCCTCAAATTCCGTCTTGGCCTCGAGAATGCCTTGGCCGCGGCCAACTTCCTCATTACGCCCAACATTCTGCTAGTCCAAGCTTTCACAACCTTCCTCTTCCTCGTTCGCCTCCAAGACAGCCCCAAATTTGTGTGGATGATGACTGGTCTCGCCATCAGGATGGCCCAGAGCCTCGGGCTGCAACGCGATGGTTCTCACTTTCCCAACCTGCCTCCCTTCGAGGTCGAAACAAGGCGCAGGGTTTGGGCAGCGTTATGTCTTCTCGACATCCGTGCGTCGGAGAATCAGGGCTCAGACCTGACCATCTCCCTGAATAGTTTTGACACGCAGCTCCCTCTGAACATCAATGACGATGACATCAGTCCCGATACCAAAGAGACGCCGAAAGAGCGAGACGGCCTTACTGACATGTCATTCCCCATCATCACCTACGAACTTTGCCACGCCACCCTGCAGATGATGGGCCCAGGCGGCGTGCGCGGCGGCGGCGGACCGAGCCTAGACGAACAGAGCCAGATGCTGGACGCACATTTCGAGAGGTTCAAGCGGGGCTATCTTCGCTACACGGACCAGACCGACAATATCGCATACTGGGTCGCTTCCACGTCCGTCCGCCTCGTTGTCGGTAAGATGACGCTGCTAATCTACCTCCCGGCGCTCTTCTCCTCGCCCAACGAGCACTTCTCTGATGAGATCCGGAACAAGCTGCTCGTCGCCGCAATCGAGGTGGCCGAGTACAACCACACCTTGAATACCGAACCGCGTGCCCGCCAGTGGCGCTGGATCTACCAGACCTACGCCCACTGGTACGCAATCGTGTATATGCTCCTCGAGATCGCCAGGCGTCCGTGGTCACCTGTCGTGGAGCGGGCCTGGACTGCCCTCCAGAGTAGCTGGCTGTTCCCAGACCAGCACAAGATGGACAAGAGCTTACCTATCTGGGTACCGCTACGGAGGTTGATGGCAAAGGCGCGCAAGCACCGTCGAGACCAGCTCGAAAGGCTTAGAGGAGATCCAAGCGCGGTGCAGGAGTTGGAGTTGAAAGATCGGGACGTCCCTGCTCCAGGCAGCACGGGACCTTTTCCTGAAGGCAAGGCTGTCGAGGGATTCCTTGAGCACTGGCGAAGCCTCGTCAAAGAACCACCGTCGCAGCCTGTCGCGCGCCAGGAGTCTGCCGACAAGTCCACCTCGCAGCAACCAAGTCCGCCACCGGCGGCCGCGAGTATACCCCAACCATACACACCTTTCTCGACCAGCCAGCAAGGCGCGTGGGGCGCTCCGAATATGGGCTTTGGCGCAGCCTCACAGGTGACCAACCCTGCTTTCGCAGCGGGTATGACCTCCCAGCTCGGGGTGCCACCAACAGGATCCGACTGGATGGGCTTCGGGTCTTGGCTCTTTGGCGATCCCCATCAGACGGCCGACGTCTTTACCGACGTGGATGTGGATATGACTCTGGATGACGGAAGTATGAACTGGAACAACTGGCTCGAGTCCGCCGCCGTTACGGAGCTCGAGATGGCCTCTCAAAGCCATGCAGGATGGGCTCCCATGCCGCCTGACCAGGGCTTCTGAGATCGGTGGGTTTCCAGGCCAGTTAGTTTGTGAATTTTCACATCTACTTTCCTAGTTCGAATGTAGTACCTACGTATGAAGTGATAGGATACACTAATTGGGCTGCAACATTAGCATTGACTCCTAGGCAAATCTGTGGTCGTAACCGGGAATCTCCACTGCCGTATTTTACAGCACACCATTGGTTGGAGGAAACTGGGCCCCGTACTCAGAAACGTCTTATTGGTTGCCAAACCCCCATCACTGATCCCAATACGGTCTCCCGCACTCTACACAATGCGATTGGTCACTGCTGTTCAACCAGGATTGTTCAGCTATCTGCCAAGATGCTCTTGTGATGTATGGAGAAAAAGAAGGCAGTGATGGGAATTGATGGAGTCTAGAGCTCCTATATATCTTTTGCATCCCACAAGAGATCTGACTCTGTGCTGTGGTCTTTATCTCATCATAGCAGCTTCGTCATTCTCTCCAAACCTTCTGCCTCATCCTACAAGCGCTTCGACTGCAAATCCCTGAATCACATGTCCATTTAGAATGGCGGTCCTTGAACCTTACAAGGGCAAATACTTCCTGTGGAAGTATCTACCTTCTATTCCGGCTGCGGGAGTGTTCTGCGGATTGTTTGCCATTATCACCGTTTTGAACTGCTGGAGGGTCGGGAGAACCGGAACTTGGTCCTTTATTCCCTTCATCATCGGCGGATTCAGTAAGGCTTTCTCGTTGTTGTTATTGGGTGTGCTAATTCGCTGATATTTTCTCGATAAGTGGAATGTATCGGTTATGCAACTCGAGCAGTCGCTTACAACCAGACCGGCAAACTCGTGCCCTTTGCCCTCCAAAATTCGATGATCCTCCTCGCGCCCGTCCTCCTCGCCGCGACCATCTACGCCACCCTCGGACGAGTCATCAGCGGTGTCAATGCAGATAAATACGCGATTGTCAGACCGCGGTGGATCACGAGACTGTTCGTGACCGGGGACATTCTGTCTCTGCTCGTCCAGGGAAGTGCCGCGGGTCTGATGCTCATGGAAGGCCGCATGAAGACGGGCCAGAACATTGTCATACTCGGCCTGGTGATACAGATCCTGCTCTTTGGACTCTTTTGTCTCACGGCCGCGCTCTTCCATGTGAGGATGCGTCGGTGTCCGACGGAAGGGCACCGATCCGGTGGAGAGGAGTGGGAACGACAAATCTATCGACTGTACGGCGTCAGCGCCCTGGTCATGTTCCGGTCTGTATTCAGACTGGTCGAGTTCATCATGGGCTACAATGCGTATCTGCTTACTCACGAGTGGCCGCTCTATGTCTTTGACTCGGCCCCTATGTTGGCCGTAATGATCATATTTTGGTTTGCCCTCCCTGGGACTGTGTGGATGAGGAGACCTGGCAGCAAGGACTCGGTCACTTCACTGAGCGTGCTCAATGGTAGAACCAGAGCAACAAAGGGCTCGGGTATTACTGGTTCGAAAGCGGCTGGATCTGTGTAAATGCCACGTTCTTGTTTCAAGATTTTGTTAGGAGGGGCCGATAGAGATTGTTTACAGCCTTTCTTTCAAGATTTATTGGCCCGTAGAAGATGGACGTTAAACCCTGGAGCCGGCAGTAGTTCGGTACATATTTCTAAGGAATAGACAAATGGGGTTCCAGTACGAGATTGTGAAAGTTTTGCCACTTAACCAACATGCTATCCAGCACTCAAGCAAGGGAACGGACTGGAGAAGCAATATAGAGCCAAGAGAAAGAGAAATGGTATCTATTACTTTGTACAGACCTGGCCGTTGGGGTTTCGGAAGGGAAAAAGTGGAGGTGGGCTTGATTCAAGGCGGACGCGTCCACACAGGGATCATCCCATTTTAGTGCTTGCTTCTATATTTCGTGACGTTCAGCATCTTCGAGATTGAATTCACCATCGCCCTTTCTGAACCGATCTGAGAGGCGCGAGTATCGGAGGGAATCGCGTAATGCTTCGATAGGGCGCCCGACATGGCCCGCAAGCGGCACACGAAATCCAGATACGGATGTAAGGAGTGCAAGCAGCGTCACCTCAAATGCGATGAGGGGCGGCCCTCCTGTGGGAGATGCCTCGCTCTCGAGCGGCGCTGCTCCTTTTTCGACATTCACACTGGATTCGCACCAGCCCCTCGAGCCGCAACATCCATCTCCGGCTCCTCGTCTACTCCGGCTGCACCTCCCGCTCCATCGCCGGCCTCTGTCCAGGGGTCGACATCAGGTCGCGCGGACGATCTCAATGTGGAACGGTACAGCCTAGTCCACCTTGAGCTGTTGCATCACCCCGAGACACACTATGGCAGCCTCTTTGGCGATGCCGTGGAGGAAGCGAGACTGATGGTTGATCTGATCCGTCAGGAGGCGCTGGCCGTGCCGTACCTGATGGACGAATTCCTCGCTCTCGCTGCGGCGCACAAGAGTACCCTCGTACCCGCCGATCGGAAGGCTTTCTACCACACTGAGGCCACCCGGCTGCAGAACCGTGCCCTGTCCCAGGTCGACCTGAGCAACCTGGATGCTCTTGACCAAAATCCCATGGCAGTCTTTCTTTTCGCATCCCTGCTGAGTCAACATGTCATGTTTGACATTTTGTCCGCCCGCGACAAGGGTGGCAATGACCTCCTCGACAATTTGGTCCACTGCTTCGGGCTTCATCGCGGAGTTCGCCTCGTCGCCGGCCGCGCATGGCCGCAGGTCGAAGCCCGGATGCTGCCGATACTGATGGGCAGGCACCAGTTAGGCCTGGGCAACCTCAGTGTCATCGGGCCTGGCGATGAGTGCGACGGTCTGAAGAAACTCATCGATAGCAGGCCTCTGAGTGAAGATGCTAGTAAGGCTTGTCGCGAGGCTGTCGAAATTCTGCAGAAACTCTTCGACGAGCAAAGGACCGCCGTATCGTCCGGGACACGGCATGTCACGGTGGTGCAAGGATGGCCAGTCAGGATACCAACCTATTACGTCGAGCTTGTCGACCAACGCGTGCCCGAATCTCTCGTCATACTTGCGTATTACGGAGTGCTCCTTCATCGAGCCAGGGACTATTGGGCAATAGGAGATACAGGGACTCGCCTCGTCCAGTGTATTAGTAACATACTTGGAGGGTACTGGGCGAGGTGGTTGGGGTGGCCGAGGCAGATCCTAGATGTCGATGCACCAACTGAATTGGCACGTCAATAAGGACACGCCTCCAGTGATGCTCGATCTTGCTTTTCATGTTGGCCAGGTACCCCGAATGTCAAATTTCTTGAACTGAACGTCGACATCGGCAGCTCTAAGACAATTAGAGTCAAGTTTCCAGTCAAAAGGATATCTATGAGGAGTGACTGGGCTGATCGCACAGGCAGCTTGAAAGATGTATGGTACCATGCTTCGCCAACGGTGATCGATTCGTTCGTATTTTAGACATGAACAAGTGAAGAGCACGAGGGCAAAGTATGGTAGCGACGGTGAGAAAATTTGGGAACCTATTGATGTCTGATATTAACCAGGTATATTGCGGATAGACAATCTCACCTGGAACGGATGCATAGAAATTGTCTGATGCGCTTCCATTCGAAAGCACAAACGATATCAATATCTTGATAGTTGCCAGCGGCTTCACCAGAAGGTCATAGGATGAGGAAGTTCCGGGGGTGGTCGTTTTGAATATCTCAGAACGAGGCAAAACTTGGCAAATTTTGCTCCATGGATGGCAGCATCTTTACAAAGGAGTATCCTACTGGTCATGTAATCTGCAGAGAAGTGGGAGTCCCGCGCGTGACGTCTCCGGATAAATTCCAACCTACGCAAGCTCGGTAGATGGGGCAAAGAATGGGATAATTAGCTCCGTTATTTCTTGACCTGGTACACAATGGTGGTCTTGCGGCTTATATACAGGAGGTTTCCCGTGCCAAGACCGCTCCTCTTCATTTTCTCCACTGAGCCAAGTCCTTATGCCAAGATGAAGACCAATAGCCTCGCCCTCGCTGTCGTGAGCAGCCTCATCGGGCCTTGCAAGGCCGCTCTGCGTTTTGGGTGCTCGTCGCTGAGCGTCCAGCGCCTTGACCCCGTCGTCCAGCCGGGGATGATGCCGTCGTCCCACGTTCACCAAATTGTTGGCGGCAATGCTTTCAACGCTACTATGAACTCAGCAGTTGAGTTACCGGCTAAACTTGCTACCTGCACGACTTGCTTCTTTGCCGAGGACTTTTCCAACTATTGGACGGCTGTCATGTACTTCAAGCACCGCAACGGGACCTACCACCGTGTACCTCAGTACGCCAATGCAATGTTGGAGGGATCGACGCAAGGCATGACGATCTATTACACCCAGCAAGACTTCAACTCGAACGGAAACCAGAAGATCACCGCTTTCAAACCAGTAAGTCTCCAAACTTGCCTCAATCGGCACACGCTTTGTTTCAAGTGCTCATTCCTTTCCAGGGCTTCCGCATGACTGTGGGTTCACCCACCGCCACCAACACGGCCACTGGTCTTCGATATGTCTGCCTTCAGAACTCCCTCACGCGGTTCCCCGAGCTACCCGAGTGGCCAAAACAGCCCTGCAGGGGTGGCATCATGACGGTTCATCACTTTCCAGCGTACGTGGTTGCAAAAGCTTTTCCCTACACCAAAGTGCACTCCTGACTGAATGCTCTTCCAGCTGCTGGGATGGAAAGAATCTCGACAGCCCAGACCATCAGTCTCATATGTACGCGACCACGAGAGACGCCTTCGCCCCGGCAGGGCCTTGTCCGGCATCCCACCCGGTCCGCATGCCGCAGGTCGCCTACGAGACACTCTGGAACACAACCATGTTCAACGACAAGTCCATGTGGCCTGAAGACGGTTCCCAGCCCTTCGTCTGGAGCTTTGGCGGCTCTGCAACTGGAGCCGGCACCCATGCCGACTACCTGTTTGGCTGGAAGGACGACACCCTGCAGCGCGCCATGGACTCGAGCTGCATGTTTGATGCCTGTGGTCAGAGTGTGCTCAAGACGCAGACACCAGCACAGATGAACGCATGCAAGCTCAAGAGTACTGTCAATGAGAACGTCGATGGCTGTGAGTGAGGCCCGTGAATCCCTACATAGAACGGTTACTGACGATTTTGAAACAGGGCTCACCGCTCTTCCGGGTCAAGGTATGCCAATGTGAAAGCTTTGAAGACTTTGATGAAAGTTGATACATGTACCTGCTCGTATATAAAGCTTTGATTATCATTTCTGGTCTTGATCCTTATCGTCATTCATTTGCTAGCTCGGTAACTTTCTGGATGATACGGAAGTGAATTAAGATTATGATAACAATTATGCAATCATCGTCAAATGCCATGATTTATGTCATAATTTCTCATGACGAGACAAATGTGTGCAATAGACTTTACTAAGAAAATATTTGTGATGCCAAAGTTCCTATTTAACTAAATACTTTTGGCCATGCTGCCCTCATATCCGGTACTTACTGGTGGACGGACTTGGGGATTAGATATTATTGGTCAGGAACACAACATTGACTGCTGCAAACCTAGAGCTTATTATCAGAATGACAGATGGTTGATAATTCGAGCGAATACTTACGCCGCAGTCGCCGCAAATATCTCTACCTTCCTAGCCTTGGTCACCGAGACCAGCGCAAGTGCAAAAGTCGCACAGAATACAACAGTAAGCCCAAGGCGTATGCCGTTGGATTTCACATAGTAGAGAGCGACGACGGAGAATATGGGTAGAACCGAGGCAATGACAGTCGAGATCCCGTAGACAGCGGCAGCAAGACGACTATCGTCATAGGTAAAAAGATCTGGCTCGGAGGGATTTGGTGTCTAGTGACCAGAGCCATTAGAATCAAGAATGTAAGTAAACACCACTTAATAAGCTGACCTTGACCCGTTCGCCAATCACACGATGGTAGAGTGGTATGACCTTCTCCAGTACAATCCTCGTCAAAGGATCTGTACATCCAGTAGCCTGAATAGATAACAAATCTTTCTCATGAATGCTGTCCCAAGCTACTCTATCGAGACCTAGTAGAGGGAAGTTTCCCATCTGTGGTCTCTCAAACCAGCTCCGGAGGAAGTTCACGTTCTGTTGGCTCGGAGTGTGAAGCCGAGCTAGCTGCGCTTGTTTCAAGACTGCATCGTCTGCATGTAGTCGACCATGAAAACATCAGCTGTTGGAACTAGCTATTTAAAGCAAGAGAAACTCACTATACAAGGATAACATCTCTCGTAGCTGCAGTATCTTTGCCCACTGATCACGGTCTCCTTTCCCCTCTCCATTCGCTAATGACCACCAATCCTTGCTGTGATAAGGTCGACCAGGATGGGCACGATCTCTTAGTGTTAGATCCGTGAGCTCTTCCTCAAGATGAAGGACCTCGGCTTGCAAATACAGAACGTTCTGCATGTTGAGGGATCGAAAGCGACGCACGATAGCAAACTCGTCATGACGGGCCATGAGGTCCGCGACCTTTTCGTAACCGTCCATGACCGGTTCCGGCTGCACATGGGGGATTTGGTCCACAACGACAGATTCCATGGCGACATTTGACCCTTGGATCGATTGAGTATATCGAAAGTTGTGCGCGACAGCACTTTGGAATTGATGCCGAATTGGGATATCTTGGATGGGCAGGTAAAATGCACCTCGGGCACCATACCGTGGCTGTGGTGCATATGCAGTGCCAGCCCTAGCCTCCAGTCTCGGGCGACGCAATCATGGCCATGCTCGGCACACCAGGCACCACGGCAGACGGAGAGGCGATTTTTTCCGAGACCATCCAGTGACACCATGGTGTGCTCGATCGAGACTGGTCTTGATAAAAGCAAACGTCTCGCTCTTCGACGAGGGGACGACCTGACCCCCCTCCATCATGCATGTCCAGCCTATCACCAACCCGCAGGCTACGTATCGTGCCATCATTGGATCAAGCGTGCAGCTCAGGCGTGTGCGTGCTACACACTCCGCATTCGCGTCTTTTGGGCCGCATATATTCCCTCTGCTCGTAAGGCGATAGGATGCCTTCTTCAGCACTGGTTCTGTATGGTGGTGACGGGTCGGAAGGGTCGCCAGGCAGCAGTAGCCTCAGGTAGCGAATAGACCGGTACTGAGACTGAAGTTGGTACTGATACGCACTGGCAGTCTGGCACAATACTTTCCTAGGGGAAATGTTTTCGCTCCCACCACCCAACTTGATGCTTACCGCCGTCTGACTCCCGACACATACAATCATTACCACCGTACAATGTCGTCGCCATCAGAAGACCAACGTAGGTATGAGGATGCCGCATTGCGTGAGTCTAGGTACAATACGCTTGGTTTCATCAGTGGGGGCGTTCCCATGAGTCTAGGGCATAAGGCATACCTCGAAGACAAAGAAAGAGAAGCTGCTCGACAACAGGCCGCTTCAGCACCAAGAGCACAGAAGGTACTGTTCAAATTCAGCGATGAAGATGTGCCCCGGCTAACAGCCAGCAAGGCCACATTCGATGATCTTGCGCCAAAGTGGGCTTGGATCCTGAATGGCAAAGGGGGCGTCGAGCCTGTCCCAATCATCGAGGACTCAGGCACCACGGAGAACTTCATTTCACCTGCGCAAGTCGAGCAATTTGGGTTCGGAACCAGGTCCACCACACCGAGATTGTTCACCCAGGTATCCGGAGACGGCTTCGTTGTGCGCGAGCTGGTCGACGTGATCTGGTACAGCAACAATGTACAGGAGACAACACACTTCTACGTCGCCCCACCCGAGATACCGTATGGGATGGTTGTTGGGAGGGACTTCATTCAGGAGCATCCCGGTGCCCTCATGGACCAAAAGCCAGCCGAAGCCATGATGCTCACCGTCCAGGCAAAAGCAAAGGTAAACAGCATCCGCTGACCAACGGAGCCATAGCTGATGTTATGATCGGGAGTCCGTAGAAAAACGAATCAGATGCGATTCATGGTGCGAGGGAAAGAATGAGATCACAGGCCGAGGAAATCAGACGAAGACGGCAGAAGACACATGTTGATGATGCGCAGCCAAGTACGGCCTCGTCATCTCGGCAGTCGACGTTGGCGGATGTGAAATCATGGACCGCTCATGCCGGCGAGAAGAAGTAGGTCAGCAGATACTCAATCTGAAAGCTTGCACACTGATGCATGGTCTTATGACATGACAACTTATGGGTCTTATATGTTTGTGGTTAAAATATGGACATTGTTTTCAGTACTGTCGCTTCCTCCACTCTTACCATGTAAATGGCGTCCTTCTGTCCACCGTTCACACACAGCCCAAGCAAGAGCTACAGAGGTTTCCCATAGCATGCTGGTCGACGTTGACTTTTACAAATGGCATCTTAGATGAAGCCGACCTAGCTCTATCGCCTCCCAAGTGCAGTGAAGTCGGTCTCTATCGCCAATGTACTTTGGCCTAGCACTCATCATGGCCTTGATCATGAGCAGTTCTGGAAGGGTTGTAGTGAATTTGTAAGGCTCATCTATATTTCGGTCCTAGAGAGTGTTTAGTAGCCATCAAGCTTGATGTGCTAATGCATTGCGATCACTTACAAGAGAGATGAGCAGCGTCGCCCGGTGGTTTCGGTCAGCCATTTATGAGGCGGCTTCGGTTAATTACTATACGCCATGCGAGGATGGCCTCTCACCAAATGAGCCCAGTCCGGCGACTTCAAGAGTTAGCAAATACTGATATCAGGGGAACCAATCGCCATATGTCCAAGCGCCTCGAGCTGACGTACCTTTGGCCAGTCCAGTCAGTGTATCTCAGGTGTTTGGCAGGTGTTTCGTGATGCACGTCTGCACAATATAGCAACAGGACTACTCTCGGTGATAATCCTAACCATCCGGCGGGAGTTCCATCCTTGGTCTTTTTGAGGCATTCTCTTCTCGTTCGAGGACTCCTGATACTTCCACTACCAGTTCTGCCATGATCCTCTTCCGCCGTTTGGATATGTTCACACCTGGCTGATCTAGAATTAGAGTTTAGTATTAGTGCCTTGTCCAGTCGATGGGGAAGAGCCAGGCTTACCCTGCATGTGCGGTTTATTCTCAAAGATATCGCCCTCATTGTCACCCACTTGGGATTGATGCAGGCAATCGATGCAAAGAATTATGTCAGGCTGCTCTTCCTCGTCGAGGTCCCGAATGGTACACCATGTTGTCCCTGAAATGTATTCTCCCGACGGCACGACAGTCTTGAAATGTACTCTCATGCGCTGCCCTTCTCGTTCGCCACCATACCTCTCTGCCGCCCTGGACGTTATCAAGCTTCCTTTCTCCCGGCGGAACTTGCCATTGAACGGCTTCCCGCGAGCTTGGGGATCGTTGGGGTGGAGATAGAGTCGAATGACAAGGTCGCAGTCCTAGCAAGAGGCATCATAATTAGAGACTGAGCCGCAGCGCAACGCCTTTTGCGCGGGGCCGATGGGCAATTCACCTCTGTCTTCTCCAGCCATGATGTAGTGTAGCTTTCGTAGGCACTGTCAGACGACTCGACGCTCATCGCATCAGGCGCATCACGATTGGGCCTGGCCCTCGCAACTGGGCTCGAAGAGGGCCCAGCGCCGTCCTTGTGGACGCTGACCATGCGTTGGTATTCATCGCAGAACTCGCACAGCCGCTGGTAGGTGAACTTTCCGATTTTTTCAAGGGGAAGTATTCCCTCGCTGGTCAGATATTCCACGAGGGCTGTTGGTGAGCCGAGTAGTACGCCTTCCTTGGCCGCAAATTGAAAAGCTACATGGACAATTGCCTCCTCGATTGTTCCAGGCATGTATGTCAACGAAGAGGTATTTTCTCAAGCCGGCATGCCGGCTTGGTGCGAGCGATTGGTTGTGTTTGGGAGTGGGCAACGAGATCGGTCAGCGGTGTCGCACTGCGCCCTGGGGTCGTTGATCAGCGTCAATCAGGCACCACAGACTGAGCTGAGCCTGGCGATCGTGGTGGGACTCCGCTGGTACTCTCGTATGAAGGATCGGATGGATGATTGTGTCCGGCAATACGACCTATTCGGCCTTTCTTAGTTTGCTGGGATGTGCTCAAGGCGGCGGCCTAATCATGGTAAAAGAGCACTGCGCATTGCAATACTGGAAAGGCCTAGGTTTGCGACGAGTGGCTGCAGAACGGAGGGAAACAAATAGCAATGCGATGGCAGTGGAGGCCCCAAGATGGACATGCACTCCGCCCCCAAATCACCTGCATGCGCCCGCCTGAACTGCCTAGTCCAACAGTGCTGTATGTCCTGTTTCCCACTAGGAGTTGCCAGTATCGGTACGTCTTGCATCACTGTCGACCAAGTCAAGGAGCTTGTTCTTATCAAAGAGCCCCCATCCATCAGCCCTGTGGAGGAGATGACAGCTATGGAACCCATACTGCGAAGTTCATCGAGGTGCGATCTCTGTCAAGTATGATACAAATTTTATGGATACATGACATGACCAGAAACAGTCTTCAACACAGTTTTGATACACATTCCCGAAACTTAAACCCACGGCTCGGGATGAATGTTTTACGCGACTTCGCACCTGGAAACTTGCTCCCTCCTGGCGAGGAAGCCGATGGCTTCCTCACTCGCCCTTCGCTGACTGAATTCTTCAGCCCTGTCCTCTCGTTAGTGAAGCACTGGGACCAAAGCTCACAACGTCTAATATCTTACTCAAAGTTGGCCCCTGTCTCCGTTCTGGTTCCGAGTCAAGAAAATAGTATTCACCATGAACCTTTAGTATGGGGCTGCCAATGATGACATCGTCGGCACAATTGTTCGAGATGACATAAAATTCATCTTCCCGTGTTTGGGGAGTTGAGCCCCGCCAGGTAATGACCGACCTTTTGTCGCTCTTGAAATTACTGTACCTCACTTCTTCGACTTTGGTATGGCTCAACTCGAGGCGGGAGAGCAGCTTTTCCGAGATGTAATTGAAAGGGCTTTTCTCATCCAGCATGACCTTGACGCTCAAAGCGTCGCTTTGGGTTTCTCCATAAAATCTAGCCCATTTGCGGAGTGGCGACGGCGGACTGCGGGCCTCAGTGGTGTCTCGGGCAATGACAGGAACCTCAAGCTGCGACTTTTAGCATTCTCTTGTGATTTCTCACCAAAATCAACCCCCATCGACCTACATTCGAAGGCTTTGGTTGCGCAGATGGCAAGGCCGAGGACAAGTTCAAGCCACCGAGAGATTCCGTGAGCGGATTCATTGTGAAGATCATTGGAACTAGGAAGACTCTGTCGGACGGGCTTGGTCGGCCAAATGAGGCGAATTGCTGCCATCTTGGTGCTCAGTCGTTGGCTCTTCGCAACACGACACAGTACAGACAATCGGGGAAGGGAAATAAGTTACTACTCACATTGCTATTGTTAAGCTCCGTTGAAGGTATATTTCGGGGATTGAGGAGCTGCTCGGTCAGTTGCCATCCTTGTCCTGGACTCGCCGTTGGGCCCGCAGACTCGTCTGTGAACATTTGTGCCAGCTGTCGCAGAACGCGCGAACACTTGAGGTCGCTCTCCTTATTCACGAGATAATTGGCATGGCCGAGGCTCATGGGTATGCCACCACTGACAAAAGCGTGGTGTTCATATCTCTGTTTGTCCTGGTCTGCTTGCCTGTATTTGACCACTTCCGAGTCCTCATTCATTGCTTCTGTTCGCCAGTCGGCCACCTTGTGAGGTGAGGAAGGAGGAAGAATGAGGGGATTGGATTGCACGCCGAAGAAGGGGGCTGCGTGGCGAACGCCCATTCATTATGATCGGGAACCAGAGGGGAGGGCCTGGATGGGGAATGGAGACCTGAATGGATTCTCAAGGAGCCGCATTGGACCTGTCCACCTGACCTATTGACCATCCCACCTGTTGCTGTTCGTTTCAAGATGCGAGGGGGGACCAATCCGCGATGTTTTGCTTACATGCGCATTGTTCAAGAATTACGCGAGCCGGTATTGATCTGAGTGGTGGGCCAGCTTTCGCCCGGCTGGAGAGGAGAAGGTCTGGAGTGGTGATGATGGAGGGGAGCTCCCTGTTGGGACTGGTCAACCCCCATCCTCCCAAGCCCCTCCAAGCTTTCTCTTCTTGAACGCATGACATTCCCCCTCCCCCGATCCGGACTCTGTGCCTGGAGGTCCAAATCGTCACGCAACAGACCAAACTGCTGGAATCGGCTCACGCCTAATGGACGGTGGCGTCGACCTGCATATCGGAGCTGGTTGTTAGTGGTGAAGATGTCTGCGCCGCCCCACGCATCCAGCATGCTCACTCTACAGACACCCAATCCGGCCTCTCATGAGAGGACGGGTACCACTGCTGCTAATGATTGCAGTGTGATATGACGTGTGAGATTTTAGCTGGGCCTGCCGCGGCCTCTCTTGCGTGATTCGTCGGGATGGTTTACTGCCAGACCGCGCGGCAGACTTTGGGTATTGGATGCACCGCATAATTATATCACAGTCGACCTTAAGAAATAACTCGATATTTCCGGTTCTACATAAGCTGATAAAGAGAAAAGCAGTGCCTTGATAGGGGGGCTTCTTGATTACCCTGCTGCAAGCCAAGCCTCTCTTGACTCAATCGATGCGTTCAGGGCTTTTCTAGACTCAACAATATATCGCCGTGACTGGCACTCTCTCTAGGAGTGTTGATGAGGTGTCCGTCCACCAATGGTTTGTTGTGCGTTCATAGTTCAAAGGTGTTCCTATTCTTCTACATGTATATCTAATATGGTACCTCCTTCCCATCATATCGCCCAAAAGACTCTTCCTTTCCGGGGACGTGGATATTGAGGAACTTGCCATTCTCTGCCTTGGTCGCGTTCAAGATGACGTTCTTGGTTCCAAGTGTGCCCTCCTCTACGTCCAGATCGGCATTAGGCCCGCCAAGATCTGTTCTCATCCACTGTTTGAGAGTTAGTCGAGGAAGGGCTTGTATATTGTTATGGTGGATTGGACTCACCCCAGGGGAAATGAGCAGGCACGTGAAACCCTCATCCTGTAGATACATGGCATATTGTGTGTTGAGCATGTTCATTGCCGCCTTGGCAATCTTGTACGCAGGCGACGGGGCATGCTTTGTGAACCATGCCCATCCATTCGATCCCATGGAACTCGTACTGTTAGGATATACGTAAGCGACAAGTTACAACAACAAAGCGCCTTAACTCATATACCAATACTCACATGTTAATGATTTTCTTCTCCTTGCCGGCCCTCAAAAGTGGCAGGAAGGCAACAATTACCCGGTGAGGGCCAGTGACGTTGATGTCCAGGGAGCTGGTCAATTGCTCTTCAGTCATGCCGAGAACGCCGTTCTCGCTGAAAGCCTGAAATCCTGCATTGTTGACAAGCACATCGAGACCTTGTGAGCCGAGAATGGACTTGACCTCTTCTGCGGCCTTATTTACCGACTCGGTATCGGCGACGGCGGCGGTGACGGGGAAGAGACGGCCAGAGTACTTGTTTATGAGCTCTTGTAGTGGGGGAGTCGGCTCGCGGCGGTTGAGGACAATGACCTTGCCAACCTGACTGGCGGGCATCTCGAGGAGCTGCCGGGTTAGGGTAAGACCTAGGCCTCGGGTGGTACCGGTGATGAGATATGAAGACATAATTGTTGTTTTCTATGTAGTTCCGTGATATCAGGATAACAGCAATGATTGGAAAATACAACTGAGGCGGCATCGAGAGCCTTGCAAGTCTTGAATGCATGACGCTTTATAAGACTAAAGTCCGCAAGCTCGACGACTAAATCCGCAATTCCGCAGTGCCAGAAGTCCGACCTGTTTAGCTTCCGCACACGTAACTCCAAGTGCCGCTCCGCGCCTGTTCAAGTGTTAGGTGAAAAGAGACGCACAATTGGTAATCCTGCACTAGGAGCAAGCATGCCAATATCTCCATAGAGGGCGATAACGCCGATACCAAGACAGGTTTCGGTTTCAAGTGACTACCTCTTATGTCCGAAAAGCGGCGGGGCATAGCGGACAAGCCCTGGACGGACGAATGTTGTTACTGTGCATGACCAAACTTATTTCCAAGGCTAACCATTATAAAGTCTATCGATGTCGATATATCAGGTCAATAGACGGAAGCGCGGATGGTACCTGGCACGAGAGCCTTGCCCTGAGCTGAGAGCCCTGAACTGGGAGTGGACGTCGTGATGGTACAGTGAGAGGACGTGTGTGGTCTACTAGATCCAAGGATTGGTCCCGGCCGGCTCCCGCGCCGGTGTTGGTGCATCATTTTGTGCTATAAATACATGAGTAGATAAATTCTCTTTGTTCTTGCGTTGCATGAGAAGAGCGAGCAAAGGCAGGAGATCTCCCCGGTGTTAAGGTTCTTTAGTTGCTCCAGCTGAACATGGACTACCTAGGTAGGTAATAGACCCCTGTTAGCGCCCGGAGGCCCCTGTGCCATTAGCCGTTATCAACACCTGGAATGTGATTGGCAGCAAAACAAAACACCACGACGCGATCGGCACTAACAAGATGATGCATCGCGACAACTTTGCGTCGAATTGATCACTCAACAGAACTTCTTTCTCTGTACTGACGAGCTCTGTACCCCGCACGCTCAGTTTTCCCTAATCAAAATGGCATCCTCACAGCCTACATACACTTATGAGCCTGCGGCTAAAGTCCACAAAAAGCGAGGCCCGAAACCCAAGCCTCTGAGCGAGCGGGTGTCGAAGGCAACAAACCCCATCACACGACCCACGCGCAGGTATTCAAGAAAGAGGAAGATCGAGGTGCTCATGTACCTCATTCACCACCGTGTCGCCGAGCCGCCGCAGCCTCTCAACGCGCGCCACCGCAGACGACGTCTCTTCGGCACGGCGCCAGTCCACAACATCGAGGACGGGCTCGTCTACCGGCTGCCCACATACGAGGAAGCTTCCGCATTCTGGAAGATACCCCGGTCGACCATCTTGAAGTGGTATCAGATCAGAGATCAGATTCTGGAGGGTCCGCAACCCCGAAAGAAGCAGTCCAACAAAGGCCAGGGACAGAGCGATATGGAGCAAGGCCGAGAAAAGAGCAGCGTCACAGATGCAGCTATGCCACACCAGAGTCTCCACGAGACACCGGCAGCAACGACACCTGTGCAGTCACCAGGAGCGATGTCCGTCGAAGTCCTCTGCAGACAATGATAGTCCCGGCCACGTCTGCGCAGCATTGGTGTACAAGCAGTGGTTCCCGCTTCATGTTAGAGCTAATTAATGCTGCGGGTGGAGTCGCCAGGGAAGAATACTTTTCCCCGCACCAGCCTCCCAGGGCCAACTCCCGACCAGCGCCCGGCCTGTCTCCGAGCAGAGTTGCCGAACCGGCCACCGGCCGGCCCCAGGTCAAAGTCTCTAATAATGGCGGGCGCGATCCAGACTTCGAACCCAAGATGACCGTTCTCGCCTCACGGTAGTCCAAACCATTTCCTCCCCGCCACCTCGACAGTTCTCGTCAGATCAAAAGAGACTCATCGCATCGACCTGCTGTCTCCAACCCCGCACTCCTCCCCGCGAAGAATCGAAAGGCAGTCAATCGTCACGGCAACCACCATGGCACCACCGACTCCCGGCATGCTCTACGTGACGATGCAGCCCCAGCCGGGCCTGTCTCTCGATCAATTCAACGAGTGGTACAACAACGAGCACGGCCCGACCAGACTGCGCCTCCCCCACATCTTCCCCAACGGCCTGCGGTACCGCGCAACCGACGGCAAGGAGCCGACTTTTCTCGCCAACTACGACGTGACTGACATGAGCCACCTCGAGACACCGACCTACCTGGACCTACGAGCGAACCGGTCCCCCCGCGAGGCCGAGACCATCGGCCAGGTCGACGTCAAGCGCTACTTCTTCGACTTCGTCTTCGGCCAGCAGTCGCCCGCTTTTGTCCCTATCGAGCAGTTGACCGACGAGGAGGCCGAGGGCCAGGTCCTGATCGCCGTCGACGTCACCCTGCAAAACGTGGAAGGCGCCGAGGAAGAAGCGGTCAAGTGGTACAAGGAGGAACACGTTCCCATGCTGTCCAAGGTCCCGGGCTGGCTCCGGTCACGGTGCTTCCGCACCTCCTCCCTCGACAAGGGCGCTCCTGCCAAGCTCTGGTCTCTGCACGAATATGCGAAGGACAACGGACTGGGAGGTCCGGAGCACAAGGCCTCCATGGATACCAAGTGGAGGACTGAGGTCTTCTCCAAATACATCGGCGACAAAGGCCGCCGTGCCTACTCGCTCTTCTACGTCTTCGGCCCCGCCCCGCGCGAGCTGTCATCGCTCTCGCGACTCCCGGATTCCAAGGACTTCACCTCTCCGGACTCGAAGCAGTCTACGACGCCCGGCCCGTCTGCGGTCATCAACTCCTACATCAGTACGGCCGACAACCTCGTCGTGCCCTACCGGTTGGAGGGCAACCCTTCCCCCAACGCACCCACGATCGCCTTCTGCAACTCGCTGCTGACCTCCCTGCACATGTGGGACGACTTGGTCGCCATCCTCAAGAAGAACCGGCCCGAGTTCCGCATCGTGCGGTACGACTTCCGCGGTCGCCAGGCCATACCCGACCCGCCCACCCCCTCCACCCTCGACAAGCTCGCCGACGACCTGGACGCCGTGCTGACCGCCCTGCGCATCCCCAAGCTGCACGCCCTCGTCGGCGTCTCCATGGGCGGCGCTACGACCCTCAAGTTCGCGCTCAAGTACCCGGCACGCCTGTCGCGCTTCGTCGCCTGCGACTTCAACGTCGCCAGCTCCGAGGCCAACACCAAGGCTTGGAAGGAGCGCATCGCCGTCGCCGAGACCCCCGCGTCCGCGGAGGACGGCCAGCCCGGCATCCGCAAGCTGGCCGGCCAGACGGTCGAGCGGTGGTTCCACCCGCACACGGTCAGCGACAAGAAGGCCGCCACGCAGCGCATGGTCGACATGGTCGCCGCCAACGACGTCCGCGGCTTCCGGTACGGCTGCCAGGCGCTGTGGGACTACGACATGAAGGGCGAGATGAAGGGGTGCCGGGTGCCCGGCCTGCTCGTCGTCGGTGACGGCGACGGCAAGGGCGCGCTGGTCAGGGCCATGGAGGGGTTCAAGGGCTTGGTCGGGGAGGCGGGCGCGGAGCTCAGGATCGTGCCTGAGGCGGGACACTTACCCATGTATGAGGCGCCTGAGGCGTTTTGGGAGAGTGTCAAGGACTTTTTGTAGATGTTGGTGGAAAATAGAAAATAAGAAAAAATAAAAGGCTCGAAATGAATAGAACGTGGTGGTTCAATTCTCTTGAACGCTGCTCAGCAACCCGGTTTGAGGATGATTTCAATATTCCCTCCCAGCGAAATGTGATTACAAGCACAAAGAATATTACACAATGGCTACTTCAGTTCACTCAGTAAAAGAGACTGGGGAAAGAAGAGTGGTTCAGCAATGTCTGACCAAGATCAAACTTGTGATGCCCTTACAGTACCTTTGCCCATTAGGGCTTAGCGACACATGCATGCTTCTCATGATGGTATTATTGCCAAAATCCGTTCTTCTAAGAAGGCCTTTCAAGCGAGTTTGAAATGTCCTGGTCGCTACCAGACCTAACATCGATGGAACTTTCAAAGGGAACGATCGACTTGCAGAACCCTGTTGGGAGATGCACCGGGTAAGGCAGGGTAACTAAGCAAAGGTGAACAAAGGTCCTATCCATAGACCACACCTTGTGTGGAGTGTGATCTAGTTCTGGAGCAGTTGTGCATGCATTATTAGGTTGGCTATCTTCTTTTTTTTTCAAGCGCGAGAGAAGGAAAAAGATTGCTTGCATAGACCTGCTGGTCATTGGTTCATGCTTTTTTTTGATTGTGCATTTCCTTCCAAGTTACCCTTTCCACACCTTTCATCAGATATCTGGCATTGGGATGCTGACATCTTGAGTGGCGAGGCAGCGGGAGGGCGTCCACGTCTATCAAACGTATCTCAGTGACAAACCCACCCAGCCTTTTTCTTTATGAGGAATCTAAAGTCAGTAAACTAGAGCCCTGGGTGAGAACGCTACCATGTGACTAAATTTTGATAATTGGCTAGCTTGTCGAGTGTTTTCTGCGGTTTAGGTGAAAATAACTTTGCAAACCGACAATCATTTTCACTGGCAAGCTGTGGCAGCCCTTACATTTGATTCATCCAAACATCAAACAGCCCTCAAAATAAAAAAGCGGTACTTATCGACAAATCTGATATTTATCTGTTTCAATTTCCTCCTTGACAGGGCCTCTCCTCCCTTTCCCCCACTTCTACGCCTCTCACCCAAGAAAACTCCCTCAACACCCACCCTGCGGCAGGCATCACCATGGAGTCAAAGGGGCCGCTGTTCGAACGCCTTCCCGAGGAGGTCCATCTCATCATCTCGGAACACGTCGAGAGGGGCCATGGTACTCTGAAGGCGCTGGCCTGTGTCAACAAGCGCTTTCGTGCGATTTACCACAAACGCCTATTCACCCGCATGTACATCCATGGCAACATGGATCGAAGAATCCTCACCACCCTGCTGATCAACTTCTGCTTAGAGCGTGGATCAGACAGCGTGAAGAAGCTACAGAAGCTTGTCACGTAGGTTAGCCTGTGCTTTCTGAACGTAATTGACGCTAACACGCCCACCCCTTAGGCATGCTACTCTCGACGGTGATCGTGGCCGCCTTGCGTCGGCCTACAAGGATTATACGACTGGCAAACCAGTCAAGGTGTACGGCTTCGGGTCTCAGAGGCCCCCAAGATTGTTATTCTTGATTGCCGAATCTATCCGTTTGATGCCGAATCTCGAGACTCTGATCCTCGACACCAGGGGTCTCGAGTGGGAGGAGGAAGATCCTTTCTTCACCATGTTGGCCAGGGGCAACCCACTCCGACTCAAGAACATTGAGCTCCACCTAGCTGCTCCCTGGAGCTATCACCGCGCTGCACGGTTCCTGAAACATTGTCAGCTTGACGCACTAGAAGGGCTCAAGGTGAACCAGGAGTACTTCTTTGCCATCGACGAGCTTCCGTCGGACAACAAGATCAAACGGCTGAGCATTGTAGAGCAAATGGGATGCCAAGCCGAACTACGAAAGATCCAGCCCCACGAATACGTTGAGGCTCTCTGCAAAAAGCTGCCCGCTTTGGAGAGCCTGGTGTTCCTCGATCCTCACTTCGAGTATGGCGACATTGATGAATTCGACGAGGTCCGAGGCTACTTGGTAAGTTCTCTCAAGACCTCTTTCCCGTTTGGCCCATCCATGCGTCCGCCAAGGAAGTATCGAGACCGGAGAGAAATCTAATGGCCGTTGGCACGAATGATAGGAGAAATCGCGATCATCGCTCATATCTGAACTGAACGCACGCCCAAGACTGAATCGACTCGCAATGTCGTTCCCCCTGGCCGCTAGCTTGGAAAACGAGGACATGGTGGCCGAGTTCAAGGAGGGATTTGTGAAGGAGGTGGCAGAGGGTGTCGAAGGACTTCTCGAGTTTTGCATCATAGGCTTCCATTTCCGCCGTTACAGTGCCAGCCGAGCGGTTGCGGGCGGCGAGGTCACCTTGGAACGGCGCGAGTTTGACTCTCTCCGCGACAGGAACTCTTTCCCCTTCAACATCTTTTAGAAGGGTCCGGCTCGGCCACGAAGGATACGATGAACATTGATGCCATCTGTTGCGACCCTTGGTCATGGTAGCGCGCCCTGTGCATGAATTGGGGCAGTCCGAGAAGCGAGATCGGGGGCTTAGAACAAATGGTTTATTCTCTTGCTAACAGCAGCATGTGCGTCGGGGAGATTCTATGAAGTCGACTGTGGAAGGTGACCACAGAATAGCTAGATCGTTAAACATGCCAACGCACTCGTCTTTACTGATTGATGTTCTCAACGTTCTTGATGTCTCATAAGTTCCAGGGTTATCTGCCGGCGCCGGATCCGGTTTAGGACAGCTCAGCAGAGGGAATTTGAAGCAAGGTAGCTTCTAGAGTGGCGATAGAAGGCTGAGGGTTGAGCATATTATCTAGTTAGTGAGAGGTTTATCCATGGGTGAGCATTGCATCCTGCATATAGACTAAGGTATGCCGTCTTGAGCAGGAATCCTGTGTGCTGTCCTTCATTGTCGTCGTTGACGGCGGGCTGCCTGTGCGTCACTCAATGGATATGGATGGAGTAGTAGGTACCGAGAGGCGCTAGGCCAAATCAATAGCGCGTTTCAGCAACTGCCCCACCGCGTTCAGCCTAGCTGTATGCCCACATGTCCGCGGGGTTGAGCGCGGCGAATAGCGGGGCAGTTCAGCGGGCGCAGGCACTCGGGCCCATGGATCCCTCCAGCTGGATCTTGTTCAGCCTCTGCTAGCGACGAGCGAGATGATGGCAGTGTGATATCGTTTCGAAGTGACTGCTCTCCTCGAAGTGAGGGCTGCCAAGGAAGACTGGCACGACCTGGGTCCATTTCACACCCGCCCGCCCAGTACTGCATCGCCCACGACACGGGTGCGGCCTTGGGTGAGACCAGTGAACATTGTGCGATGCAAACAAATCGAGCAGTACGCACACATCAAAGGACTCGTACTGGGTCTGGCTGTGTTGGCCAAAGGCCCCAACCCACGGAACAGCAACACCAGGATATGAAGACGGACACGAGGACTCTAATTCTCAACCGCAGTACTCTCTGACGGGAAAACGCACTTAAAGCCGCTTGGCGTAGGTAGCCCCGAATGTCGCCACCGCAGTCAGTCAACCCAACCCACTCACACTACATGCACCGGTGTCCCACTGCGTCCTCTTAGAATCCACGAGGACTGCCAGGTTGCCGACGGAGGACTGCATCCATAGCTCCTCACGCCTCCCGTAGGACTTCACGTCAGCCTCCCGGAGGACACACCCCGAGAAGCTCATCGCCCATCTGCCCAATCCTAGGGCCGGCAGACTGGCAGGCAGCCAGACAGACAGCTACGAGCTCAAGCTGACCCAGCTTAATCGTTGTGAGGAGCTTGCTGCATTTTTACTGCCGTCTCGTCCCGCACCTGCATCTGCATCCCGCGTGCCGTGTGGTTCGAGTTGCGGTTGAAGATTGAGATTGGTGGTGGTGCTTTTTTCCCCACCATCCAACCTGATTCCAAGGACGCCTCTTTCAGGCATCCAAGGGCGATACGATAGGACCACAGCAGCACCGATAACCACGCCTGATCCCATCCATCTCAGCGCTCGGTTCCATCTCACTCTTTATTCTGCCATTTTGTCACTCTCGACTCGCAAGCCACCCCCGTCCGTCAACGCCAGCAGCGACTGATTACTGGAATCCATGATCGGCATCGCTGGCTGCGCTGCCCACACTCTCCGCACCCTGGCTGGGCCGCTGCCTCAATCGCCACGGGGATGGATCCCCGAATCACCACCCCACAGTCGGCGGTGACCGCCTCCTCCCGCCGCGGCGCTCATTTTGGCCCGAGAAATGACGAGGACGGCCCTGACTCGCCGCCTGAAACAACCATCCCCGGCGCCGCCAAAGACACAGCCGCTAACCCCGGCATCGCCCGCCTCCCGCCGCTCCGGCCTCCACTCACCTCCTTCCCGCCTTCCTCCCTCCTCCAATACCACGATGCGGCCGCCGCCGAGGCCGAGGCCGAGGCTGCTCCGCGTCACCAGGCACAGCAGCAGCAGCAACAACAACAACAACAGTGCATCCACCACCCGGTCCTCGAGACCGCGGAGCACCAGCACCCGCTCGTCGGCCTGCCCCCGCCGCTCGCCTACCAGCCCATCCAGCGGCCCCTGACCCTCAACGCCCTGCCGACAGAGATCCACCTCAACATCCTCCGCCACATCGACACCTTTGCCGCCATCCACAACCTCCGCCAGACCTGCCGCTACTGGCACGCCCTCGGCTCACCGGAGTCGCTGCGCGCCACCATCGGCTCCCGCCCCGTGCGGTCCCTGCTCCTCTGCACCTGCGCCCGGTGCCACGCCCACGACGCCGACCGCACCGCCACCCTCGCCGCGCTCAAGTCGGACCGGGGCTACCCGCTGAGCGGCCTGTGCGTCACCTGCGCCCGCCGCGCCGCCGACAAGCGCCTCCGCGTCGGCCGCCGCGTCAAGATGGCCTCGGAGCACATGCGCTGGGTCTGCCGCTGGTGCGGCTGGGTCATCGCCGCCGGCGAGGAGGCCCGCCCCCTGGCCGGCAACGCGCCCACGGCCGCCGGCGCCGCCGCCCCGGGCCACCTGCAGTTCCACGCCCGCTGCCGCGGCAAGTACCTCAACGTGCTGCTGCTCTTCTTCATGCTCGGCTGGGCCCAGCTGGCCGTCGGCATCGCCGGCGCCGTCATGGCCTGGAAGCACTGGCGCGGCGTCCAGCTCGTCTTCGCCCCGACCGTCACCTCCTTCGTCCTGCTGTGGGTCTGCGTCGCCGCCATCCTCTGCCGCAACGACCGCAACCCCAAGTACTGGTTCGGCGTCGCCGTCGAGCTCGTCATCATGTGCCTCTGGATCCCGCCGCTGTACTACGTCGGCAGGGTCTGGGCCACGGAGCCGCCCGAGACGAGACCGCCCGCGACCGTGGCGAGCGAGATCATCTTTGGCGTTAACATGTAGGTTCTTCTCTCTGAGTATTGTCAATGTTAACAGCTCGCTAATCACCGCCCCATAGGTTGTTCCGGCTGCTGAATCTGGCCGGCAGCATTCCTCTCATGTTGCGATACGACAAGACGGAACACCACCTCCCCGAGATACCCTGGTGGCGCAAGGCAACGAACCCGATATTGTCTTTTTTGATTTACTGGACTTACCCGAGCAGCCTAGAGAGGAAGTATCCTCCGGACTGGCTATGATGTTTTATGAGATACGGTGTTTTCAGGACCCAGCGAGTTATTAGACACCTCTTTGCTCAATACTGATAGGCGTTATTCTTCCTTTGCAAAATTGGAATTTAGCGATACATAGATGACAATTATTAAAAGCGCACGGTCAATCAAGGATACCATGCTGCCAAAGTTCCCATAGAGTATTCAATTGTTCAAGCTCTACGAGTGGATAGCAGGGAGAGTTAGGGTTTGCCAATGCCGTGCACGAGCTGCTTGAACTGTGCACGACGGCGCTGCTGGTATTGCCAAGCAAACAGCGTGGTTGCTACGAGGAAGATTGTGGCCGAGACCCCGATGGGCATCCAGTACGCCTTCGCGAACAGGATCTGCTCATCGCTGTTGCTCCCCAGAAACATCGTTGTATCAGGCGATTCGAGACTTAACCATCTGCTAAGCTTCACTTGTTCAGTCAACACTTTTGATACATTGCATCAGAGAATCAAGATTTGTGGTACTCACCGGCACCCAGCACAGGCAGTTCCCAAATAAGCCAAGCAATTTGAAGACTGGAAGGAATTGTTAGCCCTGGCTGGACTCCTAGCGCTCATACGGTTGCAATCTAGATTCTGGGGAAACACGGGAGAGCAGACGCACCAGTACCACCAATGGCAGATACAAATGCAATAAATATTGCGGTTCCGAACAGAGTATTCCAGACAAGGTTCAGAAGTAAAGGACAATGGTGCTTCGCCTTCCGAGCCTCACGCGTCATTGTGTTCCCTTGGCTATCCGTAAGCCAATACCTCCAATTGATCACCCAGAGTATCACCGATAACATCTGAGAGACAGCATAGAGCAATGGAGTAAGGGACCGGCAACTCAGACCGACTGTAGGAGTTGTATAACTAGTGAGTTCGTCAGCAAGGTTGATGGGAAGGGCAACCGGGCAAAGAGGATGAGCTTACCTAGCCATCCCTGCAAGGAAGACGGGGACCAGGAAGAGAAGAACGGCTGGTCCGACGACCGTACCCATGATTTGCAGCCACGTCATGCGGATGATGTTCTCCTGTATCCTGAGCTCTGGATAATACTGAGCTAACTGCGCCAGCCAGGATGCCTTGATTGTGCCACGGTCCCACATCCAGGCGGTCTTGTATCGACGTGTCCCTCCAGTGCTGGACAATGTTTCTCTGACAATCGAGCACAATGATACGAATCGCGCCCATAGTGACTGGTAAAAGAACTCAGGCCTCATTGCCGGGGCAAATTCCAAGGTAGCATGGTTGTACTCGTTGCTGATGACGGCCGTCATATCCTCCCACACCCTGACGTTCTGGATGGACAATAGAACACCCGCGACGACAGCCACATGGCCAACGGTCAACCAGAAGCACCCAAACGCCAGCGTGTAGGAGGTTGCACTGCAAGTATCCCCAATCAGTACGAAACAGGGCCTGCAAAATGTGCCAGCCAAAGGAACGACTTACGATTGTCCCCAGTGTGCTCTGATCTGGCTAATGCTATACAGGAAACAGAGCGAGAAAAAAGTCACCCCGATCCCCAAAGTGGTACCGAAAGGAGATTGAGAATCCAGTAGATCTACAAGACCTTGCCGAAGTCTACCAATGGTTTGATGGGTGGGAGCCTCTGACATCTTTGCGATCGTACTTGTATCTTCTGGAGGGGATGTTGCTGATCCAGGGCGGCTATCGTCGATATGAAAGCTGTTCAGCCACTGCACCGATTCATCCCAAGCTTTGTGCTCGTCCAGATTACCAATAAGAACCACCAGCAACAAGTGTGCCCTGATCCGGGGTCCAATCTCGTTGTTGCTCCGTAGGTATGCCAGAACCCTGGCGTCCAGAACCGTCTCGTACGTCCCGGCTAGGAGCATCGGTCCTGCCATGACGATACACATCACGACAAGCTGCACCGTGTCGACGAACAGTATTAAGCAGGCTATGGGCACCTTGTACAGGAGCGCCAGATACCCACGCCACCCGAGGTCGCCGGCGCCGAGAGACAGTGATTCCGGGATGGCCAGGGCCCTGCGCCGCGGGATAGAGAAGCAGAAGACCAGGCTTGGCAGGATGAACGTGACGTACGACTCGAGCCAGTCGCCGTCTTTCTCGGTGCGACTGAGCGCCCAGCCGTCGCAGTTGGCGCGGCACCACGAGTACGGGACCGTTACCTGGGTCGGACCGCCCGACGAGCCGTTGTAAGCGGCGCCACAGGGGTATTGGTGGGCCAAGAGCGAGGCTATGTCCCCGTGCAGAAAGGTCTGCCCTGGGACATACTCCGGATAGCCATCAACGATACGGAGAGATTGGTTGAGGGCGAGGCTGCAACAGCGCTTGAAGTCCTGGCCGCCTAGACGCGCATTCTTTGGGGTGTCCGGGGCCAGACGAGCGAGCTGGCCGTCGAACAGGTCGCCGAGGGACTTGTAGGGGCCTGTTGCTTCGACTTGTCTAGTAGCTAGAAACAGGAGGGTGGCGATTGTGATTGGAGGTAGCCAAAGTGACGCAAACATCCTCAGTCGTGATTAATAAGGGCGCGGCAATGAATAAACTGGAGAGGCATATCGGTGATGAGAAAGATGATATGTCTCGGTACGGACGGGGTTTCCAGATTCTTATCAGCACGAAGCATGTTTTAGGCAACTGGAGACTTCCGAAAAGGCAAACACTGGAGATCTTCCTCCGCAAGAGTGAAGTTCGAAAGGTTCCATGCGTTTAGATTGCGTGATCGGGCACTACCCTACATTTCCTCGGTAGCTGGTTGTGTGTAGGACAAAAAGGAGCCGTTTCGGCGTGGCGTCAAACGGACTCGGTAATCGTTAGAGGTGGCCAAGATGAATGACGGCTTTTGCCAGCGTGGCAGACACGGAGCTCGGTCAGTCACCCTCCTTGAGCGTGTGTCGAGGCATCCATGCAAGGCATATTACATGCCATCGTTCAGCTGAAACTCACGTGTGCATTTGCTGGCAGAATCTGTTGCGTCATTTGCCTGGAACGAGCATGACGCCACCTGAACCACCTAGGTAGAGTCGGAATGGTTCGCGCCCCCAGGAAGCGTCACCCAGCTTGATATGCGCAAAATTTTTGATCCCGCCCAGAGCCTTCGTTTCAGCCACTTTTCTGGGCTTTTAGTATCTTACAGCCTGGAATTTCCCGGGCTTTGTTTACTACGGTCCTTGATTCAAAGCTCAAAGCCATGGGTTGCGTCAACTTGAACCTAGCAAACACCTGTGCAGTTATAGAATTCACTTCTGGTGTACGACACTGGCTGCTCCGCACTGATTAATTAAAACTTAACTAAATACTTAGCTTCATCGTGGAATGGAATTGCTTGACTTTCAGTTGGTGGGATTCTAGACTAGAAAATAATACACAAGTCCTGTGGCTACCAAGCACCGGTTAGATCGACTGTCTGACCAGCCTTGAGCTCCACGCGACGCTCCCCGCTACCAGACTGCAATCTCTCAGATGCAACGCGAAACGTCCTTGTCTGATCAACCTGAGATTTGACCAGCGCCTCGACGATCTTACCCTCGCGCCAGCTAAGTTTCTCAACCTCCATGCCACCTCTGGCCTTCAGCCCTGTCACGCTGCCCTCCTTCTCCCAGCATGGCAGCAGACACGGCAGCAGATCGATGAAGTCACCATCGTGGCTCTGCAGCAGCATCTCCGCCACGGCCGCCGCGTAACCAAAATTGCCGTCGATCTGGAACGGCGGGTGGTTCGCCAGCAGGCTCTTGAGCACGGCGCCGCCGAGCATCTTCTGCACGCCCCTCTGGGCCGCCTCGGCGTCGCGCAGCCGCGCGTACAGGCACAGGATCCACGCCAGGCTCCAGCCCGTGTGTCCGCCGCCGCCAGACATCCTGCGCTCGAGCGTCTTCCTGGCCGCGGCGCGCAGCTCCTTCCCGCGGATCGACGTGCCGGGGAACAGGCCCCACAGGTGCGAGACGTGCCGGTGCCCGATCTCGACCTCGTCCACGTCGTCCTTCCACTCCATGATGGAGCCGTGCTTGCTGACCTGCGGCTCCGGGAGCTTCGCCAGCACGGTCTCGAGCTCGCCCGTCTCCTCGCCCAGGATCCGGGCCGCCTGGACGCAGGCACCAAAGAGCTCGGTCAGGATCTGCGCATCCCAGGCCGGGCCGGCGCACAGCGACGCCGGCGTCTGCGTACCGGGGATGTAGTACGTGTTCTCGGCCGACAGGCTCGGCGAGGTTACCAGCTTGCCTCCGCACTCGACCAGGAAATCCTGGAAGAAGAGGGCCGAGCCGCGCATGATGGGGAAGGCTCGGCGTAGGAACTCTTCGTCGCGCGTGAAGAGGTAGCGCTCCCACATGTGCGTGCAAAACCAGGCGCCGGCGAGGTTCCAGTACGTCGCGCAGACAGTGCTATCCTGCGGCGCCGCGTCGCCCCAGAGGTCCGTGTTGTGGTGCGCGACCCAGCCGCGGCAGCCGTACATCGCCTTGGCGACCTCTTCGCCGCGCTTAACGAGGCGCTGCTCCATGAAGTCGAAGAGGGCGTCGTGGCACTCGGAGAGGTTTGTCACCTCGGCGGGCCAGTAGTTCATCTGAATGTTGATGTTGATCGTGTACTTGGATCCCCAGACGGGCATAGCGTCGGCGTTCCAGATACCCTGGAGATTGGCGGGAAGGCCGGAGAGAGAAGAGGATATGAGAAGGTATCGACCGTAGTGGAAGAGAAGGGAGGATAGGCCGTTGTCGATGGCGCCAGCTTTGACGGCCGCGAGGCGCTTGTTGGTAGGGATTGCAGACTTGTCCTCTTCAGTGGGCAACTTGAGCTCAACACGGTTGTACAGCTCAGAGAAGCGCTTGGTGTGTGCCGACAACAAGTCGGACCAAGATTTCCTCGTGGCCGCATCAAGCCGTACCTGGACGGCGGCAACTGCGTCCGGGTTACGGTAGGTTGTCTCTCCGGAGACGAAAACGAGAGCTCTGGCACCAGCTTTGACTGAGACCTCAATCTCAAAGCCCTTGGCATCAACACTGCCCTGGCCACCCTCAATAACCACCCGCACGCCCATGGCGAATGTGATCGCGCCCTTGCCGCCCATCTGACCAGCAAGCACATGCCCATCCTCGATCCACTCCAGTGAGTCAAAAGTTCTGTTGATTGCCCTGTCCCATTCAGGATGATCACCGCGACTCAGGTTGATGGTGAATTTGAAATCCTTGTTCGACTGGACACTAGCGCAGATGACCTGGTCCTCGACGCTTGAAAAGACCTGCCTCGAATATTCTGCGCCATCGTAGTTGTACGACACGCTCACCACACCCGCTCGCAGGTCTAGCTCCCGCCTGTAATCCTGTGGTGACTTGGTAGCATCGCCCGTGAGCTGGTTATCAAAGACGGCAATGCCTGTCGTCCGCACATACGGTCCCGGAGGGTCAGTGCCGTGCCCGAAAGTGAGATACACATCTCCCATGGGTTCGTAGTGCCTCAAGGACTGTGGCATGCCTGTGAATGTCTTGCGGACCAGCTGCTCCGCCTCGACAATGCGGTTCTCGTCTATGAGCTTTCGGATAGCAGGTAGGCTCTCACGAGCGGCCGGGTTGACGCGGTTCTGAGGACCGCCGTACCACACAGAGTCTTCATTCACCCACAGGCGCTCGACATCTGTGGTGCCCCGGACCATGGCGCCGAGGCGGCCGTTGCCGATGGGGAGAGCATCCTCCCAGAGGTCGGCCGGGGAATCGTAATAGAGCGTATGCTTAGCCATTATGACAAGACACCGAGTTCTAGAAACCTGAATATGTTCACTCGACGGCAGAGCTTACGAGTCCAAGATAACACCCTGAAACAGGCAATATGTGTGTAAGACGGCTTGCAAGGGTTCAACATAGGTCGGGAAGACGCCAAGTCCCGGTCACCAGACACTCCTCTCCGAGTGCCCTCAGCATGTCAACTCGTCATGCGTGTCTCAACTCGATAACCAGAGCCGGTCAGCGGCACTCGTCCCCATGAACCCCGCATGAGAACAAGTAAGAAACCAGCCGATCCGTGCAACATCCAAGCTCTGGCAGGCATCGAGTCGACAAGCAGAATACCTAACTACGTACCACCTAGTGAGCGCCGATGAGGGGTAAGAAACGGGGTAATGCACCCTGATAGGTAACATTAGTTGCTCCACCTAAAAGCAGACACAATAGAAATATTCCGACGGTTATTTACCCAAGGCGGACCTCAGTCGGAGGGTCTCCCGATCCGGCCCACTTTAGGTGTTGACAAGACCGATTACCTACCCGTAGTTCCAACGTGTGAAGACATGCCAGAACAACATGCAAGGCAATCTTGAATTGTGGATTTGTATGCTTAGCGGCCGCAAGGGTCGGCAAATCTGCGGGATACGCCGGCCATGACAGCCACCTTCTGTAACCCGGCCGGCTCGCAGCTTCTTCACAGGGTGCGGGGGTTCTCCACATTCGGAGCATTTCCCGATCATTGAACGGTTAGTTTCACCTTGACCCTCGGCCGTATACAAATTCCACCACGCGTCTCAAGCAGGGAATCACTACACCTTCTGGCTACCTCTGTTTGACTACCTACCTAACACTGGGCTTCCCAATTAGCTCTCGGACCGACAAGTCTTCATCGTTCCTAGGCCCCTTACACCACCCGCCGGTAAGCTCCAAATGCTCTGCACTTGCTGGAGCTTCATGTTATAGCTCGATCTCACACTTAGTCTAATTCATTCTTGATCAGAAGCGTCGGTTCAATTCCATAGGCTCCGCTAGCAACGACTTTACCCGTCGTATCTTTATCTTTGAGAGGTTTAATTGACCCGACCACGTGCGGTTGTTTCTGAACCGCCAGTGAGCAGCGTTCTCAGATTCGTAAACGGCATTGGTGACACGAAGACGTCCCAAAGATTTTCAGAGTCTCAGTTCCCAAAGGGCGTGTGGGTATTGCAAAGTAATGGGCTTAGGCGCTCACAGTAAGCTGGGCAGAGCCCTGCTCAGTCACTTCTCATTTGATCCATCATATCACAATCTCAACCATGGTAAGCCTGTATTCTGTGAACATACACAACGAGGCTGTGATATCTAACGGCAACCAGCTTCTTACGGTACCCATCCCAAACAAGTACAAGCCAGGCTTCGAAGTTTACAGGAGGAGGTCGAGACAGCACCAGATATTTTCATCCGCTACGACTACCCCAGATTACTCGATGAGAATCGCCAGGCTGTCGCGGGCTTTCTTCGCGTGCCTGTGGAGACCGTTGTCTTTGTTCCCAATGCAACAACAGCCCTCAATGCCGTGTTGAGAAACTTTGAGTGGAACGCTGATGGCAAGGACGAGATTCTCTACTTCAGCACTATCTACGGCGCTTGCGGCAAGACTGTTGACTACGTCGTCGATACCAGGCGGGGCATGGTAAACAGCCGGCCCATCAGCATCACTTATCCCTGTGAAGATGATGAAATTATCAACCTGTTTGAGAAGGCTGTGGCTACTTCAAAGGGTGAGGGCAAGAGGCCCAGGTTATGCATCTACGATGTTGTCTCCTCTCTGCCCGGTCTGCGGTTCCCCTTCGAGGCGATGACAAGCAAGTGCAAGGAGCTGGGCGTGATGACAGTTATTGACGGCGCGCAAGGGATTGGCATGGTGGACTCGAGACTGGACGAGCTCGACCCCGACTTCTGGTTCAGCAACTGCCACAAGTGGCTCCACATCCCACGAGCCTGTGCTGTCCTTTATGTCCCGGTTCGGAATCAGCACATGATGGCATCGACTGTACCCACCTCGCACGGCTATGTGCGCAAGTCATTGAGGAACTCGACATCCGGTACAGGCAGCAAGAGCGCCTTTGTCTCCAACTTTCAGTACACGGGCACACTCGACTTCTCGCCGTACTTGTGTGTCAAAGAGGCGCTGGCCTGGCGAAATGATGTTGTGGGGGGCGAGGATATATTGCAGGAGTACAACATCAACCTGGCTAAAACTGGTGGGCGGAGAGTTGCCGAGATTCTAGGCACAGAAGTGCTCGACAATAAGGCGGGTACAGCCAGTGACTGTGCGATGACAAATGTTAGGCTCCCGATTCGGATTGCGAAGAACGGAAGCAACTCGAGTGCAGCAGAGGATGAGTCCGTTCTCACAGAAGATATCGTCAACGATGTTGCGCAGTGGATGATGGACACCCTTGTGCGAGACTACAAAACATTCATTGTGGTCTACAGCCATGGGCAGCATGTGTACGTTCGGCTGAGCGCACAGGTGTATCTGGAGCTTCAAGACTTTGAATGGGCGGCAGAGACACTGCTAGAGCTCTGTGCGAGAGTCGCCAAGAGAGAGTACGAAGGGCACATATAATGAAGCATATGGATCTCAAGAATGTTAAAGCCACTGAGTCAAGGTGTATCTGCCATACAACTGACACTCTAGATGCACAAAATCGCCGTCTTAAATCACAACCGTGTGGCTGCGGCTCAACGCCAAGCCTGATGCGTACGTATGTTTCTTCATATCCTTGCATTGATGGTCTGCTCCTGCACAGCTTCGATGCAATCCTTCTCGTCCTTGGGCTTTGGCTCAGCAAAGTCATAATCCACCCAGTTGTTTAAAATGTCCCTGACCTGCTTGTAGTACGGTTGGTCCTTTGCTAGCTCTTCCTCGTTGACTGTATTTAGGCGAGCCAACGATCCTTCATTGGCAGACGAACTTCCAGAGCTCCTCAAAATGCTCTTTGCCGCCTCCACGTTGTCCTCTAGATCAGACATAGTGCTGATACCTGAGGCAGTCGTGATCGTAAAGTCAGGGCTCGAATTCTGTATAGCCTTGCCGATAGCGAACCGCATTGCGAGGCGGGACATGACCTGGCCCTGCCCGTGCACCCACTCAGCAGCCTGTTGCGCTGCAAGCCGCATCCCTTGGGGCGACGGGTGCCAGTCACCCGTCCGACCCGTTGGGATCCCTCCGTACCGGAGCAAGCCAACGGCAAGCGGACTCGAGCATACCACAGCCTTCACTCCAGCTTCCCGGAAGGCTTCAAATCCGCCCAGCTCCAGCCGAGTGTTCTGAAGGGTGAGCTGCGCCCAGTTCTGGACAATGTCAACAGGTTGTCCGAACCGCTCTCTCACGAGCTGTGCAACCTGGGCGAGTATGTCGATGCGGTATCCAGAGATGCCTATAGCCTTGATTGCGCCAGCCTCTTTGAATGCGAATAGTGTGCCGACGGCGGTGACGGCCTCCTCAAGCGTGACAAACTCCACGTCATGGCAGAACACCACGTCCAGGTATGTCGTCTGGAAGCGTTCTAACGACCGTGCTACAGACTTTTTAAGCCACGCCGGCGAGTAGTCAAAATGGTCCTCCTTGATGCGACCCGCCTTGGTCATGAGGATGTAGTCGTTCCGTTGGTACCGCGAGGTGATTTCGGGCGAGGAGAGTGCTGCACCCATCAATTGCTCCGACGGTTCGTAGTACGGCGATGTGTCGATGGTGCGCAGGCCGAGCTCAAAGGCACGCAGCAGGATCTGCCGTAAGGGCAGCGACTCCGGATCCTTGTGCAGTTGGTAGCTGAAGCCGGCACCGCCCATAACCAACGGGCCGAGCTTAGAGAAGTCGAACTGAGAGCCCATCGTTTCTGTTGTCTGCGGTTTCGCATAGGCACGCGGCTGGTCCCCGATTGAATCCAAGTCTCTTGAGATTATCATGAGACACAAGAGAGACAGAGTTTGAGAAGATGTATCGCGACCACTTTTTATCTTTGAGCGGGAGTCTGATCTCGAATTCTCAACTTCATATCTCTGTTGCGTGGCGCTCAGCAGGAGGAATGAAGGCAATGCCGGGGATTCAGAGTTGACACGACGTGAAAGTTGAGACTGACCTCGGTGCAGAGCAATTCCGTCGCAACCCGTCCGTGAGGAAAGGCTATTGATTCGTGGAGGTTGAACAAAGCCCGACAGAGCCGTTTCAACTCCGTCGGGTGCAATGCTAGGGAGAAACCCATGTGCATATTGGCACCAGCAGTAGCTTGCCCTCTGGGTCAAACTTAATTATCCTTCGGGTTTTTTCAAGTTACCCGATGACAAGCGGGGAACAGTACAACTAAAGACAAGACCGGCATCGGCTGCGGAGAACAGACGGACTAGTGAGATTATCGGCGCGGGATTTGACTGGGGATCAACGAACAAGACGCTGGCTGACTGGCCGTCGAGCAGACGCTGTGTGGAGGCAGTCATGGTTCCCGGCAAGGATAACAGCCATTGATCGCTTCCATTAGCGCAGTGCGTGCCACGAGCCAGCCTGGAAAACAGGTCACTTTCCCTCCCCCAAGCCGGTCCATGCCATGTCGGCTCCACGCCGCTCAGCCCAAAATGGCCCCTGATAACCAAAGGCTTCGTCCGGGGCCCCAGACGCGTGATCGGCAGTCGGCCGTAGCCAGAGGGATGCATGATGGAGGAGGCCAGTCCAGCAGGCACAGCTTCTCGGGAAAAGATACCAGAGTTGCATAAGAACTTGGGTCATCCTGCGCCATTCGCCTACAGCTCCCCTCACCTGCATCTCGCGTGCTCGCTTTTCCATCTCTCAAATAGGAAGCTGAGAAAGAGGATTCGTGAAGCTCTGCAACTTTGTTTCGAGTCTTTTTTTCCCTTCTGACCTATCACAATGGCCGAAGTTCCTAACAAGTCAACGGCGGAGCCCGCCCACGTCGAGGACGGCGACCGCGATGAGGTTCACGCCGCCGAGAAGCAACTGCACGATGCCGAAGAGACTGGCAAGCTCGATGCGATCAACCAGGCCATGGCCATGCAGGGTACCCTTGCCGAGCACGAGCTCAGCAACTGGCAGGCTCTGGTCAAGTACCGCAAGGCTGTGTTCTGGTCTGTCTTCGTATCGCTGTCCATCATTATGAGGGCGTACGATATTGAAATCACTGGAAACTTCTTTGCCCTGCCGGCCTTCCGTAACCACTTTGGCGAGATGGTCCCTGGCCACAGCATGCAAATCCCCACTCAGTGGCAGGTTGCTATGTCTATGGGAGCGATCGTCGGACAGGTCCTGGGAGCATGGGCCGTTGCGGTCCCCATGGACAGGTTCGGCCGCAAGAAGACTCTCATCGGATACTTGCTCGTCACCGTTGCCCTTGTCTTCATGCAAGTCTTTGCACCCAGCAGACAGGTGCTCACTGCGTCGATGTACCTCTGCGGCATCATCTGGGGTGGCTACCACGTTCTCGCACCTACCTATGCCTCCGAAGTCCTGCCCCTGCGTCTACGTGGTTACTTCACCGGCTATGTCAACCTCTGCTACGTGATCGGCCAGTTCCTCCAAACCGGCATCACCCGCGGCTTCGTCCACTGGGATTCAGTCTGGGCCTACAAGATTCCCTACGCCATCCAGTGGGTCTGGCCAGCGATCCTGCTTCTCGGCCTCTGGTGGGCGCCCGAGTCTCCCTGGTGGCTCATCCGCCAGAACCGCATGGAGGACGCCAAAGCCGCACTCGACGCCCTCTCCAATAAGTCGAACCACGCCGAGAACCACAATATCCTGGCCATGATGGTCAAGACCGACCTGTACGAGCGCGAAGTCGAGGTCGGCGCCACGTACCGCGACGTCTTCAAGGGTCCCAACCTGCGCCGTCTCGAGATCAGTGCCATGCTCTTCGTCTGCCAGAACTTCTCGGGTAACCCCGTCGGCTTCGCGACCTACCTGTTCGAGCAGGTCGGTCTGAGCACCGAGAATGCATTCAACATGGGCATCGGTCTGAACGGTGTCGGCTTCATCGGCTGCATCTTCAGCGTGTTCCCCATCGCTTACTTTGGCCGCCGCAAGACGTGGATGATGGGCATCACATACTGCCTTGTCGTCCTGTGGATCGTTGGCTTCATGTGCCTGGCCAAAGACTACAAGACCAATCCGGCCTATTCATGGGCACAGGCCACGCTCCTCATCACGTTGCAGCTCATCTACTCGCTCTCGCTCGGCCCGCTGTGCTTCACCATCTCGTCTGAGATCCCCTCTACGAAGCTGCGAGCCAAGACACTCGGAATCGCTGCCACTATCAATGGCGCGACATATCTTGTCATCACCGTTGCCGGACCATACCTGCTGAACCCCGGATCGGCCAACGCTGGCGCAAAGATCGAGTTTCTTTGGGGCGGTCTCACACTGCTCAACACTATCTGGAGTTACTTCCGTCTCCCTGAGGTGCGTTATCGAGACCTCAAGTCTTTGTTCCTCAGTTATACTAACATGAAGGGCACTTTCACAGACCGATAACAGAACTTATGAAGAATTGGATATCCTCTTCGATCGACGTGTACCGGCTCGCCAGTTTAAGAAGTATGTTATTGAGCAAGAGGAGGAATAGGGAATTACATCCGGGTGACGTTGACTACCCAGAGGCTAGTGATACTGAAACTCCCGGTCGCACTCGCGCTTGAAAGGTGTCATCTGGATAGCAAGAACTTATAACAGAGGCATACATTTAATTTCCAAGAGCCCTCTACCCATACATCTTTTGGGTCCAATCAATTACGCTCTTTGAGTGGTCTAGATCGTGTGTGTTTAGCTACTTGGCTCGAGGTTTCAGAGCGACCTGCTCAGGCAGTTGAGCATAATGATTCGCTGCTGAGACTTAAGACTTCCATTAAACCTTAAGTCCATCACTGAAGCAGTAGTATCTGAGTCGTCTTCCGGAAAGTCTTATGCAACTTTTTCAGGGTCGTACGTGCTACTAGAGATGATTCAGGTTCTCTTTTATAGGCTACCATCGGACTTGTGCCGGAAGGGTCCTAGAGAACGACGGCCAGTCACAGACTACTTGTATGTGAGAGAAAAGAGGTGATCTGGAGCTCGGTGCAATGTATTTTTAGAATGTTTTTGAGGGCTGTGCTGTCCCAACAGCCTGGGAGGATCTTATTGTGGGGATTCTCGCTTTCTTCTCAGGGCAAAGCATTTGCCAAGGCTGAAGGATTTGTGTCATAAGCCTAGAAGAGAGAGCCGTCACCACTATTACCCCTGCTGAGGCGGAGCGTCCCTGATAGTACGGAATTAAGCAGGTAAGCAGTAAGGCGAGGCGAGATTGTCGTACTAGGGTACCTAGGTAGGCAATAAAAGAATGGACTACATAAAGCTCGTAGGCCTTGTGCTTGATCACGAACTGTGCTTCCTGCATTGACAAAGCAAACAAAGACAGCACGGTGCCACATCTACGCGCCACCAATGCAGCCCCATTCACAGAACAGCACTAAGCGGCTTGTCGCCATAGCCGCCTTGGCTCTTCTGCCCAGCATCGCGACCGCCGTGTGTACGACATTCAAAGCGTCCAAGACGGATCAAGAAAATGGCCTCAAATACGAGGCCGGCTCGCTTATCACGGTGGAAAGAACGCCCTGCCCCGAAGGCACAAGCGCCGGTTGCACCGTCCCGGCTCCGAAGGTGTACAACGTCACTGCCAGGCGCGAGATCTGGCGCGTCGACGATCTGCTCGGCCTTCACTATCACCTGCCGACGGAAGAGCAGGACGCGATATTCAAGCTGGCCTCCGACGCCTACTACAACGAGCGCGACTGGTACACGGAGAAGGACCGTGAGCTGTGGGTCTCCATCAGCTCCCAGGCCAACAGCAGCGAACTAGTCGAGAAGCGTTCGCGTCTGCTCCATGTAGAACCGGGCAAGGAGACGCAGCTGCAGTACAAATGGTTCCGAAGCATGGCGTGGGGTGTCCTGGGCGGCTGCACCAACGCCTCGCTGGAGAACGTCCAGGTCCAGGTCACCGCACCGTTCATGCGCAGCTACATACCGGATCAGCTTCCCGGCCTGTGGACCTCGACGACGGACAAGATCGGCCAGAAGAGCGAGACGAAGAGGTGCGATGTCGGATTCCAGACCTTTGATCAGACCGGTGGCCAGCCTGGGGACGAGTGCAAGCCGGGTGGCGGAGACAGCTCTGACAAAGGCAAATCCACGGAGCAGAAGGACAATCCTCGGAAGCCGAGTGGCGCACAGGGACGGGCGACGCTGCCTAGCTTGACGGGGTCATTGTTGGCACTGGGGTTGGCATTAGTCACGGCCGTCTTTTGAAATAGTTTTCTCTAGTTGGAACGGAACAAGTCTCGAAATCCCGCGTCGTGCACCGATTAATCCAGTCGCTGCCACATGTTCTGATCGAGTTGTACTGGACGAAATCCTTGTTTTCGAAGTGTTCGGGTGATGTCTCATGAAATGTTGGCGGTACGATGAGCTCAGCATTCTCTAGCAACAAGCCAGTTCTTTCAAAGTCAATCCATCTCCATTTTCTCCAAGATTATTACCGGGGATAAATTAGTATCTTCGTATCTTCGTAAACTCTTCCTGGCTGTGTCGGATGTCAATTCGCAGTTCAAGGGGTGAGGTTAGGAGCTGGCCAGCGCTATCTTATCGCCACGTGATTCCCCTGCGACCCCCGAATTTTCGACCCATGATATCGCATCTGACGATCTCCAGACGCCGATGGTACTAGCAAAGCTGGAGGGATGCAAATCAAATCAGCACCATGCAGCCAACGAGGGTATTGCTAAAGAGATCCGTGTGGAAGGGTAAGTTTCCAATGTTTTATCACAACCACCCAGTCATACCATTAGCTAACAAGAGCGCGTCTCTGCAGGTCCGCACATCGTCCCGTAAGCTTTTTGCGCATTCCCCTAGACACTAGATTTACGACCGTTCACTCCCTCCACCCGAGAGATACTAACAGTCTGCACGTAGTCTCCCGATCGTACGGGTTGAGCCAGGCAAGAAGATGGCCCCTATCAGGACGCAGGCCCGATCCGCGACCATCCTGCCCAACTTTGTCGGGCTCAAGTTCCAAGTCTACAACGGCAAGGTCTACCACGACGTGACCATCACCGAGGATATGGTCGGCCACAAACTGGGCGAGTTCTCACCGTACGTTTCCATATCCTCCGCACAGAAGTGGTCTCTTCGATACGACCATGAGCTAACATGTCTCGCCACATTGCAGGACGAGAAAGATCTTCGTCTGGTCGCGTGGTTAAAGGGATGCGAGAGCTGGTCTGGGAGGATGTACGATACCATACAACAAAACGACGGTCGTGTACCGAGACGATGTCATGTTATAACCACTGTACAAACATAGCATTATGCCTTTGCATCTTGGGCAGGGGAGCCTTCATGGGGTGCTGCCGACCGGGCACATGCACAAAGCTTGAACCTCGGATATGTCAATATGATAGATATCGAAAAGGAGAATACCAACATTGCAATTGCAAGGCAGTCTCTATTCTTTTGCACTTGGTACGTAACGAATACCGCTGTTCTGCAGAAGTATCTCATTTGGGCCCCAGAAAACGCCGGTGAAAGAGAACGCCTGTCCCTTGCCCACCTGAAACTCAATAACGCCGTGTGTGAGGATGGATTTCCCACATCCCGCAATGCAACCGAGCACCTCCCTCTGCTCGCTCCCTTCTTCACCGATAAAACTCGCTCCTCTTGACGTTCACCCCATACTCCCCAGCCGCCATCCCCAAGTCCTCCATCGTCAGCACCGTCCTGTTCTGCCCGCCGCCCTGCCCGCCGCCTCCGTACCCGGGCCTCTGCACGCCAAGCGGCTGCCCGCCCTTGCCGCCAGCCGCCGCATCCTTGCTGCCCCCCGCCGCCGCAGCACCGCCCGCTGGCACGCCCGCCGCGGCGCCCAGGCTGCCCATGGGGTTCGACCCGCTGCTCGTGTTGCCGCCGCGGATGCGGCTGTACTGGTACGCGTCGGCGGCGATGTCGGCGACGAACTTCTGCGTCGCCAGCGCCAGCAGGCGCGCGAGGCGCTGGTCGGTCTGCGGCGGAGGCGGCAGGCCCGCCTTGGTCATGTAGTAGTTTGTTACTGCGTCGGGGATCTGTATGTCATTGATTGCCGCGCAAGGCAGCGAGCCGTTAGTCAGGGAAGAAATAGGGCTCGGAATGCCAAGGAGATAGGTAGAGGTAGAGCAGAGCAGGCGGGCACGGAAGGGGATGGAAGGCAAAAGGGTTCAACGTACAATCGGCGCGTAGTCGTCCATCTTGTTGAGAAAGTCCTTGAGTGAGGTATCCTTGCGCGTGACCGGTCGGGAGTCCGGCAGGGAGGGCTGCGCATCGTCTGCTGGTGCAACTGCGGGCGCCGCTGTTGCTTGCTGCTGGGTGGCCGGGGCGCCATTCGTCTGCTGTGAAGATGCGACATCGCCGGCGGGGGCGGCAACGTCCGAAGGGGCGGGCGCTTGGTCCGCTGCTGACCCGGCAGCTGCTGCAGCAGGGTTTTCAGTCGGTGGGATTGACGCCATCTTGATTGTGTGGATGGCAAGATGGTGTTGAGGAGAGATGTGCTTTGTGAGCAGGTTCCTTTGATGTTGGTGGAGGGGAGGCGGCAATGGCTGACGGACCGCTAAAAGATCTGATCACGTGCGCGTCCCTTTCTAGTGTATGTTGGAGAAACACTGTGACGAGCAACCACACAATATGCTGCCAAGAATGTCTCCTATTGATTAATTCCTGTGCGGAGTGGTTAGTTTGAAGGAATGCTCTTTATATGAGTAATTTTAATGATAAGTCTGAGCTGAGCTGGTAGTGCGCTGTCAAACTACCCTCCCACCTGTAGAGCAAGAACAGCCAACATTTCCATGCAAGAGGTATCATTCATGCTAAAGCCAGATGTCTAAAGCGAGCTTTCCTCCTCAAATTATCCCTACACTGCCCTTGCCTTATGATGTAGCCTCTCAGAATTTATCTACGTCGGCTCCTCGTAGCCGGCATCGTCTCAAACGCATCATCCTCGTCCTCCGAGATCTCATCGTCGCTGATCTCGAGCACCTTCTTCTGCGTGGCCCCCTTCCTCTGCGTGGCAGGTCTCTGCGGCTGCGAAAAGTTCAGCGTAGTCTGTTTGGCGCTCGTACGCGCCGAACTTCTCGCCGGCTGCGAGCGCTTGGCTGCCGTCTTGGGCGGAGGCGGTGCCGAGGGCTCCTCGTCCTCGTCCACAAACATGTCCTCCTCGTCAGAATTGTCAGAATCGTCCTCGAAAGGACCCTTCTTCCGTCCTCTGGTGGACCTCGCAGGTGGCTTCTTCGCCGGCGCCGCTTTCTTCGTCGCCGCTGCCGTCTTGGTCGTGCGTGCTGCCCCAGCTCGCTTGGCGGTGGTCTTTGGAGCAGGCTCTGGCGCATCGTCCATGAGCACGTCATCCATCTCTTCATCGTCATCTCCCACGCCAGGAACGTGGACCACCCTAGTGCGCTGCCGTGACGGCTGTTTCGGCATGGAATCTTGCTCACCATCGAGCAGCAAAGCTTCGGGGTTGTTCTCCCAGTGGCCCTCCATGTCCGAGTCCCAATCGTCAGGCTTGGGTTTGTATCTCTGCCTGCGGACCTTTCGCGCCTGCCCGGCAAGGAACTTCTTCTCCTGTGCTTCTCTCCACCACTGGAACTGATTGTCCAGGGGCTCCTCAGAATTCAAGGCCAGAAGATCCTTCAGCTGGTCGGCGAGCGAGCCAGACACGAATGTCTCCATGGCATGCTTGTCGTCCTTGTTGACAAACTGATTCACCGCATCACCAAACTCTCCCTGTGGCAGAATCTTGAGGGACTGCGCGGCAAGGTATTCTTGGACCAGTGCTTCGACCTTGATTGTCTCGAGATCGGCTTCGGTTTCTTGCATCTCCGGCACTGTTGTGTCATCCTTGCCTCGTTTCGTAGTGCCAGTCTTTTTCCTGTAGAAGTAGACCACATCGTTGGTGTTGGCAACCTTGCCAACAAAGCGATTTGAAAACCGCTGAGGGTTCTCGACGTCGAAACTGCTTCCCTCCGGAGCTGTGTATTCGACCTTGAGTCGTATCAGAGGCAGAGGTTGCTCCTCCGAATCGTCGGCCTCCTCTTGAACGGCCAGCCAGTCCGCGTTTGCTTGCTCAATCATCTCTTCGACCACATGCATCAGCCTCTTTGTCAACTCGTGCCGATTGTCTTTCTTCTTGACAAGATCTTTGAACCGCTTATCCGTCTGAAGGACGATTTCTTGCGTGACAAACGGCCGCACAGTCTTTAGAGGGATTTTCTCGACCTGAAACTCTTTGCCCGTGACGCTGAGAATAGCGACATGCTTCGTGACGGCCTCTCCGGGAATCAGAGAAGTGGCGACAGAGGAGCCGGGTTGCATGACGTGGAAGCCAGTCTCGGGGTTCTGCACAGGGTCAATCAGGCACTCGTGCTCGTGACCCCATACTACCAGATTTAAAAAGTCTGGCAGCATGTTCTCGGGCAGATATCCAGTGGCAGTGTGCGCGTGGTGGTTCTGGTGCACGGCGAGGATGTTGAAGAAGTCGGATTGCTGCTGATTCGGGCGGTACCACGTCACCTTGTGGTCTCTGAATGTGCGAAACATGCGTTCATCACGGACGTTGCTGAGACCAAACAGAGCGATCTTTGTGCTGCCCTTTTGCAGCATGACGGGCTTGACCTTGATGTTGTCAGCCTCGGGGATACGGCCAAAATAGTTGACCAGTCCGGCGACCTGGAGCAGATCCAGAGAGCAGAAGTGGCCCTCGCCACTGGGGTCGTCATGATTCCCGTGGATCGAGAAAACAGGTATGGAGATGTTGATATCGGGGTCTTCGTAGTTGACATGACCGAATGCACCCTCGAAGACTTCGTTGGCGTCGCTTAGAAACTCCAGCTCGCAGGGCTTCATGCCAAGGCAGTTCTTGCGCAGAGTCCGCATGACCTGGTACATGGACTTGCGGGAAGGCTTGTTGTCGTGGAATAAATCGCCGGCCAAGAGAACCATGTCGACCTGCCAGAGCTTGAGTCAGCGGGGTGTTCAGGAATTTCCAACTCAGAAGTTGGGCAGTGCAGCCATACATCCTGCTTCTTGGCGAGGCTAATAACCTCATCAAAGGTTTTCCAGCTGTCATCTTTGCGAATCGGATCTCGCTCCTCGTAGCCCACATGGTTGTCGGTGGCGATCAGTATGCGGATCGTATCGGGGTCTGGGAAGGGGTTAGTATTGGCAGAAGTGCTCGTGAAGGGTGAGGCACACACCTATGTTTGAAGCCATCGTGGGCACGAGACGACAAAAACGCTGGAACTCCACGAGAGGAAAAGGCGACAAGTAGATCTTCAGTTTCCACAGAGGAAATCAATATCCGCCGTTGAACCCAAATCCAATCGAAGACCTCGTGGTCAGGGAAGGTCGTGTTGAAGATTTTCGTCCCTCGGACCCGGGGCTTCTGCCTGGTGTAATGCCGAAGCTGTTTAATTGAATGGCGCGTCGCGGTAGCTCTCAAAGAAGGCAAGAGGGGTCTACAAACGCGAGCCCAAACCCGAATTCACGTGGTCTCAGCCGCTCCCACAAGCCTGCGGCGCCCTGTTTTTACTCCGTACAGGCAGTAGAATTCACTCCAGGGCGGTCTCACAGCGCTAGTGTTAAAGCTCAGCTGGGTCTTGTGGGGAGTGAAGTCAGCGCCATTGGCGCCAATGGGTTGGATTACTGGCTTGTTTACTTGCAAGGACTCTTTGGCGACACCAACAAAAGCGCCTCATCCCTCGACGTCACCAAACCTAGATATGTGATACTTCACCCTCACTACCCTTCCTCGACCTGGGCCAGCATGGATCCAGACAATCAGAGAGGCCCTCGACGGGCTCTCTCTCACGCTCGATCATTATTCTCAGGTGCCAGCGCTAGAGGCGCTGCCCTGGCTGCCGCTTCATCTGCTCACACTCCGCCCTCACTCGTTCAGCCGGTGAATGCAGGCCGGGAAAGAACACACAGTGAGTCTCGTGAACCTTGCTTTCTTCACGTTGTCTTCAATCATAGCCGAAATAGCCCCTCTCGGGGTTGTTTTTGTCAAGTGCAAGGGCCTCCTTGAGCTCTCTTTCATCTCATTCCTCGCCTCCAAGTCCCTCTCACCTTCTCAGCCCATCTCAACCTGAGCATCCTTTCAATATCATACTTCTACCCCAACTCCTCAGACCGTCGCATCGCCTTGAAGATGGCGTCTCGAGACCTCATACCCAGGCGGGCTCTGCAGCCTCTAAACATGAACATCCCCCTCGAGATGCGGGCCCCGGTCAAGCGACCACCCATCACCTTCGATCAGGAGAACGAGATCGACGCAGCATATGGCATCGCCATGGGCATCTATGCCGAGTCCGAGATCGACGCAGTCACTAACGCGAGATACAATCACCCACCAGGGGGCATAGAAGAGATTGAGGACTCGTCTCTGGCGGAGTACTACGAGAGTTTTGACGCGGGCGACCTCGAGGCCGACGCCGAGGTCGATAACGCCGACTGGCCGGTCAATCGCCGCTTCAGGGAGGCGCTGGAGGAGCACGGGCTGGACGAGGACGAGGACCTCGACGAGCTGATTGGCGACCCGGACGAGGACAGCCAGGCAGAGGACGACTTTGACCAGACGGACCACGACAAGTCCGAGCTTCAGGACGCGGCGCCCGTCAACCTGTTTGATGCCGCGGCTATGGGCCTCAAGGAGATCAACAACCTCGCCCACTTCAGCGTCAGCAGCCACAAGCCTGGCAATGGAGTCGAGGAGCTCTTGCACGATGACTTAGATAAGTACTGGCAGTAAGTTCAACCCCTCATCTCATATCATCTCACAATATATCATCCCGCCGCCTTTCATCCATACAGGTCCCTCTGCTCACACGAGATTGCACAAAACCAGATCAGACGGCCAGCAGCCTCACCTCCTGACCATCCACTTCCTCCGGCGCGTCGAGATCCGCGCCATCCGGTTCTACGTCGACTACAGCCAGGACGAGTCGTACACGCCCACTTTCGTCGTCTTCTCGGCGGGCACGGGCCACCACGACCTCGTCGAGTTCGCGTCGCTGCCCCTGTCGAGCCCCATCGGCTGGCAGGATATCGACCTGTCCAACGTGGGCGGCGGCGACGACGGCCGCTCGCTGTGCTGCTGGATCGTGCAGATGCAGGTCAAGGAGAACCACCAGAACGGCAAGGACACGCATATCCGCGGCATCAAGCTGTACGCGCTCGACGAGTCGGTCGCCGGCGGGGCCTACGAGGAGGGCGCGCTGCGCGAGGTCGAGCACCTGATCGACGAGTCGCCGCGGCGGCAGAGGCAGCAGAACGCGTACCACGGCCTGGACGAGGAGGACGCCGAGCTCTACTTCTTGTCGCGTTCGCCGGGCAAGGCGAGCGGCGATGCGGGATTCGGTGGCATGGGCATCCCGGACTTCATGCGCGAGCCCGAGATCCGATGAGCTGGACGCGATTATTGTGTGGCAGCGTTCAGCACTCTGACACGGCCAAGTCTATTACATGGATTGAGCGGTGGTGTTGCCTTTTTGCATTTCATGATGGGCGTTGGGGATACTGGTTCAGGAGATGGGACATGCATTATGATACCCAATGGCAGTCATGGTGACGATGGAAAACTGTGGGAAAAGCAAGCATGGCATCTCTGGCCTCCATGCCGGATGGCACATGGACAAGAGAAAGGAGCACTATGAGCACTAGCCAGATCAACTTACCTGATGAATATCGATAAACATATGCGCCCGAGGCTTCTGTGACTTTTTTGGCTGGCGATACACTGCTAACTGCTAAATCATTTAATGCAAGGAGCCCTTCGTGGATACATCCAATGACATGACCGTAAAGAGTTGACGGTAAAAGGATACGAAGGGTCAGACTGAACCTACAATACGCATGTCAAGGTCCATTTCAAGCAAAAAAGAAAAAGGTCCAAGTCCAGAGCAACAGATCACCAGGGCAAAGCTTCTTCTTCGCGTCCCGGGAACCAGCCCGAGAGCGCAATGAAAAAGAAATGAAAGAGGCCTGTCAGACGTCCATCGGCACCCACCCCGCCCAAGCGCCCGAAGGCAAGACCCTGGGAAATCGGGGTAAAGATCATCACCAACTCTCTAGTACAGCACCGTCGGACCCCGAAGGGAAAGACGGGCCGCCGCCTTTGCAGGCAGTGCGAGAAGTTCCGGCTGCTACACCGGTGGTATGCTTCACTCTAGGGCGCCGAGGATTTTTGGTCATCAACCAGGGTGGGATCTGTGGCTCTTTTAGGGAACCAAGAAGAGGACAACTACTATAGAAATGATTCTCTGAAGTATTGTCGACATGAAGAAAAAAAAGAAGAAAAGGAGAACTGAAAGTTCAGCGTGGGCGGCGGGATTTTTATAGAGGCGGCGGGTGGTCCGTGCCCCGCCCTGGCGAGCCTGCAAATTTTGTGTACTGCCGTGCCTCACCGCTAAAATTTCGAGACACCGCCCACGCGACAGGGGCTTTCTGCCGATTTTCGCATCTCAGCGGCTGCAGTGCAGATTTTTACTCTTGCCAACCACGTCCGAGGGCGCGATGCATCAGGTGCGATGTTAAGAGGCTCGTCATGATGCATATGAAGGGATGATTGATATGCGGCAGTTCTCTAACCATGGACAGCATCCTTCGATCGATGGATTCCCCCTCCAAGATCTACTGTTTTACCGTCTTTCCTAGGTGCAGACATGTAGATCAATACCTCTGATCGTGAGACTTGCTCACATTTCAGTCATACCTAGGTAGTTGCAATCGCAACCAATACACCATTCATCATCCTTCCTCCTCCTCATACAGTCCCTCCCGCTCAATCCACCTCCCGACCTCCGGGCTCACCAGCTTCCCCAGCGCCGCCCAGTCCTTCGCCTTGGCCGCCGCCCTCGCCAGCGTGCTGCTCACAATCTCCTCTCCTTCCCGCCGGCCCTCCACGAGGTCAATCTTGTCCGCCCACTCCTCCCGCCCGCCGACCTTCCTCAGCAACCCGTCGGGGCCCTTCAGCCCCTCCACGTACCGCACCTGCTCCTCCCGCCCGCCCCACTCGTCGTCGGCCCTCATCACCACCCTCAGCCGCGCGCGCCCAAAGAACGGCGACAGCGCCCTCTTCATCGGCGTCTCTTCTCCTGCAGAGGGCTGGTAGTTGGGCGACGCCGGCGAGCTGTAGTACTTGGGGTTGAAGATCCGAATCAGCGTGTCGTAGCCCGTGAGGAACTCCTGCTCCTGCTCCTGCTCCTGCTCAGGCCCGTCGGCGCCATAAAACCCATCCTCTGCAATCGCAGAACTCTTGTCGTGAAAGTAAGCCTTCGTCGTGAGCGCAATGTCGATGGGCATCCCGCCATCATCCCGGCCCTCTTGCTCTCCTCCTCCTGCCCGCTCCGCGCCCGTTCCCGCGCCCGATAGCTCCCCGTGCATGTCCCTCGCAAAGGCCCACATCATCGCCATCCGCTGCTCGAACCCCGCCGGCTTGGGCTTCTTGTCCGCGTTGTTGACCGACAGCAGCAGCACCAGCCTCTTACTACTGCCGCCGCCGCCGCGCAGCGCGTCGACCGCCATCCGCATGTGCGCCTGCGTCGGCGGGTTGAACGACGAGTCCAGCACTACCAGTCGCCGGCCCGCTCCTGGCGATGGCGATGGCCGTGGTGGTGGTGGTAGTGCGTCGGCTCCCCTGGGCATCTCCCGGCTGGCATGGCCGGCGGTGCAGAGGACCTGGAACCCGCGACCCGAGGCCTGGAAGTCGGCCAGGGCCCGGGCGAAGAACTCCCGCACGGGCCGGTGCGACGGGAGCATCTGCTGCGCGCGCAAGGAGCGCTCGATGAAGGCTGGCAGGGGCGGCGGGCGCGCGGGGACACTGGCGGCGGGCTGTTCTTCCGACATTTGCGGGGCAAGAACTCTGGCCAGGCTGTTTGATGCGGTGCTTAGAATTGGCAATCAAGGGCTAGCTACATGAGACAAGATCCTCGGCACAAGTCTGACCTCAAGGTAATTCATTCCCGAGTCTTCGAGCTACGTTGACTACGACGTTAAGTTCAGGGGTTGGAACACCCGTGATCATCTGGATGTACGTAGGTAGGTCTGTGGACCAAGCGGGGTCAATTCTCACACTTACGGACCAATCCCGGAGAGCAAACCTGGTACGGCAGAGTGAGTGCTGCACCCACGGCTATGAGAGTGTGTCGTGCGAGCTGCTTAGTTTTGTCGGCATCCAAGTACAACAACTATGAACTGAGCAAAGCGCTTTCATGGGATTTATTCATCTCCGATCCTTCCGCAATAAGACGATGGCAATCTATGGACTCATAGCAAGCCCTCTTCCCCAGAAACCAGCTTTCACACCCTGTTTGCGCTTGTGTGCCTGTAAACGAGAAAACACGTCGTCCAAAGGAAATAGTATTATCGGCGTCTGGGAACATAGGAGAGATACCACGCCATGCCCCTTTCTGCCCCTTATATGCTTCTCCCGGATTCACGATGACGACCCGACCCTGGTACTCCAAGTGACAAGACAGGAAAAAATGGAGAGTTTTATCAGAACGCTAGCCGGTGACAACAGCCGATAGTTCTCTCAATAAGCAACACCACTCTTCGATCGCCCAATCGTCTTAAACGAGATAAAGTTGCCGTCGCTGCCCATCCTATCAAATCGGCTCGGACCACCCGCTGCGCCGATGGTGTCCATGCCCGAGGACGTGCCGCTGAAGAAGAAGCCCACCACGACGACCAAATAGCTCAGCAGGAGGATGCTGCCCTTGAAGTAGTTGCTCTTCCCTTCGCCGTACATGTAGCTGAGGAGGAAGACGCAGAGGATGACGGTGACCATGTCCCACTGCGGGAACAAGAGAGAAAAGGTGTAGTGCGAGGGGTCGAGGTCGGGAGGCAAAGTCAGGGGCCCAGGCGAGAGGGCCGAGTAGAGCACCAGAGCGGGGATCTGCAGCAGGCAGACCTGCAGCGCGTACGCGGAACCAATCTCCATAGAGAGCGCAATGTTGCCGTTCATGGCGAATGAGATGGCGTTCTATCAAAGCTCATATTAGCAAAATGGATTCATCAGCGAAGGCAAAGGTGGCGCCGTAACACTTACCAGAAACTCGGTCGTGTTGGGCACGAGCGCAAACAGAGTGATGCCGAGGAACTTCTCATCGATCGCAAACCCCTCGAGAACCACATCGACCGTGTCGACCAAGATCTCGGCGATGATAGCGTAGAGCACAGTAGCACCCATGAGAATGATCGAGGACTTGAGCCGGCTCCAGTTGGGCGCGTCGTGGCCGCCGTGAGCTGCAGCACCAGAGTGGGCAGTAGCCGTCGGATCAGCGGCGGGGTCATGGTCGGGGAGCGTGGTGGTGCGGACGGGAACGGGGCGCGGGGTGCCGAGTGCGGCACGGGTAGTGGTATCGCGAGCGGAGATGCGGCGGTTGTGGTGCAGAGGGTGCGACGAGTCCCGAGCAGCAATCGTGGCGGCCGTAGCTGCTATCTCGGCAACCTGGTGAGTGAGATCATTGTTCTGGGCGTCAGTTAGACCGGGAATGTGCACGGTGTGAGCATGGTCTGCGTCCACTGCCTTGGGCGGGACGACATGCGGTGTCAGAGAACCGTTGGCAGGGCCCGACATGGAACCGGTGCTGATAGCCGAGCCGTGGCGACTGAGGGTATCTAGCCGGGGTTGGAGCCCTGCCTGTTTGAGTGACTGACCGAGGATTCGCTTATAGAGGTGGGAGTCGCGAATATCAGCGCCAGAGGCTTCAGCTACAGAAGGCATCACGGAGCTCCGAGGCAGCGTGTGCACCTCTTCCTGCTTCTTCTCCTCAACCTCGGTGTTCCAGATGACGGCAGCATGGGTCCGGAGGGTAAACCACAGCCCGATGATGTAGGAGAGGAACAGCATGCCAGCGGCGAGATAGCAGTAAGGCCTGACAGCCTCAATGTAGAAGCGGTCATCCAGAGCGGGGACCTGGGAAAAGTAACACCGTCGACAGTCACGCGCGGTGGACTTATCCTCCGCATCGAAGTTGACGCAGTCGAGACAATTGAGCTCGTGCGTGCCGTAGATCTGGTAGAACAGAGTCGGCCCAAACGCGCCGATGACGGCAAAGAGCAACATGGTCGAGGTGACACCGGCTGATCTGGCATTGAAGCGCTGCGTCTTCCTCTTGATGGCACCGAAGCACATGGAGAGGCCCGGCAGGAAGAGAATGCCGGCGAAGATGCTGCCGACGATACTACCCTCGACAAGCTGGCCCTTGCCCTGCTGGAGAGCAACACAGTAGAGGAAGACCTCAACAATCGTCGAGAAGAAGGCGTTGATGGCTGCGCCCAAACCCATGGATGACTGAGCGGAGATGGAAGCCACCGCCTGTCCGATGAAGTAAGCTAGGGGGATGATGGAGAACAGGCCAGCTACGAAAAGGAATGCCGGTGAGGTGACGAAAATGTCGATGTGCAGTACGCCTTCCAGAACAAGCCAGTCAAAGATGACAAAGAGGACGACGGCCATCAGGTTGATGAGGAAGATGTTGGTGCCGTCAACAGTGTACTTCCAGTACTTGAGGCCGACGGCACGGTAGGTGCAGACGATTATGGACGAATGGGGAGCAGCAGGCGCCCTGGCGGACGACAGGTCGGACTCGAACGACAGGGCCAAGGGGTGGCGTCTGAGGTGGTCAAACAGGAGCATGGTCACCTTTCCCATGGGGATCCAGAAGACCAAAAACCAGCAGATTCCCGACACGATAAAGAGCGACGGCGCGACGAGACCGTAGAAGAAGACGAAGAAGATGACGCGCCCAATGTTCCACTGTCCACGGCCAAAGAGACGCCTCTTGATGCGAGGGAGGTCGGGGTCAGAGTCGCCGGCATGGTCGCCGCGTCGCATGCGGCCCAACAGGCTGTCGGTCTCGCTTGGCTCCGAGTCGATGCTTCGTCGGGAACGGCCGATGATGGAGCGGTTCCTCTCAGGACCAAAGAAGAGACGGCCATACTCGAGATCGCCACTCTGCCACTGCTCGTACTCGCTGATGCTGCGGCCTTCGCCCTGGTCTTCATCCAGATACATGTCCTGCTGCTCGAGCCTGATGAACTTGCCGAAAGGATAGAAAAGATAGCCAGACAGGCCCCACAGCACACGCCCGTACTCTCTGCCGCTGGGAGCGGCAGCAAAAAGAAAACAGACGAGAGCACCGGCGAAGGCTATGATGGACATCCACCAGCCAAAGCACAGCGTCCAAATGAGGTTGAAAAACAGCAGCCAGTTGCTGACCCTCCCGCCGGGCGAGGAGTGGATGTCGCCTTCAGCGTTCTTCTGCACGGAGCGGTCCTTCTTGTACAGAGCGGGCTTCCATAGCCTGATACCGAAGGGATGTGTCTCGTTGATGGCTTGCTGCCTGTCCTTGAGGGTGAAGCTCTCGGCATCGCTTAGGTCTCCGTCATCTTCGTCCTCATCGTGGTGGACCTCCTCGTCCTGGTCGTCAACGCCCTGCACGGTCGCCAGGTCTTCCTCCTCGCCGGGGTCATGATCCTCGGGCGGATCGATATGGCCGCCGTGGGGGAGATGGGCAGGGTGCGGCGCCTCTTCCTGGTCGGTTTCGTCGGGCGTGTCCTCGTGGGCAGCTTCGCGATGGGACCGGACTCGGGACAGAGATGGGGTGGCAGCAGCAGTGCGCCGCCTGACCGAGGCGGCAGTGTTGGAGTAGCTGGTGTTCCTCTCGGCCTGGTCGGCCTCGACCTCGTCTAGGGCATCGTCGACGGAAAAGACCTCACCCCTGTGAGGAGCTTGGGTGTTGCTCGAAGGGCGTCGGCTCATGGGGGGTTTTCGTGGTTTTCCTCGACCTCGATCGGGTGCTGGCATGGGAGATCGGGCAGAGGGTATGGACTGGCCGGTGCCGGATCGCGAGTGGTGCCCAAGTTCGGTCGGGGTGCCTTCGATGGGCAGCTGGGAAGGAGTGGACTGGGATGGCGACAGAGTCGTACCTAGAGAGAGAAGAAAGGGAGTATACATTAGCTAACATCCCGGCTGGGCAAGAGTGGGACTGAAGGCTTGCAGCTGAGAGGAGTTCTTGGCTTCGAGATGGCGCCAGGGTACATACCGTAGCTGGGTTCAAACCTTCGACGAACGGTGTCGGTAGACTGGAAGCTCTCGGAAAGGCCGTCATCGCGTCCGGTGATGGGCTCGAATCGGGCGGGAAATCTGTTGTCGGTGGGCGAGGGAGGCGAGGATTCACGACTGTGCTGCGACGACGCGCGGGCATCGCGTCTATTCGAGTCCATGGTGGATGTGTGTGAAACGGAAGCCCATGGGCGACTTCAGAAGGGACAACAGTCGTGTCTGCGAGGGTGTGGCGGATGCGGAAACCACGGTGCCGCCGTTGCTGGAGACTGAGGCTGCAGGCAGTGCGGAGATTTAGTCCCAAGTTGCACGGTGGGCAGTTGAAAACGTCAACACGGGACGATGCGACCGGCAGGGGCGGGAGGAAAGGAAGGAAAGGAACAGACAGAACAGATTGAAAACACACAACTCTGTCAGACCATGACAGACGAGAGGAATCTGGGGAAAGGTAGGAGGAGGGTGAGACAGTGGCTCGGCCGGCGCGGGAATGTGATGATTCAAGGTATGAAGTGGTGCTTGCGTCGACAAAAGGCGGCCATGAGGTCTCAGTTGGACACACAATTCGGATGGTGGCCCCCCTCAGCTGGTGTTGGGCCTGCTGCTCAGCACCAATTGCACGGGGCACCCGCTGACGGGAACGAAGATAGTGGAGGAGGAGTGGGGTCCACGGGTGATGGAGTGGGTGTCACAGGGCACTAATGCTCAGTAGCTGCAGCCCTGGTCTTCAATCCATCCATGGATGGTGTTGTCTGAGCCTTAGGTAAAAGGAAGGCTGGGGATAAAGCACTACCTAGGATGCCCATGGTGTGCATTCAATACCATACTGTTTTGTCTTCTTTAAAAGAGTCCAACCTGTGCTTTGACATGAGAGTTGATCCCGTTCTTTGTTTCGCAAGTCTTCCCAGGCCATTTCCGCATGGGCCGTTAGATCTGCAAGTCCATCGCTTGAATAAGCTCTCGTCCCCTTTGTATTGACTTGGCGTCCAGTCCAGTCAGTTGACCGCCGTCTCGTCACAAAAGCACGATGATGTCGTCTTGCGTTGACTCGCTACTCGCCGAGTGGATTCGGGTGGGACCACAACCAGCGCCCAGCCGGCATGTGCGCTGACGAATGGACATCGCTGTGTTTACTTGTACATGTATTCCGCTAATTTGATGTTTTCGGCCCACATCCATCTCAGCCAGCTCTACGGAGTAGGCATAGATTTCAAGGAGACCCAAGCTGCCTCCAGTCGCTAGCTCAATTCATGCGAGCAAGTCCTCGTTGCTGTAAAGTAGCCACAAGTCGCACGCGCAAAGAAACTATCAGATAGCCCGAGGAGTTAGCAAGGGCTACAGAAACGAACGAGTGCGGGATTGGTACCACTGACTCTGACTCCATGGCATCACATGTTCTAAATCTACACGTTGGAAGGGAATAATTATGGCCAGCGACACCTTCCTGGCCGCAGTATATAGCATTTGTCACGATGTCATGCTTGCACGTTGCTTTGGGCCCGTCACCGAACCCCTGCCGTGTTCGGTGTTTGGTACGAGTAGTTGGAATGGTCGACAGGCTGGAAGCATCCAAAGATATTAGCAAAAGGCGTGATGTGGACCAGAGGGTGAGCCTTCTGGCCGCAGATATTGGCTGTGACAATAGCGTCTCACAGCTGATAATCCTAAGACCAGACGTCCGTACTTGAGGCCGTTGTAGCATATTCCTCGAGACAGATGACCATGACGTATGGCGAGGATAAGTCTCTGCACCGGAGGAAGTAGGAGTTGTTGTTGGTGTTGTCGTCTTTGACAGATCCGAGGTGCCAACGGCGCCTTCGTTTGATAATGGTTACTGGGAGAAGATCCAACCTCGCATGGATTCGAGGAAAATACTGCAAGTGTGACTGCTACGGCAACACGTCGGCCAGACGAGGGTCGTCTCGTGCGGGAACCGCAATTGGATTTTTACCGAGACCAAAATCGTTGACGAGCGTGTGGGAGAAGGCGTTGGCAATTTGAAACTCGCCCCATGCGTTGGGGTGCAAGCCGTCGGAACCTACAAAATACGGCGAAGCAGTGATATTAGCATGGGGAGGCTGCCTCTCACGCAGAGCATCGGTCGCACGGGGTGTGTTTACCTGCTGGACATCCGCCGGGCTGACAGTCCTGCAACCAACAGAAATAGTCAATGTCAGAAAGGTTGAAATACCAAGTAGTCGCCGGCCCAACACGTCACTTTTGCATCAAGAGGACACTCACATAGTTCTCTTGGAGATGCACCAGATGAATAGGGGACTGCGCGGTTGACCACTGTGGGATATAGTTGGCAAGTAACGTGTTATACACCTTTGTGTTTTGAACAAGATCTTCTCGGCCCTCCATAAAGCTTCGCTGAGGGACGTTCGCCATGGCGATCTTGATGTCGGGGTTGGCTGCTCGGGCGTTGGTGACGAACTTTTTGACGTTGTCGATGGTGCCGGCAGCATCGCTATAGAACCAGCCTATATCGTTGAAGCCGAGCATATAAAGAATAAGGTCGGCGGGTGTGGACTGGAGAACACCCTGGATCAGTCCTTTGTCTACTGCCACAGCCCTGCCTAGAGATCATGCGGTGTCAACTCAGGGTCCTGTGCCTTTGTCGATGTGTCTTCCACATTCGGATATCACGTACCCCTGAACAGAACATGTCAGCAAGGATACTCTACCAGCTCGCCTGAAGCGAATCCGGCACATCCCTCCCCCTTCACAACCCTCTTAGATCGCATAGCACGCCTGCCCAGAAAAAACATCGCAGGACGCTAGTGAAGAGAGAGAGCCGGGATAATTGCAAAGAGGGGAGAACAGGGTGCCAATGACTCATCAATAGCACCTACCAGGCAGAAAAGTGGTTGCAGTTCGACAGGAATGCCGAGTCCACGTCCGAAGCATAGGTGCCGGTCGTTCTGGGGCTGTTAGGAGAAGGCGACGGGCCGTGCAGAGGTGGCAGAGAAGACGGGGTGGCAGCATCCGGAGGCATCTGAATTCCGGCTTGTTATGCTTAGGTTCCGCCATCTACAATCTTTGCAAGTTTGGATCAGAGGCGATACATACAGTGCCATGGTATGGTCCGACCATGTCAACATCAATGCCGTTCTGCTGGAAGAACTGCCAAATTCGGTAGCGCCACGTATAATCGCCTTCCTGACCTATGTCAATGATATTCGTCAGAACAGAGTGAGCTTTTATCCCTCGTCAGCCTATTCATCATACCTTGGGACATTGAATCACCAACAACCATTACCCTGAGGGCCGACTGTCGGTCAACAAGAGATGAAAGGGGAGTCGATGCGATGGTGCTGGGGCTGTTGTCTGTACTGCCAGTTGTCGCAACACCAGTCAAGTTGGGCAGCTGGCCCAGGACAAGACCAGAAAAGAGAAGACTGAGTCTTATGATGCTAGAGATATCAAGGCCTGGCCCAGGCGAACTATGATTGACACCCCACATGATTCAGGAGGTCATAAGTTATGTAGTAGTCAACCGAAAGCGAACCGGTCTTCGTTCCTCGGTTTTGGAATTCAATGCACGGGGATGTGGCATTACGGGTCGTTTTGTAATTGTTCTACGAACTGTACTGGTCCAGCAGATCCATTTAGACATTCCATGATAATAAAGCACCTGGAAGTACCGGGGTTCAAGTTGGTTGCTGGTCCACGGAGTTCCGGGGCTCCGGGTCACATTGAATCCAACATGTTATTACTGACTCGGTCGTAAATTGTACCGTTTATCATGATCCTTTGAATGTTGGTCTTCTCGACCAATCAATTGGTCTGGGAGCTTTGACTGTTGGTCTCTTGATCAAGCAGGTGGCCTGCTAGCTTTGATGTTGGTCTGTCGATCAAGCAGTCCTGCAGGGGCGCATGATTATTGTACGATTCGCAAGCAAGCTAGGAACAACCTGTCGAAGTGCTCAGCTGAGTGTAGGCTAAGGCGACTGGCCACCTGCCTAATGGAGACTAAGGCATCTATTCAAATACAAGAAGTCCTTCGACTCCGCATGCAGCTGAAAACCTGATCATCTAGCACCCGGTCGTCGGTTCATTGCGCTCTACTGAAAGTTGGAGAAAAGTAGTCACACTGGCTATCAGCAAGAGGCGAACTTGCCAGTTGAGCTGATCATTCATAACCCGTGAGATTATGCTCTGGTACCGGTTGTAAGTAAACCTTCTTTTAAAGGATGAGCCTACATTCTTGATTGTTCACAACCCTTGTTCGTTGGCACTTGGTTGATCGAGGAGGTCTGAACGTTTGGTGTAACTCCAGTCCCTGTCGCGCGGTATCACATGCACGTCGGCTTGAACATCCGGAGATGATGCCGCTCGAATCATGAGGGGTAGGCAAGTTTGGTTGCATTGCATGTGTCTAGCGTGCGTGTGTCGCGACAAGCGCCAACACGCTGACTCCACTACTCCGTACTCCGAGCACCGAGTGGGTTGTGTCAGGTCCTCCTGTCTGGGGTGAAACCGGCCAGTCCGGGAATTCATCCAACGATGTGTCTATCCTCCATCACAAGCCTTCTATGTCAGGTTGACAGACTCGCAGTCTTTGGTGCTCAGTGGACACTGTCCAGAGTCTAGGCAGCAAAAGACACCTGGCACAGAGCCTACATGTCCCTTCAGATTAGCATGGAGATAATGCTAAAAAAGACCAGCTTCTTGGACATCACGTTCATATTCAACCCCGCTCGGTATCTATTGTTTCGAACAGATACACTGCCATCATGGACCAGGAGCGACGCAGCCAGATCGAAAAGGCGTTGCGCCAGTATCGAGAAACAGTCTATCAGCACAACGTCCACCTGCTGCACGTTCTAGTAGAAACTCTTGAGGCGCTGCCCGAACAAGTTCAAAACCAATCTCGCCTGCATACGCTCGCGCGTGAGATCATGTGGGAGCCGCTCCCCGAATCTGTCAAAGAGCCACGAGATATCCTTAATGAGACTGTCTTGTCCTCGTCTTGGCTTGATGGGGTCTACCCTGGACCAGTCGATCCACGAAGAGAAGAGTATTTTGCAGGTCTCCGCACCCGTATCGCAGAAACGAACATCGCGATGCCTGAGCTTGTTCCTGCAGATCTCGAGTATATATGCACACTCGTCAACGCCATCACAGGCGCGGGGCTGCCATACTATAATCTTATCAACGGTGTTGAATTCATATCGTCCCTTGAAGACCACGACATGGAAGACATGATGGATAGTGTGGAAGTTCAAGTCCGGGACGTGGACGGCACTGTTCCTCTTGAAGAACTCACTGCATTGACATTCTTCTGGGAGGATTGGGATATTGCTGTTTCTTTTAAGATTGGGACTGGTGAGCATGACAGCGGCTCATACGTTATTTACTGTAAAAACGACGAGGCGGGATGGAAATGGAGATATGGTATTCGGGACTGCGATTGGACTAGCGAGCTCTACGACACCGTCGAGGAATTCCTTGGCTTCTACGCTCACTTCAACCAATGGTCAGAGGAAGAGCTTATTGAGAAAGTTCTCAGACGCTCCGTACCTCAGGGATTCAGCAAGGATGAAATCAAGGGGAAAATCCTATCTTTGATATCCTCTCGTCTATCCACCCTGACCCTTTAGCTAAGTAGCCACAGAAGTGAGATAGTACCAAGAAGCCTCCAGCCTGAAAGCCTTTGGAACATGCGATGTGCAGCAACTTGTTGGTAAGTCAGGGAGCCATGCTAGTGGCAGGATATGATCCTGTCCATGACGTACTTGACTCTCGACACCGTGTTGTGGGAACACGGAGTTTATCGTAAGTTCACTAGTAGAGCCTTGTTGAATAAAGCAAGGGAGGCCAATAAGCTCAACTGCACACGCAGGGCTCAGGCGCAAGCAACTTTACAAGGACCATCTGATTTTAGTACCGCATATACACACAACCAGGATGAGGATCCAAACTGCTTTATTCTTCATCATTAATTTGACTTGCGCAGCCCAAGCCCACACATTCTGCCGGAGCATCTAGCAGCAGAATCTAAGAAGTCCCATCGTGCAAAGCTGCTATAGCGAAGCAGCGGCGAAAAGCCTGTAATACAACGGCTTGACGACAGCGTCCTTAAGTCACCACTCGGTCAAGGATAGAGACAAGGGCCGAACCAACCTTTCAACGAGCCACGTCGAGGCAGGGTCTTGCAATTAAACTCTATGTTTCTCCAAGACGAAAGTCAACACGACGAATTAATACCAATCCGCATATGTCGTACTCATCAAGACGCACTTAAGCCACGACCCCATGCGCAGCCCTCAGGGCCTCAACACTATCCCGATCATACTCCTTCTTCCTCCCCAGGCTGTCGACGTACATGAACGTGTGCACGCTCCCGGGGTACCTCTTGACCCGGACCCTGACCCCGCCCTCCTTCAGCTTCTCCGCGTACGCCTCCCCTTCGTCCCGGAGGGGATCCATCTCCCCCGTGCGCATAAAGGTCTCGCACAGGCCCGCCAGGTTGGCGGCCTTGATGGGCTCGACCCACCACTCGGGCCACAGCGCCCTGATCTCGTCGGTCCTGTCGGGCGGGAAGCACTGGAGGCCGAACCAGTGGATGCGCGCCCAGGGCAGGACGGGCCCGTTGTAGAACTCGACGAAGGAGCGGTAAGGCGAGTCGGTGTAGTCCTTGTAGGTCAGGGCGTCGGAGGAGGGCGCCACGGAGGGCATGGCCAGGCGCAAGGGGATACCCGCGTCGCGGGCCATGTGCTGGAGGACGACGGTGATGTGTCCGCCTGCGGAGATGCCGCCTATGGAGATGGACTGAGGGTCGATGTTGAGGAGTGAAGGCGATGTGTGGACCTGAGGAAACTGTCAAATGGCCGTCCATTGTCCATTATTTCACAACACCGGTGTGAGGGGGTTGCATAACTAGCTTACCCAGTTCAAGGCGGCGAATGCGTCCTCGAAACATTTACCCCAGACGGTTTCTGGAGCCCGTGTTAATAATGATTGCAAAGAGACTAGAAAGCAAGTGGTGCTAGCTGACCTGGACAATGGCGATAGTTGACATCGACAATGACAACTCCGGCCCCATCCCGCATGCTCAAACACAGCGACGCCTCAGACATCAAGTCACCCAGGACGAAGCCTCCGCCTGCCGGCAATTCGACTTATTAGATCAGGGCATTCTCAATATTCGTATACAGAGTGATAGCTCTCTCACCATGAAAGTTCAAGTGCACCGGATAAGGCCCCTCCCCAAACCGTGCCGGGTCCGGCGAGTACACCCGCACGGGGAACCTGGCGCCGTCCTTGGAGGCGACCTCGTAGTCCTTGACGCGCTCGTAGCCGGACGTGTCGAGAGCGCAGGGGGCCCGAAACTTCTCGGGGCTGGCGCGCACCAGCTCGATGGTCATGTCCTGGGCGGGGGGCACCTTGCTCTGCACATCGATAAAGAACTGTATAAACTCCGGGTCGAGCCGGTCGAGGATATGGCGCGGGATGGCATCTGTAGGGCTTGCAGGGCTGCCCGAGGGCGCGGAAGCTGTAGCACTACTCGGGAGCTCCCCTTGGTCTGCCATGATGAACGTGGACTTGCAAAGGACTTTTTGCTGGTTTGCTGGGGGATCCGGAGTCGGAGAGTTGTAAGTGAGGGGTTGAGATAAAGGGTCTCGGGTCTCGGGCTATGAACGGCAGTTCCCAAGTGCCGTGGTGGGTAACTGTTGAAACCCCCTTACCACCTCTTTTATCACCCCCATCTGAATGATCTGCTCGCCTTTCGAAGTTACTGAAGAGACTCTATACAATTTGATCAAAACTCAACGTATGAATCAACGTCCTCTTCAAGCCTCGGCTGGTATCATGGTTTTGTCGCTAGGATATTACTTACCATTCCTGGATTACCCCTGTCATTCATATTGACAGCTATCTGATGCTTGAAGGAGCGGAGCATAAGCTTCGAGCACTGAAGTATGGGCAACGATGTGGTAGTGACAAGTGGAAACTGGTATAGTCATCACGATGAAGCTCATCAGGGACGTGGAGCGCACACAGAAAGGGCGCAAAGCTCTCTCAGGTAAGGAGAATAGATACAATCAAGGGGGTCACGAATCCAAGAAAGGGACGGTGTAATGAACGAGCCTGAGGGGATGGCACGCTGGCAGGTGGTCGACTCAATCGCAGCCGAGTCCTCTGTTCAGGCAACATCTGTTGTAGCCACACTGGGCCAAGCAGCTCGTTGGGCAGAGGTCGAACTCGACGGGCCTGAAGACCCACGGCCATCAAGCGACGTAACCTCACAGCTGAACATTCCATCAATCCTTTTTCGTCACACATAGCGCATCGACACTCGCAAGGGCTGTATGTAGCGGGATCCCCGTGGTGAGGGAGAAGAATCTTTTGGTTGATGTTCTTTTTTTCGAATTCGCAATGCAAATTCCGGGACTCCATTCTTTAACAAATGAAAATCAAGATCCGAACGGTGCCGTCGTAGGTAGATGTTCCTGCCGTGTGCCGTTCCCCAGAACCGATCCGCATTCCATGGTGATGATGATGATGATGATGCTTGTGCTGTCCCATCGTCTTCGTAGCCGTCCTCTCGTTACTCCTCCGCTGCGTCCTCCCACGCGCCCATCTCTCCGCTTATCGCAGACGCCTGGCCTCACGCTCGGACTCGAGGAGGACAAGGATGTCGTCCTCACGGACTGTGAACGCGAATCTGTTAGCAATGGCCAGTTCCTCTTCCCTCAGTATGAACGGCCTATTGGGATTGTGAGAGCATACCGGGACCCTTGACGTTTCGGATGATGGAACGGGTCTGGTCGTCCATGAACTCGACGCGGACCTGGGTGACACCACCACGAGAACCTATTTGCAACTCAAGTCAGCGTATGTCGTTCCGTCCCAGACGCTTCCCTCTTGTGCCCTCGTCTCCGTGTCCCATCTAGAAGAGCCTCCATCTGACCGTCGGCCATCGTTGTTGATCGTTCGAGAGAGACGGTAGAGACACGAAGACGAGGGCGGAAGCGGGGTTGCACGCTGGGCGAAGGAGTCAAATCGTACCGGTACGGCCGAGGACACGGGTGACCTTGACCAGCTTGACGGGGGCCTTTGAAGCATCCATTTTGAGATGATGTGTTGGAAAAGTCTGGGTATTGACTTTGGTGATTGTTCGAGGGCGACGCGGGTGAGGAGGAGTGGAAGATGGATTTGCAGGCGCTCAGTTCAGAAAAGCCGATATTTTCGTGACGGTGGCAGCAGATTCGACGCAACTTTTTTTTTTGGTGCGCTGGTGGAAACCCTTGGGATCCATAATGAAGGGCGAGGTCCAATCAGAAAATCCGAATCTCTCAAGCGAGCGGCTCCACTCTTTTAATTGTAAGGCGGCTCGGAATAACTAATTGGTCGCTTTTGTAGTGGGGGTTTACAAGTACATTTGATGTTCCAGTCCTGCACGACTGGAACACCGAATTGGAGCTCACTCCAAGCACTCCAAGCTCCATGCAAGCTCCAGGTCCCTCCCTGTAACACTCTCTAGGGGTACTTCAGCCAAACCACAGGTACAGTAGACTCGCTGGCTGGTGCATGCAAGCGTGATACTGGAATGTTTATGCCGACGTCCACTTGGGCTCTAATGGTTTTCTCTCTACTAAAGCTAATGGCAGCGCGTCTCTCTGGTTCGGGTCGTCATTGATGTGTACTTTGATGTTTACTTTATGGATACGGCAGACGGTGGTTGCTGCCCAGGCGCGGACTGTTGCTCAGGAACCAAGGTGCCATTCGAAAGTGCTTCAGACTTTGAGGTATTGCCAGGCACACGTAGTGAACCATGTGTTCACGAGATGAATGCCATCTCTCTCGAAAAGGTCTGAACTTGGTTGACGTTTGGTATCTAAAAATGCTCGTGACAAATGTATCCATCTGTCTATGAGTGAATCTAAAATCTTCCCCCTTTGTCGCCCGACCATCTCTCCCCTGTGCTCCCTTCTCGGTCCTCGTCTACACACAAACCCTCCCCCCTGCTCGTCACCCTCATCCATCCCTCCACAGAGGACCCCCCGCCCTCCTGAAGCCTACGCGATCCAGAACCAGACCTTCTGCAGCCAATTCTTGGCCACGGGCTCCGCCTCCCTGTCCCGCGCCTCCATCTCCTCCATCTCCCGCACGCCCGTCACGACGTCGATGTCGGGTATCTTGCGCGCCAGCGGGGTCCGGAACCAGATCTTGTGGCCCGCGTAGAGGACCAAGAAGATGGGCAGCGTGATGTAGGCGGCCAAGAAGTCGTCGACCTTCCACTGGCCCGGGAAGAAGACGTTGAACCCGTTGGTCAGCGTCAGCAGCACGAGCATGAAGAGCGCAAAGTAGGCCGCGTAGGGCTGCAGCGGCGTGCGGAAGGGCAGCGTGTGCAGCAGGCCGCGGAAGGACATGGCGGCGCGGAAGCGGATGAAGGTGACGCAGACGACGACCCAGGCGATGTACCCCGAGATGGTCGAGATGTTCATGAACCAGCCGAAGACGGTGGCGCCGTTGTTGCTCACGTTGAGGTACGTCAGCAGCGAGACGGCCCAGGTGGCCAGCACGGCGGCGTAGGGCACGCCCGCCTTGGTCGTGCGCGTGAAGAGCCGGGGCGCCTGGCCGTTGAGCGCGAGCGAGTACAGGATGCGGGAGCCCGAGTAGAGGAAGGCGTTGCCCGCGGACCAGGCGGACGAGAGGATGGCGACGTTGATGACGTGGTTGAGGCCGCCGATGCCCGCGCGCTGGATGCCGATGACCCACGGCGAGGCCGAGGCGTTGGACTGCGGCGAGAGCAGCCGGTCGTCGGTCGACTTGACGATGACGCCGACCATGAGGCTGCCGAGGCCGTAGAAGATGGCCAGGCGCCAGACGAAGCGGCGCGCCGCCTTGGGGATGTTGCGGCGCGGGTGCACCGTCTCGCCCGCGGCCAGGGCGATGAGCTCGGGCGACGTGATGAAGGCGAAGCCGGCGCGGATGAAGGCCGTCCAGTAGGCCAGGAAGTTGCCCGTGTTTCTGTCCCCCTTGACGAGGTAGGGCGTGATGGCGCCCGGGTCGTACCAGTACAGGAAGCCGATGCGCTCGTGGTTGGGCCCGCCGCCGAGCATGATGACGAGGGACACGAGGATGAGGCCCATGATGGTGATGAGCTTGATGGACGCGAACCAGAACTCGGCCTCGCCAAAGATGCTGACGGCGAAGATGTTGAGCGCCAGCGTGACGAGCAGGATGATGGTGATCCAGGCGGCGGCGGGCACGGGGGTCTTCCAGTAGTCGAGCAGGATGGCGCCGGCCGAGGTCTCGGCGCCGATGAGCATGGCGTAGGCGTACCAGTAGTTCCAGCCGGCGGCGAAGGCGAGCGAGGGCTCGACGAAGCGGTCGACAAAGTAGGGGATGGAGATGCCCTTGAGGGGCAGGTACGAGGCCATCTCGCCGAGGGCGTTCATGATGACCCAGACGAGCAGCATCATGGACAGGTAGCCCATGAAGAGCGGGGCGGGGCCGACGAGGTTGAGGATGCGGCCGGAGCCGACAAAGAGACCGGTGCCGATGCTGCCAAGTCGAGAATTGTGTTAGTGACTACCAATTGCTGGAGTGCTGGAGGCGCGCGCGCATTGCTTGTAGCAGTATTAGGAGGACTTACGCTCCGCCGAGAGCGAGGAACTGGATATGCCGACTCTTGAGGCCGCGCTGCAGCTGGTCCTGGGAGTGCAGGAGGTCCTGGGTGCCGTCGGGGGCGAGCATGCGCGTCTGGCCGTGGTTCACGTCGGCCGTGTTGGTGGTGTCGAAGCGGTCAGAGCCGCCCTTGGACTCGATGTCGACATCGTGGCCCGTCGAGGCGCCGATGGCGGTATCGTGCTCCTCCTTCATCTCGAGGGACTAGAAGAGTGCCAAGACAACCGCACTCTTGAGATCGCGAACTAGCCGGCAAACTGTGCGCAACTTCGTGACTCGAGACAATCGCGATGTAAGAGTGCGACAGAGAAGGAATGAAGAAGACGACGACTAGAGAGGAAGAGATTGAATTCCCAGGGACCTGGGGGCAAGGATGAAAAGAAAAAGGTGTGGGTGGACGAGCCAACTTATCCTTCTGGTGGTCAGTCACCAACAGCTCCGAGTCGAGGTCCGTCTTCTCGTTGCCTCTCTCCGCACCGGCGACCCCAGGAAATACCTACAGGGACCGACCTACCGTGCCATGCTAGCAATCTCTGATACACCACAAGCGAGTAGCCTGCCGTTAGCACATGCGCGAATCTGTAGCCCATCTGGGTATGAGGGTATCTGGTGTGGAGGGCGGCGGTGCGTGTGGGCGGGCGCATCGACATGGGGGTATTGGGACGAGAAACAGGCGATCAACACGAGCGGACGGTTCATTTGCGTGGCACACGTCCTTTTGGGATCCCCACACTGACCAGCATTCCAGATTTGTATGCAGATACCACGCTGACTAGGGCCCAAATCCAACCATGACGGGTGGTCGCGTGGTCCGTCTCTGCATCTCTTGGGTCTCTGGTTCGCCGCAGGACCAAGGTTCTTCTCTGGTGTCTGTAGGATCCGCAGATAAGGGTCGGCTCACTCGCGAGTACGTACCTCATCATGCAGGATTGATATCACGTCTTGGCGGATGTCGGGTATCTCCAGAGTGTACTGGGCTGATGGACCAAGGTCCTCTCCCTCAGCTGGAGGACGGGAGACTGGAGATGTCTGGAGACTTTGGAGATGCGGTATCGCGTCCATGTCTTGGCTACCCCAACATTGCTAAGGCCGTCAATGCCCGCGGCCCCCCTCTGGCCGTTTGCTTGCACAAGATCAAGCTGATAACAGGCAGATGCCGGTAGAAGTAGAGCAAGAGGGCGTGCGAGAAGGGGTGAAAAGAGCAGAGCACCTAGCGATGCGATGACGTCCGAGTTTCGCAGCGTTGGTGGGTGTGGAGGCCACCTGCAAGCCATGGGGGAGAAGGCCCGGCGTGTCCAGCCATTCACAGAGGGATGTCGCGGCGGGTGGCGGGGCACTGGGCCGTCTCCTTGCAGCGTTTCTACAGGGGATCGCCCGCTAGGCCTGTTTCTAGACGCACGCTAGACCTCGGCAGGCAGGTCTGGCGTTCTTTTTTTTTTTTTTCTTCTTCTTCTCGGCTTCGTCTTTCCACTGTCTCGTCTCTGGTCTTCCGCTGGTCCAGTGGCCTCACCATCAATCGATGTCATCCTTTTGTTGTTTGTTCGCTCTCCTCGTTTGGAACACCGAGAAGCGAGCAAGGGCTTGGTAGTGGTCTCGGGACTCAAATGCTCTCGCACGTCCTCTACCACGCGCCAAGAGGCTTGTCTTTTGCTCTGACAACACTTGACATGGAGATACAAGTACTTTCTGTCTCTCCACCCTACGCTAACTCCCATTTTCTTCCCATTTTCGACACCGAGACGCGGGAGCCCACTAAAAAAAAAAACAGCGAGAAATCCATCTTAGGTAAACCCTTATTCCAATGACCGACCTTGAATCACGGCTCTCGCTCTCGCACCTCATGCACCCGGACATGTGGCGAAGAGCCTCATGTTAGACGGCACAACGCGGCATAACGTCCTTAGCGTCGCCATGGCTCGGCTTTATTTCGATCAATTGCCCACGGACGCACGCTCTGCTAGTACTTGTATTGTTCGTATGAGACAGCGGAGAACAGTCTCTGTCCAGCTCAACACGGGTCCATTTCTTTCCTACTACCTACCAGGTAGGTATCGTAAGGAGATGTGACGGTACGTATCTTGGTTCTTAGATAACCAACTTTTCTGTTTCTAAGGGTCTCTTGTCAAGGTTTTGGATCGTCATGTTCAATCGTCAAGATGTCGAAATCACCAAACTTTAGATTCTCTCGTTGATTATCTCGGATGGAATGACCCTAACTCGCCATCTACCGCACGCTTGTCCCCATCAGGTCTGGTCAGGTCTGGGTCAGGAGTGTTGCCCTTTAGTGCGGTTCGGCATGGCACGGCGCTTTTGAACCTCGAGCTATCCAAAGAACATCCTATCAATCCCGACCTACCGCAACCCGGATCTTGCATTCCTGCATTCACACATTGAGGCTCTACGGAGTCGCCGCGCAACCCCCCACGAGGCTTCATTCTACTGTAATGCCACGCATAAACTCTAGAGCACTCAGCTGCTCGGCCTGCTTCGGTTCAATGGCGAGACCCTGACTGACTTGCACCTCCACAGCCTTGCAGGACGAGCTGATCTGTGCGCTGGGACATCATGATAGCCCATTCAACCAAATGGAATTGCATCAGACGAGGGTCCTTTTGCACTTTCAGCTCTATAGATGCTTCGCTATCTTGCCGTGACAAGCGAAGCAGAGGCTGCGTGTCGAGGCACATCCCATTGATCATGTTTGGTGATAGGGAATAATTCAAATTGGTCAACATTGTTGATAATCGTTTGTACGCGGCAAACTATCTGATACGGCTCTTTCACCTTGCCATTGAATCGGATCCAACTGGGGAACTAGGATAAACATGCCATACGGGGTTCCCGGTTGTCAACTCCTTGTCGTTTCAAAGCGTCTGGTCGGAGCTTCACACTGCTACTGCTCAAACCCGCAACCGACCAACGACAGCTATCGCACAGTCAAATTGATGCAACATTTCTCCATGTGAATCCATTCTCGACCAGGTTGAGTGCTCAAAGCACCAACCCCAGATCCTTTCTTCGACGGAAGCTGATAATTGAGAGTGTCCAGACGACACCCGCATCGAGCTGACCACCACCAACAAGTGGTATAGCCACCAGAACCTTGTGCCTACTACAGTTTTTCGCCTTCTCATCACCTCATCGCATGCATCGCGCAAGCCACCCGGGCACCAGATCAGCCGGGCGCCTCCCGCACGCCGCATCGACACACCCGGCCAGGCTCGCAAAGTAGAAGTCCTTGCCCGTCAGCCCCGGCCCGTAGTGCGCGTACTTGCCCGAGTTGGTGACGACGGCCGCGACCGAGGACCCCACGATCGGCTCGCCGATCATGCACCAGCAGGTGTCGGTGATGAACTGCACGCCGAAGGACTCGAGCTCCCCGACGAGGCCCGCCTGCTCGGCCAGGCCGTGCGTCGCCCGCCCGCAGGTCACCATGACGCTGACGCCCTCCGCCTTTGTTCGGTTCCGGCAGAGCTGAGCGAGCGTCCTGATCTCGGAGAGGGAGAAATGGGGGTTGCCCAGGGATACTAGGCCGACATGCTGACGGCCCGGAGAGCCCGAGTTCAGGCTCGTCCAGGCACCCGCCAAGTCCTCCAATTTGATATCGACAGTACGTATCGAGCTATCCGCACCGGTCACATCGTGCGATGAGCTAGCCTCGGGCGTGACGCCCTGAATGTGAAACATAGGCGCGCTCGAGACCGTGGCAAACGCGGCGCCAAAGGCCTTGAGGTCATCCTTGGACGGCGCCAGAGACTCCATGCCGACGACGAGAGGAATCTGGCTCGAAGACAACGTCCCGACATGATAGCCCATCAAGGGGTAGAAACTGTCGTCGTCCACATCTCTTCCCTGTAAATCCACGAGTCGGACAACGAGCGTCGCCCGCCTGTTGGTCTCGACATGCGGCCCTGCCTTCGGTGCCCGGCCCGTGAGCGCGATAGCCGTGTCGAGGAAATCGGGGTACTTCATCGTCCTGGCCCCCAGGACACTATTCGCGTAGACGACCGCGTTCGACTCGGCCCAGGCGATCTGCTCGCCCAGCCCGGGAGCCGTCTCGAGTTGGTACGGTGCACATGTGAAAGTCGGGGTCGCGCCCATGTCCGTAAATGCCTCGGCAAGTCTTGAGGCGGGGGTGCCGAGCTCGACGGCGACGCCCTGGGCTCTCCAGCGTCTTTGGTCGACGGATATCGAGTTGAGTGACGTAGGGACTCTGACCCGGCCTCCCCAGTCCCGAAGCTTCTGGGCCACGGCGAGGGATGCCGGTCCCGTGTAGATGCACGCGTCGATGTGTGCCTGGCTGATATCCATGAGCTCCGTTGCCCCGAGGAGAGTAGCCATGCGTATGACGATGCGCATTGATGCCCGAGCGGCTTCGCCGTAAACACCGTCGAGGAACTGCTGATCCAGCTCCGAGAGTCTGATTTCCGCATCCGGAGGACTGAGATGACTGGTCTTGGGATGAAGTAATTGTCGCTGATTGGGATCAGGCTCGCCACTGAAGATGTCCCCGCCCTCGACGCAAACTTGGCAGCCGTCGGATTCAAGAAGTTGACAGAAGTCAGTGGCTTCGAGGGTCACGACTGGTATCGCTTTGCCAAAGATCTCTTCGGCAATCATGACGCCCAGTGTCAGGATATCCTCCCGTCGTTGGAATACCATGGCTGTGGGCCCTCTGTCGTTCATAAGAAGCTCCAGTAAGACCCCGCTTCCAGAGCAGGATCCTCGGCCCCCGGGGATGGCCAAGATAGCCCCTTGAAGATTTCTCCCACTCAGTGGATGGTGACGGTCTATTACCTCCCCCGTCTGAGGATCGACGCCACCCCAGAAGCTCAGCTCGAGGTTGCTCGCTAAGAGTCTGCCGGAAGCCTTGCCATCGACATAAGCGTGGCCGTGCAAGTGGAACCTTTTTGTCATCTTGAACGGTAGCACATGTGAGGCATTTTACTGGACCGGGGAGGGCGAACGGATGCGGGATTTGGCTCGCTCTCCCACATTGAAGTGCAGGGGGGCCAGTACTGGCTGGTCGTTAACCCGGTGGCGGTGGCTTCAAAGCGACTGTTCTCTGCAGCAGATGGTGATGATTTTCCCAGCCGTATTTGTGTTGGGGTTCTCCAGATGTGTCGGACACTGTGCCGAGTTAGACGAACAGATCCGATAGGGAAAGGACGGTGGTCCTCCGAGAAGACCGACCCAAATCTTTGTGGTTCTGACCAAATATACTCTTCTTTCTTTTTCCCCTGGGAAGTACAACAACCTTTGCTATTGCGGATGAGTTATGGGAACCGCAAAGACAGAAATCAAGGAGATCGACCCCGCCAAACTCAGCCAATTGAGGGTTGAGCGCTTAAGGTTGACGGATCAGAAGTGGAACGTCGCCTAAGTCAACCCCCTTGTCTGCCACTGCAGCACGTCTAACCAGGTTGAGTAAAGGCCACTCTGTGAGGAAACTGTCTCCAAAAGCATAATGCAACGACAGCGAGTTCATGATCTAAATCTTACAAGTCTCGTTCTTTCCATTCAACTTTCATTATAAAGGAGATGTTCAGGGCAGCCAGCAATTAGATGTATATGCCGTGTCTTGATTCCATTTTTGATGTCTATCTAAGCTGTTTTCCTTTCAATATCAACCTCACTGCTAATGTGTAGATATTGTCGTAACATCTCGAGAAGATTCGAGGAAGAACCACTGCAGCAACCCAGTCCTCCATACATGCTTACCAAGTGGAGTTTCTGCTGGATTTCTTAGCGGAATTCCTTGAGGTATATGCAGATCAAAATTTAGAATTTGGTAGTTTTGTATGGAAGGGGTTGTTTTGGGCGTGTTTGGCTCCAAGCCGAGCTTTTTGAGCTTTTACCATACCCATCAAACTGGCAGTGATCCTTGATCACAGAGAAGGTTTGCAGGATAAGAGCAGTCATATTGGCTCTCTCAATTCATGCCTTTATCAATTACATTATTAGTAGAAAGAAGACAGTAAGGAAGGACACTTCGCCACCAAGATCCTACCCAAACTCATTAAACAATCTAAAATAGAGTCATCAAAACCGGGCACGCGGATAGGTTGGTTGTCAGGAAGGTCAAGACCCAATCCCCGAGAAGGCCAAGTATTTGCATTTCGGTCAAGTCATACGAAGGTTGGCACCGAGATTGATCAGAGTTCTCGGCAACACACCACATGGAAATACGACAACTCAGAGGACGGAAGATACGAGACGGTCAGATACACAAATACATTTGCCACATCCCATACTTAGCAACATATCACGCATCTCACGCAATTCACATTGCTCCTCAAACGTCCATGTAACACTTGGAATTGCAATCTGGTACATCTAGCTACTTTACTTCGGAAAGCAACATGCGTGTCGGACACAGATACAGGCAGATGGCACGCTGTAAAAAGAAAAGAGCGTACCGCCAAACACCAGCACCACAATTCCACAACCTGACGATGCAGCACATGATACCTTACACACAACTCGCAAGAAACCAGTCCAGTTCATTAGAGATTCGTCGCTATGGGAGTATGAGAGAGGAAGAAAGGAGGAAAAAAAAGGTAGCAAAAAAAAAAAACACAGGTAAAAGATACCCTTTTGAAGAAGAACGCCAGTGCATGGGTGACTCGAGTCCCAAATGATAGAGGAATGGTATCTCGTGTCGCCGATGCATGCACGCTTCCTGCCCATGGACTAGATATGAATCTCGATAAGGGGGGAAAAAAGAAAGAAAGGCACGCCTGAGCCCAGCCAAATAAACCCACATCCTGCGCACGCAACCGTTTTCCATTTTTCGTGTTCGTCATTTGCGTGGCCCAAGAAGACTCGGAAAAGAAAACAACTTGGGTAACGATGCCATTCCCGTCATAAACGCTGCCTGCGCCATACAGCAACGAGCAAATCCCAATCAACAATCGCCGTCCCTCCACCCAACCACACAACTATCCCTGCTTGATGAGGGAGGCTTCCTCAGTTACTAATATTGCGGTCGCATGGGCTGCTGCTGGGTAGCTTGAGCGCCATCGACGATACGGTTGATCAGCGACGCCATCTGGGCAATGTTCTTCAGAACGGGATCGTTGGCCGAGATGGTGGAGATTTCGATGAAGACCTGTTCCAGTCTAGCCTTAATATGTGACAGGATCTTCGGGGTGAGCTCGCGGACTTGCTCGTCCTGTATTGGAGAGATGATTAGTACACCAAACCTTGTCATTTCAGAACGAGGAGATGGAGAGCTTACCAGGCGAGGAAGAGTCTGCAGGAACGTAATCAGGATCATCTCGGTCCAGGCAAGCCGCTGGTGGAGAAGATCTCCCTGAAGATCATTCGAGACGGTCGTACCAACGGTAAGCAGCACCAAGGGCTGCAGGTACTGGACGAAGAGTTCCGGATTGTACTTGACGAGGACTCGGCGGAATAGCTCTTGCTCCTTACCGCTACTCTGCAGCCAGCGCATCATGGCTCCGTCGTAATCCTCACTCTTCATCATGTTGTCGATGTCGACGGCGGCCCGATCCACGTCGCTGAGGCCTTGATCATCTCTTCGGGTTGCCACAACAGCAGTCTCATGGCTGAGCTCGGACGGGGATGCAACAGCCTGTTGCTGCTGCTGGACATGTCGAACTCCGGGGCTGTGGTAGCTGCCGCTGTCATGACCCCGATGGTGCATAGGCTGCTGGGGAGGGCTGATCAGCTGCTGCTGTTGCTGCGGGCTGATGTGCTGCGAGCGCTGCTGACGAGAGTGGCCCTGCACGGAGCTCTGCGCCTGAAAGTTGAGCAGCTCGGTCTGATACTTGGTTTGGGCGGCCGCCATGGCGGAGACGGTTTGAGTCATACTCGTGACAAGGCTGGTAAGGTGGTCAATCCGGCTGTTCTGCGCCTGCTGGATCTGCTCCAGCTGAGCGATCTGGTCACCGAGCTTGCGGTGAATGTCCTGGCCGACACGCTGGACGGTCTGCGAAGTCAGAGTGGTGAAGGCGGGCACAATATCGTCCTCCAGAATCCTGCTGACTTGCTTCTCGACGTGCGACGAAACGCTGGGGATGACCTTCTCGCTGATCGACTTGGCCAGGTCCTGGTTCCTCAGGGCGTTGTTGACCGAAGTCTGAGTCGACTTTTGCGTCTCCCTCTGGACAACTTGCGAGATGTGAGTGTTGATCTTGTTGACCAGATTGTCAGATATCGATCGGGCGACATCCTCGCGAATCGAAGGGAGGACGTTGTTCTCAAACTCCTCCCTCACAATCTTGCCGAGGACGAGCTGGGTGTTATTGTTCAGAACATCCGAGACCAGATCGAGGAGCTTTCGCTGCTTATGCTCAAAGTCGACATCTCGCTTGCGAACCTGATCATCGCTGAACTTCTTCGTGTTCTCAAAAGCATGGTTGACGGTAGCCGTCAATCGATCCACCAGACGTGACTCCATGCTGGCGATGTGAGCGTCGATGGTATCTTGAGAAAGCGACGCAGCAATGTTCGTAGACTTGGATGAGTCGGGACCTTTGCCCTTGGATGGGCCAAGCTTGGGCGAGGTTTGGTTGCTCGCCTCACGCTCAGCTTGCGCAGCGGCAGCGGCGGCCTGGGCGGCGGCGGCAGCTTTCTTCTTGCGACTCTTCTTTTCAGGCTTTTCTGAAGGCTGCGGTGCTGTGGCTTCCTCTGTCTTGGGCTCTTGCTTGACTTTGGAAGGTGAAGCCGAGTCAAGTTTGCGAGAGGGTTGGTCGTCCTGAGAAGAAGTTGACTGCAGGATGTCCTTTCCACCCCGCGCAACGACGCGAGGAATCTGAACTGGAGCTGACTCCACCTGGGGGTGCGGCTCGGCTACCTGCTGAGGCTGCTGTGGCGGTGACTTCAGCTTCACAATTTTGACAATGCCCGCCTCAACTGCATCTACCGGCGACATCACTTTGTTGTCCCGAGTCCATCCGAGCTCGGCTTGCCGAATAGGAATGCACGTAACACCCTTAGAGTGCATGGCGTAAAGCTCGAACAGAGGCTGCTCGTTCTCGTCGGAAGCGTCCGGGTGGGCAAGAATGTCGAGACTCCGCAGAGCGCCCTTGTTGGCAAAAGAGTACTCCCTGAGACCGCTAATGACGGCAGTAGACTCTGGCTGCGGAATTGACGAATCCTGAGCATTGAGCTTCTGAACATACTCGACCTGCGACAGGTTCTTGATGCTGTACTTTGGCGCGGACAGATGAAGGAAGTAGATCGAGTTGCGCGTTGGGTGGCCGACCACAATCATGCCGGTCGGGGGGTGATACATGACGCTGCAGACGGCATCCGACTCCTTGCTGTGAGGCAGATTGAACTCCTGAACAGGCTTGCCCAGGGCAAGATCCCAGAGCTGCAGCGTGTGGTTCTGTTTCATACCAACAATCATGTATCGCAAAGCGCCACGTTTCTGGTATGGCCTCAACTTATCGAGGAGCAGTACCGATGTGGGCCAAGCCTTCTCTCCCTCGGGCGTGGTCGTGAGAGTCATGAGCGGCTCCTTCACTTCGAGGAAGTTCTGCGCGGGCAGTGGGGCGCGCGGGTCCGAGTCTTCCTTGACAGCGGTAAGGTCTCGTACATCCCAGAACTTGACCCGTCCCGACTTGTCAAGGGACACAACGACTGTGTCGTCCTGGCTGAAGGTGAAGTCCTTGCCGGCCTTACCGGTGTTGATCTTCAGAGCACACTGCTTGGCCAGCCTATCCGTGTCAACCACGCGATCGTGACCGGCCTTGAACAGATTGTTCTGCAGGATGAATCCGGGCCAGACGATGTTGATAGACTTGCCGCGGCCGACAGCAAAGTACTCGGGATGGATCGTTGAAATACGCGCGCGTGTCTTGAGCACACCACCGGGGGCATCGCCTTCCTGCGAGCTGATAGGCGGGAGTGCGAACCCGTACTGCTCGGGATGGGCGTCCTCGATGTGGTCCTTGTCTCCATCCCTGATCTGGACCCAATAGACAGTGCCGCTGATGCCAGTGCCGAGGATAGCGTCTCGCTGGACGACAGACTGGTCCGGGGCCGACGAGGACATGGCAACATTGAAAATGCGGTCCTTGGTGTCGGTGAAGAGCTTGGCGTCTGTGCCGTCAGACTGCCGAATAACACGAAGGCCGCCGGCCTTGGACATGCCATAGGTTATGTAGCTCTCCGTGGAGGTGACCAGGTTGCGGTCGATCTGGTCGAATTCCTTCTTCAGACGAGCGATATCGATTATAGTCTCGTCACGGAGGACGGGCCGGACCTCGTTCGCGTCCTCCTGAACAGTAATGGAAATCCAGGGCTTCATGGGGAAATTGAACACCTTGACAGGCGCAGCAGTCTCCTCAATGACGACGATCTCATCAGCCTCGGCGCTCTCCCAGCTGTCGGCCACATGCCCGTTAGCCGCCTCGTCCACAATCTCCTTGACCGACTTGGCCACGTCAGGAGGGAACGCGGTGTCGAGGGCGTCGTGATTCTTCTCCTTGGCAAGCTCCTTCTGGATGGCTTGAGCTGCGACCTGTGAGGCAGCTTCGAATTCGTCTTCGGTCTTGGCATTCAGCATGTCGTCCAAGTCCTTGGCGATCTCTGCCTGGGCGCTCTCCTCCTCGGCGAGGGCCAGTGCATCCTGGGCCTCCTGGTCTGCTTTCTCAGCAAGACTACTGACGGCCTCCGCCACTGTCTCTGGCGACTTGATGTCGCCAGCGGCCGAAGCCTTGTCAGAGACTCCACGATCTGCCGGGGAGACATCGACAATACGAATATTGTCGGACCGCACGCTGGGACTGGCGTCCCGGCTCGAGGGCTTCTCGTCCTGAGCACCACGGATCGAGCCAGGCTTCTTGAGGATCTGGATCGGCATCGTGGCCTGGCTAGGGGTAGCCTGCGCCGCAGAACCGCCAGGCGTAGTGGAGCCCTTGGGCGTCCGACGCAGAGGAGAGGCGGCGGCGAGATCATCGAAGGGGTTGGAGTAGTCGAACATGGTCGACCTTGAAGCAGGCTGCTCTTGTGCCTTGGGCTTCGGGGACTCAAAGTCGAAGGTGCTTGTGGGAACGGACGGGGCCTGCGCTGGAACCTGCGGGCTGCTGGCCAATGCCTCCTCAAGAGATTTGTAGCTCGCCGTGTTCTCATTCGCATGGTCGCTCGAAGAACCAGGCGTCATTCTCACCGACTTGGTCGACTCGGTCGAGAAGGTCGCATCGTTCTGGCTCGGCTTGGGCCGGTTGAGCAGGTTGAGAAGGTACTGCTGGGTCTCGGACGAATTGGACGTCGACGCCCACGACGGCTGCTGAGCAGCTGGCGGCTCCGGCTTGGGAGCCTCCTCCTTCAGGCTACCCTGCATAAGGGCAGCGAGCAGGCCGGAGGGGTCGGAAGGTGCAGGGGCCGGCGCATGAATGAGATTAGGCGGGAGGGACGAGTGTCGCAGGTTGGACTCTCGGTGAACAGGCTCGTGGTGGCCCGAAGAGGGGGGGCCGGCGGCCGACTGAGCATTGGAGCCGCTGAACTTGAGAAGGTTCAGCAGATGCGAGCTGTTGGTGCGGTCGGAGTCGGGCCTTCCCGAAGCCATGGACCCCGGCATGTTGGGCGGGAACTGGGCATTGGGGAAGGCACCACCCACGGGCGGTGTGGGAGCGGCAGGGAGATGCGAGGCCATGGCATCGTTGAACGAGTCTCCCATGCGAGAGGAATCAAAACCGGCCTGCTGGCCGAATTGAGGGTTTTGAGGAGGCTGGGTGTAGGAATTGAACTGCGACAGCAGATTCTGCGCATGGGTGGAACCGCCAGCTTCCTGGTTCGAGGTCCGACGGAGCTGAGCCAAGAGTGACTGCAAGCCCGCGTTGGACTCGAGTTCGTCATGGTCCAGACCGCCAGACATACTAAAGTTGCCAGACATGTCTTCCAACGTCTGGGCTACTGCTTAGATCTAGCCTTGAGGCCGCGGGGCGGAGTGGTGACAACGAGCTTGGGGGTGGAACTCGAAGTGATGTATCGATGATGGCGAGACTAACGAAGCTGTGCGAAAGCTTCAGGGTGGCGGGCTGCCTCAATGGCAAGCCGGAAAGAAGAAAAACAGTAGATACAACTGCCTGCAGAGACAAAAGTCTCCGGGGCGTGGGGGATTCGAGTCTACTGATCAAGATCAAGAGAGACAGACGACTCGCAACGGGATCGGGACAGGGAAAAGAGGTTGGAGAGAGGAGTTGGAGCTCCGTCGATGATGATCAATGTTGGGCTCCTTCTTTTTTTCTCGAGGCGGACAAGAAAATTATTAGTTGTCAATGGGCGGCAGGCGTGACTGTGATTGGCCTGAGGGCTCCTGCTCGCCAGCGCACGGGGCAGCTTGGATGAGACTAACCAGACGGGTGCGCGCGAGGTGCATCAAATGGATGCATCAAATGGGGCATTCAGTGACCGATTTTACTTGTAGAAGGCTCCAGGGCTGCTGCTGTTCCAACGCTAATTCAACGGGCCACATCACCAGCAACTTCGTGGAGGGAAACGAGTGGCTGGCAGAGAATACGCAGAGGGAAAAAACCCACCCGTCTTGGCGGCCACACCAGAACTTTCGGGGACGATGTGCAGCGGGTGCCCGCTGTGTGTGGGGGGGGTGACTCAGCACTGCTCGGGTACTCGTGCTCACTGGAGAGAGGCCACTACCTACCTAGAGGTAGTGGGTGCAGGTGCTGATTAGATAACGCGGAGGCTCAAGCCTTCATCCAATCTGACAACCGCACACCTCGAGGTTTTGGTACCAGTATTCACTCCTCCAGGCTGCGGACCGTTGTTGATATTGAGATGTGTATATAACCAGACCAGCGATCCGTTGTGTGGCTTTCTGGTTGGCTGTTATATTCAAGGCGCGAATCCAGTCCCCGGCGCTTCCCCCCTGATCCTTGAGTCTTCAACTCGCAGCATCGTGTGTGTCGACCCGCCAATCATCCAGACTTGAGTTGCGCTTCGCAAACGGAGCAAATCCCACGCGCATCCCACCCAGCAGAAACCTTGAGCCGCCGCCTCTCCGGCGTCAGTACAGAGCAGAGCAGCCAACATGTTCTGCTTACGAAGGTTCGGCGATCCCTCTTTCACCGCTCTCCAACAGTGACTGACACACAGACAAACCATCTCCAGCTGGCTCCCGCTCCTCTTCATCCCGACCAACGCGCCCTTCTCCTTCATCTTCCTCTTCTTCATCGGCACCTACTTCCTCCACCGGCCCTGCGTCTACTGCTCCTTCCTCCTACTCGTCCTCTTCCTCACGAGCTGCAACTGGTCCGACCGGTGCTTCTTCGACGTCGGCAGCAACTGGTTCCAGCCGCGGCCCTCCACCTCCTCCTCGTCGCCGTCGTTTGAGTGGGCGAAATGGCACGGGCCCGGCGCAAACAGCAGCTGCAGCGGCTGCAATGCGACGGCGACGACGACTGCTGCTGCTGACAGCGGGCTGAGCGAGACGGCGGCCGTGGCGATCGAGATGCTCAACACCACAGCGCGGGCGGTGGCGGGCGCCGCGGCGGACGAGATATCGCGGACCAAGGCCGAGTGGACGGGACTGGGGATGGAGTGGCTACGTAGCCTGTTGGGCCGGAGGGAGTGGAGCATCGAGTGTCTTGACATCAACATCCGGCTGTAGCGCCGGAGGGCCAGTGGCCATGTGGACATATCTGTTCAGGCTTGGGGTCCGGCGGCCTTCTTGCGGGTTGTGAATGGTGTGGATGTGCATGGTATTGGCGTTGTGGTTCATGTCATTTCTCATGATGGGATATCATAGAGGGCGAGCAAGTCAAAGAAGTCGAGATCAGCTTCTCATCTCCGTCTCCCTGGAACATACGGGTATTGTAGCGAAGGTGTCTCCATGTACATATATGCGGTCTGCATTAGCGGCACAAGCACGAGAACACAGCGCTTGTCTCTCTTGGTTCTGCGTGTATTAATCGTCTATGGTTGGTATTGTACTGTATTTGTGTACAAGAGATGCTCCTCGTGCCTCGTTGCCCATGTCAGTCCACACGTGACATCGTCAGAACAACCACGCCCAGAGGTCGATCTCGAGACCGTCCCTCAAGAAGTCTCTCTCTCTATCTACCCTCCTGATAGAAACGGCGGACATTGAAACGCCACAGCCTCACAGCTTCGCCTCGCGCTTCTTGTCCAGGCCATCCTTGTTGCGGAACTCGGCGGGCAGGTCGTACTTGATGCGCTGCTTCATGGAGGGCACAAAGGCCTTGTGGTGCTCGCAGGTGGCGTAGACGGTCTTGCCGTCCTCGCTCGTCATCCAGCCCTGGATGAAGGCCATGGTCTTGCCGATGCCGTAGACGTGCGCGTGGACGTGGACGGTGACGCCGAGGGGCAGGGCCTTGAGGTAGCTGACGTTGAGGGTGCGGGAGACGCCGCCAAAGATGCTGTCGGTCCGCGTGATTTTTAGTTTGTTTTCTTCTCTCTCTCTCTCTCTCTCACACACACACACACACACACGGCTGATGAGGCACAGGGGGGGAAAAAAGAAAGAAAGGGAGTACGTACGCCCAGTGGTCGGGCTCCTCGACGGCGCCGAGGGCGATGGTCGTCAGCAGGTCGAAGATGAGGCTGAAGGCGCCGCCGTGGACGACGTTGTTGAGGTTGCGGTAGCACGGGTCGATGTAGAGCGAGGTCACGCTCGAGGCGACGGCCGAGGGCGGCGGCGGGAAGGCCGTGTCGGGCGACTGGCGCTGCTGCTCGAGGGCGGCGCCCGCGGCGGCGTCGACGACGACGACCTCGCGGAAGACCTTGTTGTCGAAGCCGTCGTAGCCGATGTGGTCGGCCATCCGCGTCCACCTGTGGTTTTTTTGCGGAGCGTCAGTGGATCCGTCACACCAGGTAGAGAGGAGAGACACAATAATGTGATGCTGTGCCGGTGGGGGACGGCCAGCGGCGCCGGCAGGCGGGCGGCTCCTCGTCCGGGGAGGAGGGGTGGGGCCGAGCCAGCAGGCCGGCCGTGATATGTTCAAGCGCCGGCGGCAGCGAGAGCAGCTTGGAGGTCAAATTGGGGACTTCAAGGAGGTTGCCAGCACGTACCGCTCAAAAACGCCCTTGACTCCAGCAATGGCCCGCTGACGAGCCTGCTCGGGCGTCTCCGAAGCTCTATCGTCTTTGGCCATGGTATGCTCCCCTGGATGGACTGGAAAGGCAAGGTGAGTGTTGCAAGTAAATTGGAATCCCGCGCCTTGAAAGCAAGTTGCAGTCAAGGAGGTAGCTTTCCTAGGACAAGGCTGCAGACAGACTCCCGCATGTGGTGACAACTCGCGTATCTATTTGTCGCCTCTCCCTCAGGTTGCCGCACACGAGAAGGTCAACTTGCAAGCAGGCACAGGCAGCAGAATGATTGGGAATGTCGTTGTTTGTCTGACAGCTCCCCACATGGAAGCTTTCCCCATACAACCAGGGACCCCGCGCTTCTGGCAGGTAGGTGAGACGCGAGCTGCGGGTTGCCGAGGTCCAAACGCTGCCACCGCCGAACCGCGATTTTGTGACATTGCAGATCATTTTCACCTGTAAACGGCACACGTACGCAACAACAGCAGCTCACTCTACATACCTAGGTAGCTAAAGGGAGGAGGGTTGTGGGTGTCAAGACTAAAGTCAGATGGATGTTTGCATCGCTGAGTCCAGTCGAAACCAGGCAGACAAACTGGTTACCTAGCAAGCAAGGAAGCAAGCACGGAAGTTGGTAAGCAGTAACACACCCTATTCACGGTGCTTCCCGTCATGCACGTCGCTATCGAGCTGTTTGCCGCGACCCTGTTCCTGGCCGTCCAGGCGCTTCTGGGACAGTTTAATCGTTCGAGATTACGACGCGTTGTGCATCGTGCCTTGGTTTTGCGCTCGTATCTGATTCTTAGGTACTCGGTATATCAACAAGGCATTAATGTGGGCGATGAAGGTGCTGGAATTAGTTGGAACTACGACATCGCTAACAGCCTCCTCCGTACAAGTGCCTGGACTTGTAGAGGGCGCACGCCCAGCCCAGATCGAGGGTCCCGTCACCGTCTGAGTCCTCACCGCGTCTCGCGGCCGGGGCGCCGTTGCCGATCTGGCGGAGGATGGGGAAGCTCGCCGAGAGATGGATCAATTTCCCAAACAAGAAACATGCTTCTTCTCTCTACTCCATTTTCCGATTCACTCTCTGGCGTTCCATGCCATGCCATGCATGACACCCCCCCCGACCCCTTCGGATCCGTGATGCTGGTACTCCACCCCCGACTAGCGCCCTCCCAAGCATTTGAAGAACTGGATTGAGGACAGGGCAAACGTTCTAGCGGGCGTTTATTGTGAGAAAAGTTGGACAGAAGCTCTCACAAGTTGGATCGTAGTTTTATTACCGAGCTTCCGAATTCTTCATCGGGTCAGCATGGCAGTACCACCCCAACCAATGCATCCTTCCTAGGACCTACCACCTGCTTGTATTTGCGCAGAGGAGGGTAAAATACAACACATCCACACCCACTCGACACACTCCCTCACCTTTAGCCCATCACGACACCAGTTCGATAGTGCTGCACGATCTTATTTTGGTGGGGGTACCTTCCTATCTGGCTGGCTGACATCGTACGATTGTGATGCCGCTACACCACCTTTAAGCATCTGTCAAACATCGGGCAAGGGACCTTGACAGCGGCTAGTTGGACGACGGGGAGTATCTGCGAGGAGTCCGCAGTCTAGGCACGTGTGTGAAATTCGCATGCGGTTCCCTCTACCATAATCTATGTAAGCCAAAGGGGGGATTTGCACTCCTGAGTACCTTAGAAAAGGTATTTAGCAGAGAAGTGAAGCTCGAAGAGCAACTAGTTCATAACTACCTAAGTCCCAAACGGGATTTTATCCCATCAAAGTGGGGGCCGTAGAATAATAAAGTCGGTAATAAGTTCTTCGGCGCATTAATCTGCAAGGAACCATAGACTGATATCTCAATTATTGATACTTAGTACAGGGACAAGTAGAACGGATGTGAACGTGCGTCAAGGGTCTTACCGTCGCACAAGATGCAAAGGGTCCACGGAGCCCCGGGCGCGAGAGAAGGAGAATCCATGATAATCGACGCATGGATCAATCTCGCAGATATCGAACCAACAGAACGTACCGGGCGGGGGTCCAAGAGTGTGAACCGGCCACTCTTGGTGCGACGGAACATGTTCCTGATCAGCAACCTGCTTGCGGCCTGCTCTGGCCAGGGCAGCGGTGTATCATCAAGGGTAAGTCACGGACACAGAAATCAAGAGAAACAGCGGGCCAAGACGCACGGCGGGATCCACGAAGTGGACGCGAGACGGGCTGCGGCAATGCAGCATTTCCAAGCTTGCTTGCGATGTTGGAGATATTTACTTGTACAAGGTATTCATTTGTCAAAAGCTTCGGTAGCATTTCCAATGGGACCCTGGTGGTGATGACCTTACGCGTTCGAGTCCGAGGGTTTTCCAGGGTTCTGGGCGTGTCCGGCATTTTCGAAACGAGGCCAGACAATTTACCAAAAAATCAGGGTCCTCAACAACCCTGTACCTATGTAGGTAGGTACCTAGGTATTTACCCTTGCAGCCGCCGATGGCCAGAGCGGTCAGCCGCAGGAGGGGAGGTTGGTTACCTGAGGTTAGGGGTTACCACGGGAGACCCCTCAATTTGGGCTGTCGCGAAAGTGTGTGCCATGACGAAGGGATGACTCGACCCCGAAGCGGCTGGGTGCGGGCTCGATGACGGCAGAATCGCGCGACTGCAGAGACTGTCATGAAGTCCATCAGTGATGCTTGCTTGTGATCGAGATGCCGGATTTGTTTGACTGCAGATACGGTAAAAACAGTGGAAGAACGGAGAGGAAGACAAGCCAGGCGTTTACAACTCGTTGACCTGTCATCCAGTGGTGCGTCGGAATAACAAGTGAAAAACGCCTGCCTGGATAAAGTTCGCAGCATATTGCAGCACCAACAGCCAAACCCGGATTTTGGCGGGGTTGGACGAGGACCCTGATTTCCCATTCGGGCACCACCTGGCAGCACTTTTACAGAGTGGGAGGCATGCTTCCAAGGCCTCTAATCCAAGGTACCTACCTATGAGTGCCAAACCTTTACAAGTACTTGAGCCAGACTTGTCTCTGTACATGCATGCGGCCTTGCTGCTGCAGGTGGAAAAGGGGCTTCTGCTAAGATATGGAATCTCGGCACATAGTGCGCTTCTTCCGAGCCTGCCCGGACCATTGACAGCTAGGTAACTACAACTTTTGAGTCTAGGACACGGCTGGATAGTGTGCTCTGGGGCCGGAACGTCGCTTTAGGCCTGTTTTTCTCTCGATCATATGGAATTTCCCTGCTTGGAGACACGGCCTAGATTCCATGTTCCTGATCCTTTCGCAAAGAACTGGCATGAAGGAGTGCTCTATTTTGGGGGTGTTGTAATCTCCATTTCGCACCACAGTCTCGGGGGCCTGCTGCTTGTCTTGTCTACCTGCCTTGCCGCCAAGGGGTTGTTGACTGACCAGATTGACCAAAAAGGAGGTGGGCACACGCCAGAGTGGTCTATCGCGTTCTAGAAAGCGCCTCGTTTTGGGGCCCAGGGTTTGCTTAGTCTAAACAAAACGGACGGGAGTGTTTTGAGGGCTGTTCGCCGTTGCTGATAGGGAATAAGCCAAGGCCAGCGATGACGATATTTGTCTCAAGGGTTGTGGTGTGGTTATGGAGTGCGGTGGCCACGCTGCGCCGTAGCGCGCCAGGGCCAGGTAGCCCACTAATCTCTCCGGGCACGGGTTGGTGGCAGTGGGTGAGCAGTGGGTGAGCAGTGGTGGGGGCTGCCACACCTGCAGCGGCTGGCCAGTGAGGAGGCCGGGATGCACCGGGGTGGGCTCATGGTGGGTACCACGGGTGTGCCCTATGACGTTATGCCCGGCGCCACGCCATGCAATCATGGTTGCAGGGGGCACACACACACGAGTTAGGTACTTGTAGAAGGGGGCTTGGGGAAAGGGACCCCGAACATGACTACCTATGACTGACACATTGCTGCTGCCAGGCCCCGGTACCAACAGAAACAGTGGATTGGCAGTCCCCTGACGCCGGCGCGTTAGGGGGGTCTTGGAAGGGGGGAGGGATCGCCCTCACTCGGATCCTTGGGGGCCCTCATCGTGACGGGTACCTGTAGCTCCCTGTCTCTTTCAGGAGTTTCCGTTTTGCAAATGATCATGTCCCTGACCAAAGTTTGATTTCGATTGAGCCCCATCCTGGTGGGCTCTCTCATGGATGCGATCCAAGGCCAAGATGACCAGGCAAGCATCACGAGATCTGCTCCACGGCCCCGTCGGTACTTGTACAAGTAGTTCGTTTGCTCATTGCCGCCACCAGCGATACCGAGAACGGGAATCAGAGCCGTGTCGAGTTGCTGCAGCCTGTTCCTGACACTGATGCTGGGACACGAGCGCTCGGGGGGGGAGAACTAGCTAGAGACGCGCGGTCTGCCTTGGGGTGAAGTGGTATTGATGCAATGATGCCTACCCAGATGCGCCAAGTAAGTATATGTAGATGCTTAAATGGTGCTTAAATGGCCCCCTCGTGCATGCAAGAAACTACATAGATGACTGGCTGTCTGCCTGCGACACGAAAAGAAGCAAACAGCGTCCAGTCCTGTCCAAAACGCCGGCTCCTGACTGTCTGATCAGTCCCGACTTTTCAGCTACCCACTCGTCATTCTAAAGAAGCAGCTCTCGGGGGGGCCACTCGGTCGCTGAGAGCAGGCGAAGATCCCCCTCGTCCGTCCGGTCGATTCTGCGCAGTTTTGCGAGGACCACTCGTTGCTCGCTCTGCCACCACTGCATGCATGCGCGCAACCCAAGCCCCCGGTTATTTCTGGGGAAGCGATGACGGCAGTGACGAAAGAGCGCATGCAAAGCGGACCAGCGAAAAGGAGCTCCAAAAACGCACCGACGTCTTCTCAGCCCCAAAAACCGTTCCGTCCGTCGCTCTCTTTTTGCTTTTCCCTGCGACTACGGACTAGAGCCCGTTTTTTGTTCGACTGACTGATCGACTGACTTGGACTTCGGCCTCGACCGACAACGAGAGGAGACCGAGTACTTGCTTTACATAATTGTCTCCGTTTCTGGCCCTGGGTTCCCTCACCCCATCATTCGAAGAAAAGGAGACTGGACGGAGAGGAAGACTGCGTGTGAAATCGAGTCTCGCCTTAAATCCATCCCTAACTTCCTTTCCCAACGGCTCCCACTTCCGGCTCGACATCTCTCTCTCTCTCTCTCTCTCTCTCTCTCTCTCTCTCATGCTTCAACTTTGCTCTTCAGAGAAGTAAAGTATTAAACTTAAGTGGCCTTACCGAATAAACGGCTCGCAAACAATCACGCACACACGCACACGCCCGCCGCTGCCAGAAGGGGAAAGGGCAGACAACTGAAACCTCTCCCGCCGCTTCGTCATTCCGGGAAAAGCGCTGATCGTTTCCCCATCTCACCACCACAATCCCCAAAAGTCGACCGTCACCACCAAAAGAGGCCCGTCCTGCGCCCACTCACACTCACACACACCACCTCCACCCCGTTTTTCCCTGGGCTTAGGTTGTTTTAATCCCACTATTGCGCGCCATTCCACGGCCAGCTTGTCTCCTAGGGCACTCCATCACCATTCTAAACGGGGGGTTCTAGAGCCCGCCTGTATCTGCGCCGCCGTTCCCACCTCCTACTGGACTCCTCCCTCTTAGTGCGCGACGAGCCCGCTCCACGATCTTCCCATCCACCCACCAACCCTTTTCACTGCCTACCTACCTACCACGACCAACCGACCTTAAACTTCTACCCTACCTTATTCCTCTTGAGAGTCTTTCCCCTCCCTTCAACCTATTTCTTCCTCTGATCGAGGGGCCCGCACCTTTCTTTCTCAACGGTCCTTTTCAGATCTGCCACAGACCTCCCTTTCGCTTCACTTCTCGAGGAGTCAATTTCGACTCTATCCCTCTTCACGGCCTCGCCTACGACGCTCCGACTTGCCCAAGTCAAGCGTGACTTGAAGGGTCCTGTACTGTTCTCGCAGTTCCGACGACCGAAAGCCGGCCCCTGGATTTCGATTTGCGCCTTTGAGAGGTGCCTTTTTGACCAAATACCCTAAGCAAGTCCGGCACTTATTCGCATTTGTCCGGCCTAATCCACCTTGCGAGTTCTCGAGCGAGTTCACCACAGAAGACCACAGCGAAGGACAACAAGGCTCAAAAAATCGAAGTGAAAATGGCGATGATATAACCAGCTCCCAGCACCCAGCTGTCTTCCATCCCCGAGAGACCACCCTTTTGCAGTTTGCTGTTACACCCAGCGGACACACGAGAGCAGCCAGCTCTCCTCGAGACCAATATGGCCCCTGATTCGAGGTGCAACGACCGTTCGGTCCGTTACACCATGAAGACGAGCCGGCCGCCAGCCGTCTCCTCACACTCGTCACACTCCCACCACCATGGACACCATGGACATTCTCACACAGGTTCGCAGTCGTACCGCGCATCCAAGTCGAGCACACCCATGGCATCTCCCCGCATGCCCCATTCCGTAGGACAGCCCTATCCGCCCAAAGTGTCCCCGAGCGTCTCGGCCGGCGTAGCCCGAGTTGCGCAACAGGCCTCCCAAGATGCACGGACGCCGAGCCCCAACTACTTTGGCCTCGCCGTCGAGGCGAGTGTCGACCCCAGAGACTCTGCCGCTGTGCCCAATGGCAACTGGAGCCCGCCGTCGTCATCAGTCAGGTCGTTCCAAGCCGCGATACCGCAACAGCTGCCCCTCGATGCGAACCCCGAATTCGAGGCCTTCAAGCGCCAGGCGGATGCCAATCGTGGCAAGACGGGATTCCTGCTCGGCAGTTCATACCTGGCCGGAAACATGCCTCACACACCCCAACCAGCGACGCCGGGCGGCGGCTTCGTTTTGAAACCGCCTCGAGCATTGAAGATGCCCGCGCAGGGAGGCGAGACAGTAGTAGACTCTCCAGCACCTAAGGCTCTGAGCCTGGCCGCTATCAAGAGCAAAGGCGTGGAAAACAAAGATGTGGCGTCGAATCGCATGGAGGTCGACGGCGACACCAACAGTCTCCACGATTCGGCCTATGTGTCATCGGATTCGAAGCGAAACTCCGAGGCGTCGCTGAATCCTCCGTCCTTTTTCAATATGCCCCGGTACGACTCTCCGGCCCAGTTTGAAACGACCTCCGACACGAGGACGCAACCTTCCAGGGTTGAGGACCGACACCCGCGGCTTTCAGTGGTGCAGGGGAAGAGCGATCCCCCCTCGCCTGAGCTGATTAGGACCCATCGGGCAGATACCGTGCCGGCGAAGCTCGAGGCCGGCGGACCGCAGATGTTGAGCCCCTTGCAGCTCCGGAATATCTTGGACTCGCCGTCCAAAGACAGCCTTCTGCTGCTGGATCTCCGTGTCGCCACCCACTATTCTGCTGCGCGGATCCGTGGCGCCCTCAACCTGTGCATCCCCACCACCCTACTGAAGCGCGCAACGTTCAACCTGCAGAAGCTGCAGCAGACGTTTGCCGATGACCAGGCTCAGGAAAGGTTTGCCTCTTGGCAGGACATGCAGTACCTGGTTGTGTACGACTCGAGCTCCTCCGACAAGCGAGATGCCGTCGCCCCCATGAACATGCTCAAGAAGTTCACCGGTGAGGGGTACGAGGGCCATGCATGCATCCTGCGAGGCGGCTTCAACAGCTTCGCCGCCGCCTATCCAGACTTTATCGACCAGAGCTCCACCTCCTCTGGTCCTACTTCGCCGCTCCTGTCGCTCACCTCTGACGGCAAGAGGCGGCCCAATATCGCGCCCGTCATTGGCGGCGTGGCACTGCCTCAGGCTAGTAACAATCCGAACCCGTTCTTCTCCAACATCCGCCAGAACATGGACCTCGCCGATGGCGTCGGACAAATGGACGTCTCTGTGCCGTCTCAGATCGATCCCGCTGGGATGCCGCGATGGCTGCGCGATGCTGCTGAGACCGCGGACCACGGCAAGAAGGTCTCGGACAACTTCCTCCATATTGAGCTGAACGAACAGTCGCGGATGAAGAACGCTTACTCCGCCTTCCACGTGGGGCCTGGTAGCGTCGGCGGTCGACAGTCCTCGGGCAAAGTGCAGCTTTCTGGTATCGAGAAGGGCGTCAAGAACCGATACAAGGATATCCTGCCCTTTGAACATGCCAGAGTCAGGCTGCAGGGACGGACCGCAGGTGATTGCGACTATGTCAACGCCAGCCACGTCAAGGCGAGCAGGAGCAACAAGCGATATATCGCGAGCCAAGGCCCGCTGCCTGCTACCTTTGAGGATTTCTGGTCGGTCATCTGGGATGAGGACGTGCGCGTCATTGTCATGCTCACCGCCGAGTCGGAAGGTGGACAGCTCAAGTGCCATCCGTACTGGACCAGCAGGGAATACGGGGCTATTAAGCTGCGGCTGCTTAGCGAGAAGAAGGTATCGCTTGATATCGACAAGCACCGGTCAAACTCGACGATCCCGTCTGTCTCTTCCGTCTCGAACAACGCGAGCACGACGCCTCTCGGCTCAACCCCTTCGGTCGCCGCGGAGCTTGGCCGGCGTCGCGCCAATACCATCGTCAGTGGTACGCCGACGCCCGCCGCGCAAGCTGGCTCGAGTGGCAGCGCTAGTAGCCAGAGCGAGACGCCGTTTGTCATCATCCGCAAATTTGCTCTCAGCCACGATGCCCACCCGTTCGCACCCATCCGCGAGATTACGCACCTCCACTATCCCTCCTGGCCGGACTTTGGCGCCCCGGCCCAGCCGTCGCACCTGTTGGCTCTTGTCGAGCTCGCAAACGTGATGCAGCGCGCCGCTCTGCCCATCGATGTCCCCTCGGCCCTGGCGTCCGCTTCCTCGGAACGGGTTTCCACCTTGACGCCGCGGTCCACGTCGTCGTCGCTCAGCTCGGCCAGCAGCACCCGGTCCAAGACGGACGCCATCCCCGTGACGTGGCACGACGAGCCCGAGGCCGACGCCCAGGCGCGGCCGATGCTCGTGCACTGCTCTGCCGGCTGCGGCAGGACGGGCACCTTCTGCACCGTCGACAGCGTGATCGACATGCTCAAGCGGCAGCGCCTACAGGCCGTGAAGCGGGCGAACGAGACCATCGCCGCCCGGGAGAGCAAGATCCGCAGGACGCAGGCGATGCAGCAGGTCACCGACGGCGACGGGGATGTCCCCATGGACGAGAGCGTTTCGATGATGACTGCTCAGGCCCAGGCCCGGGACGACGACGAGATGGTCAGCCCGCGGACGACGGACAAGTCGTTCTTCCCGCCCCTGGAGAACAGCGGCGAACGGCCGCCGATGTCGAATCACAGCTCGGACGAGACGGTGTCGGCCGAGAGGGACTCGTCGTCCTATATCGACACGCGCTGGCTCGAGGACGACTCGGTCGACCTCATCGCCAGCACGGTCGAGGACTTTCGCACGCAGCGCCTGAGCATGGTGCAGTCGCTACGGCAGTTTGTGCTCTGCTACGAGACGGTCATCGAGTGGATCGCCCGGCTGCAGGACCGCGGAGGCAACGGCGGCGGGCCGGGCCCCAGGGGCCGGATGCGCAGCGGGAGCCTGCAGGTTGGGCAGCGGCCTAATTGAGGAGCGCGACGGGCGACTCTACCTACCTACACACCTATACACCTACCTATATCATGGCCCCCCAGGCTGCATACGAGCGAGCGATGAATGCATTTTTTTTTATTACTTTCCGACGGGCTTTTTTTTTTCTCTCGATCTCGATTGGGATCACTGAATCCCGAAAAACGACGTCGACCCGTTTTCCCGCATCACTTCCGATCCTACCAGGGGGGACGAACGATAAGAGAGGGATATTCGCACAACATGGGGTTGCCCCCGGCCCCCCATGATTAATTCTTCTGGTATACAACAATAGGGACCTTTTAATGTCTTTTTTTTCATTCCTTTTTCTTTCTTCTCTGGACACGCGGAGTATATATGGATAATGTTTGCACGGTTTTAACGGTTGGGACGGCGGGGTAATAACCGGGACTTAGGGGGTTCGGTCTTTGGCACCGGTCGGCATCATGGCGTTGTCTCTTTCTCTCTGCTTTTTTGACAGGTTCTGTGTTCTATTCTTGTGTTGTTGCTTGTGCGTTGCTGAAAAAAGAAAAAGCTGCATTACATGTTTGGGGGCCGAAGCAAGCAAGTCGGTGTATTGGAGGGTATCAACAGAAGATGATACTAATCCTCTCGCCCTTTTTTTGACTGGACGCGATGGACGGCATATATCGGGATAACGGGAACGAGTGATGGCATTATAGCATTATGGCACTGTATCAATAGAATGCATTCGTCTTGATGAAAATGAGGAGACAATGCAACGTGTGAAGGGATAATACTTCTTCCCGACTGGGACTGGACTGGCGTGTTGCATCTCTCGAGTCATCTGTGTCGTGTGACACTCAAACTAGCCATGCGACGACTGAGTCGGAGACATGCTGAGTGTCCTTGAGAAGGTGTATGACATGATAGGAGGGTATGGTGGCATGTTAAGTCTTGTTTGCGGTATTATTGATACAGTGTTTACATGTTTTGCTTCTCCTTCGTGCGCGCACCCAAAAGTCTTCTAATGCGGTATACCTCCGTTCTAACGGGGACGCCACCAGACGCATTTTCGCTCGAGGCATCCTCCACCACCACCATCACCACCATTTCCTCCTCTCCTTCCTTTATCCTCCTTACTTGAAGAACTTGGCCAGCGAGACCTCCTTGTCGTCGTGCTTGTTGAGGATCTTTGCGGTGGCGAGCTCAAAGTCCTCCTGCGTGACGTGGACGCGGCGCTCGCGCAGGGCGTACATGCCGGCCTCGGTGCACACGCCCTTGAGCTCGGCGCCCGAGCAGCCGTTCATCTTCTCGGCGATCTTGGTCAGGTTGATGCCGCGCGTCAGGTTCATCTTGCGCGAGTGGATGCGCAAAATGTCGGCGCGGGCCTCGACCGACGGCGGGGGGAACTCGATCTTGCGGTCGATGCGGCCCGGGCGCAGCAGCGCCGGGTCGAGGATGTCGAGCCGGTTGGTGGCCATGATGACCTTGATGTTCTTGGTGGGCTCGAAGCCGTCGAGCTGGTTGAGCAGCTCGAGCATGGTGCGCTGGACCTCCGAGTCGCCGCCCGAGGAGCCCTCGACGCGCGACGAGCCGATCGAGTCGATCTCGTCCATGAAGATGATCGAGGGCGCGTGCTCGCGCGCCATGACGAACAGCTCGCGCACCATGCGGCTGCCCTCGCCAATGTACTTTTGCACCAGCTCGGACCCGGACACGCGGATGAACTTGCAGTCGGCGTGGTGCGCGACCGCCCTCGCCAGCAGCGTCTTGCCCGTGCCGGGGGGCCCGTAGAGCAGCACGCCCTTGGGCTGGGCGATGCCGAGCGACTCGAAGAGCTCCGGGTGGTTGAGGCCGAGCTCGATCACCTCCTTGATCTCCTTGATCTGCTGGTCCAGGCCGCCGATCATGTCGTAGGTCGAGTCGGGCACCTTTTCGACCATCATGAGGGAGACGAGGGGGTCGACCGACGAGGGCAGCATCTTCTCGAGCTTGTACGAGTCGGAGAGGAGGGTGACGCGCTTGCCGACTGTGAGTTTTGTGATGTCGACATTGTCTGAGACGTCGACGACTAGCCGGGGACAAGATTGTCAGCTTCTGGCCGGCCAGACCTTGCCATCACAACAAATAGCCATGGGTTCTTCACGGGAAAGATAAAGCATACCATATTTGCCTTCCGGGTGTACCTTAACCAACACCTTCTTCGTGCTCATGACCTTGACGACCTCGCCCACGTAGGAGCCCGGCTGTTGCAGCAGGCCGAGCTCTTCTCTCAGCAGGCGCACCCTCGAGTTGTAGTCGTTCCTCTGGGCCTCGAGGCGGCGGAGGACGGCCTGACCCTTGAGGATCTCGAGCTTCATCGCCTCGATCTTGTTGTTGTAGTAGCTGTCGAGCGCCATCTTGGATGGGGTGGGTGTGTGTGTTTGAGGAGGGAGAAGGTGATGGAAGAGTAGGGCCTGCCTGTGGTGGCAATGGGGGTCGTCGGCTGTGAGCCCTGTCTCAGACGGACTGGGTCCTCGTGTGAGAGCGCAGCTCAGTGATGGATTTGATGGCGAGGTCCAGAATATCGTGAATCCGGGGTAGTGATGGTCTGTGTGTGCGCGTGGTTCGCCGGGATAGAAATGGAGGATGGGTGATTGGTTTCGTATCAGCAGCAAGAGCAGCTACATCGATGACAATCGCAAGCTGGAGGTTGTTTCTAGTGTAGGCCGCCGTCGCTAACGCGTCTAAAGCTCCGGAATCACGTGGAGCTACAGGGAAGCTCAGGGCGGTCGCAGACGGCAGTAAGCCACCACGCCAAGGATGATGAGGTCAGCCTTATCAGGAACCATCCTTATCTTGAGGTCAACATCAGCTTTCCCCCTTTCCGAACTCTCACAGTGTGATGTGAGTCTTCCCCAACGGCCAGCAGACGTCTCAGACTGGTAACAAGGTTTTGGCAGCCTTAGTTTCATGATAGACATTAAAAAACGCGGCCGGTCATGGCCATACGCATACATTCATATAAATACATTAAGTCAAGACATTCAAGGAAATCTAATGTGTCTAAGTACCATCCTTCAGACCATCCCTACACTCTTGTGGCAGTTACCAGAGGAAAATGCGTCCATAGCCACGTGCCCGCTGACACGTCAGGCTTTCGAAAAGCCTCCCCAACACTCGAAAACCGATCCACGGTTGAAGTCTACTGCCGGAAGCTTCCTGGACCGTCGAGTAGGACGGCCTGCCTGTCGTGACGGTTGAAAATGTCGAGCCCGGTGATCCTGTGCCGGTGGCACCGTCCGGCTCCTCTGCACCTTCTGACGAGGCGCCGGTGCTGGTGGATGTTGCCCCTTGCAAAGTACCAGGTGATGCCCCTTCAGTCCCTTGTCCTCCCGAGGTCGAAGTTTCCGACCCACCTGTCCCAGGGCTCTGGTTTTCATCTTCGGTCGAGGCAGGGCCATCGTTGTTTCCGCCCGGAGAGGCTTGTGGAAAGTTGCTTGGTGGCAACACGGGAGGGGGCTCGACTGTATCACTCGGAGGAATTGAGACCGGCGTCAGTTCCCCGTCCGAGCCCATTGAGACCCCGATGGACGCCTCACCACCGGAACGATTAGGCCCATTTACGCGTCCACCAGTTGTAGTAACCGTTGGCTCAGGGCCACTCATCCCAGACGAGTCCGGCGAAGGCTCGCTATTGGCTCGACTGGCAGTCGCTCCTTGGTAGTCTGGAGCGACTGATTGTCCAGAACCTGGTCCGTTTATATTTGGTCCTGTTGAAGCTTCGGCCGTGGCAGTGGGCAATTCATTGCTAGCAAAGGTCATGGGGCCGGCGGTTTGCAACGAGTTCGGTCCGTTCACTCCAGGCCGTGCTGACGCCTCATCGCCCGCTGTGGTGCTTGCCGGGATGTTCCCGCCAGTTTCCCCAGGTTCGGTGGGCTGAGGCTGGTTTGGACCATTGATGTTTGAACCCGCAGGTCCGCCGTCACTTGCCACCAAAATGCTCATTGGTTCCTCTGACTCCGACGACTCTGGCGAATTCGGCCCGTTAGCGTTGGCCGGCAGCAATGTTGTGCTGCTGCCGGTTCTTGCTGCTGCTGGTGTTGCTTCTGGAGAATTGAGGCCATTTGCATTTGACCTTGATGCATCAGCACCAGAATTGATGGTCCTTGATGGCTCGACGGTGATCGTACTGCTGGATCCAACACTCTGAGTCTGGTTTGGGCCTTGAACGTTTGATCCCGTGGGCGCGCCAGCACCCGCCTCTGCCAAGGTGCCGGACTGGCCTGCATCCGTCGCCTGTGACTGATTAGGCCCATTGACACCTGGTCGTGTGGACGCACCGGTGCCGGAATTGGCCAGAGCATCCGACTCGCCGGCGTTGGTGGACTGCGGCTGGTTCGGGCCGTTCACATTCTGTCCTGCGGAAGCGTTCGCACCATCGTCATTGCTACTCGAAGCACTTTCAGTCTCGGCCGGCCCATTCTCATTTGACGGCGACAAGGTGGGGCTCTCTATTGTTGGCTGTGCAGAGTTAAGTCCATTGGCATTTGACTCTGTAGAGATGCCGCCACCGGAATTGGCCAAAGTGCCGGACTGGCCGATATCCGTGGACTGTGGCTGGTTAGGACCGTTCACAGGTCTCGTAGAGGCGTTTGCATCCTCGCCGGTGCTACTCAGAGAGCTCTCAGTCTCTGCCGGCCCGTTATTAATGGATGATGATGAAGTGATGCTACTACTAAGATCCTCTGTGGTTGTTAGGAAAACAGAGTTAGGCCCATTAATATTTGACTGCGTAGAACTACCGGCACCAGCGTTAGCCAAAGTGCTTGAATCGCCCTCATCGGTTGTCAAAAGCGGTTGATTAGGTCCGTTGGCAATGGACTGTGTTGAACCACTGACCCCAGTCTCAACGGTGCTTCCTGAGATTTCCTGGTCCGTGGGCTGGGCTTGGTTCGGAGCATTGGCATTTGACTGGGTGGTTCCCCCCGAATCCGTGCTGAGGAGCGATGTCTGAGGTGAAGGGAGTGTACTGAAGCTGGTCTCTGTTTCCGTCGCAGAGCCACTGTTGGCTAAATTACCCGACTCCTCTGACTCTGTTGACTGCTGTTGATTGGGTCCATTGATGTTCTGAGAAGAATCAGAAGAACTTGGCGTTACAGCTGAGACCTGAGAGATCGACGTTTCTGTCGAGACAAAGATCTGACTTGTGGCCTCAACCGATGGAGGTCCTCCGCTGACTTGCGAGGGTCTTTCGGTTTCAATTGACACTGGACCATTTTCGTCTGAGCTTGCCACAACTGATACTGAAGCCGTAGACCCAAACGTAGGTGCCGGAGTCATAGAGCTCGTTGATGATGAGTCCTCAACAGATAAAGGAACTCCGTTGAGATTTGACTGGCTCGGTACTGCTGTCGTAGAGACGGGTTCAGTTGAGGTTTCCTGACCGGAACTGTTCAGGAATGTTGCTTCGACCGTTGAGTCCTCAGATGTCGAAATCGGGCCTGTCTCTACTGAGATGGGGGGGCCGTTCACGTCAGACGGGCTCGGATCCGTACTAAGTGTGATTGTCTCCGGCGTCGGGCTTTCGAGTGACGTAATGGTAACTGACATCTCGCCGGATGAGATAGGCAACGATGCCGACTCGGTCTGTAGGGAGAGTGGTGGTCCGTTCCCCTGCGATTGACTCCCTATGTTATCAGTGGAGCTTGATTGCGGCCCCGGGTTGAGAAGGTCTGAAGCTGCTTCACTCGTCGTTGATGAAGCTCCAGTCTCGGTAATTTCAGGCCCATTTGCATTTGTCTGGCTTATGACCGTACTCGGCGCGGAACTCATCAAGGTTAGATCACTAGAGTCGCTCTGAGATTCAGTATTCACCGGACCATTGGCGCCGTTGCTTTCTGACGTTTCTTGGGGCATTATTGTCGGCAAGGAGTCCGTTGTGCTGAGAGCCGAATCCGTAGAAACAGGTCCATTGGCAATGCCTGAGCTACTGGTCTGAGAGAAAACAGCGCTTGTTTGAGTTGACAAAATCGTTGCCTGCTCTGACTCTGGGCTCGTTACCGGAATGCTGCTTGGAGATTCGGTGCTAGAAGGCGACTCGAAAGAAGGAAGCCCATTTACATTGGACCCAGTGAGACTACTTTCTGAAGGTTGTGTAGAGGTAGACTGGGTTGGCTGAGTAACTAGTGGGCCCCCAGTTTCGGACGTCGATAACGGCTGCCCTGGGAAAGTTTCCGACGTGGTGTTGATGACACTAGTTTGAGAGACCGACTCGATGGAGGGCAAGCCATTGACTTGTGACGCTGTCACTGTTCCGGTTTCATCACTTTCAGTTGCTTGCCCTTCACTTGACAAAATCGAGTCGGTGGTTTGATGCTCCGTTGTCTCTATGGCCGTGACCGACCCCAAATCAGACGTCATCACCACGGCCGGGCTACGGTTATCTGTCGTTGTGGCCTCGCTCGCCGTGTCGATCTCTGTGGTGGCTTCGATTGACGGCAAACCATTCAGGTTAGACACGCTTGTTGAGTCACTCTCAGAAACTTCGGGAGCCTGTGACTGGCTTGTTACAGTAATGAAGGTAGTGACAGTAAGAGAAGAGAGAGTCTCTGAGGCCTGAACTTCGGTAGACGTGCTGCTCTGTGTAAAGCTGCTTGTGGTTGTCTCACTCTCCGCCCCAGACTCGACAGATGGCAAACCATCCAGAGTAGAGGATCGTACTTCTGTAGTTGATATCTGGATGGTGGTAGTCTCAAGCGTAGACAAAGTCGGGCTCCAGTCAGAGGATGAGAGGTCTTCTGTTGACGACAGAATATTGTTCTCGGAATTCGTAGTCTGGAGCTGGGTTGTGATGCCTTCATCCGTTCTCGTGGAGGTCGTCCCAGTGTCTGTCGCAGACTCGATCGTCGGCAGTCCATTAACATTAGAAGCCTCTGTGCTTGCTGAGCTCTCTGTACTCTGGGAGATAGTCACAGTCAAAAAGGTGCTGCTAGTTACCAGCACTGAGCTGAATCCGAGGCTCTCCGATACTGTAATTCCTAGGCCTGAAGCGACTTGAGCTGAGTCTGTGGCCGAAACTGTTTCGCTTGATAGTGGGCCTTGGGTGAACCACAACTGTGTTGATTCCGCAGTGTCTGTACTGAACTCAATGGACCCTGGGCCATTTACAACCGATGTTTGGGTGCTTGAGGATAGCTCGCTAGTGATCGTAACCGCCGAGGTGCTTTCACTGAACCCGCTGCTGAGTACATCGGTGGTTGGTGTCTGTTCGGGTGCAGTGGAAACTTCCGATGTCTCCCCAAGCTCAGTACTAGTTGTCGCATCTTGCGAGCTTGACTCTGCAGTGCTACTCGTGACCCCGATCTCCGTAGTTACGTTAGAAGGGGGACCGTTCACATCACTCGGAGTAGTCGCTAAGTTGGACGATGACGATATAGCTGTGGGGGATATCTCTTCGCTCCCCGTAGAACTTCCAGTAGAATCTGTGATGCCAGATCCAACCGACTGGGTCGTGATATCAGAAGGAGGACCATTCAAATCGCTCGGGGTACCCGCCAAACTGGAAGAGAAGGATGCAACAGTGGTGGGTATCACCGTACTATCTGTAGCACTGCCAGCAGAATCTGTGATACTAGGCTCGACTGATTGGGTCGTGAGGTCAGAAGGGAGGCTATTCGCATCACTTGAAATACCCACCAGACTGGAAACTAAGGATGCAGATGTGATCGTTATTTCCGTGCTGTCTGGAGAGTTGACAGCAGAATCTGTGGCACTAGTCTCAACCAGTTGGGTAGTTAGGTGAGAAGGGACTCCGTTCACATCACTTGGAGTACCCGCCAGGCTAGATGATGATGATATAGCTGTGGTGGGTGTTTCTGTGCTCCCTGCAGGATTGCCGACGGAATCCGTGGCGCTAGACTCAAGTGGCTGGCTCTGCGTCGAGGGCTCCTCGGTCTGTGAAATTGTGGGCGTGCTTGTGGTCTCCCCTGGAGCACTCACAACTCCTGTGTCCGTGGAGGGAAGGCCGTTCAAGTTGCCCGACGACGATACCTCTTCGGACGATGGAAACGCAGTTGTCCCTTGCGGCGCCGACGGTTGACTCTCTGTAGGCTCCAGGCCCGGGGTTTCACTGCTGGTCATCGTTTCACTGGATACCTCGCTTACGAGTGAGGACTGCGGCTGTGCCGTGAACGACTCGCTCGAAAGCTGGCTTTCGGATACTGTTGGCCCGTTCACATTGCCTGTTGATGTTTGAGCTAGCTCCGACTGCGACTGCAGCTCCGTCGTTGGTTCGGTCACGGCCGTCGAATTTGACCCGATAGATGCGGGACCATTTGTTTCCTCCTGGGTCGATGATGGTGAACCTGTCGAAATGACACCGGTCTCTGAAGAAGCACCCCCGAGCGAGCTGTTGTCTGGACTGCTTGTCACCTGGCTGTTTGAAGCCTCAGAGCTGAGTGTCCCTGAATCCGATTGTTCTTCGGTCGATACAGGGCTCTGGGACGTCGACTGTGTCTCGGTCTCGCCTGATGGCAGGCCATTGATCACACTCGAGGCACCAACCGACGCTGTACTAATATCAGATGAAGTGGAATCCGAAGCAGTGGGTGGTGACTGCTGGCTGATCTTTGACTGACTCTCGGTGGCTGACGAAGATAGAGATTCTGTTGACAGAGTCCCATTCACGTTGGAGCTTGACACATCCTCTGTTTCTGATACCAGGGATGAGGTTGGTGTCGCTGTCTCGCTGACAGATGGTACGACTGTATCGCTGGACAGAGGAGCATTGGTTGGCATAGATGACTCCGGCAGGTCACTAGTCTCGCTCACCGAAGCTATGGCACTCTCGCTAGACGAGGGTTCAGACCCATTACTCAGAGGTGATGACGTAAATGAGGTGATGAAAGTCGTCGGCGTGAGGGAGACACTGCTGACATCAACGCTAGAAGAGCCTTGACTGGCCTGAGACTGGCTGGTGTCTGATACTGGATGTGATTCCGTAGACGCGGGGCCATTCTCATTACTAGACGCTGGAATTGTGCCCGACTCAGTGCTAACAAGTGTCGTGGAACTAGTCGTTCCTATTTGGGCTGTGTCGGTTGGGCCCAGGCTTGGTTGGCCAGTTGACTCTTCACTAGTGACCACTGGGCCCTGAGATATCGAGTCGGTCTGAACCGGCGACTGTGTCACCAGTGTTCCATTTTCTTCAGTTGAGGACGATTGCTCTGAAGAGCTTGAACTTTGGCTGGCTGTGACTGTGTTCCCAGGTGTAGACATTTCCGTGCTCGTCTCGGATGACTGAAGTGAACTTTCGCTGGAGGTAATCGGCTGAGCCGAGGTTTCTGTCACCGCTGGCCCGTTTACTTGACTTGTAGATATTACAGACTGAGACTCTGATAGAGGACTCTCGCTGCTGGATGTCTCCGAACCCGAAGGTTCTGTAGGCTCTGTAGGCGTATTGACGCTCGATATGCTGGATGTAAAAACAACCTGGCTGCTGGTAGCTGCAGATGCCAGCTCTGTCTGATTCTGGGAAAATATGCTGGAGATTCCAGGGCTGGATTGCAGTGGCAGCGACACGCTCTCAGAATCTGGTGGTATCACAGATTCTGAACTGACTGGCTCATTGACATCGCTTGTGGTCGAAACAATATTTGATGTTGTTGGGGGTTGCACTGGTGATGTGCTCAAAGGCGCAGGGTTCGAGCTCTCTGTATTACTAGTATCGACTAGGGGTGTACTCTGAGATAGACCGGATAATTCAGTGCTATTTGGAGTGATGGAGGTGACAGGGGACTCGGTAGACAGCGGCCCATTCGTATTCAGCGGTAGCGTTTCGCTGAGAGATGATGAAAAACTGATCGTGAAACTCGTCTCTGTTCTCTGGGTATCTTCCGTAGTGGGGCCAACGCTGGACGGCTGATTGACCAGGGATGTAGTAATTGAACTGACTTCGTTCAAGCTTGTAAAGGAAATCGTTTGACTCAATCCTGTGCTCTCGGTCGGCAGAATCGTTGTGAGTGGAAGCGAGCTTGTCTCGGAGATTTGTGTCACAGATACTGAGGGCGAGGTCTCGAGCGACCCTGGGCCTTGGGCATTCGACGTCGAGATTTCGATCGAGGATGCTTGTGAGCTTGTCACTTGCGTTGTTTGGGTAGTTCCATTTTGCGTACTGAACTCGGTCCCCGTTGTGACGAGGCTCGATAAGCTGGATAGTGGTCCTGTCGGGCTCACTGAAACTACTGTCTCATTGACCTGCTCACTCGTCACCAAACCTGATGGCAGAACATCGGTGGACCCGGGGCCTTGGATCGCAGAGCTTGATATCGGGACGCCCGATGAGGGTAATGACGTGATAAGAGAGCTTTGTTGGCCAGTCTGAAGGACTGTGCTTGGCTGACTCGATGGCAGACTCACCAACAAGCTCGAGTTGAGTTCCGTGTTGCTTGTGACTATAGTTGGGGTAGGCGTTACCAGCTCAGTTCCCGATATCGAAGTCAGAGATTCAGTAGATCCTGGGCCTTGAACATTGGAGCCGGATACCACAGGCTCTGTGGATAATGACGTGCTGGTTTGAGTTGATAGCGTTGTCAGATTTGTGAAGCTGGTGAAAGAGACACTCGACAAGGTAGGCGTTGAGCTGAATAGATTTTCTGAGGACAGAACGCTCTGAATAACGGTGTTTGAGGGTTCCAGGCTAGGCACCGATGAGCTCGCAATAGATGTCACTTGGGGAATATTCGAGCCCAAAGTACTTAGTGACTCGCTTGTGGAAATAGGGAGCGAGGTCGAGAGGGGGCCGGTGAGGGTTGGTGACGATACTCCTAAAGATGAGTCTGAGGAGACAGATTGATTTGCATTTGACACCTGCGATGTCGACGTAAGACTTCCCGTGGATACAATCGATACCACCGGAACTGACAGCGAGGTCGACACAATAGACGCAGTAGCCGCATTGCTATTACTGGGCTGCTCCGTCGAGCCAGGTCCGTTGCTGTTAAGCGTCGCGGAGGGCGTGGTTTCAAATGTGGTTGGCAGAGTTGTATTTTGTTGAATCACTGAGGTGGTTGGCACTGGAGTGATCTGCGATGATACCGACGTCGTAACGGACGTGAGGCTTATTACAGAGTTGCTCGACGTGATTACTGGCTCCGTCGTGAAGATTGTCGAAGTCAAAGACTGGCTCGAGGAGATCGATGTCGGGCTTGTGTTCGAGAGTGACGCGACGGTCCCAGAGACCGATATCTGGCTGCTCGGGGAGAGGGAACTCGGAGGGTTGACCTGGCTAGCTGAGCTCTCCAACAAGGAACTTGACAGTGTCGCCGTGGATTGCAGAGTCGAACTCGAACCGGAGTTTGGAACTGCAGGAGTAGTCAAGAGTGATGCTTGAACTGACGAAACTGCCGAGTTCACTCCATTCGCATCAGAAGAGGGTAATTGAACACTTATGTTCGATGAAAACAATGACGACCCGGACGTGATAATGCTTGAGGAAGTAGACTGGGGCGGCAGACTTGAACTTGGGAGGAGGGTGGTGTTTAGTAAAGACACGAGCGAGCTGGGTATGATCAAGCTAGAGGAACTTGTCTGGGATGGGGGGCTTGTGGTTTGAGAGCTTGACTGTGGAAACACAGAACTAGACGTTAATACTAGGGTCGTTGAAGATGACACCGCTGAGGTGTTTGACGACGATGCCAACGTCCCTGAAAGAGTTCCGTTAACATTCGACGATTGTTGCACCGTGCTCAACGATGGGGTCAATGTTGGCACGGTAAAAGAAGTGCTGAGCGTTACCAGGGAGGTACTGGAAACCTGTGAGGTCGCGCTGGTTGTTGGCGATGAGAATTGACTGCTTGACGAACTTGTGAATGTTGGGCTTTGGATTAGAGATGACGAGCTCGTCTGGTTGAGAATTGAGCTAATGGATGCGGATGGAACCGAGGATGAGCTAGGAAGAGTAAATGTCGGCTGAGAACTCGACTGGGAGAGAGAAACACTTGTGTTTAATAGCTGCGAGCTGCTCCCAGAGTTTGGCGAATTCAAAGTTCCCGTAGACGAGAGAATTGTGGAAGTAAGGCGTGACGTTGAGGACCCAGCCGTCGGATTTACCGTCTGTGAACTCGTGCTGGAGGCTGAAAGGGAAGGCACTAGGGATGTAACAGCCGAAGGAGAGCCACTCAAGCTACTGCTTGAAGTATGTGGAATTATGGTGCTGGCGCCGGTGCTTGAGCTCACGCCGCCTCCCAGTCCCACACTCAGGCTCACACTTAGGCTCACACTCAAGCTTACACTAGCGTTGACACCGACTGTTACTCCCAGAGAAACGCTTGGGGCGACGCTGAGCGTTGCACTCGGTACAGAGCTGAACTGTGTACTAGTACTCTTGCTGGAACTTGTGGTGAAGCCTGTGGTTGCATTGGGGCCATTGACTTGTCCGAACGTAGATGTGCTGTTGGTCACGCCAAGTGAGCTGCTGGGTGACACAGACAAGAACGAAACCGAGTTAGATGATGAGCTTGATGTCGAGCTGGATGATGGGATGGTGGACGAGGTGGTGGACGAGGTGGTGGACGAGGTGGTGGACGAGCTGCTGCGGCTCGAGGTTGTGTTTAGGCTCGTGCTAGAGCTCGTTGTCACAGTGCTGGACGTGGTGCTGGACGTGGTGCTTGATGTGGTTGTTGAGAGACGCACCGAGGATGTCGTTGACGGGACTGAAGACAAGGTTGAGCCTGGCGTCAAGGACGTCGTGGTTGTGGGCTTCAAGGTGGTCGTCGTGACCACCACGGCAGCGCTCGTTGGTAGACTCAATATGACTGCGAGAGAGGGTACAATGTTGAAGTTGCAGTTGCAGGCTGACGAGTATGAGGGTGCATCACAGGCGCTAATGTATGCGGGTACCGTTCCAGAGATTACTGTAACACTAGCAAGCTTGTTAGAGGTCTTGCAGTGCTTTTTGGCTGATCGACAATACTTACGCGAGGGCAACGTAAGTTGAGGTAAGGAAAACTGCACAGTCAGAAGATCGAACTGCCAGTGGTACGTTCTTTGTAATGGTAAGATCGGAAAGACAAGCCCCAGCTAAGCACGCCGCCTGGGCGTAAGGGAAGAGGGAAAGGAGAGACGCGAGCTTCCGTGTCAGCACCATTACAACCAAAGATGCAAATCAGCACTCGCCCTGCTTGGCGGTGACCTGGATTCACATTGTCTGGATGAGACGTAGACGAGACAGTGAAATATTACAGATGCTGTTCAAGGTGTCTGGAGTGGAGGACGTGCTCACTACCAGCCAGCTGTGGCGAGCTGCAGTGGCAATGACTGCTGTCGAGCCACCCAATTGCGATAGCAACAAAACCCGAGATATCCCCTGGATCTTGAAACCGCCAGCTGCGTGCTAGTATCTAGCAACATCATTCATCACACTATGACTCGAAAACCATGCCATGTGTGATGTTTGTAGCTGCTAGGACCGGACTACTGTGACAGTGCGTGTCGTTCAGCACGGTGTGATCCGCAGGCAGTCTGCCTCCGACGTGGAACATATGTGTGTGGCGCTTGCGGCTGATGTCGCGGATGTCGAGTCAGCCTTGACGTACAATACTTGACGGCGCACAATGAAACGTTGTAGACACAACAAACAGGGCTCTCGCCACTGAATAGACCAACCATCCATCATCAGAAGCACGACAGAGACTGGTTCCGGCAAGCGATCTCGACATCGAGCCATCTTATTGCTGTCAAGTGAGAAGTTTAATTGTTTACGTCGTACAAACGTGCCGTCGTCAAATCTATTCCGCTACATTTTCTGTAGTTTTCGGGAGTCTGTTTACGTATTGATACGGGTAGACAGTCGTGGCCGCTGTGCCAGCCGAGGTGTCATACTATATGCCGTGCCCCCCACAGAAGCCTCGAGATCTCACCAACCACTGTTGACGGGGCTGAGACAAACTTCGCAGATGCGATCGTATATTGGTTGAGCTGGCGAAACACGGCTTAGCCTAATCTGTCCGGGGAATGAAGTCAAAGGTTGTATAAACATACCAAAACGGGAAAGACTCTCCCCCCTCTGTGACAGCCACCCGGTCGTTGGACCCTAGGTTTTGGCTGCCGAAGATCCGGGTGGTTCGCTCCGCAAGTCTCCACATTCTAGTAAACGAACGTCATTGCAAACTACGAGATGAAGATCCTCTTGATTCCGCCCCAGCCTATCACATCTTTCAAGCAGGCCAAGCTTTTCTGCAACGCGGAAGTTATGACTCAGGGACCGCACACCAAACTCAGGCAGTAGCATTCAACATTAAGATTATCAACACGGAGCAGGCATAGGAGACTTGATCATGATCGTTGACAAGCGGCCAGGTATAACTATCGCCTCTTCCATGTCAGAAATTGCCAAGAACATCCTCCAACTCCACAGTGTTTCCATCACAAGTGACCTTTACAAAGATCCCATTCATCCTTGATATTCTCAGTGCAGTGAGGCACGAGGGGGAAGAGCCTGCGTAGGTCTCATCTTGAAGATCGAATGTCATATCGGCATCAGAGTCGATGTAGGGATCGTAATATTGTCTATGTCCGCGCCTGATTGGTCACATTGTGGAAAGGTACTCATGATGCTGAAATGTTGAAGATCTTTTGGATCTTTTGACCACTTCAGAGACAAGCTTGATATAGAATCTTATCAACAAGCTTGCCCATGTACAGGAACTCTTCCGGCTATTCGATAATACACCTCCCAATCCGAACCTGAGACGGTCTTCAAAATTATTAATAAGAGAATGGATTGAAGCAGACTCTGCTTACAGGATTTGACTTGATGAGTCGCCAAGACTCAACCTGGACTGCATCTCATATAACAACCCCTTCGAGTAGGGAGAACTTCTGGTGAAGATCCGAAATAACCGTGGAATGCTGCTCCAGAAGGTCACCCCGAAGCTCAATCAAAACACAACAGCTTGATCCCAATCACGTCGGTTTTTCCTTTCTTTTTCTTTCTTATTTTGGGAGGCAACTAGATCGCCACAGGGAGCCGACGCTGGTCTGCTTGTCCCCGGCGATGTCCGTGGGCCTCCACTTCCGGACCTCGGCCCTGAGCTCGACGCCCGGTACGCGGCTACCCCAGACCTGTTGGAGCAGCCAGGTGGGCAGGAGATGCTTCTTTCTCAGCCAGCCGAGCTCCTCGCCCTCGAGAGGGCGGATCATCTTGGTCCAGGTTATCTCTCCGCATACCGTGCTTCTCAGCCATCCCTTCAAACCAGAGTGTGAGGGTTTGTACATCGTACATCCAACTGATTGCAGTAGACTGCAACAAATGACCGTTTATATGTAATTTGGAGCCAACAAAAACAATCACTCTCGTTACTTTGTATCTACCATAGCTGCTCAGCAATTTCATGTCATGTCGGGCAATCAGAACACATCGTGCATTGCTTTTTCAAACACAAGGTTAACGTGGTTCCCGAGCGGCTGAAGCAGCTCAGTCTATGACAGGTGCCGGAGTGAGTGGTACAATATTCTGGAGTCTCTATGGTGATTTCTTTCCCTGGCCAGCCATTCCCGCGTTGGACAGTCCAAACACGCATACAAGTATTATCGCCCCTGTACTCGTAAATATTGTCCAAAACGCAGCCCTAAAGCCGTCCATCAATGCGACAGTTCCGTCTATGGCGTCTGAGTGCTCTGTGACGGAGGCAGCGATGGCGGCAGTCACAGCCAAGCCGACCGCATTGCCAAATTGAGCCACCTCATTGAAGATACCGCCGGCTAGAGACTGCACGTGAGGCGGAAATGCATCTGAGATGATGAGGTTTCCGACTGCAAAGAGGACTGACTGTTTGTCAGATTGTCTGTAATAGTGTTCTCTCAAGATCTATGCTTACTCCATGGATTGACTGGACAGAGGAATATTGCCCAGAATGGAGCTAACCAGTAGCTCTCATGAATTCGTGCCGTAGCCATCAGAGCTGGGGAGATGATACTGATCAAAGCAGATCCTATAACAAGTGTTCGAGTCTTCACCCTCGAGACGAGGTACACCATGGCAATATTGGTGCTTATTCCCATGACGATCTGAGGGAAGTATCTCAGAGAAGCTTGCAATGCCGACACTCCTTGCACCTGCTGGTAGCTAGGTACAATACATTAGAGATGGAGAAGAGTCTTCGCAGACGACAGAACTCACAAAAGTGTGGTAAAGTATTCAAAAGCGTTGAGTGATGCCCAGCAAAGGAAGACAGACAAACAAACCGATGTGAAGGGCATTTCACGCCACAGCCGGTTTGGGATCAGCGCGGGACGCTGTCTTTTCTCCTGGTAACGCATCCAGACCGGGAAGAGTGCCAGCAAAAACACTGCCATTATCAACAGTGGCAAGCTTGGTGCTGAGCTCAGGTTCTTGTATGATGAGGTCGCCAGCGCAAGCACATACATGATGACGCCGAATGAGGCGCTGAGTATCACAGCGCCCACCCAGTCGATTTCCTCACGCAAGCGGCGCCATTTGCTCTTGCCGCTGTCTGATGCGTGATGGACCACTGGAAGTGCTAACAATGAGACACCGGCCGTAACGAAGCTGAGCATTGCCATCAAGTAGTAGCTCCAGCGCCAACCGATTGTGTCTGCGAAGACGCCACCCAATACCAGTCCGAGCGCGTAGCCCATCGGCTGTGCCATGCCATTCATGGAGAAAGCTGCATTGCGCCATGACCCACGCGGAAACGTGTTTGTGATGAGACTGACGGTGGCCGGCAGGCACATGGCCATGGAGATACCGAGACAAGTGCGCCAGATGATCACCTGTATCCCGCTCTGGGAGAACCCCAGGGCGACAGTAAAGATAACGAAGAGGGCGCCGCCGCAGGCCCACACTAGCTTGGGCCCAACAACATCTGCAATGGCGCCGAAGATGAGGAGAAGACACCCCGCCGCGAGGGCGTATGTGGCGGCGGGCCCTGAGTGAAGTTGTTAGCGCCCTGCAACTCTTCATGCAGACTGATGGAGATCGCTTGGGAGCTCATACAGAGAATCAGGCTATCGGACAGCCCCACGTCACGCGCAATGTGAGGTAGAATGGCAATCAGAAGGCCCGATCCCATGGTGTTGAGAAAGTTGATCCCGGCAAGGGTGACGATGATCGCGATGCCTCTTGATTTGGAGACTTGCATGGCCATCGTGACCGCCGATTCTTCGCCTGAACTCCTCTCCTCGCCGGGAGATGCCCCGAGGCTAACTTCTCTGGGCTGTCGTTCGGGCTGTCCACGGGAGGCAAGCTCCAGAGCCACCTTGCCAAGCCCATCGTTGGCGATGCTGTCTACCATGTTGGGCAGCAGATGAGCTGGCAGCTGCAGAATTTTGGAACAAGGTCTCTGGGGCTTGGAAGAGAACTATGCGTATGCAAGCCTTTGCTAAGCTAGTGTATGGACCTCTTTTACTGTGTATGGGACTGGACATTCAGATGTGGCCATTTGCAAGTGGCTGTTCGCGCTGCCATACGAAAGTCAGTGGACATTGACACATGTCTTGCAGGACAGAGGACTGCGGTTTTCTGTTAGCATCCCCATTGCATGTAATCATGCAACAATCCATTCTCGATGGACTTCCGGGATTAAGGGTGATGATCTCTGGACGCGGAAGATATTCCCAAATCCCTGCCAGTGGCGGCGTCCGCGCGTGTACACCGCCGGCCCCATCTCCACTTGTACGAAGAGGCCAATGATCCGCGGTGAGAAGAGTTGCATATCCCCCAGGATCCAGTCATAACCGTTGACAGGGATTTAGCCAAAGTCGTGGCATTTTTGTACAGAAGGTATCAGGTTTAAGCTCAGCGTTCATGGGCCAAGGTTACACAATGTACCTTTCACTTCCGTTCAAGGATTTTAGGTTGCGTTGTTCTAGTCAAGTTTGGCATAGCCTTGCTGACTGCATCTCGCTTATGTTGTCAATACAAATTGCTTGTTTGCCTGTCATCAAATTTCTCTCACCCCTGAGATAGGTGGATTAGTGGTACACGCAAAAGGCCACGGAAAGGATTTAATCCTTGACGATAGTCTCACCGTGAAGTCTCCCAACCCCACGGATGTTCAGATATTGCATGTGTCAGAGAGCAAAGCGCCCCATAGCAGATGCATATGCAGTATGAAGCGTATTCAGCAAGGAGCGTATTCGAAGACGGACCGATTTACAGGCCACTAGCAGAAAGTCAACATGATGAGCAACATTAGAGAACAACCTAGACATCGTTCACAGAGATCAGAGTCCAGACAAGGCGATAGTGGGTACATTTTAGGCAGGCACGAAGAAAACATGCATAAACGAATCGATCCAAGAGGCAATCGAGAATCCTTCGCAGGATTCGGCGATCTGAAGAAAGTCAGCATCCTTGATCATCACGACATCATTCGTTACATGCGTTCAAACGAGAATCCCGCGGAGGCTGACAATTTTGCAGTTTTGGGTAAATCAAAACGTAATCATCATCGATGGCTATTGAAAGAAGGATATCAAAGTATTTCAAAGTAACCACTCAGGTCACTGCCTGGCCCTCGTGTAAATGAGTATCTTCATGAACCCCCGCTCTGTCCATCAACCAAGTTCCATCTTACTCCATTGCTCTGACAAGGCTTCAATTTCCTTGACCCGACTTGGGAATAGATACTTTCCTCCTCTGCCGTTCGTCTTCATACACCAAATAGAATGGCCACCAAGCAGAACGAGATCGTCCTCTACACTAACCATACGTGTACTTGTGGGTAGCTTCAAGGCACTCATTCCCTGTCAGAGCCGTGCAAAGAGGGCTAATTTACTCGGCCACAGGGGCCCACCGAGCGCACGTCGCGCTTCAGGAGCTTCAGCTCCCCTTTAAGGAGGTCAACATCAACGTGGACGGACCACGACCTGACTGGTTCCTCGAAATCAACCCTCGCGCACTGGTACCTGTCCTGTTCTTCAATGGCAAGAAGATCATCGAGTCTGCCATTGTCTGCCAGTTTCTTGCGGATATGTTCCCTTCGGCCCTGAGCCCCCCTCCAACCACGGTGGAAGGGGCAACCCGCCGTGCTGACATGTCCTTTTTTATCGATGCGTACTGGAACAAGTTTCACGTTAGCCTCTTCAAGCTCTTCGAAGCTCCAACGAAAGACGAAGAAGAAAAGGTTGTCGAAGAAGCAGTCACTAGTCTTGTGGCCGAGGTCGAGCCGCTCCTTGCCGATGCCAATCCCTTCTGGGGTGGGAGTGAGAAGCTCACTCTAGCAGAGGTGAGAATGCCCTATTACCACCATCTTACCATTTCTGTCTCCTCAAGAAAAGCTCGATCTAATTTTCTGAAGGTAATGATGGGCCCTTTCCTCCTTCGTGCCACCACCTTGTCCAAACACGGAGTCTATCCTCAAAGCCTGAACAACTCAATCGAGGAAAAAGCTCCCAACTTCCGCAGATGGGCTGTGGCTGTTTGCAAGCATCCGTCTGTGACGTCTGTGTTTCAGGAAGATGTCATTGTGGCCCGGTCGAAGGCCAAGCGTTCCAGGATGAGGCAGGCGGCTGGTCTGGCAGAATAGTGTTGAATGTCCTTTCTACATATTCGGGGTTTCTCTAAACTCTAGCTAGTCTGGAACGAATCAGATTGAGTCTTCTTTCCAAATCAGACGCGTTCTTACCGCCCCACGCGATGTCAGCCATGTTCTGTCCCGGGTCGATCACAGCTGTTGCTGTGACAATGGCTTCGCCAGACTTGACTAACTCGCCAAGGAGATCATACACATCTTCTACACCTCCACTGTACTCAAATGCTCCAAACTGCGCTAGTGGAAGACCTCTGTCTTTCAAGAAATGTCCCGACATGAAACAGATTGGCATGGACCCTGTGAACCGCGCATTGAGATCAACGACCCACTGCTCGCCATCCTTGTCGACGACGATGTCAACACCAGCCCAGCCTACAAATTCCTTGGGCAGGCGGGCAGTCGTGTCACTCACGGTGGCACGCACATAGTCGTGTAGCCTTTCTTGCGCGCTGTAGTCAATATAGCCGCCTGTCCACTTTCCTGTGGCCGTCAGGGTCTGCACCGTTACTCCCACAATGTGCGGGTCTTCGCGGTTGTCAGGGCCGACGACGAAATGAACACTCAAGTCTTCAACCAGGTCGACATAAGCCGACAGGATGAAATTGCGGACACCGCGCTGCTGCAACAGGATGAGCGCGGAGCGCGTCTCCAGCCGGCGCTGCTCGGTGGTGACAATGAATGTGCCAAAGCCGCAGCCGGCACGGCACAACTTGATTACAAAGGGCAGCGGGTGCTCGTCGAGGGTTGCCAGCGATGCTTCATCCAGCGGCATCAAAGTAGATGGGGGAGTGCGGATGCCAGAAGTAATGAGATACTCTTTGGAGTTGATGTCGTAGGCCAGCTGGGGATCGACGAGGCATTCGTGATCTTTCATCCATGCCTGTGGCCGCCAGAAATGAAGCTTCTGCCCCTTGGTGAGGTCCAGTAGCTTCTCAAACACCTGCCCGCCTTCGAGGTCAATGAACCGCGGCCGGTGGCGCTGCTCCGGAGGGAGCTGGTTGAGGGCACGTTCCATGCCGGTGGCCGTGACGTTTGGCTCAAAGAAGAGGACGTCCATGTCACCCAGGCCCACTGCCCTGCGCACGGGCTTTAGGCCAAGGATGACTTTCCGTAGCCGGGCAATTTCCTGTTTATCGTTCGAGTAAGGGACAGGCTCTTCGTCTTCCGGGTACATGAGCTCGCGGGGAAACTCTGGATGGAGATCCATATGACCAAAGACGCAGTGGGTTGTGACGATGAAAGGCCCCTTGATTCCGTGCTCACGGTACAGGTCCGCCAATGTCGTGTCGAGCCGCACTGAGCACATCTTTGCTGTTGATCGAAGGAAAGGGGTAACTTTGTGATGAGTTTGAAGCGTGTGGAATGATCAACTTCGAATGGCCAGGACAAAATTGTTTCATTCTTCAAGTTATTCATTGATATTGGTCAGTTCGCCCACGTTTGTGACCGAACCATGCTACTGTAACATCAATACGCTTCCTCTTCCCTTTGCCACATTTCGAAAGAACGATGTCACCCTGGGAAATAAGCATAAGCACACTGTCTTGAGGAATTATCCCCGAGAATTTGAGAAACCACGGGTAAAAGTCAGGAGGCGCATGGGAGGGGCGGTGTTTCTCCTTAAGCCCTGTAAGTCCGTCTGATCCCAGTCCGGCCCGGCCAGGCCGTTGACAGGGGTAGGATGTGAGAAGCTTGAATGATGGCCAATGATCCAAAGTTGAAGGATTCTTCAGGAACTGGATTGGTTGAGTTCACCAGCATGCACAAAGCGAGAGAAGCTCGACTAACGCGGTGATGAACCAAGAAGGAAGGACGTCCTGCCAAAGGCTTGCAAGACCATGAGATGCCACAGCGCGGTGAAGATGCTGTCGTGTCATAGTGTCATCTTGACGCTGGCTTGTGTCAACTCAAGTCTAGAGAGAAAGCAGTAAACGGCGCGTTAAAGGAGTGCAGGTCTGGGTTCATAAGTCCCCCCTGGCCTCTCTGAGTCTTAGATCTTCAGACTTACCTCGATATGGTCATAGTATTCTACAATACACAAGCATGGAGAACAAGATTTCCTTCCACCCAAAACCGCTTATCAACCCTTACATTGGGTCGCCGCGTATCCTTGTTATCGGAGGCGGTGTCACTGGGCTTGTCACCTCATGGGCGCTCCTTGATCGTGGCTATCATGTCACTGTCTTGGCCAAAGAGTGGGCGTCGTACGGTGAGGGCCCGCGTCTCACGTCTCAAATTGCGGGCGCTCTGTGGGAATACCCTCCGGCCGTCTGCGGTCAACATACAGATATCATCTCTCTTCACCACTCCAGGCGCTGGTGCATGACGGCCTACCGCATCTGGGATGCTATTGCTGCCGACCCAGAGCTGGTGGCCGTCTCCGGGGTTCGCATGAAGAAGTCAGCCTTCTTCTTCCCCTATGCAATCCCAGATGACCAGGTCCAGTTTCAGAAGATGCTCGATATTGAGAAGAGCGGCGTTCGAGGCTTTCTTCACTCGGCATCGCTGATCCAACACTACGGCATCAACCCTTCTCACGTTGTTGCCGACGCCTACGAGCTGCTCGCGCCCATTATTGATACTGACCAGGCCATGACGTGGCTCATGGATTTGGTTGAGAGCAAGGGCGCCACATTCGTTACCGAGACTATACACGGCGACATCTTCGACCATGAGTTGGAGCTACGCCAACGCTTCCACGCCGACGTCATCATCAATGCGACGGGTCTAGCAGGCTACGAGACAGCTGGGGACGCGTCTTGCTACCCTATCCGAGGCGGCCTCGTGCGCGTCATTAACGATGGCGTCGGCTTTCCTCGCGTCGATGCTGCGCTGAGTATCTCGGCAGACGCTGGCTACGGCGCCAACGAGATCGTCTTCATTGTGCCCCGGAGTGACCGTGTCCTCCTGCTTGGCGGGATCAGCGAACCTCACCAATGGGACCTGGACCACCGACTAGATACCCCCATTATCCAGCGTATGCGAGAGCGGTGCGAGGATTTCCTGCCCGTGCTTAAGAACGCTCAGCTTGACCCAGATTATCCACTCGCACAGGGGCTGCGACCCTTCCGCGGTTCGAATGTACGTGTCGAGAGGGAGCTGCGCAGGCATGGGGACGCCTCGACGCCGCTTGGGGCAGCTGTGAGCCGGATTGTACACAACTATGGCCACGGAGGTGCCGGTTGGAGCCTCTCATTCGGCTGTGCCGAAGATGTGCTTCATCTTGTCGAGGAGGCGCTCAACGACCTCCCACCCAGGCCGATGACGCTTGATGGACGGAATTACAAGTCAATCCCGGACAGGAAGGATATGGCTCGTTTGTAATCTGCACATGTTGCACGTGGACATTTTGAAGTGGCTTATTAGCCTACTTTTCTCCGAGACTCTGAGAGGTGTCGCCACAGCGTTATCTGAGACTACACATCTGCAATCGAGAGTAGTTTTAGCAATACATTGCTTTCTGTATTTCCTTTCTGCTCAGTTGAACACAAGCTAGTACGTTAGCTTCACAATGAACAAGTCATTTCTCGAGCAAAGGAATATACCATGGATGAAAGTGGTTTAGTCTGCTCGATATGACAGGTCATTCTGTGATTAAAATAAGGTTGAACCTCGTTGCAACCCTTCATCTGCAGCACAGGGCTCCGAAACAGATTGATTATTCGGACTTTTTAACGTCGCATCTTGCCTTGCTCGGACTTAGTGAGTTCATTGGCAGACATATACTTCAACGGATTATCATTTTATTAGTCCGATGATTTCGATGCTGTGAGAAGAATGTGCCGTGCGTCACGACAGCAACAATTTCAGTCAATTGGAAACCTGTGGTAGGCTTGGGGTGCCGTTCTCTGTCTCGCCTGAGACATCTGCATGTTCTTCGAAGTAGTGTTGCACTCGTTGGAGACAAACAACGGCAGCTAGCATCATTAGAATCGTCTGGAAGAGTGCAGTCGCTGTCGCTGGACTCGAAAGAAGCTGAAGGTAGACTAGGCGTGTGAAAATTCTCAAAACCGTCAACTCCGTGTCAGGAAGGGCTAAAGTGACTGCTGGAGAGAGCAGCAGGAATACAAATGCGTAGGCGGCTTGTGAAGTAGTCCGGATGTCGGTAGTGCTTGGCTGCACTAAGCCCATATTTACGGGCCTTCGGCACCGTCTGTCATGGAGTTTTGATGGCCCAACACCTTGACTTGAGTGAGATTAAACAGTACATTTCTAGTCAGACTGACTCCACCAAGAGGGGGATGCATTTGCCGTTCAACTTGCCCATCAGGGAACGAAAGACATGGACATCTTGATTGCTTGTCATTACAGACTCTCTTACAAGTTTGAAGAGTTTTAATACTCGTCCGTTGAGCATGTTGGGTTCTCTGCTTAGGTCGGCAACCACGTTTTCCAACAAGTGCCCTCTCAATCTCCTCCGCGATGGTGTCAAACAGTTGGGAAATTCTAGTCTTAAGCCACTGCACGATGTGTCCGTCGAATTGAGGGAGATCTCCTTGGTGACAATTGGTGGTTCTGGAGGAAGGGCCGGAAGGGCTGTGATGGATAGGAAGCTTCATTAGCTTTCGGCAAGGTATGGGTTTGAGTTGCATCTCAGCTGGATCAAGAATTCAGCAATTCCTTCATAGTGTGGTACCATTTCAGGTGGCGCGTACAGTAACATTCAATCATCGCCCCGACTTAGTTGTTGTCACAAATCTTGACCGCCTTTGAGCATCCTAAAAGAGTCCAAGAACCCCCGCCGGCCTTATCAATTCTGCCGCCCCACTAGCGATAACTCCCCTCTGGTGTAACTTTTTCTTTGACCTGCCCAAACTTTCGACGCCAAACAAACCGCTTCTTCACGCCCACTTCACCAGACCGAGTGCGAGAATCATGCCTTCGGTCGTGGAACCCAATGCCTGGGTGGCGCTCCGGCTGCCCTCTGAGATGGTCAAGGTGCTACAAGTAGTACCAAATACGTGAGTTCCTACCGCTTTCTTGCGAACGAAGCAGGCCCCTAAGCTCCTCCTCATCACTGACCGCGCATCTTTGATTCAGAGCCATCTCACTGGGCAAATACGGTGCTTTCCCCAGCAACCTGATTATAGGACGCCCTTACCACCTCACATACGAAATACTCGACAAGGAAGCCGACGAGAAGCTCAGCAGACTTCGTGTTGTGCCGACCGACGAGCTCTACGCAGATATCTTTGCGGACGAAGCCCGCGAGGAGGGCAGCTCTGCAGATGACTTGGACAACATCATAACCCCAGCCAATGGTGTCGAATACAGCCTCGTGGATGCCCAGACCAATGCGGTCGTCGCCAAGAGCAACATCGAGGCCATTGACGAGAAGGCGCGGCAGCTGCTGAGCTCGGAAGACATCGAGGAGCTGAAGAAGCACGGCGCCAATGCGGGCAAGGACCTGGTTGCCCAGTTGATGCTGTCGCATACGGCACTGGACGAGAAGACTTCCTTCTCGCTATCCAAATACAAGATCCTTAAGACCAAGAAGTTCATCCGGCGCTTCTCTGTGAGCCCGCTCGACCCTCTGGCGCTGGGCAACTTCCTCATAGACGAAAAGGATGTCGGTCCCAAGATCCTGGAGATGAGGGAGGAAATGGTGGCGCTCTTGGGCTGTTGGGCGAACATCCACTATGGAGGAGAGGAGTCTTTTCACGACGCTCCCGTTCCTGGCGCTACTGTCGCTCGGGACGGTGTAGAGAAGGTGTTGCCTTCTCAGTCAGAGCAAAAGCAGGGCCGGTGGCTGGTGATCGATGACACCGGAGGTCTCCTCGTTGCAGCAATGGCGGAGCGCATGGGCATACTCTACCCAGAGAACGCAGAGTCAAAGGCGGAGCAAGGAACAGACACAGAGACGGCCGAGTTGCCCGAGGAGACCTCCGAGTCCGCTCCCCCTAGGCGCAAATTCGTCCACCGCGACGACTTCCACATCCCGTATGCGCGTACCAACACCATCACCACCATCTATCCCAACACCCAAGCGAACCTCGCCTACCTTCGCTACTTCGGCTTCGACCCGGCCGACAACAACCCGCCCCCACACCCGCTCAACACCCACCTCATGGGCCTCACATGGCTGCAGCTCGTGGACCCGGACAGCGACTACACCTACCGCGCTACGCCGGAAGAGATCGACGACGAGACGTTGGCCACGCTCAAGGCCGCCCGGCGGGGCAACTACCACCGGAAGCGGCGCCGCTGGGCGCGCACGCGGCACATCGTGAACACAGCGCGGGCGGGCGAGTACGACGGCCTCGTCGTCGCCACGCAGATGGACCCCGTCTCCGTCCTGCGGCACACGCTTCCGCTTCTGGCCGGCGGTGCGCCCATCGCCGTGTACTCGCCGTCGGTCGAGTACCTGTCCAACCTGGCCGACTGCTTTAGCATCGCGCGGCGCACGGCCTGGACGAACCCCGCCGACGCGCCGGCCGAGACCCGGGGCAAGAGCGCCGAGGAGCTGGAGCGGTGGCAGGGCGACGACGAGTTCCCGCTCAACCCGACGCTGGTGGTGGCGCCGAGCGTGCAGACGAGCAGGGCGCGGAAGTGGCAGGTGCTGCCGGGCCGGACGCACCCCGTGATGTCGAGCAAGGGCGGAGCCGAGGGATATGTCTTTACGGCGTGGCGGGCGATGCCTGCGGAGGGACGGATCGAGGCTAGGGGACGATACAAGAAGCGGAAGGTTGCGGAGGATGCATGAGCTGGCCAACTATATGGCCTTGAACTTGGGAATAGCGTGAGGAGCAATTGGGTGCTGGATGAGCAAGCATGGGCAGGAGGATACTGGAGCGAGCTGATACCCCGGAATGCATATGCATGGAGCTTGACTTGAATCTTTTTTTCCCGTCAGGCCTGTAAAACTACTCATTTGTCAAACGGTTGACCGCCTTGTGACATTGCTCTATTGTGCCACCACACACAGCCTTCTTGGCGTCCTCGGTCTCTCTGTGCCATTCTTTCATCATCCAAGTTTTGAGGGGTGAACATTGCGCCTCTGTTTTCTTCACAATCCCTTACCCATAAACTTCCGCTTGGTGAAGCTCAGCCACCACTTGCTCGGCTTGCCATCGCCGCCCTCCTCGTACACCCTCGCCAGCAGCCGGATGGCCAGCTCGTGGCGGACCTGGGCCATGTACTGCCGGAGCAGCTCTGCGTCTTGCCTGTCTCGCGGGGCCTCGTACATCTATCAAGAGACACATAGCCTTCGTCAGCATTCTGTCTCTCTCCTCTCCCTCTTTCTCTCTGTCTGTCTCGCTGTACGTACCTGGTTCAGAGGGAAGCTCGGGTCGCCGGGGATGGCAAAGTTGTTGTCGAGGGCGAGGTTCATGACATCCTTGGTGGCGTCGCGCACGCCGGCCGAGGGCTTGATCTTGGACAGGCAGTCGCTGACGAACCAGATGCCGTAGACGAGCAGGCGGTCGGCGGGGCCCTGGATCTCAAAGTTGCGGAAGAAGGTGTTTGCGCGGAAGAGGGCGAGGACCTCGTCGAGGATGTCGTACGACTCGCTGTCCGGGTCCGGGGACTCGCCGGCGGGAAGGGCGGCGTCGAGGGGCAGCGTGTAGGCCGGGCCGCGGGTCTTGGTGCGGAGCGGCAGGAGGGGGAAGTTGCCGACCAGGCGGCCCTGGGCGACGGAGGGGTCCGAGTTGAATATTGAGTTGTAGGCCTGCGGATACAGAGAGAGGGAGGGAGGGAGGTTAGCTAGATGTCCATGTGCGCGGGCTATAGGTGGTGGATGGAGAGGTGGTTGGGTTGGAGAGCGAGAGGGAGCTGCGCCTGCGGGTGTGGACGGCGACAGAGACGGAATTGGGGAGTGTAACGGTCGAAGGAAAGCAGACATACCGGCATCTTGAAGTCTTGTCAGCCAATTCGGAGCCGGCGACTGACAGAGGAAAAGGAAGTGGTGCTGTTGTAGCAAGCAGATGTTGCGATATCGCGGGGAGCGGCCGTTTCCAGGTAGAGCGCAGCTGCACAGAGCTGACGTCTGTCTGGCTGGCTTGGCGTAACGAGCATGGTGGGGAGGGTCGGCAGCACATCACAGCACCCACAGAATCCTTGGCCTGACGCTGTTGTATCTCGGCCTGGAATTTCTGGCCGCCAAAACACAGACCAGCCCAGCTTGATGACTCAGAATGTGGCACTCCGTGCTGGTCGCCATCAAAGAATGTGGCTGAGCTTGACTCGACTCGGCTAAATGCGGCCAAGGGCTCTTGGCCACTGACTGGTGCCTAGTTTTCCGCTCACGTGCCTGCGCGTAACCCTGAAACCCTGATTCGCGTCGCAGCCAGGCAGGGCAGGTACCTGTCGCCAAACAGAGAGTGACAAGCGCAGCGCGTAGCTCTTGCTCCAGAGAGGCAGCTTGGTGCCCTGGCCGCACACAGTTGGGCGGGTCACCCCTCTCCAGGCCGCCAACATCGCCCCCCCGCCTCGCTCCCTCACACTGGGCGCTTGTCATGATTCAGCACCAATACCAGTCAGTACTTGTACCCAGGACCGGACCCAGAGACAGCATATATCTCTACCATCTGCAACCCCCGTCCTCTGCTTCACAGCTCGGGCGCATGTATTCTTTCTGTCTGTTTGCACCGTTCTATTGACATCTCGGCATTTGTACGCATACTGCATCACTATCTTGGGGGCTCCGGACTCACAGCGCACGCGTCTCAACTCGTTGCTTTTTGTTGATCGCCGGCAAGGTCCACCCCGCGTCGCAAGACGCCCGCTGACGCCAGTGCTGCAGCAGCGAGCCCGCGCAGCAATCGCCTTGCGCAGCCCATCGTCACCGGGGTGCGCGACCCAACTGTTCGGTACAGACAGCCAAACCGTATTGACTTGGTCGAGGTAAGTTTGCCTTTTCCTCAACCTCATGCGCTACTCATTCGCGGTGCGCCCATCTGATCATGCGCGTCGATGCTAACGACATGCTCAGGCTCAACAACACCTGTGCGGAACTATGTCTTCCACCCAGACCATGACCTCCTCCGTGTCGTCGTTGTCGTCGCAACGGTCGAGAGGTCTCAGGTCGTCCAAGAAAAGACACAGGATGCGCCCCATTATCCGCCCTGAGACCGGATCACTCTACGACATCATGCAGGAGAATCGCGGCACTGCTCTCTACGTCCTGCCCATCTGCTGGACAGACCTCCACGCCCGTCTCCTTGGCGCGCAGTTCATCCCTCGTGATCCAGTCTTGACGCCAGTACCTGCCACGCCACCGCTGTCGAGCCCGACGAGGCGCGGCCTACACGTCCGCCCCTCGCAGACTGCCGCCGCCATCAGTCGCGAACTCAATTTACTCCTGTCGCCCGAGACGTCGCGCCTGTTCTGCAAATACCGCGCTATCAAGACCATCCTGTCCACCTTTTATCCTGCCACCTTGTCGAAGCCCAGGAGTTCGTCTGAGCTCGACCTCTACTTTGGCGCTCGCGTCTTCCGCAAAGCTGTCCGCGTCCCCGTCTTGTGGAGACAGACGGAGCAGCCCAATGCCTCGTTCGACTCGGCCATCACCCAGCCGGCGGCATCGTTCGGAAGGATACCAACCGCAGCCTCGGAGCTCTTCGCCAACGATTCACAAGCGAGCTGCAGGAGCAGTCAGACTGCCCCAGATGCGCCCATGCTAGCTTACATCAATCGAAACCAGCTATCCTTGGTCCGTCGGCATCTGTTCCGCATCTCGATGGGGCCCGAAGATGGGGACCGCGCAAACACTCCCGTCTCGAGGTTACAATACCTGCGTTCCAAGGCGCTGTTCCCTGCAGATGTTGACCAAGACGCCCACTTTGTTGGCATTTTGCTGGCGATGGCCCAGGCTCACTTTTACTCGCAGCCTGGATCCAGAAACTCTTCCCAATCCTCGCGGTCAGCCGGCGCAAGCGCCAACAACTCTCAGCCTCTGCCCACCTTCCGCGAGGTCACAGTGCGACTCTTGACACATGACGACGACGCGGCCGACTTCATCGTCTACTCCGCCACAGTCTCTAGCGCCTTCTTACAGCGCTTCTCAGAGCCGTCAAAGGCCCCGATAATAGCTGACAGCACGACGGAGGGGGGTATCAAGATCGACTATACTAGGGTTCCTATCTGGCCTATTCTCGGCCTGAAGGAGCGGCTTGGCAAGGCCCTCGGTCACGATATTGCGGGCGACATCATCGAGGATAGCCACATTTTTGACGAACACTGCGGCTCGCAGGCCGAAGAGGAGCACCAAGCAACACCAGTAGAGCAAGAAGCGTCTCGCAACTTGAAACGCAGCATTGCTCAATGCGAAACGCTGTCCGAGGTGTTGACCAGCAGCTTCGAGGTTCGGGATGATGACAACAAGGGGGACAACAGCAGTGGCGATAGCCCTGCGGTCAGGAGGGTCGGTTCGCTGTCGCCGGCTGCGAAGAGGAGGTGTTCCTCCGCACGGGCAAGGTCTCTAGAGGTGTGCTAGTAGACGTTGCTGGGAAATGTGTTGGGCGTTTCGGTTGGAGAATCAGTATTGATATCATGGGCATTGTGTGCGATTGGCTGGTTAGTTGGCTAGTTGGTTGGTTGGTCAAGGGTCATCCATGATCGGTCTATGTTCCAAAGAGTTGAAGCATTCATTCAGGCGCTTGGTGCTGGGTTCTCTTAGCTAGGGAAAGGTTCAATCAAGTGCCGAGTAGATCACATGATATCATGGGTACACACATTTGCTTGGCATTGATGGGGTTGGGATATGAAGACAGACCTGGAGTTTCAGGTGGGCTAAGGATATATCGGATAGCTTGAGATACCAAAGAACTTTTTTGATTCGTTTTTCTGCAAAGAGATGTAATGTCCCGAAGCTTGTCAAGTTGTCTGGTGAGTCTTTTGCGTGTAATAAAATGCTGTTATCGAGAGCGAGTTGCATGTGAGTTGACTCGGGGATTCAGCACGACAAAAGTGAACTCTGTCCACGACACCAGTTGCACACAAGGTTTCCAAAGGTAGTTCTGGGGCGATATTATTCTTAGCTTACGGTTTATTGCCAAATCAAGTCGCGTAATGAAACTTGAAGTACACATAGTAAGGCGAAAAAGCATCAGGGAAGAGACAGAGAGCCAACAGTTTCAGTGGGTTGTCCATCTGCAACCACTACTTGAAGTTCCAGCCCCCCGGCTCCTCCCGAGAGCCATCCCCATCCAGCACCTCTAGCCTCTTGAAGGCCTTTGCGATCAAGGCCCGCAGCTGCTCCGTAGTCTTGCTGTCGAGGAACTCGAGCACGTGCTCCACCCTCTCGCCGGTCCCGTCCATGGTGATCACCCACATGTACTCGCTCCGGACCGTCCACTCCCCCCGAGGGGCCACCGCTGGCGCCCTCGATGATCCGGTCGTGGAAGAAGGCCTCGGACCGCGCCCAGACGACGACCTGGTTCAGCGACGGGTTGGGCCACGACCTGATCTCGCGCACGGGGAAGCTGCGCATCACCCGCCGCATCCGCGCGAGGTGGGCGTCGAACCCCGGGGCGTCGAGCGCCGGCGGCGGGTCCAGGGACGCCGGGGCGAACTCGTACCTGTAGCTGTCACCGAGGATGGACAGGATGGCCTTGGCGTCCAGCGGGTCGAAGACGCGGAGGTAGGCGGCGGCCGTTGCCGCGAGCGTGGCGGCGTGGGCTACCGTGCCGGCTGTCGTCGGGGGATCCATCTCCAGGTTGTTGGGGAATTTGGGGGTTAAATCGGCAGAGAGTTGGAGGTACCGAAAGGATCGCGAGTTCTGACTTTCCCAATTTCCAGTTGTTTGCTTGGATCAACTTATAACACATCGATCGCTTGCCCTTCTTAACTCCGGCCATCTTGGTGCCGACCCACTCCTCGTCCTCCGGGACGAACATCAATCTTCAACCAGGCACGCATGGCTGAGTGCGGTTTACCCTCGTTCCTTTGTGCTGAAAAGAGTTTTGGAAAGAAAATGCACTTCATTCCCCACCAAAGACCACCTTGACTCGGTGAATGCCCAAAAGCCCAGTTCCTTCTGAGCGCTTTGGAAACTCACCTCCCCCCCTAAGCCGGCAAGTTGTTAGCTTCAATGTCGAACTTAGCGCTCCTTCGCGATATGTGCCTTGGTTGGCTTCTTAGTTTCCGCTTTACCTACTGCTCCTTCCTTCATATTCAAGCAAATTGGACAACACCCGGACTTTTCCTCATCCTGCCTATCCCCAGGCCTCGTACTTTTCGGGGGGCTGATCTAACGCGGATATTATGCCCTCGGATGTTGAGCATTGGTTAAATGGGCGAACAGACACATCTGACAGCCCTTTAGAAATGGGGATAACCCATGTGACAGTCGACATATCGGGGTGGTAATAGTCCGTCAAAACACCCGGTTTAAACAGTGTCTCCGGCCACATGCTGTAGGTCGTATCTCCGGGTGAAAATTCTGGGGAGAGCATTCAACAAGATTCCGCGCGCTTGCAGTTCAGACTTGGCTACCGGGGAGTCCTACTTTTAAGCGGGATTGATCAGCGGTGGTTCCATGAATATCCCTACTCGGGGCTGAGACCAGCTCGTTATAGACAACTTAGAACCACGCAAGAGCCAGTCAACATGAAGCTAGTCATAGAATTCCTGAATTATCTCAACTTGCGGGCTCTTCAGATATGGTCTTCTGAGGTGGGACATCTTGACCCTCAATGAGGGCAACTTTATCTATGGATGTTTCTATTGGATCGAGAACAATAGCTGTGGGTGCTTATGGCAATTGATAATGAATACCAAGTTGCAGACTCGAACAATTCGCTTTGTGTCTATCGTCTATGGCAGGGGAGGGGTTGATGGTAGGGTGAATGTAAATTGGAACGGACTAAAGGATCTTCAGGACCAGGAACACTGACCTGGGTCACTTTAGCATCTCCTCTTTCTCACAATGATTAACTCTGATATCAAGACCGTCTGGGCAAGGTCTGATGGTTCAGTGCAAGGCCCCACCAAGTGACAAGCACCCTCTTCACTTTGGTCCTAGTCACCCTCAGCCTTGAAATCTTTAAAATCTTCCACCACACACCGCTTTGTTTTCTTCTCTCTCTTCCAAATTAACAACCATTGCCGAAGTTAAGCCGACAGCATGGGCCATTGCAAGATGGTTACTTCGACGCTAACTCAGGTCCTGGGGCAGGGAAGCCTTTTCCCTCCTCCACAAGAGGTGGAATTCAAATTCCTCCAATTCGCGACAATGAACGAAGCCTGGTTCAAAGAGGAAGCCGGCACCACCGAGGCCGACGCCAGCACCAAGAACATGGCCAGCTTCAACCACCTCCCAGATATGATCATCGAGGAAGGCACTGGAGGCAAGTCAGCCAAGCCATTCTTGGCGCGTGCTCGCCTAGATTCGAATCCTCGCAACCCGCCAAAGAGCGATGGCCCTTGGGGCGGGTGCGATCGCATCGCAACCCCCCTTGGCCGCCACCCGCTGGTCAAGATCTTTGACGACGTCTGCCAGGACGGCAGTCAGAAGACTTTGCGTCAAAAGCTCATCGCCATCATATGGAATGACCAGCCAAGCGGCATTCTTGCCGTCCGCGCCGGGTTTGCGCTCCAGGACACCGAGAATTTCCCTACCATCGTCCTGGCACTCCAGTACGGTGCTGTTGCGACTGACCGCGCAGTCGCCATCGTCACCGAGGCCGCCAATCATGTCTTTCAGTATGTTGCCCTTCTACTTCCAGTACCTATTTGAGATCCTTGATCTGGGGCAACAGGCCATGGTTTCACTCCTCATCCAGTCCTGCCCTCTTTCGCTTCTTTCCAGTCCTATTTAAGCTGACTCAATACTCTCCCCTTCAGGTTCAAGGAGTTGCATGATCTATCTATCGAAGTCATCGAGGCCGACTTCTCACTCCATACCAGCGAGGATGTCGACTTTTCGCAGCGCTTCCGACCGATCCCCCTTCCTGGAATCGGACTTGGACGAGCCGATCGCTTGATTTGTGGAGGAACACTTGGATGCTACCTGCAGCTGCATCTTGAGCCCAAGCCCGAGGCGCGAAAGACAGGCCTCGAGTCCAAGATCGTGTATCTGGCCCTGACTTGTCACCATGTTCTTTCAGGTATATCTCAACTATCCTATTTCTTTTGAAACGTTTCAGAAGACTGATCCTTGATTTTTTGGAGGTGAACAGACCGCATCAAGGCAGTTTTGCCCAGTGATGAGGCGGCTGTCATCAACCAACCCTCCCCATCCGAGGTAGAGTTCTAGAAGAGCCTTCTCGATTGTGGCGCAGAACAAACAACCCCACAATTCAAACTTCTGAAGATCAAGCAGGAAGCCGGAGCGCTTAGAGCCACAGAACAGAAGTGTATTGAAATGATGGAGGAGATGGACCGGATCAATGAGGAACGCTACCACAAGGTGTGCCAGTTTGATTGTGGTTTTGGCAAGGTTTTGGCCACTTCAGGCTACGACAAGTGTGTCTTCCTTGACGGAGAGGAAGAGAAAGCTGCTCTTGATCGTATGATTAGCGACTGGGGTCTAGTCCAGATCCACCAGAGTCGACTCGATTCGGCAGATGCTTTGCCTTCTTCGGTAAGTTGAGACCTCTTTGGTGTTAACAGTAGTGGCTGTACCTAGCTAACAAAAGGTCTTCAGTCGCTATCCCTCGAGCAGCTCATAGTCTATAAATCTTTAGGCCGGTTTCTCGTCCCGTCTAGTGCTGAGAACCCAGATTTTCCGAACAACGGTATTTGTTCAATCGACGACCTGCTCGCGACATTGGGAGATGAAGACGACCCAAAGCGCATCATTTTCAAGCATGGAAATGCCTCTGGCGCTCGTCGTGGCGCTATCAGTGATCTTCGCGCCACAATCTTCATGCGACACACGGCAGATGGCCAACCCTGCATACTGGCTGGACAAGCAGTGCTCGCCGTCGTTCCGCCCAAGGACCAGAAATACTACGTGGGTAGATCGAATGACTTTGGTCGTAAAGGCGACTCTGGCAGCATCGTCCATGCCTATGATGGTAGCGCCCTGGGCATCTATTTTGGCGGTCAGTCGGAACAACACTACGATCCCCGCAACCCGAAGGTGTCTTCCCTAGACGGCCTGCACTTTGTGCAGGCAATGTCCGACGCATTGCCCGAGATGCACGATGTTCTGGGTCCGGTCTATCCTGACTTCGACGTCAAGATCGTCCAGTGCTGGGACATGGATGACTGAGTTTGCAGGGTGGTATCTGCCAACAGGAGGTCAGGAGACAGATGGTCATGGCATGGCCATTACTTCAGTGCGTCGTCGAGCCTTCATCGCGGAGGAATCGGGGGGAGTATTGGGGGCTTTCTTATGCGTATTCGGAGTTTGGTGTGCGGCCAAAGTTGCTCTGGAACGTGGATGAGCGATCGACTCTTGGGGTGTCGCCTGGGTCTTAAAGAGACTATTGACTCCGCCTGGAGACTCTTCACTGTGTAAAGTAGCCTACTGAATGACCTGACTTCTTTCACATCCAGATACTGCTCTCTACTGACCATGACGGGTATCATTTTTCTTTTCACTTGTGACCGTGGGCCGGTGGACTAAGCCCACAAGGATACGCGCTCGTTTTCAAGCCTGGACAATACCTTTCACCGTTTGCTTTTTTGAGATTACCTCTGGAACTCAATCCCAAACTCCCCGGCATCAGGCATTCTCAAGATTGTGATTCAGAAGATGGCAATCCTGGTGCCCAAAACATGTATTGGGATGCATAGACGATGGCTAGCAAGACACGCATGCCTTGGACAAGTCTCAACGCCATGACTGCGTGTCCATGGCCGCAAGCAACATCATAGCAGCTACACGCTGCAATATCACCGAGTTCCTCGTTGGTCTGAGTCTTGGACGTGTTGAGTTTGCGTTGCATGGCCCATGTGTGCTAATTGCAGAGAAATGAAGAGGCGAGCCATTCTTGAAGATGCTGGTGAACATTATCTATATCTGTCCCGACACTTCCCCTCGACCAAGAGGATGAAGCGTCACTTTCCGCGCCTTCCTGGGCCTTCGTGTCTCTCTTCTGAGGTCACATTAGCCCCAGCCTTCTCCCCCTCCATACCATCCACGCATTGATAACTCCGCAAAGGACCAGCGACACGTCGAGACCGCAATCATGACCCGGAACTGCTCGCGCCCGCGAAAGTTGCCGATCAGGCGATGCCACCCAGCGACGACCACATCGCACTACATGATGTTGATGTACTGGACATAGTCTTCCCCGGCCGTCAGCAACACAAAATCCTCCCGCTCGGCCGCACTCGTGCACTCGAAGGACCACTCCGGGTCCCCCGGCCACGACATGTAGCGGACGTTGCGATCCCAGTACGGCAGCAGCACGGTGGAGGCGGCCCAGCAGGCGCCGCAGAGCACGTCGGTCGCGATGAGAGGCTTGATAGCGTAGGGGAGAGGGCAGCACTGGAGGAAGACGACGTAGAGCGGGACGAGGGTTGTGAGGGCGCCGAACGAGACGGCCGCAATCTCGGGGTTCACCTTGATCATCTGCTTGGGCGCAACGGCGATATAGACCACCATAAAGAACAGGAGGAAGGCGAGCATGCAGCGGAAGAGCTCCACTCCGGGTTGGGGCGTGGGCCGTGGCATAATGCGTTGCAGTGGGTGATGTGTCTCGGTTTTGATAGAATCGTTGCGTCTTTGTGCTATGAGCTGCGTCCCATGTCTCTGGACAGCATGAGAAACCTGCAGTACGTGGGGTATGTGGCATTGCCGTTCGGGTATGATGGGCTTTATTGTTGGCCGTGATCCGATCGATATCTATCATGATTCATCTCCCCATGAGCCTGGCTGCCACACCCAAGGTAGGCGTTGTTCAGCTGACGCCCTGCCCTATCTGTGGGGAGACAGCACTAAACTTAGCACTGGAGCGGTTAACTACAGCGCCTTCCTCCCTACTAAAACTCCCTGCTGGCGGCGCACGTGGCGGTCGCCAAGCGCGCTCTGGCCCGTGTACAGCCTCGCTCCGCTTGGGAGAGTGGAAACTGCTGAAGACCGTGCCCCGACAACTGCAGAGGAAACTCTTTGAAGTAGCACGGCGGCCAAGCGTCAGATATCAACACTTCCGGAAAGCCTGCAAAGACCCTCATGGGCTGCCTCTCCATTGTGTCCCTAATAGTAGTATGTGACTAGCTAAGAGTCTCTAGAGGCCATTACGGAAAGAGAAAAAGAAGCCACCCAGGCTAGAAACTCCCTCAAGCAGTCGAATAATCCATTTGGGGAGATACGATATCTCCTCCATGCCCATGTGGCTCATACTAGCCTTCGGAAAAAATACAAGCTCCTTCTCATAGCCCTCGTACGCAGGATCATTGTGAATCATCTCCTCGATACCATCGAAGATGGTATCAATCCGCTGAGCGAAATGGATGCCATCGGCAGAGGATGGGAAGGGGTTCCGAGGTCCCACCTTGAACTGGCCTCCCCAGTAACAAGCTAGGTATCTGCCCTGGTAGTCGTAGACCATGCTTCCAGAATCTCCAGGAGCACCGAAACATGCGCCCGAGTAGCATGAGCTTTTGGAGCCTAACGGCGAAACAAGGAGGATAGTTGAGCCGCTTAGTTCACATGTGTCCTGTTCCTGGTTGTACGTATGGGAGCCGAAGACTCTGGCGTCAATGTCGTTGATTGCGCCACAGGTTGGTCCTGTGGTGCTGCCAATCTTGAAAGCCATTCTCTCAATGCTACCCTGGGCTCCTAGTCCCTGCTTCAGCTCGTCGATCGGAGAGATGCCGTTGTGTGGTTGAAGATAGCGAGTCTTCTGAACGCTGCCAATGATATTCTTGAACTCGCTGATTTCAGGAAAAGTCAGACCCTATTTAGTTATATAATGTTAATAGATGGACAGATAAGGACAGATAAACTGCCCAATGAAAGTAAAAGAGGCAGGGGTGGGATCAAAAACGCCAAAGAAGAAAGCTAAGAAAGAAAAACTCACGCTGGTCATTTGGCCAAGGCCCTGGGCTCGCTTGGGGTGTAACTTGACAAGACCCCAGTCATGGAGGATCGTGCTAGAGGGCCATAGTTGACCTGGAGAGCAGATTGATGACGAATGGCCAGAAGCACAGTAAACTGTGCCTAGATGAGGATCAAATCCTGTGAGTCGGGTGTTCGCATTGAAGCGTTGTAGCTCGTACTCCTCCTCTGCAGTGAGCGTTGCACCAGTCTGTTGCTTGGTATTGAGGACTGCCATGTCATGTTGATAGGCCTGAGCAGAGGTGGCATGGCTCTGGGCACCACCATGCAAAAGAGTCTCCTAGGCCTCATATTCCATGGGGGCTGGGCTTTGCACAGAGGCTGGCGTGTTGGTTGTGTCCGCTGGATGGATTGGATGGATGTCATCTGCGAAGTTGCAACTCTGTGAGAATGGGGAACCGTGGACAAGAGTAGGTAGTTGTGAAAAATTAACATACCACTTAGGGCGTGATGGGCCGTCAAGGCAAACCAGACAGTCTCCTCCTTCGGCGCTTGGCCTTCTGGGCATGTCTTAGGGCGGAGGACCAGCTTGATGTAACATCCAAGTGTGGCGGTTCCGTCTGAACGATCCGAAAGGCCTAGTCCGACACCTGGTGTGAGAGTATCTTTGAAAGACTGCTCAAACGAGTGATAATAGCTCAGGGAACGAAGTTCCGTGGTGCTGGATGTATGGTGTCCGAACGTGCCTTCCAGTACCTCGACGGACAAATCTCGCAGCGGCTCGAACCTGAGATGAGTTTCATGTTAGTGAAAAGCTGATAGCGATAGCCTAGTAACAATCAACGATCCTGGTGTTGCTCACTGGAAGATATAGTTGGCAGCCTTTGAAGCCATCTTGGCTGCCTGGTCCATCGTCATTGTGTCCTCACGAACGAAGAGATGGATTGTTGGATATTGCTCCTCGTCAGGCGCATAGACAAACCCGTTTCTGAGAACCACGATCGCGGAAGGCGATCCTTCCTGAATAATGGCCGTCATCATCTCGCAAATTGTCTTGTCGCGGCCCTCAAGCTTGGCCTCCCAAAGCTTGACGATCGGATGCGGCCCGATGACGGTGGGGATGCGGTCGAACAAATGACCCCGGTGGGGAGCGAAGGTTGGTGAAGGATGTCGCGGCTTCGAGTCGAGACGGGCGCGTGCCAGAAACGGCTTTGCCGTCTGCGATCCGGTGCCGGTCTCGATGAAGATTTCCGGGAGTTGGTCTTGATGTTGGCCTTGGCCCCGGTGGGATGCCTCGAGATCAACCATCTTGGCCGATTGTCAGAACTTGGGTGACTCGGGCGGGTCGCACTTATTGAGAGATTGGTGACAGGGTTGAGGGGAAGAATCGAGGAGGAATGGAGGTTGAGGATGAAGGAGGAAGTGGGGGAAACAAACTAGTGTGGGATGGATTATCTAAATTCTTTTGTGCTGGTGAATGGTGAATGCTTTCTCAAGGGGGCTTGAATGGGCCAAGGTGTTTTGCTGAGACTTAGGGCACTGGAATTCAAAACCACTACCTAAAACCGATGGGGGTTTATGGACATTCAAATACTTACTTCTATTAGCAACCCGTCAACTATCTGAGCACCACTTGTCTGGCCCCCATCAAGTTGTTTGGTCTGTAACAGTCGCCTGCCTCGCGCCGCTTGTCTGTCTCCTTAGGGGTTGGCACCAAATGTATATATTCATGACCACTGCCAATCTGGTTTCGTCCTAAACCTTTGCTCCAGGGGTCATTTTCTCTGCCGTCATGCATTGTGCACACTGTGGAATTCATTCGGTGTACCTAGAGAATATCTCTGATTTCCATGGCTATGTCTCTCAATGGTGACTGAAAGAAAGGATTTGATGATTTTGAAGGCTTGCTAACAGTAACAAGCGGTATTAACAGCATGAAAGCAATATTGTTATTGGTCAGAGATGAGGTTCAGCTCCTTTGTATTGATGATACCAAATGATAGTCAATCGCTAAGTTGCTAAGATTTGAGTACGTGGCAATCCAGAACTCTTGTATTGGCCGGCCAAGATATTAAGCGCATGGCACAAACGGTTGCAAACGCCCCAAGGCTTTTACGGCCGGGCTGGCACAACGGGTCGGCACCTCGAAAGTAGGGAGCACGTGCCTCCGGCCATGGATACGTTCCAGTGCAGGCATTTGAAAGACGGGATCCTCGTGTCTTATAATGGGGCAGGGCACACGTCTTCAGTGCCCAGGCACAGAGTTCCCAGTGGGAGTGAGCCCTTCCACCGACCTGCCCCCTCCTGCGATTGAGTGCTTGGGCTGGTAGCAGACCCATTCCCACATTGCTGTACTGGTGTACATGGCAAAACCCGCCTTTATTACCCTGAATTATCCTACAGATGTCTGTGTCGGAGTAAGAGTCGAAAGGAAACTCAATTGTCGAGCGGATCAGCGGTCTCAGTTGCCATCTCCACTGTTTTGGGACATCGTTCTGAGATTAACGAATTGGGACCGAGAATACCGGCCGGTACCAGAAAGCAAATGAAAGTAGAAGTTGCCAGAAGGAAGGAAATTCAGCTCGAGGGCCAAGGAGGTTTGAAGTGAGTCTTCGAAATGCTGAGAAATAAAGCAATATCAATGTCCCAAAGGAGCGCTATTGGAACTAAAAGCTCACCAACCGGTCTCCACAGAATGTGCCCAGGCCAATGGCAACTCCACATGCCTACATGTGCTGTGATGTAAGTGGACCTGTTCACAACTATTATACCGGAGAATATCAACTTTTATGCCTCAAGTTATGCAGAGATGCGCGTCTATAAGATGCCCCCAGTCCCGAGATACCCTGCCTATGATATAGGATGTCCGCAATGCAAGCCTAGCTGATTGTATCCAGTTCGCCCAAGATGAAGGCCATCTTTGCTGCTGCGCTGTTCGCCCAGGCGACTGGCGCGCTCAATATCTTGATGAACAACGATGACGGCTTCGGCGTCTCTAACATCCGCGAGTTGTATCGTCTTCTTGTCGAGGCGGGCCACCATGTTGTCATGGTCGCCCCTGCGACCGACCAGTCCGGCCAGGGCGGCCGCATGAGCATCGACACCTCACCCACACTCTCAAAAGCTACGCCGTACGGCATCGTCCCTGCTGGCTCCCCTTCTCTGGGCAGGGATCCCCACGACGGTAACATCTGGTACTACAACGGCACGCCGGCAACTTGCACCATGGTCGCGCTCGACTACGTCCTGCCCAGATTCTTCCCCAACATGTCGACCCCGGACCTCTTTGTTGCCGGCCCCAACTTTGGCAATAACGTGGGCACGTTCGCGTTCACCGGCTCCGGCACCATCGGGTCCACTTACACCGCCATTCAGCGCAACATCCCCGGCATCGCCTTCTCGGCCGCGAACCCGACCTCGAGCTACCTCGAGGTCAACAGCACCAACCACCCTGCGACCTTGGCGGCCGTCCAGGCCGTCAAGTTTGTCAACAAACTTGCCAAGAACACCCCTGCCGGCAAGCCGCTCCTCCCCCTGGGCTATGGCATCAACGTCAATATCCCGAACCTGAATAGCACCTGCAGCAGCCCCCGCCTTGTACAGACCCGTTTCTCGGGCAAGTCTGGCATGCCCAAGCTGGCATTCAACGAGACAAGCGGCCTCGTGGGGCTGGCCGGCAGTCCCAGCAACTATCTGGGATATGTGACTGAGGGCGCGAATCAGTGCATCAATGGTGACTGCAAGCTGGTGGGCGAGAGCGTGGCCGTCCTGGAATGCGAGACGGCTGTCACCATCTTCACGGTGGACTACACTGCCCCAGTCAACGATAAGACGGATGGTGTTGTGAAAGCAGTTTTCGGTGGCTCGACTTCATGCCAGCCGAGGAAACAGTAAAGCGTAGAATATACGGAGAGTATGTTGCTCTCATAGTAGGAGTAGGCTTTGTCTTGTTAACATATTGAATCCCTGTGTACATAGCTTACTGTTCGGTGCTTCGATATCGTCACTACTACGATCTAAGAATGATAGTAATTCTTTCTACCCAAATCGAAGTGGTTTTGCGAGGGCAGATTGCCTGAGAAGAACTGGCTTCAATTGTTGTAGGAACAGAATATGTCCACCTGGGCTGGCCAAATTAGCGTCACTCCAGGTAAACAATACCCAACACCAGAATCAAATTCCCCTGCCAGGCTGGCTAGCACGTGCGTTTGATGGTTTATTGTTTGCGTCCTCAGGCCTTCAAGAGCAATATCTCTTTGTGAATGCATTGCGAATGCTAAAGACCGCGATGCTATGAATTGGTCTTCTCCAAGCTATGCCATGCACTTGAAGTACGGAGCACAAAGAGCCAACCCCCAGCTACGGTTCCTTTCATCTTTGTTTTTTAATCTAACTGCGTCGCGGAGTTAAAGGTTATTCTCCTGTATTCTCACTTGTTGTTCTCTCAAACCCCAGAAACCGTCCCCGCCGATAGACACAAATACCGCCACACCCATGAGCTGTCCAAAGAATATGAGAGCCAGCCCTATCAGCAGGTCCTGCTTGGGGAGCACCGTTTCGTGCTATTGAAAAGAAGAGTCTTGTATTGTTCGTATTGCAGTCTTCCCCTGAGAGCACAGCAGAGTTTAAATGATTCAGTAAAACCCCAAAGTTGTTCATTGACATCAACTTTGTTTCCCTCCCTGGCGAATGAATGCCGCTTGGACCGTTCAGAGGAAACTCGGGACTTACGGAAGATAAGTCACTGGAGAGACATAGTTCCATCTCTTGGCATATGATTGGTCATTGTAAGAGGTGGGGCAGCTTCCGGCACTTACGGGGGGGGATAAGGTGATCATTTCTGGTATTAACTAATTACTTGTCGTTCCGTAGTGGCAGGAATCCTTGATCCTTCACATTGCACCCCTTTCCACGCGAATTGTCCGCCTTGACAACTGCAAAAAGAATGCCGGATCAACGGGAACAATACTCGGTTGGTCTTCTGGTTCTGAGACTGCTTAAATAATGCAGTTATGCGCTAACAGTCAGAGCTCCTAGTGCGATGCGTGCCGGTCGCGCAAGGTTAACCTCCGAATCCACGACAGAAGTAAACAGGTACTCTTTAGCTAATACCAATATGGCATCGGCAGGTCCGGTGTTCTCGCGAAGGCTCAGGCTGCCAGCGATGTAAGAACGAAGACGTCGCTTGTTCTTACTCACGCTCTGGTATCATCAGGCGTAATCGGAAGCGCAATGTATCAAAACCAATCCCTCGCCACCAGCATACAGACAGTCGACCACAAATCCCGCGAAGTGATCTGAGAGCGCCTCCGGAAGCGGACACTGGCGGCGGCCCCGGCACCAGTACGCACGAGAGGCTGCAAAGGCTAATTGGTAGAGATCATCATTCTCTGAAATCACTCGCGTCCCTGCTTGAAGAGAATGCTGCTATCTGGCAAGACTCATCTGCGTTTGAAATTTTGGCAGAGGAACCGACGTCTGAATACTTGATCTTTGATTCCGGACAAACTCGCGCCTGGGTTGATGGTAAGCTCTGGTCCTCTTCCTCCGCCATGCTCTAACACGCCGTCTAGATTTCATCGCGACTCTGGAAGATGAAAGATTGTTGTTCACATCGGCTCCTCTCGAGGTTCTCGACGCATTAGCAACTTCAAGGCCAGGTCAAATTCAAGACCGGGCTTGGCTCATCATGTTCTACAGTGTCACACTGGCTTCCTTGTCTTCTGCCAACTCCTTTCATGATCCGCTGAAACGCGACCTGAAGCGTAACCTCTGGCTGTCATTCAACGACGCCAAGTTCCTCCTCGTGCCAAGTGCAGCGAGCATCCAAGCCTTGATCTTCATGGCATGCTACGCTGAAGAGTACATGGCACCGTCTATATGTTGGTCCTTGATCAACACAGCATGTACAATGCTGCAGGCGTTGGGTGTCAACAATTGGCGCATCGATGCCCCGACACGAGAACTGCGCAGCTTGGTTTTTTGGCGACTGAACGTCTTGGACAAAACCATGTCGCTCATACTGGGACGGCCCCCGGCATTCCATCGCGAAATGGAAGCCAGCATTGGGCTACCGACACTGGAAAAGCTGCACCAGCCTGCCCATGGCCTACCTTCGCTTTTCCAGGCTCATTACAAGGATCAGATGCACAGATACTCGCGGGTCATGTCAGACACATGGCACTGCCTCTACGGTATGGAGACTGAAGAGGCACCCAACGTCAACGAGAGGTTGGAAACATGGCACCGAGAAGCTACGCAGGTAATTATAAATCATGTGTTTGCCAAATAGCATCATTCTTACCTCGATATGCAGGTACTCGAGGCGGCCGCGCTAGCAGAGAAGCCGCTTCTCGACCCGGACGCTGCAGCATCGGTTGACCACAGCCTGAAAACACTGCACTTCCACGCTTACTCTCTACAAGTTCTTCTTACCATATCCTGTAGGGAGTTGCGACCGAAGTCAATGACTCCAACACTGAAAATGTTAAAGTTGTTGCCACAATTCGCCAGTCTGGAACGGAAGAGAGAGCCTTTTGCCTGTCTCCTCTGGCAGCGCCTACACTGCCCGCTGACGGCTTTTGGGAGCCTTTGGGGCGACACATTGATGAAAGGCAGGGCGAACATTGAGCAGAGCAAGAAGTCTCTGGAAGCTATCGAAACTGTACCGGCTTATCTTGGTAGGCTGCAGGCGCGTAACGCCCTGGCTGGGAGACTGCAGGGCACGACGGAATCGTTCATCAAGCACTGCAAGTCAATACTGTTTGAGGAGCTACCAAGTAAGTTAGGCTTTAATCTCTTTGACCTCGTTGGTCATAACTAACAGCGATCAGGGGCCGGTACTCTGACCGTGATGGCATCTGATGCACTTCGGAGTGATGGACAATCACCCAGTCAGCCCATAGAGCTCTTGACTCCTGGTCCCTCCACTGGCATGACGGATCCACGAGCGACGTCAAATGCTGACGATAAATCCATGGGAGACATACTGGACTGGTCTGACAGTTCATTGTTTGACACAACTTTTGATTGGTTTGCATGGAGCGGTCAGAGCTTCGTGTGAGCGGTAATAACTGTCTGAATAATAATTGTGACAAAATGGAGGACGGGGTACGGGAGCCAGTCTCGAGGACTGTGTGTGCTTCAGTCTTACTGTCATCAGAAAAGAATAAAATGATTGGCCATTTCTATGCATCATGTGACTCTCATACCCCTAACATCATGCAACCGCCACCTTGTACCAGTCCTGAATGGCCGTCAAGGTTGGGTTGTATGGGATTAACACCCCCTCTTATTCTCACGCCGACCCGAACCAACCCGACAACAACTTCATGCCCTCACCCCACATACACACCAGCAACCAGCTGGACACAATCTCTTAAACTATAAGCCCCGAGTGCCAGCCTGGTGACAACCGCAACCTAGCAAGCTGTCTTGCCATGCAGAGATTGATGTCCCTTGTGCTTGGGAGTGTGCCCCCGCCACCTCGCCCGGACCCGGTCACCATCACAGGCATTAGGTTCCCCGCTGACGGTTCCAAGCCACACCTTGTGCCTCTTACGACAACCTCTGATGTACTTGAAGGGGTTGATGGATTTTGGGGACACGTGCCTGACTTTCGAGAGTTCTGGAAACCGGCGCGGGCGTGGCAGCGGCGAGATGTCGAGTCCTTCACCCTTGAAAACCAGCCGATCGGCAGCTACAACGGGCGGTATATCCTGTTCTACTCCTTCGACCTTGAGTCACTGCCCGAGAACAACAACTTCCCCAAGGGTATCTTTGGCAGGGAGCGCGCGTTTGCTGGAGACGCCTTTGTTGTCAAGATGGACAACACAAGCTACGAGACTGGTGGGTGGGCCGCGTGGGAGAGTGTGCCTTCGGATATTTTGAGCGTGCCAGTCATGGCAATGTGATTGATTAACAGTGTTCGCTTCTATTTAATCTTAAAAGGTATATCTGTCCCATGCCACACTGAAGTCTCGCGTGACGATGGTCAAGACTGGCGGGGAACTCGTACACGCAGAACTGAAATGAGCTGGCAGGGTTGAGCGGTTTCGAAACGGAGAGGAAAGCAATCCGTCCAAGAAAGAGGCACTGCTTCTTTCTCAGCTGTTACTTTGCTGGTCTCAGAGGTAAGGTGTCCAGGTTATCCTCCGAGAATTCGGGCATCTACAAGACGGGTCTGCACACATTGTCGCAGGTTCAAAGGCACGGAGAGACATTGAGAGTTTCTAATGTACATACACGCTCTAAAACTATTTACAAGGTATTTCTATAATGTCCACCTGGGACCTGCGTTGTTTCGTGCTGTTTCGTCCTTGAAAAGTCTATCTTTTGCAGAACTTTCTACCAAGGCCAGCACCCTTGTCAGAGTCTAGGGAATCGATGAGTGTGTTCAATTCTGCCAGCCGCTGCGCAGTCGTAGCAAACATGCCACCTAGACATGTGTATTGTGCGTCAGCCGCCGCCTCAAGATGTCTGCTGCATGCAGGGGAAAAAGGAAATTCAGGAGCGAAAGGCTGGACTTACCCTCGGCATGCCATTGGATATGGCAATGGAGTGCCCATACACCGGGATTCGTCGCGACATATCGGATGACAACATGTGAATGGGACCCTACCAGGACCGTGTCGCGTCGCATGGGGTTGTCCAAGTTCCACGTCGTTTCCCCCATCCCGAACAGGCCTTTGCCCCAACCGACGATCTGAAAGTTTTGGCCTAGGAAATATCAGTACTCCAGCTTAGCCCATCAAGAATAGGTATGAAGCTATGTGTTCCGCGTACCACTAGAGATCCCACTATTAGCAGCTGTAGAGACAATAACAACAACAACGATAGGGCTTACTGTAAATGCCAGGGATGAGACATCATCTGATTTGCGCTGATGGCTATCTGTGCTGCTTTATCGTCGTCGCGAGATACGAGGATGTTCTGATCTGCGCCAAAGTCCCATTTCGGGGTACTTGACTCGAGATTTGCTAGCGACAGATTTTGTCGAGAGGTCTGCCAGACCGTTGCGCTGTCGTTCAACGGGGAGAAAACCACCTTTACAGAGATGGCTGTCAGCGAAATTGAAAACAAGGGCAAAAGCATTTGGCAGTCGAAGCACCTACGCTGTTGACAAAGCTACGATATACACCGTTGTGGTTTCCCTGGGAAAACACCGCCTGATGTTTGTTGCGTTCTCCTGCCTCGTATGCCTTCATGGCTCTCACCGGCTTCGGGAGATCAAACGGCAGATCTCGACACTTCTGTGTCCACGGTTCCGAGGTCGAGTCGGGTAGTGATTCGGCCCTCATGTCCCATGCCTTTCCAACAGGCCGGTCGTTCACATCAACGTTGTCGTAGGACAGGATGCCTGTCGCCTCGTAGTTGACCTTTGCGAGGTGGCTTCCAAAGCTGCCGCCCAGCATGGCGCACCCCTTGAGAGCTATCGCGCGCATCAGGTAGTTTCCCGCCGGCTGGTCGGTCGTGAAGACGACCGAGTATCGCTGGCCCGCGTTCAAGAAGACGCGTGTGGTCTTGATCGGCTCGACCTCCACCCCGTCGATCTCGACGATCTCAAGGACGTGGCTGTCCACGGTGAACCACAGCGGGATGTTGGAGCTGTGGCTGATGAGTCTGAGGCGTACGCGGCGCTTGCTCGGAACGCGTGCGCTGTAGATGGAGCCCGTTGAGCAGCCGGCAGGAACATGGCGGGTGGGATCCTCCTGTCGGGCCTTGGATGCGCGTCGGGCCCTATTCGACGACGCCGGGGAGCAATCGTAAGTGTTGCGGCCATTGATCAAGATGTTATCAGGACGCGGCTCCCTGCCCCCATCTGTAGTTGTGCCTGTGTATATACTTAGGGCCTGGCTCGGGGTGGTTAGAGGTTGGACATCACGAGAAATGCATGGCATCCTCCTTGGATTTGAGCATACCTCTTCTGCATCCACGTGATAGTGGTCACCGATCATGATAACCCTATCTTCCTCGACAGGAGGGATCTTTTCATCAGGATCGTGAATGATCTAGCAAAACCATGTCAGTGCTTTCACCTTGAAAGTGAAGAACTTGCACGGGGAAAGAGCGTAATTACCAAAGGTCCGAATAGCCCGTCCGTATACTGAGCAGATACATGGCCGTGATACCAGAACGAGCCGCGCTGGTCGACGACTTCAAAGACGTAGGTAAAGCTCTCGCCGGGTGGAATACCGCACTCGGTCACGCGGTACACGCCGTCCATGAAGACGCTGTTCTTCTGGTCGATACCGTGCCAGTGAATCGAGGTTCTCTCCTTGGGCATCGAGTTGTGCACGGTGATTTGCAGCTTATCGCCCTTGTTGGCCTGGATGAGGGGGCCTGGTGACTGGCCATTTACTAAGATCATCTCCTTGGACACGCCGTCGGGGCTGCTTCTGCCCCGCGTGATGTTAAAGACGAACTCGCGCGTCTGGGGCTTGTCCGAGACGACAAAGCCCGTCGTCCTGAGATTGAACGGGTCTGCAACGGGTTTCAATTCCGGGGGCGGCGGGCTCGCCTCGCTCTCCGCCGGGTCAGGCACTGCAGATTCCGCCGGCGGCTCTGCAGGTGGCTCTTTAGGCGGCGGCGCTGGAACTCGCACTTGCGCGGTGAATTTGAGCATGGCGAATCCCACGATCATGAGCGCCGAGATGCCCAAGATGGACATCATGACGGCGAGGCGGGATATCCCACGCCGTCGCCGCCTGCCCATCGGCGACTGTCCTCGCGGATGCTTCGGCTCATGGCTGGCGGCACCGGCACTGGGCAGCAGGGTCCCGTCTTCTCGCAGGTCCTCCGAGTCCGAATCTGGATCCATGGCTACTCACATGCAAGGTCGTCTCGCTCGACCCGTGCGTTTCCCGGTCGCGTTCAACAGCAGCAACAAGTTCGACGATGGCCAAAAGAGCGACGAGCCATCATCCGGAGAGATATTGAAACACAAACACGCACATGTAAAGGAGGCAGTCATCATTCCAGAAAAATCTCCCCACTGTGACTTGGTCGAACTCTCGCTTGGCGTTTCCGGCCCCCACCGTGAAACAAGGCGTGGGCCATTCATGGTTCGAGCCAAGCCTGGGATGGAGAATGGGGAGGCATGCAAAGGCGCCTCACGTCACCCCACACAGCCCCTTTCTCACACTCCTTGCGCGCATCTGGTTGCATGGCACTTCGTAAGCAACGATTCGCTCCAGGCTGCTTGGCCTTCTGGTCGCATCAGGTCCGGGGCTCTCAACGTCGGTGTCCACATCAATTCGCCGCTCCAGTCCGCCATGGTCCGGCGATGCTTGTCTCATCATCTCTATAATAACCAGAAAACGACTTTAAATTACGCTCTTTTTCCCGGTTGTTTTGCTAGCGCTCTCCCACATAAATCTGCAGGCGCAGGGGCCATTTCCTTAACAGCCTGTTTAGAATCCTCTCGCTAAGCACCAAAAGAACCCTGTACACTAACATTACAAGGTACATAGCTGTTAGTACACAACCCAGTATGCCGAAGAAGGCTCTGAGCGTAGCGAAGGGCCTCTGAGGCGGAGACCCTGGAGCCCGAGAGGAACGAGGGCGGAACGGGTCCCATTTTACGAACGCGAGCCCTGCGAGCAGTGAGGGCTACTACAACCCCATCCCCTAAAGCCTGCGTTGCAGGCAGTCCCCTAGTCATCTTGACCAGCCGATTCTTACACAGGCCAGGGTCCATCGAGCGATGGCCCACTGTAACTAGCTTTGCATGCAACTCCACCTGTCTCGATAGAAATGATAGTGCAGGACATTCAGGGTCACCCCTTTGGCTACAAGGGTCTGGCAGGCACGACGTTTATCGGATATATGTTTGAAGTATTTACTTGCTCATATTATTGCACCTTTGCTGGCCTGACCTGGGGATGGATTGGTCATCCAATGAACGATTCAGCACGCAGCACCAGGCTAGAATGCGAAAAGGCCTACTACGACCAGAGCCGCAGGGAGCAGTCCATGATCAAACTTGTCCCGCCTCACTCCGGCATTCGGAGTGCCTGTCGATGGCCGCGATGTTGAGGTCGAACTGGATCCCGAGGACGGGGTGGGGGTCGAGCTGTCACTCCCGACAACATTCGGGAATAGCTCTGTCGAGTTCTTGTCGACAACAATCCAGTTCTTGACCGTCAATTTACCCTCAGCCAAGCGTTTCCACTCCTCCTCCGTGCAGGTCGCCTCGTCAAGAGAGTAGCAGAAGTGCTGGTACTGGGGCGGCGGTGTGTCCCTGGCATCCAAAGTGTTGACGCTTCCCACGGTGGCGTACGAGGCATTGGCCAGCGTATCCACCTTGCCAGTCGCAATGTCCTTGTTGAAGAGCGCCCGCATAAAGATCTCATACGCGGTATCGGGCTGATATGAGGGAACTTCGTGGCCGGCTTGGTACACCCGTGAGAAGGAGAGATTGCCGTACTGCCGGACCTGGCCTCCGACCAAGCTGGCGTTCGTCTGGATGGAGGCATACCCGGCCGCATTGAAGTCCTTGGTGTGGGTGTAGTTTATCGCCCGGCTGACCGCTTCCCCGCCGAGCCAGTTGCACGCATAGTCTCGGTCGCCATAGACGAGCGTCACCTTGATGCCGTTCTCGAGGAGGAAGGCCAAGTCATCGAGCCACCCAGGGCGGGGATAGTCACCGATCCCCCGGAAGGCAGCCGACACGGCACCGGAGCTCTGGGTCCAGTTCAGAGGCACACCGAGACCAGCTTGGACGTGCGGCTGGTTGAGCCAGCCTTGGTAGAACGGAGGCGGGAACGGATCGGGATCGAGCTGTGTCATGTCATAGTAGTTCCGGCCCGAGTACCTTAGGTAAGGGCCGCGAACCTCGGTGGAGCAGTAATCCTCAGCCTGGGAACATATCTTGTTGACGGTTGCATTCTTGCCAGTATCATCAGGGTCGCCAACCACAGACGCTGCATGGCAATCGTTGATCATGTCACGGCAACCGCCGGGCTTGGTCCAGGCGTCGACCATCTGTTTGTAGATAGTCTCATTCACCGCAGCGATGCCGTACGTGTTGTTCACCGCAATCTCGGGGTAGAACGGCAACTGCAGCTCGCGATCAACACAGCCGTTGATGATCAGCAGCGTGTCCAGGTTGAGAATGTGCATCTCGCCCGGTTGGCCGTGCCAGGTGCCATTCTCGATCTTCTGGTTCTGCTCCTCAAAGTAGGCGGCGAAGGCCGGGCCGTAGCGACCGCCGTAGGACTCCGTCGCGATGCTGATGCGGGAGTCGTTGGGGTGGTATCCCGGGAACTCCTGGAACCAAACCTGTGCAAAGTGCCACAAGGCCACGGCGGCGTTTTGGGTGCCCTGAGAAGTACGATTGCGGTTGTTGCTGGGGAACGTGCCTGTGAAAAATGTGGCGTTCTGCTCCGGAATTGGCTCGTTGTCTTTAAGTTTGGTCGTGGCGCCAGTGAATGTGTTTACGGTGTAATTGGCTAGCGTGTCATACGAGAGGCCGACTTGTACTGGCTGATCAAGATAGAGCATGTTGACTGCAGTTTTTCCCAGTCAGTCAACAAAAGTGAGCAATGTTTGTGGACAACAGGCAATTGTACCTTCATTATTCCAAGACCACTCATTAAGCCTGGTAGAGTTGGAGTCCGGGTTCACAAAACAGGGGCCATTCTCCACGAGAAGGCCAAGCATGGATGAGCTGCCAGGCCCGCCATTCATCCATATCGACAGTGGCGCATTCTGGGGGTCTTTGCGAGACTCGAAAAACCAGAAGAAGGTGTTGATGGGATAATCCTGGTCCTGGTCATGCAGTGTGCCCGGCGGCAAATGGATGTACCCGGAGAAAGACTTGACGCCCTCGGTGGTCTCGCAGAGGCCCGTCTGGGTCATGGTCAGCGTATCCTCATTGCAGATAGCTCGTATGTGCTAGACGGTTGTGGCAGACAATACCAACTTACCTCCTTGTAGCTGATGGTCACGTTGCTATTGAACTTGGATTTCAAGATGGTGACACCTTCAGGCGGCTTTGGGAATTGCGCCGCCGCATGAGGAGCGAGCGCTGCAAGGGCTGCCAGTCCAAAGGTGCGAACATGCCGCATCAACATGGTTACCAGATCGTGAACACCTCTTGGGAAGACCGGATGGGAGACTCGAGAAAGCGACAGGGCACAGGCACATGGGCGCTCCAAAGACCTTTTAAACTCTCGTGCAACATTGTTGATCCCCCGCACTCGGATGCCTGGAATGCAGCCCTGCTAGCTTATTTACACCGTATCTGCCATGCCAAGCCTGAGCCAGCGTTTTGACATCGATGATTTGCCGATCCTCTGCAACCTAGGCAGGTGGTAATCAATTCGGCGTTCGACCCCGCACACAAAGACGGCTGGTGCTCGTCGTCAATTAAGACGTGCATTTTGCCAGCACTGTCTGGTTCCTGAGAGATAACAGGAGCCATGATATGGGCGGACGTGATAGAGCGTCTGGAGAAATTGGAGCCCGTGAGGGGTGGGACCAAGGGTGTGTGTGGCTAGAGCAGCTGCTGTTTGGAAAGAAACCGCTTGATAATGAGGCAGATAATGTCTAACTGTGACTAGTAATACAATGGAAGAAGAAAAGTGAATCGATTTACAGCCAAGACAACGCTGAACTGATGAAATAAGAAACAGAGAAATCGAGCCAGTATCACACCACATGCCGCACGAATCCAGAGATTACAACCGACACTTGACTTCCTGGACTTGAACAGAATCACTGTTAGCAATACTGGCTTCTGCCAGAGCACTAATGGCACAACTTACATGAGCGCACGAAGTCGAAGATAACAGGAAGCGTAGCCGACACGGCGACGATCTGACCCAAGGTCCAACCATCCCGGATTGGGCTGACTCCTAGCCCAGACAGCCTCTCGAACCGAGCTCTCTCGTAGAAGTAGAGCGGCACAGCCGAAGCGAAGCTGAGAAGAATGACGTCGCAGACGCGCAAGACTGCCGAGATTGAAAGATGCCTCTGCTGCCGCCTGATCAGGCTTCGACACATGATGCAGACTTGCGAGCTGGGGGCCTCCAAGACCTGCTGCCCTGGTGCGGTCCTACGGCTCGCGTGACAGCAGCATATACGTCTGAAGAAGGTGAAAATGAGGCGAGCACCGCCGTATCCCACGGAAGAAAACGTGAAGATGTAGATGATTCTGAGGTCGCCAGCGTAGTGGAGCCTGCATATCCCATCTGCGAAGCTCTCGACCGGTGAAGACGGGGATCGCATGGTTCCCCTGACGATGAAGGGCCAAGACACCAGAAGCAAGATGCTCACAGTGTTGAGAACTTTCAGTAAAAGCCAGGCTTTCGGCTTATCGACAAAGAGCTGGCTGCGGAAGCATTGTGACTTTGGAGGCGCTTGTGGGGAATTCTGGAACGGACAGGCGACCGGGAGTCGGGCAACCTGTCGTAGACACGCCCCGACTCGGCAGACAAGCAGGGAAGAGCTGAGAAGAGAGACTGAGAGCCACAGAGTCAAGATGAAATCCTTGTAAAAGATCTGGCCTGCGTCTCTAGCCCTCAGGTAATAGACAATAAGTGCGACGGGGAGTGCAATGTCAGAAATGGTGAGCGCCATGGCGAAGCTCGGGAGTGCCCTCTGAATGCAAGCGCATAAACGAATGAGGCAGGCTTTTGGGTGACCGGACAGTCTCATTATAGACTCGTAGACAGAAATCAAGCCAAACACTGCGAGGATGAAGGACTGGAAAAGGATAAAAATGTTGATCTGTATCGCCCACAATTAGTGTGAGGCCTTAATGACTGAATGGTGTGGCAGCACTCACTCCTGGACCATTCAAGTCTGCCATCTGGTCTGCCTGGGGGCTGAGACCACATGCCACAAACGGGCACGCGTTAGCTGGGTCGTTGATGACAAGATCGAAATATGTCGGGAAGGTATTTGCGAATGTCGCGTTTGTGCTGTTGCTTGCGATGGAGTTGACTGTCTCAGCATAGGCTACCCTCTGTTGGTATTCCCAATCGAGAATATCGCCCATCGTTGGGATAGCCCTTTCTTGCTGAGGGAGTGCTTGCCGAAAGTAGGCGTCGGTGATGATCTCGCTCAAGGATCGAGGGACCCAGAATGTCGCGTTGTCAGCGACATGATCCGGCACGTTTGTCAGCCGGCCAGCATCGACGTTGAACCAAGTGTGAAGGAACTCATTCACGAGATTGCAGTCTCCCGAGAAGTTGAGGCTGGCAAGGTCCGGAGCGGTCCATATTTGGTTCTGCGCGGTTGCTCGGGGCTGGGCCATCTTGTCGAGGAAATTGAAAAGAGTGGGCTCCTATTACCCGATGTTCCGAACATGTCTGATACGTCCGGCCTCTCTGTATGATGTCTGTCCTCATTTTCACAAATATTTGTGGAAGAAAGAGGCATATTTATATCGGCTTGATCTCAAATAGGTGGTAATGGACCAGCTGGGGACTAATGAGGCCGTCAAGGCTGGGGGCGGTGCGACTACCGATCTGCCACCGTGGAGCCTGAGTGCAGATCGCATCCACTGGAAAGCAGAGTCAAGGTTGCTAGTTATAGACTCGATACCCTAAGGACTTGAAGATCGTGAGCCTAATTGAGAGTGGTATCCAGGCCAGATGGTGATGGCTGGCTCATATGGTGCATATGCATGCACGCATGTATCGTTTCGTCCAATCCCAGCCTCTTGCTTGGCGCTCTTCACCGACCAAAGGGCAGTTCCCAGGTGCTAACCTCTAATGAGGCCGGTCTCCAATGCATCGGCCCGGGGTCAGGGGTTGCATCTGCAGTCACACTCTGTTGAGGCTGCGCCCCTTGGCTACCAGTTGGAGGGCTTGTAGCGACGCATCAGGCTGATGACGGACGGTCAAATAAGGTACAACCCTGCACCCATCCCGGGGCCTGAATGGCGGTGGCTGAACATTCTCGAAACGCCAGAAAAGGGACGTGCCGTTCCAGCCTGATAGGGGCTGAGTCACGCAGAGCACCACATCCACATGAACATCATCGGCGACAGCGAAAGAACGTTGCCTCTCACTCTCACTCGGGACAATTCTAAAACAGGAAGGCGCCCGCCACGGGAAAATCCGCATGTCTCAATCAGATTCAAATGAGAAAGTTCATGTTGGTGGCGTCTTACCCCTGAAGCACGCAGGCGCCTCCCATTATCTGCCCGATTCCGTAGACATGAATGAGAAGGAGGGACTCCCGAAACAAAAAGAGGGGATTGCAACCCTCCGACTGAGGTGTCATGTGGAAAGTTGAGGACACCATACTTGTCTGTTTGGTCTGGATGCCAACTAGCAGAACGTCATATCTGCAGCATTTTCACTCACGCGACGCCTAGCTCTGCCCTGTGTAACTAATGGCTTGCAGACTGTAGTGTGTAAAGAACCAGGACTGTGACGCGGGCTGGATACGTGTACCTACTTCCAGATTCCATGTTGTGTCGGTGGTTTTGCCTGCAATGCTGTTGAATGCGTCGGTCTAGGGCGACTCGTGCCCCATTTTAGTTGGATCTTTGCCCTTGTCAAGAATTCTCCTTTGTTGTAGTAGAGTAGAGTCACCCTTAGAAGTAATTATCTTGCTTCGCATACCCTTGTCTGGATCACATAGTATGAGACGCGGCGATGAGTTAGGTCGTGTGCAGTAATATCAATCCAGTGTTGGTTGGCGAGGACAGCCGAGGACAGCCGAAGACGCGTCGGTGAACGCCAACTTGGCAACGCCGGATAGGTATGCTCACCAGAGCCATGGTATGGGTACGCCCGATTTAAGGCTCAGAGGTGCCCCAGATCGAAGGTGCATCACTTCGGTATCCCGAACCAGGCAGGTGATTGCGGGAATAAGTTGGAATGATCAACAAGCCGCTCTGACCTTGCTTGAAAGAGTGGGGAGGGGAGGTCGTTGTCGCCCTGCCACCCGACGCAGTTGAATGTTCCGCACGGCGGAATTACCAACACCGATCATACCCTGAGCTGGGACCTGCAGTCTGGAGGAGGAGGAGGTATTGGCAGGGCTGACACCCTTCACGAGCCGACAATTGTGCAAATCATGGCTGCCTGTGAGCCTTGCGAACCGGGCGCCGCCATCCTGACCTGTATGGGGTCCCGGAAGCAGTAGTTCCAGACTCCTAACGGGAAGTGGCCATTATGGCATGCTGGAGAGCAGTCGACCATTTACACAAGAGTTGAATTTGTTTGATTTGAAGCTGAAAGCAGAATCAAGGAACAAGAACCTAGGTTGTACTCCTTTCGATGTTGGAGACAATTCTGGACAGTTATGAGTGCTAAGAGAGTGCTAAGATAATGGAAGCTGTTTCGGTGGAGCCAATGCCGACTGGACAACGTACTATGGGCGGGCGAAGCCATGCACGGGCCACAATCAGAAAAGATGATAAACGATAAGATAAGAGATTTTTCAACTGGATGCCAAAGCAACTGGTATTTTTTTCTTCAGAGGCATCCCCGCCTCTCACATCAATCAATCATCGCTCGTTGATCTGGCCTGCGCCGTATCTTGGATCAACTTCAAGACGCCACCAAAGTTCCCGACTGGCCTGCTGCAAATATAGTCAAGATGAAGCGCAAGCTTGACCAGAAGGGCGAGCCCGACTCGACCGCCAAGCCCGAGAAGACGGAAGCGACCACAAGCAAGCAGCCCGCCGAGGAGCCCTCTTTCTCCGACCTTGGCCTCGACACACGCCTGCTCCAGGCCGTCGCAGCGCAGAACTTCAAGAAGCCGACACTCGTTCAATACAAGACTATCCCGCTCGCCCTCGACGGTCAGGATGTCATCACCAAGGCCCGATGTGGCTCCGGCAAGACCATGGTCTACGTCTTGTCTATCCTCTCGACGGTACTCAAGCGGAAGGCTGTACGTACATACCATAAGTCATATCACCCGCCAAGCTCTTGTCTAACTCGTCTCTCTGCAGACTGACTCGACGGCCTACACGAGTGCCCTGATCCTTGTGCCCACCCGCGAGCTTGCCGACCAAGTCTTCAAGGTCATCGAAAAGTTCTCCGCTTTCTGCGCCAAAGACGTACAAGCTGTTGTGTTGAAGGACAAGGTGTCTGACGCTGTGTCCCGATCCCTGCTCTCGACCTCCCCAGATATTGTCATTTCCACACCGTCCACCGCTTGGCGGAACGCCGACTCCTCCGCCCTCTCCCTCGACAAGCTGTCCTGCCTTGTGCTCGACGAAGCCGACCTTCTCCTGTCGTACGGCTACAACGAAGAGATTGAGAGCATCTCAAAATGCGTCCCGAAGGGAGTACAGATCATCATGATGAGCGCGACTTTGACGGGAGACATGGATCTGCTCCAGGGAATGTTTGGCAGGAAGCAATCGCTCCTCGACCTCGAGGAGCCAGAGACCGAGGGTGAAGGCGTCTCGCAGTTTGTGGTCAAGTATGCCGATGCCAACTCTCTATAATATTGCGACACATATGCTGACCTGACACAGATGTGGCGAGGACGAAAAGTTCTTGTTGGCCTATGTTATCTTCAAGATCCAATTGATCAAGGGACGGTGCATCATCTTCGTCAATGACATCGACCGCGCCTACCGACTCAAGCTCTTCTTGGAGCAATTCTACATCCGATCCTGCTGCCTCAACGCCGAACTGCCCGTGAACTCGAGGATACACGTTATCGAAGAGTTCAACCGTGGTGTTTACGAGATTCTGATCGCCGCCGATGAGAAGAACGAGATGCTTGGCGACGACGAGGATACACAGGGTGCCGAGGAAGAGTCGAAGAAGAAGCGCCGCAAGTCGGGCGACGGCAAGGATCAGGAGTCCCAAAATCCGAAGAAGAAGCGGAGAGCATCTCGCAAAGACCAAGAGTACGGCATGTCAAGAGGTATGGATGTACTTGCATTCCAATCTAGCCAACGTGGTGCTGACCCATCCCAGGTATCGACTTCAAGAATGTCTCGGCCGTCATCAACTTTGACTTTCCCACGTCCGCTTCCTCATACAGCCATCGGATAGGACGGACAGCCCGCGCCGGCCGGAACGGCATGGCCCTCTCTTTCTACGTTCCCGAAGAGCTATATCGCAAGCATATACCGACAACAATCGAGACGGCCGAGAGGGACGAGAAGGTGCTGGCCAGGGTCATTCGACAGCAGTCAAAATTGGGCAAGGAGGTCAAACCATACCACTTCCAGAAGGAACAGGTCGAGGCCTTCCGGTATCGTATGAACGATGCACTTCGAGCGGTCACCAAGGTTGCCGTCCGTGCGGCGAGGACAAGAGAGCTCAGGCAGGAGCTTCTGAAGAGCGAAAAGCTCAAGCGGTAAGTGCTGCCTCGACGACCAACAAGAAAACACACAAAGCTGACATGCATGACACAGATACTTTGAGGAAAATCCTGCTGAGCTGGCACACCTCAGGCATGACAGTGAGCTGCGGACAGCGAAACGCCAGGATCACTTGCGCCATATTCCGGAGTATCTCCTCCCGAGGGAAGGCAAGGAGGCACTGACTTCCAATGAGATCGGTAATGTTTCTTTCAAGAAGGCTGGCAAACTCAGGGGCAACAAGAGGGGCAGGCCGCACGGACGGGTGGGCAAGCCTGGCAGGAAGGGCGACCCGCTCAAGACGTTCAAGGCCCGGAGGAAAACAACCTGAGCGGCAGCTGCATTGTTGAGGTTTGTGATGAATGATAGATACCCAAATAGACTGGTTCACACTCTGAGATGGAACGCTGACCGGCGCCGCTGCATCAGCCTGGGGAATGTGCGAGAGTTTACCAGTGCTGCCCGTTCACTCGTGCACTGACAGGTGACAGACCCATTGCGGCACAGAGATGGTGTTCACACCTGCATGCCATGCGATCTGTCAATTCGCGGTTGCTCTTGTAAGGCTTCCCGCGAGGACTATGCTCATTACTCATGGCACGGCGTCGCGTGCGTGCGTCGTGGTGATTGGCCGGCCGTGCATCCGAGGTGGTATTGACAGCTGTGGTGTAACCAACGGTAGATAATGACAGTTACTGATTCGGGTCGAGGGGACTCTGCGTGTAAGTGAGCCAGATGCGATGAGAAAGGCTATCGTCAATCCCATTGGGAGATTCGTCGTATATAACATGTGTTGTGGGTTTGGGCTCAGGACTCACAATGTGCTCCCTAACGGCCGTTACTCATCAAGTCGGCTTAGGGGACTTCGTCAAGTGAATTATGCCCAGGGAACAAGTCTACGCTCTCCGACCCTTCGGATGGGAAAATGATCCAGAGGAGGAGCGATTCAAGCTCTCCACGCTGGACTACCTGACGGGTTGCACCTACACCAATTTCTTCCTCTTCTTCCGCCTGCGCGACGACGAGAAGCAGCACGCCATCGAGGTCCTTCGCCTCGGTTTGGAGCGCACGCTGAGCCAGACGCGTCCGCTATGTGGCATCATCGAGAGGGATCCCCAGGGAGGCCACTCATTCGTCAAGAAACGCGACAGCACCGTCAAGTTTGTCGTGCAGTGGCTCGACGGCGCGGAAGACGCAGACAAGTATCCTTCCATTGACGACCTGGCAAAGGGCCACTTCAGGGGCACGCAGCTCGGCGACTTTGACACCTGGACCGTCTCGCCCATGACCTACGGCGAGAAGCCCGAGGCGCACCCGGACAGCAAGCCCGTCGTGGCGGCCTTCAAGGCCAACTTTGTGAGGGGCGGGCTCGTCTTGGTCATGCACCACCACCACTATGCCAACGACATCATGGGCTGGGCCGGCGAGGCCTTCCAGGTGGCTGAGAACTGCTACGCCGTCCGCCACGGCACCGAGTTCCCGCCCTGGGACGTGAAGGCCTGCCTGGACCTCTCGCGCCTGACCAAGCGGGACCCGGCGGAGGGCGACAAGGTCGACGGCCCGCCGCCGCAGGTCCGGCACCCGGAGCACACGGGCGCGCAGAGCCTGCTGTTCCACTGCCCGCGGAGCAAGGCCGCCGCGCTCAAGGACCTCGCCCGACCGCAGGACGGGTCCTGGGTCTCGACGTACGACGCCTTCGTCGCCTTCGTCTGGCGCGCCATCACCCGCATCCGCGCGCCCGCGTTCGCGCCGGATCCGGGCGCGCGCCTGTTCTGGGGCGAGGCCGTCGACCTGCGGCGCCGGCTGCACTCGCCGCCGGTGCACCCGCGCCTGCAGGGCAACGTCATGTACGCCGCGCTGTCGAGCATGTCCGCCGTGCCGCAGCCCACCGTCTGCGAGCTGGTGTCGGGCTGGCCGCTCTGGCAGATCGCGCGGTACGTGCGCCGCATGACCGACTCGGTGAGCCAGGAGGACCTGGACGCGCAGCTCGAGATGGTGGCGCTGGTGCGGGACAAGGCGGCGCTGAGCGTCAAGGTCAGCGCACACCCGCCCCTGAGTCTGGCGGTTACCGACCACAGGGACATCAGCGCGGTTCTGGACGCGGATTTCGGGTTTGGGAGGCCGGTTGCGTATCGGCATCCGATTGTGTTTGTGACGGAGGGATGCATGTTTGTCTATCCGCGGCGGAAGGGCCCGGAAGGGGAATATAGGGACGACGACGGGTTCGAGTTTACGATGGCGTTTGAGAAGAGGCTTGCTGGGGATCTGCTGAGGGATGAGGAGTGGAATAGGTGGTTTGAGTTCTTGGGGGTTGATGTTGATTATAAGGAGGATGAGTGAGTTGTGTTGGTATTCCTGGTCACTACGTGATGGGATCCTTGAACACAAACCCATGTGCATATGGAAACCAGTTTTTCAGTAGTCAAGTCACATTTCTTGCAAGTATCGTTATAGCAAAATGATTTCATTCTATTTGACTATGTGAACTTAGAAGCACGATACCGTACAATTACAGGCGACTAGACACACCCAGTGTTGAATGAGTGTATCAAGCGTAGTGGAAAAGAAAAAGACAATACACCGGTGGTTAAAACATAAAACTGTGTGTTGTGCTCGACAACGACCCTATCGACGGCTTAAAAAGCCCCATTGATCCTGCAAGAAACAGCCAACTCACGAGGTTAGACAATGATGATTGATTCAACATTGTCTGATCTCGTGAGTTGGGTTGCTTCCAGCGGAAACCTTGCTCGCTTTTGAGCTTCTCATACTTGGAGAGATGTGGGATTGCTGCAGATCCGTGGCTAGTGTCTGAGAAGGAGAGTGCGTCGGAAAGAAATTAGATGTGTTATTTTCCCAGAAGGAGCCCGCTCCAGGAAGGCTGACGGGCACGTCTTTCGAGTTCCAATCCACGCCCATAGGCATACGATCACCGGAAACACGACCGTCTTCACTCCCAACGTTCATATTTAAATCGAAATTGAGAGTTTCATTTGACATTTGCAGATCGTCGACATCAGGAACATAGCTTCCGAATTCGAAGCCTGGGGCGTGGATCTGTTGATCAAGGGCTTGACTTTGCGCCTGAGGCCCCAGATAGCAGCCGTCATTGAGTTGGAGTGAGCCATGTCGACTCTGCACTGTCTTTTGGATTCTGGCGACTGTCTCTGGGGAGATGGGCACTGGTCCGGTAACTGCTCGCTGAAACAACCTTCCCAACAGGTCGTATTGAGGAGGATCAGCAGCTAGAGCGTTGAGGGCCTTCATCTCCCACTGGACATCGGCATAGCCTTCTCCCAGGTAGAAGGCATGGGCATCATCTAAGTGATGGCCTTTCAGCTCCCCCCTCCCGAAGTCCCCTTGCTCTGCCATCTCGTAGACCGCTCTGTGTTGATCGAAAGTTGTCGGGTCTGCACAGCTAGCCATATCCGTCCGCTGCTCCCACTCCATCTCACCAACAATTTGGGAAAGCCCGCTATCCTCTGGAGTGGAACATGAACAGATAGTGAGAGGAGACGGTTCCGTATTGAGAACAGCAGCGTTCGTCGTATTCGTGTTGGCTGCAACGCTGTACGAGCCAGTGCTCCCGAAACCGGGGTGGGATTGAGACAAGCTGTGCAGATTATGAATGACCAAGTCACTGGTTGACATCCATGGTGACTTGTATTGTGTCGGTAGAGAATAGGCTCTTGAGGCTAAAGTATCCTCAATCTCTCTCGTAGCAGCAGGGACTGGATCGCCACTTGAAGTCGGGTTTCCATCTTGGTTGATATTGGATCGACTGCAGTCCAAAAACTGGGCGAGAACAGTTTCCACAGCCTCCAACACCATGGATCTGAGATCATTACCACTGACTGTACATATCGAAGATGAAGGGATATGACGGTCCAGAAAGTCCATCCCTTGGTGTTTCCAGTACTCGTTGACCATGGTAAAAGTCTCTTCGAACGCGGTTGACAAGTAAGGTGACTCTGGTTTGTGGGATTCGGGAAAGAGGATTTCCCAAATGGTATACCATTGCTCATGCTCTTTGAGGCTGCGGTTCACGCGGCGAGCCAGTGCGATACTTTGGGACTCGCTGACTCCCTCGAAGACAAATCCTCCTGGCGGCTTTTGGCAATTCCTGGCCCGGATATGACTCTCGCAGTGCTTCGATTCCTGAAATGTTTCGCCGCAAACAGGGCAATGCAGCGGTCTCCGATGACGACGGCTGAGGTGCTGCTTCACGTCGCGAATACGAGTGAGCCGTAGGCGCGCGCAGCCCATATGGTGCATACTATTGTGCTTGTAAAATGGACATGCGAGCGATGGCTTTGGAGGGCCAGAATCAATGCCAGAGTCATTTTCGCCAGGGTCTTCCAACACGTCGCTTCCGCATTCCTCGAGGTCCTGCCTGGGTATGAGATGGAGACGCTGTCTCAACGATGGGGTCTCCGAGGTGACGGGGAGATCGCACTGGACTTCTTCGGGAAGTGTCCTTGGAGGAAGCCTCATTGAGGATGTTTTGGCTTCCATGTCTTTCTTTTTTGAGTCCCATCGACGCCCAAGAGAGTCACGAACCCGCCTCTTGACATGAGCCTTACTGCCGTTCGATTCATTTGGCGACGAAGCAGCCATCGCTTGTATGGCGCGCTCCGCCCTCATGGCTTTCTGTTGGTTCAACAAGCTTCCCTTAGTTTACCAGGCCTGCCACCAGGGTTCCAACGCGGATACCGAGGAGGAAGTACTGACCTTGAGCGTGACTGTGTTCAGACGAATCGTGGGACTCGTCTTCGCTACCTTGGAATCCTTCACGGGTTTCCCAGCGCCATTTACATTATGCTGGTCGTAGCTATTACCCGTTGACATGATGGCATCGCGGACCTATGACCACCCTATTCAGCCCTATCTATGCTTGTTCGTGACGACTTTGTGGCAACAGTTGTAGGGCAGGACCATGATACCGAATCTTCTGCGGCAAAACAAAACCAGACCGAAGCCGAGCCAGAGTGGTGAGGCAACCAGATGCCTGGATGGGTGTTGGGCTTTTGGTGAGCACCGAACACGCCACACCCGAGGGGGGGGGTAGAATTAATAACTGCAGGCTGGCGTGTCGTTTGACGCACCCCTCCACAGACCTCCACCAGTTCCCTTGAACTTGGATACATGTACTACTCCAGAAGATGTGAAAATGATTTCCACAATAGCTGGAGTATTGTTCTCTTGATCAACAGATTGCAAAATGTTTGGATGCGTGCACACAATCGTGGGAAAGGGAAACATCAATGACGGACACCTCAGGTGGACATATTAATAGCAGCATCATGTCCGGTGACAGTCAAGCTGTGAGACATCAAATTCTGTACTTGATTCAAAATAAAGAAAAATGGCACCTAGTACTTCTCAAAAATCTGCAAGGTGAGTCGTACTGAGCAGTCAGTCACGAGTGGCTTTGAAGAAAACCCGCTGATCACCAGGACTCCCTACAGCAAGCAACAAGCCGCGCAAATGCGGGGGGCACGCCTGGAGGCGTGGCATCAAGATAAGGAGCTCGACGCACTTCAGCAACTCTCGAAGCTAAAAGAGCTCGATGCGAAACTTCAGAAGAAGGCACGGAAAGAGATGGCAGCAAGGGCGATTGCCAGGGTAGACAATGCGTTCAGAAGTTGAGGGCGCAGGCTTCCGGGTGTGGGGTTGAACGACTTCGAAGGTACGGGTGGTGTATCAATGCTGTTGTGCATTTTGCTTTGGGAGGGAATGTAGCATTGTGGTATCAGAGGACGCGGGGAAAGGAACTTTTGCAAGGCATAATTTGTATTTGACGTCTCTTGACTTTGATTGGTTTTAACAGAGCACAGGCAGACTGGTAGGCTGACGGAGAGGGGTGTTGATAGTCTTCCACAGTTGTGGAAAAGAATCAAAACCAGTCAAGTAACCAATCACCAGGAGTTCTCAACTCGCGGTAGACAGGGGTTAGGTATTACGGCATTCCACAACTGTGGGAGTTCTTGCGGCCCCCACCAGCATCATAAGCCGTGCTGTAGGTCGCGCACAACTGGATGCCTCAAAGGCGGCTCTTTGCACAACTGTGCAGTGGTCCGCCTTACTCCCCGCGGGGACCCGCGTCCTCGGCGGGCTGCGCAGCTTTCTCTTTCTCGAGGTCTGATCAATTGCATTGTTGGTTCTCTCCTTGTTTCCCAGGCCTCTTCTCGACCTGGTTTTGCGACCGCATCGTGAAACTTGCGTTACCGGTTCATGGCTACAGCTTCGAAAGTCATTAACTAGTCCGGATTAGAGTACAGGCAAGTGATGGTCAGAGAAGCACCTGGCTATTCTTCATACCCAATCGGTTTTAGGCAGTGGGATAGCCAGATCAAGTCCCAGAGCAAGGGTATGCATTGTTTAACATTGAGGCATCTCCTGATGAACTTCCGTGAACTACTCTAACCCCAACTTGACAGGCATTCAGTGCGCCCGCCGTGAACCCTGGACTTCGGCTCAGGATCTCCACTACCCGCTAAAGTGACCGGCCCCAGGGGCCCAGGGTTCATTAACCGCGGATCTCATGCTGTTCGAGAACAAGACGGACGCTCCGGCGCCCATTCCAATCTTTAGCAACGGTTGTACTAGTACCAGTAAGAACGACGTTCGGGTCGATGAATCGTACTGGCGCGCAACTGTATAACTGATTTGCGTCTTGCTTTACAGCATGTGGCAGTGACTACGGGGGCTTCACTGTCCTGCTCGTCTCGAGTGCAGTGCTGCTCTTCGCCTCTTCATTCCTCACCCGTTTCCTCACTTCGCTCAACCCTGGCCCAACTCAGTCGACTGGGTATGGCAAAATCTCGACGCCGAGCCACCACGGCCTGCACAACGAATCCCACAAGCGATCTCGATCCCGTCAAGGCAGGAGGAGTGGCACATTTGACAGCGATGCTGGCTTTGACGACGGCGCCAGCGTCACCACAGCGAGGTCGAAGCGGGCCCGAACCGATCCTGGCAATAGGCCATTGCTTGCCTGTCCTTTTTACAAGCACAATCCGATCAAGCACATGAAGTGCATGACGCAAAACCATCTGACAGACCTCAGCTTCGTGGTGCAGCACCTACAACGTTCGCATCTGGCACAGCCCAATTACTGCCCGACATGTGGCGCAACCTATCCAACCCGCATCGATTGCGATGCCCATATCCGGGCTCGGATCTGTGACAACCGCCCCTTTCGACGCGAGGGGATCACCGAGGATCAATTGGCTCGCATTCGCCAACGCGGTCCCAGGGTTAATGCTGTGGAAAAATGGAACTACTACTACAACATTATTTTCCCTGGGAAACTGCTCCCCACGACGCCATATGTGAACGACACATTCACTGAGTGTATCCTCATCCACAAGCGGATCATTCGGCTGAACCAAGATCATTTCCTCGGGTATCCAGTCCTTGATCGCCTACTTGCTCCCTCCCCGTCCACAGACCCTTTTTCTCTCCCACCAGACATTGTCAATCTTTACTTCGACCCGGCCTCCATACAAAGAAGTATTCCCGACCAAGACGACTTATCGTTTCTTGCATCTGATCATCGGACCATATACTGTGGGGAGCAACAAGCCTTTGTCTCCGTGACCGACTTGGCAGCTAGCCAGGCACTTGAACAACAGCTTCAGCTAATATTCGCGGACACGGCACTCGGCCCTCCGATCAACGCCGCCTTCGAAGGTTATGAAGAAGGGCCGAGCGGTGACACCGAGGCAGAGGGAGAAGGCAATGTGGATGAGTCTTTCTAATAAAGCCGTTCGATTTCAGGTAGCGGTATGGCTCTTCCCTGTCCCGGAGCAAGATGTGCATGACGCCGAGAACTTGACTTGTGCGGGCGGCGGTGGTAGCGGTAGTGAGGAAGCGCACGCAGGACAATTAGAGTGAAACAAAAGAATGTCATCGTCTATTTCTGCCGAGATCGCATGCAATACACTGCAGCTAGGCAATTATGGATATGAGGTAACGGTACTTGAAGCTATTCCAGCCATTGTATATAGAAGTGGTGGCTCCCACCTATCCAATTAAGCAACTAGTGCTAAGAATCTAGACTCTCACCTCTCACAAGGTATACATCCAGCCAGCCATGCCCTCATTCATACGCCGTCCAGCCTTGGCGGCCTTATTCTGGCGCCAGAGGTGAAGGTCCAGGCCTAGAATCAGGGAGATGCTGACCATACAAACAGCAAAGGTGGTCCAGACACCAGTCTGCCTCAGGTTGTATGGTTAGCATTTTGCAATCAACTTCGGGCAGCACTGGAGGGACGACCACATACAGTATAGTGAGGATTCTCCCGGGCCATGAAGACAACGCTCGCAATAACGCCACCAATACCGCCGCCGATGAGGCACGTGGCCGATGCCACGGCCCTCTTCGAGTGTGAGGTAATGTTGTTGGCCTGGAAGGCGAGGACACCTGGTACACAAAACTGGACAAAGCCAATACCTAGATTATCCATATCAGTAACGTTTCTATAAGACGGCAATTGGATGGCACCGACCCAGAAAAGCTCCAAAGTACCTCGCACCAGTCGATTTGCCATAGACTGTAACCAACATGCCGATCGCAGTCAAGGCTTGGTGCACAGCAACGATAGGCCCGCGAATCTGGAAACGGTCCCCGATCCAGCCAGAGATGTAGCACACAATCGCGGCGAAGACATAGGGAGGGGCACTCAGAAGCTGAGCCTGGGTTCCAGTGTAGCCCATACCATCCCGTAGGATGATGGGTAGGAAGTACTGGTACGCGTAGCCGGGCAGGGTTGTTGCGACGAGGTTGAAAGCCCAGATGTACAGCCGCCAGTCCCTGAGATGGTGGAGGACCTTGTACAGAGTAACCTCGTCCTCTTCAGCATTGCCACTGTCTCGCTCGAGTCGACTAATGATGAATTCACGCTCAACTGGGCTCAGGAACTTGGTCGCTTTAGTTGGGAAATCGATGATGATGAATCGTCCGAGAAGGCAGATGGCCATAGTAAACGCTCCTTCAATGATGAAGATCCCTGTATAACAGCCATCAGTTCAGTTATGATTTTCTAAGTTGAAATGATGATACAATGAAAAAATGCATTATCTTACATCTCCAACCATTAAGACCTTGGTGACCCTTGAGAAGGCTGAGAGCATAGGCAAGCAATGCGGCAAATCCACTGGCGATAACAGAGACAAGCCAGAAGGTGGACAGCCGCTTGCCGACCTCGAATCGTGTGTACCAGCAAGTGATCAGATAGGTACAGCCTACAATAATCAGTAATTAGTTTTAGTTCTGTACCGAGACAATTTGGGTGGTGCTCACCTGGAAGGAAGCCAGCTTCGAAGACGCCTAGCAATACTCTGCACACAGCCATGGTTTGCCACGAGTAGGTGAACCCCATGCCAATGAGGATAGCTCCGAAGCTGATTCCGAGAAAGGAGAGCCAGTTGGCTGCGCCCACTTTGGGTAGGACAAGATTCTTACGGTGGAGGAGAGTTAGAATACTGCATAATGCCTTAGATGGTGTAAGGTGTTCAACATACACTTGGGATTTCAAAGATACTAAGGATTGAAAGCCACAATTAGCTGACAGGATCCAACTTGAATTGAATAGACCAGACAAACTCACATATAGGCGACAAAGAAGACCAAGACAACGACGGTATAGCGGTTTCCAATATTCAGACCCAGGTCCTGCTGCATTCCAGCAACAAGAGCGAGGCCGAGGTTCGAACGATCGATGAGGGAGATCGAATACATAACACCCAATATGGGTAAGAGTCGTAGGTCGATGCGCCGACTACATGATAACAGAGTTAGCATTCAACCTTGCAAAGCTTGTCAATGCAGGGGCTCACATGAGTTTCTTCTGCTCCGCTTGTGACAAATCGCCATCTACAGCAGAAGCGTCTCCCTTGACAACTTCATGGTGCTCAGAGATGTCCGTCTTGTCATCGATCCTCACCACACCACGTTCTTCATCTGCTTGCAGCTCGGCTGCTCCGCTCTCGTGGGAAGTCATAACAGGAGAGTGCTTGTAGTGTTCAGTATAGAGGAGAAATCGGTTTTTGTTGTTTCGTTTTCAGCTCGTACCAAGACAACGACCCTGCCAGTTTTCTCTTCATTGGGACATGGGCACCCCAAAGCCTTTATATATCGATCCCTGCATCCATGTGCTGTTTTTTATACATGCATGATCATGCGGTGTTCCCGCATGCCCAGACTTACAATGCCTGGTCTTTCCCTTTCTGGGCTAGCGGGTCGAGTCATAGTCTACGAGTAAGAATTTTAGCAGCCTCACCACAAGAAGAGGCGATATACTCTTTTCTCTCGCGGAAAACGAATACCGGATGGACTTTGATCGGAATGGTTCTATTGGGTGTCTAGACTCGGCTCTACGCATCTTGCCATTCTGACTATCTCTGGAGATTCAGTCGGTGGATTCCACAATGTGGACGGTCATTCAAAGAGCCTTCCCCGCACTGGAGCGGAGGCTGAGATTCTTCCCCACAGCCGCGAGTCCGGGGGAGATCTAGTTTCTCAACTTTTCCACGCAAGTCCCTCGGGCATTTGGACTCTTTTTGCTTGCATTCTCTCTGGTCTGAACCCACTAATCCTTGATCCCGGCCGCCGTTCCATTTACTTCTCGACACAATGTCTACACACCCCACTCTCCGGGACGAGTTGGCCAATCGTCGAGCCAAGAAGAGAGAGCTGGATCGGCGGGCCCAGCGGGCGGCTCGCGAGAGGAATCGAGACCGTATCGCCGCACTCGAGGCTACTGTCGACGCTCTGAAACAGCAAAAGTCCAATAGCGTCGTCGCTGGGCTGATGGAACAGTTGAATGCAGTCACAAAAGAGAGGAACGACTTGGCAAAGACACTGTCCCTGATTGAGACCACGCTGCAAGTCCACCGAAGTGGAGAGAAGACCAAAACTTCTGCCGATCCCCAATCGTCGTCCAGCAGCGGTAGGCATGATTGGCCTCCCGATCAGCCAGTTGGGGGCGTGGTCATGACAGAGGACACACAAGCGGCTGAGTTAGCCGAGAATAGTCAGCATCCAGACATTTCGATGCCGTTGACGTCGCCAGAGTCCTGGGAAATAACAGCCCTCGATCCCTCGGTCATGGCACCGACACATGGTCTCTTGGACGGTCTATTAGCCCTCGACCCTTTCACACCTGGTGGGCACGGCGCTTTCGATATTACCCACCTCGACCATGACCGCGTCATCGTCCCCAGTCCAAAGCACATGTGCGATTGTGCCCTCCCCCATGACATACACCGTGACTACTCGCCGTCGACACCGAGGAGCATATGGCGGATGGCTAACGAGGTGCTGGGAAGTCGGCAGTCGGTCTGCGAGGATACCTTGCGTCGAGAAGGGATGGAGAGCGAAGACCTTGCGGTCCGCATTGTGCTCAAGGGGTGGGACGAAGTCGAAGCGTCATGTGAGCTGACGCCATTCTGGAAGCAGCTCCGCCGGATAGACGAGCTCCAGTTCCGTACTTGTGGCCCCACGGAGAGGTTAGCCATATTGAGGACTATGCATCGCATTCTCTGCCACCAAGCAGAAGAGACTGTCCGACTACCCGCATGGCTACAGAGGAGGTGGGTTTCAGTCCGGTGCTAATGCTATGCAGGTTTCAATATACTGACCAAGTCTTGATGTCCTGCAGGCCATCGCAAGCTTTACCACACTCGTCTGCCATAGATTTCTTCGTCTGGTACGCAAGCTACCTATTCTCTTGACAAGCATTCTCAGCTGCTGACGGGGTTCTACAGGCCGGGTGTCCGAGAGCGGTTCGTCTTTTCCCAGCATCAATACTGCTCCAACCATTTCTGGAAGGTGTTCGCCGAGAATTTTCGGATAGCGTGGCCCTTTGAGTTCCGGGACTGCTACAAACGAAACATCCACAGCGGCCAGTACTACGTCTCCCCCGAGTTCGAGAGCCGGATTGGCGACATCAACTCCTGGACCATGACGACCGACTTCTTCCTCCACTTTCCGGACCTGTGCTCCGATATCCCTGTGTATATGAGCGTGCCTAGGTCACTGGAGCTTGATATACACGATCCGGTCCACTCGGACCACGCCCAGCCTGCGTTACTGATGTAGGAGACAGCGTTTAATATGGGCAGTGGAACTGTTTCCTTGGTCCGGTGGACTGCAGCCTGACGCCGCCCGTCCTTGCTCTCTTCATATCAACATATACGGCTCACCCACAATTGACATGGCTCTGCCGCTGCCACTTGATTGGACATCGTTAATTTCGCAAACGAAAATATCAACCTTCTGCCGGTGATCACTACATGTATAGTACATGGTTGTAAATACAAATTGTCCTGACCATTCACAAGTGTATTCCCATTACCTTTCGGGTATCAAACCAAAGTTCAATGAACAAAGCAAATGAATTATCGATATCTCAACTTAAGTTCTCCATCATTGAAGCCAAAACTGAGCCGAACAAAGCTTCCAAGTCGGATTCCTCGTTTGCATCTTCCCAGCGTCGCATGCCTCGCTCCTCGAGTATGTTCGCAATCATAGCCGGGCCAACCTTGTGCCAAAACTCCCGCAGTGAGACTACCTTGCGTTCATGTCTCTCCGACAGGTAGATCGAATGTGGCTGTGGGGCCGTTGGAAACAGGATATCCCAAACACTGCGCCACTCTTGCTCTTCACTGGTAATAGTCCTCCGCTGTCGTGGGCGAGATCTTCTTCGGGAGACATCTCTGGCCATTCTGCCTCTCTCAACATAGCTTCTTGAAAGCTTCTCGACCTGGTCTTCTGATACTCCTCGCATCATACCGGCAGGCGCCTCTCGGCTACTACATGACCGCGCCACGATATGCGTGTCACGGCTCGCGGCGCTGTCGAAGGTCTCGTAGCAGACGGGACAGTAATCGGGAAGATGGTGGTCCACGATAAGATGCTGCTTCAGCGTGCGCATGTCGTGTATCTCGAGCTGCCACATGCAGCTGTGGAAACGCGCTGGCTCAAGCCTGTAGAACGGGCAGGCAAGTAAATGTGAGGCGTTAGCATGAGTGCGGTGCTGTACGACGACCATGGTGTCAGAGTCGCTGGAATCGGTCTCGACGGTGCAACTTCCGTCAGAGTGGGAGGTGCTGTGGTCTTCCAACTGCCTGCCGCGTCGCGCCCGTTTGCGCGGCCGGAAAGAGAGGGTGAATTGGCTATGGACAGAAGCGGAATTTTCCGATCTTCCCAGACCAGCCGCTGAGCCTTTCTCTTCCTCCCACGCTTTCAGCCCGATAGTTGCCAGTTCCGAAACAAGGGAGTGATACGGATGATGATCTGCAAGTCGCCTAGGCTTGTCGGGAAGGGTGTCGAGTAACAGAACGTCATCTCCTTGACTGCACCTCTGACTACACTTCTCCAACGGCTGGTCTTGCTGCAACATCACGTCCATGGAGCGCTTGGAATGCCGTTTCGGAGGATTTATCTCAGGACGAACAGGAGCATGCCGCATGCTGACCGCTCGAGAATCTGATTGTTTCCTCCATGTCAGAATAGACGAATCCCCTGTTTTCTTGAAGAGTTTCTCTTCCAGGCGCTGGAAGGCAGCGCGTCCTCCCTCTCCGTACCGGGGTGTGAGTGCAATCTCGCAGATTCCCATCATGGCATAGGCAACATCTTCTGGTCGTGAGGTCTGTCGTTGCGACGACCACGGTAGCCGCCTTCCTATAGGGATATCAAACAGGGAGTTTCGGTTTGCAAGAACCGACTCATCGATACCAGATGCGTGAGAAAGAAATCCGGGCCAGTATCCTGATGCCTTGGTGCCCCGCAGGTTCCAGTGGTGATCGAAGAACTCCACATCTTGGGCTGCCACGAGGTGTTGGATGTTCCACATTTGTGTGAACCAAACGCACTTGGATAGATCGCCTTGCACAGTTCTTTTATGTGAGTCGGCATCTTTGGGGAGGAGGTCATGCAGGTAAATCAAATAAACTCTCGCGTTCCATGCCAGCCGGAACGACGAGTTGGCGAATTCGATGGCGTCTTCAAGCGAGTTCTGCCTTGTGCACAAGTCGTGAGACCACAAGTATCGAATATTGCGGGCTTTTGCCTCATCGCAGGCTCTCAACACGCGCTCGTCGATGGATTCTGCAGGGTTCTCCAGCTGTGTGGAGGGCCCGTGGGAAAAAATGGCATACTCAGAGGTCGGGAGGTCGACAAAGAACTCGAACTTGAGAGAGCTGGTGTCCAAGAACTTCATTGACGACCTGGGTGGAAGACTGATGAGATGCGCGTGAAACCCGACAGACTGGAGTCACGCTGTGGGTTATCATGACGAATGTCTTCTATACCCGTAGAAGACTGATAGTGTGGAGTGATGATCGAGCCGACTGCGATGTCGGCCAGTCTGTTCACACACAAGGGCCTTTGGCAAGTAAGGGGGGCATTTACCTTTTTGACTTGAGGCAAGAATACACATATGAATCCCGGTGATCGGCTCGTGGTCCGGATTGGCACTCTGCCAAATGAGGGCTTGTGTCTCGGTCTCACGTCACAAGGGATCATAATGCACATTCCATTTCCGGCCCCCAAAACTTTTTGGACGAAAAACTGTCAGCGCTGAGCTCAGAGCACAGATGTGCTCTGAGTGTCTTCCCGCTCTGGTGACGCTTGTGCTGCGAGCGCTCCACCCCTGCGATGCCCGGGCTTCTCTAGGCGACGCTATTGGTTGGCATTCTGGGCATCACACATCAACATTCCCAGAGACCACAGCTGTGCTCTCGGCTTGTGCCACAATGGCAGGGGCCTCTAAAGCAGCCGAGAAGGAATGGTTTCATTTCTCGGAGGACTGGCCCAATGATCATATGCCTAAGAGGTGACTGTGCATATATTAGTATACGGCCAGGGCCGTGATCCTTCAGCCCTACGGAAAGGCGCCGACAGTGTCACCCGTGCCCCAAGCTGCAGGCTATTATTCTTCCAGGCTGTGAGTTGCATCGGACACCACCGGGGCACCGATGCAGATGCGCCTCATTCAGTTGGACACGCTCCTGTCCTGTCTCTCTCCCGTGCTATGCCGCCTGTGACTTGGGCGTCCATGCGGCCTCGACAACTGGCGTTCATGTTGGCGCAGTCGACCTTGAGTTAATCCTGGTAGTTGAAACCGGGCATTAGGAAGATGTGCCCTACATGAATCACCGAGGAGTCATCGGTGTAGGCGAATTCATCAGTTGAACATCACGCTTAGATCCTAATGCTCAGTCACTGGAATCTGTTTCTGTGAATGAAGCACTCATGCGTACTGGGCGCAGTGATTATGTCTCTCTGCGCATCAAGACCATTGATCGCTTGCATACAGTGTCTGGCGACTTCTGTCACGATATGGCTAGTTGAACTCTTTGACGTGAGATTACTGCCATGTCGTGAGTCGCTTTGAGGCTGCGTCGCCCCTGATCAGAAACATTACGGATAGGCCTCTGAACTGGGCTCCCATCAGGGATTTAGTGAATGGCAACACGTCACACATGGCTTCCCCGTCACTCGCAACGTGGCCATCGCCCATTTCACTGCCTGAAATACACGTCCGACTCTGCCCGAATCCGGAGAACAAGTGTATTGAGGATGGGATGAGCTGCAGCAGCGCTGTTGGTCAACGACCCAGTATGCCCATTGATGCATTTGGCGGCTCGACAGCGAACCCGGATTTTGCTGCTCTGGGCACATTTGCGGGCTGAGTTAGATGACCTGCCACGCAAAATCGAGGCGAGAAGGCTGCTTCCAACAGTCGCGACTGCCGGGCTAATAAGCCTCACCTGTGACGATGTTGTGGTGAGACTCGCGCCTACCACAGCTCTCGGTGTGCAGAGAGTGTAAATGGGGGGAAGTACCTTCATGATTTTTTAGGTATGGTTGAAATAATCCAGTTTCAGCTTCAAGTCTCTAAACTGGTGCCTACCCATTGCTGCAGCAACTAAATCTTGGCGTGGCGCCACGGGAGGAGCACATCTCCAGGCAACGGAATTGTTCACCGCGAGATATCAATGGTCGAGTGAGCACTTTGAGATTTCGAGCCTGAGGAGCTAAAGCGTGAAGAACATTGATCGCACATCTTGTTCAAAAATGCCTCCCAAAGCGAACCCGCGGCCCATCAACGTCTACGCCAGATGGCGCCCGTTCGTCCAGGCCGAAGAAGCCGCCGCCGCCGGCGAGATCGATCGGTCTACTAACCCCGCCGTCGGCGGCCAGACTTCTCTCCTGTCCGTCTCCATCAACCGCCAGGACCGGCGGGCCGCCGGCGACCGCCCATGGACCAGCGCGCCGGCGTTCAAGGCCGTGCTGGGCCCGTCCGACGACAACGCCAAGGCCTACGACACCATCGTCGCGCCCACGGTGCCCAGCGTCCTCGCCGGCGGGAGCTGCACCTTCTTCGCGTACGGGCACTCGGGCAGCGGCAAGACGCACACCATCATGGGCTACGAACTCGAGGACGAGAAGTCGCTGGGCCTGTGCCTCGCGGCGGCGCGGCGGCTCTTTGACGCGCTGCGCCCGCTGAACGAGGACGCCGGCGGCGGTGCCGCGCAGTTGGGCGTCGGGTTCAGCCTGTTTGAGCTGCGCAGGAAGTCGGCCTTTGACCTGCTCAACCGGCGCACCGAGTGCTTCATCCGCGAAGGGCCCGACGGCAAGACGCACATACGCGGCGAGACCGAGGTGCTCGAGGGCGGCAAGGTGCGCGTCCAGCCGATCGTCAAGCGGCCGTGCTGGACCTTTGAAGCTCTGCGCGAGGAGCTGGTCCGGGCGCTCGGCCACCGCGCCGTGGGCTCGTCGAGCGTGCACGATCAGAGCTCGAGGACGCACGCGGTGCTCGAGCTCGAAATCGTTAACAGCCCGCTAGTAGAGGCGCGGCAGGCGCTGGCCGAGAGACAGTCTGAGCTCGTGCCTGTGGGAAAGCGAGCCACTGATATTAGCATCGAGGAGTCTATGAAGGGGGTCATCAAGACGGATGATGGCAAATGGGCGCCTAATCCAGACTACCAGATCAACCAGGCGCTCATCGATGAGGCCGATGCCGAGAAGGCCAAGTTTGAGGCTCGGGTCACCGCTGCGGAAGAACATATTGAGAGCATTCTCAGCTCGGCTAGTTCACCTTGCTTGGGCGCCAAGATGGTCTTCGTCGACCTCGCTGGCGCCGAGTACCATCAAGAGAAGGGGAGCCAAATACAGACTTTCAAGCAGACGCCCCAGGAGCGCCAGGAAGGCCGGCAGATCAACACGGACCTGCTCGCCCTCAAAGAGGTGATCCGCGCGTGGTCCACGAACCAGCCCCGAATCCCCTTCCGCTCGTCGGCCCTGACAATGGTGTTGCGGGAGCACTTCATGAACTCGGCAAAGGGGAGCTCTGCCATGATTGTCACTGTGTCACCGGCCAGGGAACAGTACGCTGCGACTTTGAACTCGCTCAAGTATGGAAGCCTGGTAGGAGCGGTCGGAGCCTGAACATCAACTGAATCACGTCACGATCAGGATGTGGTGTAGAGTCCGAGGGGTTTCGATGTTGGTTCTCTTCCTTGGAGCGTTGTCAATTCCTTGCGATCCTGTTAGATTTAGCTTTCAAAGAAACACTGAACCATACTTTACCACCATCATCCCAGGTATGAAGCATGCTCAGGTATGAACCCCGCCGATCTGGTAGACTGGGAGCACAGTCAGGATCTGATAAGCACGAGAAGATCTATTTGACCAGTCAAGGTCTGCTTCAGGATGAATCCGACCCTGTACTTGCATGCATCCGGCCGGAGGTAGTTCAGCTGAACCCGAACGAGCAAGGCGGTGTACCTTCCAACCCTCCAGCACATACATCTACACACCTGTGGATCGACAGCCTGTGCATCATCCGGGACTCAGTCGAGGACTGGCAGATAGAATCCGCACAGATGGGTCGCTATTATCGAGAGCCAAGCCTTACCCTGTTCGCGACTGCCGCAAGTGGCGATGATGTTGGCTTCTACTGCCTTCGTGATGGGGGTCTCAGCATCGCCGTGTCGGGCTCCAGTGCTTGATGGTCTTCTCGACAGGATGAAAAATACGGAGGGTAGCGTGTTGTTCGTGCAGAAGTTCTCGCGACAAAAGGGCCGGACTGGGATGCCGGTAGAGAGGCAACGACAAGTACTTCGTCAACAGACGGAGCATACTCGACGAGGCGACAGGCTAAGCGCTCGGGTGGATCGACCAGGATGACCAAGGATTCGCGCACTCTCAGGTCTGGTGCATGATCGTCTCGAATCTGTCCGCCCCGTCGCTCAATCTTCTCGCCCTCGTGCCGGCTGCTACCTGCGAGGCGGAGGCTGTTAGACTGCATCGTCTCGGACAAGGGACCGGGGCCGGAGAGCGGCGTGCGGGTCGCTTCCAACTACACCGTCGGGTCGAACACGGTCGATTACGAGCTGACGGACTCTGCTTCGACGCTTCCGATGCTGCTGGACTGGATAGAGGAGGCCCGATCGAAGAGATCAGTGTGATTTAGATCACAGGATATACGTGGAAATCCACACCGCTGGTCGTGGTGTTTGAGCATCAATACAACCGGCAAAAAAGTGCCCTCGCGTGGCCTACATTTGTGCACTACACTAGCAAGCGTCTCCGCGCAGCTGGAATGTGACTTTTTCTTCTACAGAGTACGGTCGGGTGATGGAACGTCCAGCTGAACCCTGGAATGCAACCGGTGATAGCAGGAAGCGGTGCCTCTGGTACTCTGGGCGCTGACCTCATTTCCTCCCTGACAGGCCTTTCGGTTTCAAAGTGAGACCACGCCGTCACACAAGAAAGCCCTCGTGTGCGCCAACGTCCGTCCCCGTCCTTGCTGTTGGTAGGAGAGTTGTCATTGAGTATCAAGCTGCCCGTGGAGCAGGGCCTCTGATCCTCAAATGTTCCTGCAGGCAGGGATCGCACACGATTATCCGAATGGCCAATCTAAGAAAGATGCATGCCTACCTAAGTACATAGCTCGAGCATAGGTAACTACATGGTAAATGTCTGTGCCAACGCCAACAGCATTTACCAACAGCAGTTTGACGGCGATCGTTCATGCTCGGCCGAGCTCAGCCACCGGCAAGCCAGACCGGGTGGGGGCGCGAGCTGGGCGAATGCCATAGGCCGGCTGATTGGGGATCTGCTGCAGGCATTGGGCGCTGGAAATTTAGGGGCACAGGAGCTGCTTTGCGCGTTTTGGGGGCTCTAGGGCTAGCAGTTTGCTGCGATTAGAGTGGTGCGACCAAGATTGGCGAGTGTCCCACCCTTGCCCGCCGAAATGTCGTCACACTGGGGAATTTGATGCGAAACCCCAGAGGCCAATTGGCGGTGCAGTGGCACGCTAAGCTGTCCACGAGTTGCTCAAGAGGGTTAATGGGGTTGGATGCTGGCTCGTGGATGAGTGATCCATGGATGGAGGGGCGGGAAGCGGCATGACGGACGTGCGAGTGTCCAGGGATCCGATGTCGTGAAGACGTGGTGGCTGATTGTAGGGATGGCAGAAGAGGCGGAGGAGACACAACGGCACAGCGGCGGGAGCGGCGCCACCAACGGCAGCCAACGGCACATCAACCAACGCTACAACGGCCTGCTGCGTGTGCCAAGAGACACGAGAGGACGAAGAAGGCCCTTTTCCTGCCTGGTAGTGATCAAATAGACAAGCAGGTGGATGATTGTGTAGCGTACCTAGGCTAGGCAAGGGAGGGAAGAGGAGGTGGGAACGAGAGAGAGAATCCCCGGTATCCTCAGTCTCCATTCCATCTCAATTCTTCCATTCTTGCCACTGGCTAGCTTGGGGCCGGAAGCAGCTGAAGATTAACTTGGGAGCTTGGCAGCCCCTTGAGTGTGAATGGAGCTTTACGAGACGCGCCAACAGATGATCGTCACTCGTTGCTCGTATTCCAACACTGGCCTCTGATCGGCAGGGGGTTCGCTCCAGGTTGGCCTCTCTCCTCTCCTCTCCTCTACCTACCTCACTTTCACTTTGTCTAGTCTGTCAATCTTGTCCAACCTCTTCATCCCATCTCTCCTCCAATTCACTCAACCCCTCCTCCTCACCTGCAGGTGCCTGGCCTGACAGCCTCACCACCCACTCTTTTTTCTTCCTCCTCGCCCACGCAGCTTCGTCCCCTCTTATCCCCATTTCTCCACTGAACAACCTTTGTTCATGGAGTTCACATGAACCCAACCGGTCATCGCGAGTGAGTAAAAAGAACACCCGGAGCCTCATTGCGAGGGAATCACCGCGCAGTCCACCTTGTGGCCTGGAGGCGTCCCGCTCGTCACCCACCCGCCTCTCACGATCAAACGGACGGGCATCCTGTCCCCCTTCGCCCCCACGCCATCTCAGCTTCAAACCTCGACCTCACCACCTGCTCTGCGCACCCGTCAAGATGGGCACGCCGAATCCTTTCATAAGCAACGGCACCTGCTATTTTGGCCCTAACCAAAAGGCATCCAGCCAGTTTCTCCCATGCGGCAATGATCTCTTTGGCCGCCAGACGTGCTGCCAGGCCGGCGACGTTTGCCTGTCCAACCACGCCTGCTACAACGGCCGCTTCGGCGTCACCTACCTCGCCGGCTGCAGTGATCCCGAGTATCGCGATGGAGTCTGCCCCGACAAGGGAGCCTTTTCCGGTTCGTCCTTTTCTTCCACTCTCTTCCCCATTAATCATGGGTTTGAAATTCACTAACACACCTTGCCTCCCTCTACAGACCAGCCCTGGGCTGGCCTCGTCTACTGCAACGGCACCTCCAACCAATGGGTCGCCTGCAAGGAGAAGAAGAAGGAGTCCACGCTTACCGACGCCGACGCCTGCTGGTGCCCCGAGACCTCGCGCACCGTCGCCTTCACCGCGCCCTCCGTCCTCGACAACACCGCCACCGTGCCCACCTCGGCCGGCGGCAGCATGGGCTTCAACGCCGGCTACGTCCCCTCCATGACCCTGCCCGGCGGCGGCGGCGGCGGCGGCGGCGGCGGCAGCGGCCAGGCCACTAGCTCCCAGCCGACCGCCACGCGCACCTCACCCTCCAGCACCGGCGGCGGCCAGGGCACTCCGACGGCCCCTCCGACCGAGCCACCCTCCTCGGGCGGCGGCATGAGCTCCGGTGCCAAGATCGGCGTCGGCGTCGGCGTCGCGGCGGGAGGCCTCGTCCTCCTCGCCGCCGTGCTGTTCCTGTTCTTCCAGCGCCGACGACGTCGCCAGCAGCAGCGCGGCTCCGAGCTCGACGGCGAGGGCAAGCTGCACCGGGAGTCGAGCAGCGGCGGCGCCACGGCCACGGCCACGGCCACGGCCCCCGCTACCCCCGGAACACCCGCCACCACCGTCGTCTCGGAGCTCGACTCGCGCGCCGCGCGGCCGTGGAGCATGCGCTCCGAGCTGGCGGACACGCACCTCAACCCCGCCACGCCCACCACCGCCGGACACTCACCCGGCCTGGCCCCCGTCGACGAGGAGGGCAAGGACACCAAATACATTCAGGCGCCGGAGCAGTGGGGCTCGCGCTGGCGGAGGGACGGCGGTGCTTACGGACAGCAGGGACCTATCGCCGAGTTGCCTGGTTGATTGCGCCTAGCGGCATGTGTTTTTTCTTGTCTTCTTGCTTGTACGATATATGGCATTTGCATGGCATTGGGATGGCGATGGACGAAAAGAACTTTGCATGGTATTTCAGATTCACTTACTGACAGCCGCGAGGGAGGGCCTGGTGGTTGGGCATTGATTGGCGTTGGGAAACTCTGGGATTGAAGATGATATCACGACGGACATGTGCCCAGCACAAGTCGTCTGCGTAGCGAACTGCTATGATTACTATTGGCATTGATTTCTTTTTGCACTTGAGCGTGAGGGATGCGGGATCATTTTAATATTCGAAGTGTCTGAAGGGCTGCCCTTTGCCGTGCTTTGCTTGCTTCTCAAATGATCCAATCTAGAATTAATCTACGCTCCCTTTCTCCAGAAACCTCGTGCACCTCCTCCAGCACCGTCTTCTTCTCATCCTCTCAGCGTCCCCTTCAATACAACACCTTTCCCGCCCCCCCAAACTATTGGTACAATCTCTACAAACATGTCTTTTGAAATCCATCAACTCCAAAACGTATCCGACCCGTTGAGAAACATAAAATCCAGCTTATCGAGATCGAAATCAAACATCTGCCGCTGCGCGTCCTCCTCGGCGCTGCTGTTGACCACCTGCATCGGCGACATAGACACCAGCTCCGCGCCCGGCCCGGCCCCGGGGGCAAGCACCTCCCGCCGCTCGTACCAGCCCCGAAGGCGCTCCATCGTCCGCCCGAAAAGGCGGTACGGGTCCTCCACAGCCACCACGCCTGCAGTCGCAGCAGTCACACCAGCACCGCCGCCGGCGCCACTACTACTACCGCCGCGAACGCCGTCGCTCATGGCGTACGACCGCGCGATCATGGCGTCGAGGTAGTGCGGCACGCGGCAGGCCTGGCGCAGGCGCGGGAAGGCGTCGCCGGCGTGCGGGCACAGCGACAGCTTGATGAGGATGACGAGCGCGTGGGCGACCTGCGACTTGTCGACGAGCATGTCCATGCGCGTCGCGGCGGGTGGCAGCGCCAGGAAGCCGTCGAGGTAGCGCTTCGCGGCGGCGAGGCAGTCGACCAGCAGCCGGTTGCGGACCGAGACGAGCTGCTGCGTCTCGAGGGTGAGGCCGGCGTTGTTGTTGTTGTTGTTGTTGTTGTTGTTGTTGTTGGAAGGGGTGGAGGCGGAGGCGGAGGCGGGGGAGGCAGTGGAGGAGGGCCCGTCGCCGACGTGTAGGGAGATCTCGGTGATGTAGATCTCTGTGCTGTGGAGCATTAATGGGATCCAGCATGCTTGTTTGTGGGAAGATGGTTTGTCAGTATTTTCTTAGTCGAGGAAGAGGGGGGGGGTGGCATACAGGATCCGAGAGGAGGGACGGTGTTCCTGAGAACTTGGAGCTGCGCCTGCAATGTATCCACGGTGATCTCCAACCTGTCTGCTCCAAACACTGGTCGGCTTTTCGCACCGTACCCCAGGGCGACAGCGATCTTGTCCCTCAGCTGTTGGATCTTGACTGCGTGTATCAGCGCGGCGTCGAGCGGCGAATTGCTTTCCGCGCCGAGGAGCTCGCAGGCAGAGATGATGGAGGAGTTGGAGTTCATCCATTCAAACTTGCGCAGGGTTAATGATGTGCTATGTTGAACAACTGTCAGTTTCTCAACTCAACACGTGTTGGGCTGATTTTGTTAGTCACGTACGTGGATGATAGCAAATAAGCGCCGAGGAGCGTCCTTCTCGTCTCGGGAGTCCCAGGGCCCTCCTCATTCACTTCGAGTGAGATGGACAGAGCAATTTGCAACAGAGTGAGGGCCTGAGAGATGGCGTACGCATGAAAGTGGAACCTACTCGCGTCAGTTTGCTGTCCACGGGCCAGCAAGAAAGTACTCACCAAGAAACATATATCATAAGGCCCTGTAAAAGATCGAGATTCCGAACCCCCTCCACGATCAGCTTGGACGCAAGCGTCTTGCGCAGTTCCAGCTCCAACACTGCGTGGTTGTCCGGGAGGTGCAGACGAGCACAGGTAGCCAGGAGGGCGAGCAGGAGTATCGGCCGCTCCCTGTAAAAGATCTCTATAGGCCATGGTGGAAGCACTATGAGGGGGTACTGCTGACTCTCGACACGAAAGACCTGCAGCAGGCGGTCTGCCTGGTCGGTCCTAAGGAGGCCATCGAAGAGGGTGTCTGGTCTCAGCGCGGTATCCTGACTAGTCAGGGCTGGCAAAGAAGGCTCCTGATTCGCCTGCGGGAACGCCACTTGGCTGTCTATGCCGTTTACCCGCTGAGGAATGGGTGCTACGGGTATAGTTGCAGCTGGCAGTGGCGGTGGAGGCCGCATGGCAATCGTCACTTCATTGTGAATACCAAGATCCGCCGGGGATGTGCCTTCCCTGAGCAGGCTGTAGATGTTGTCTATCCTTTCTTCGATCTTTGATATCCGTCTATGATCACGGCATTGCTTATGTGTTAGTGGATCCCTAATGTACTATCTTGTGCCTGGTCTTGGGCCTCACTCACGTCGAGCCGCCAAAGCTTCTCTTGGCCCGGCTGTGCACTTCAGAAAAGACACAGTCTCGGTTTGTCTGAAAGCATCTACAATGACGCGTCGTTAGCACTCACTCCCTGAAGACCAACCTGGGGGATTTCGCAGCTCAGCCCACTTGACTCACCGCTTGCACTTGTCATCGTCGTCCTGACTGGGAATGCAGCGCACCTTCGAGCGGCGGCACTCATTGCAGCTGCGGAGCAAGCGCTTCCTCTCGTTCCGACTCTCCGAGGTGTCCATAGCTATTCCTTGCCAGCATGCCAGATTGCGTCGTCCTCGGAGGCTGCGAGGTCAGGGCGGTAAGGCAGTTTATGTTGTGACCAAGGGGTTGAGAGTGGACCCTCGGGAATTCCGGAAACTCCGAAAACTGGGTCCTCAACCTCGCCTCCCTCACGAGACGATGCGGCACGAATCATGCACTTCTTCGCTTCGTGCACTTTATGGGAGAAGCGATTGACCCAGCCTCTAGCAGTCTGGTTTGTTGCGAGGATCTCGGGCTTGCTACTGAGCCCGACAAGTTCCGGGACCGCAATCTCTTGGCAGCCCGGGGGTATGGTCGCAATGAAGAAGACACCGTCCGAGATAAAACATGAATTATAAAGCTTGACATACATATCCTTTCCACGACGAACCATTGCTATGTGGGATAAGTGAATACGCCACCCGGACCAGTATCTAGTCGACTTCCCGCGAAGCCTACCAAGCACAAATCTCAACATGGCACAGAACTCAGCGGAGGCATACCCTCCAGTGGAACGGCACCCTGAGACGGGCATCAGCGTTCTTGTCGTCGGTGCTGGAGTCGGCGGACTCTGTGCAGCTCTCGAATGCTGGCGCAAGGGTCACAAAGTGCGCATTGTTGACAGGACTAGCAAGCCAGACACCGGTGGTACGTCTGGACATGAATATCTCCCCGTTCTCGTTCAATCCTGACCCAGCCGCCTAGGGGACTTCTTCTCGATCAGTCCGGCTGCAACTAAAGCCTTCCGGCACTGGCCCGAAATGAATGCCAAGCACCTAGCTGCGGCACGACAGCCATACAACGCAAACTACCTACTCACCGGCGAGCAGACACGCAAACACATGCCGTTCATGGTGGACACGACGGACGAGAATGGCAAAGCGGTGACTACCGTCTTGACGCAATACAGGCACTCTCGGCCCAAGCTCCACGGGATCCTGATCGAGCAGCTGGCCGCTATTGGCATCGAAGTCGAGTTCAACCACAAGGCCATCAAGTACGAAGAAACGGCCGACAAAGGCATCGTTAGATCTGAGGACGGGGTCATCCTCGAGGGCGATGTGGTCATTGCCGCGGACGGGCTGGGAACAGCGTCATACGAGCTGGTCCTGGGTCACAAACTACGGGCGCGAAGCAGCGGCTATGCCATTTACCGCACGGCGTTCCCTGCAGAGGTCGTTACTAGGGATCCTCAGCTCTCACAGCACTATCGTCTCCTTGACATCCCCAAAAGCACCCCTATTGATATCTGGCTTGGGTGAGTTTAGACCAGGCATGGTGTTCCATATCTATACAGCATTTTCGCTTACATATCGCGTCTAGTCCTCACATTCAGGTCTTCACTCAACTTACTGAAGACATATTTTCGTGGTCGATGGTCCACAAGGTACGTGGCCGACGACTCTAAATAAGACACCATGACGTCCTCACTCACACCATGTGTTGCAGGACGATGGCAAAGCCCAGGAAACATGGCACTCGACGTCCCACACCTGCGAACCGGCCGATGCTATCAAACACATCGAGGATGCCCAGGGCTTCTGCCCCGAGATCCTCAAGAAGACAATGCTTGCCACTCCAAAGGACAAGCTGCTCGATTGGAAAATCATGTGGCGTGATTCTCAGCCCAACTGGGTCTCGCCTCAAGGACGCGTTATCCAACTAGGCGATGCGGCTCATACATTTGTGCCAAGCTCTGGGAACGGAGCGAACCAGGCTATGGAGGACGCAACGTCGCTGGCCTCGTGCCTTCAGCTTGCGGGTAAAGACGACATCCCGCTGGCACTGAGAGTTCATAACCTGCTCCGGTTTGAGCGCGTGTCTTGTACGCAGATCACCGGCTTTCAGGCTCAGATCAACCGCAACAATGTCGACATTAACGCTCTCACGGCAAAGCCAGACCAGGTTGTTGGGAAATGGGGCCGCTGGATCTGGGCTCACGACCCAGAGCAGTATGCGTACGACAACTACGAGAAGGCAAAGGCCCATCTTGTGAGTGGTGCACCTTTCGAGAACACCAACATCCCTGCCGGATACAAGTTCAAACCATGGAACATTGACGAGTTGCTTGCCATTGGGGACAGCGGCAAGCAGATTGTTTTCGAAGGAGATTGGAGCTAGATGTGCGATCTGATACTTGGTTTGGACCAGATAAAGCCATATATGATGGAAACCAGGAATAGACTAGATACATAGAACCATTCCATTTAAGCCATTTCTGTAGCTTGTCAGTCCTCATTATGTTTGCTTTGTGTTAGGCATCTGCTGTTCATCAAATGTTGCCATAACCTAATTGCAAAAGCCGATTTCCAAACTCGATCAAATAGTAGTCCGCGTAAACCAGTCCATGGTCTCCGCTAGCAGACAAATTGTGTTCGTGCCAGCTCACCGTTGAATTCCTCAATACGCTCTCAAACATTACTTCATCCTCATTGCATGGCACAGCCGACGCGATGCCATTCGCCCCGGTCTGAAGACGCATCTTCTGTTGAGACAACGAAAACTTTAGGGTGTCGTCGACGATCCTCAGAGCACTGCCCAAGTAGCGTTTGGCTCGCTCATGCTGGCCTCGGGCCGTCAGTGCTTGGGCCAGAACAAGCATGCCGTTCGCTGCAATGACACCTGCGGAGACGTCACGGAGAGGTGCCTGAATGTCCTCGACGGGGGCGTCAAAGTCCCACAATGGCACGTACCTCCCTGCCTTTTGGGGCGCGGACCCATCGCCAGTGCTCTGGAGAATCTCAACATAGGCCGGTGCGCTTTCTAGCCGAAGTAGGAAGTACTCCGCGAGGCCGCACGCAGCATCGAGAAGCTCTTCATCCCCCGTCCAGGCAAACGACTGAGCGTAACCGAGAATTGCCCACCCTTGGCCACGGGACCACGTGGTGTCTCGTGAGTATCCCTGGGCGGTGCGGACCTCCTGGATATGGCCCGTTGCCGGCGAGAAGTTCACCACGTGGCACGTGCTGTAAAGTGCTCCTTCATAGCCGGGTCGTTTGTGCGACAACTCTTTGCGCAGGTGCGTTCTCTTCAAAGTCTTGGCGTGAGTTGTTGCGGCCTCGGCCAGGTATCCATAGCCCGTGTGCGCAGCGGCGTAGTAGAGCATCTCCAGATTGCATAGGGAGTCGATGATGACCAGAAAGTTGCTCGATTTGTCCCGGATCTGCACGTTGTCTAAGAACAGCAGGGCATCCCACGAGCGTATCGCGCCCACACGCGCATCGAAGCGGGAGTAGAGCGAGACGGCAGCAGTCTTGATGTTTTCCAGTGCGTCTCTCTCGTGACATAGTTCCCAGCGGAGCCTCATGTGAGGCATGACCATGAAACCAAGATCATGAGTGTCAGTTCTGTGGGCCATGCGGCGCAATGGATCTGACCACCTCTTGCCCAGGACCTCGAGTTCATCTCGTACTTGGGATAGGGTCAGGCGTGTGTCCTGGTGACCCATACTCTTCGGATACCGAGTTGATCTCTCAAGAAGGAGGTAGATGCTTCCCGGGAAGAAGCCACTGGTCCAGAAGTCCACTGGTCGGTGTTTGTATTGGCCTTCATTGTCTCCGGACTGGGGCACAATTTCCGGGTAGAAGGTTGGAATATCCTACGACTATGTTAGCTCAAACCGCTGACACTAGATAGACTGCCAATACACTTGCATTCGTTCCAGTATAGCGTTGGGCGACGTGCATGATCTTTGCGGTAATGTTCTCTGCGTACAAATCTCTGTAGAAATCGGCATAGAGGCCGCCCCAGCCCCAGGACTGTTTTAGCGAAACACTGTTCGCTTCTTGAGAAGAGCTTTCAGACCATTTGGTGTCATGGATGTCCCCATTCGTCTTCAAAGACGTGCCGTTGAGCAGTCCATTCGACATCTCTGAAGACTCTGGCTCAATCGCTGCGGGAGGCATGGCGGACGAGTTCTGTTTCGTACAGCTGTTGCCTTTCGGGAGCTGTTACTCCATATAGAAAGGTACCAGTCTGTAAGATGATGGGCAAGACAAGGGAAAAGATTGTTCACACGCGTCTTAGGGTGGGAGCAACTGGTGGTGTCCTGGCGAAGGTTCCTGTAAGCGTCAAAGTCTTGATAAATAGAACATATAGGGCTTACATCCCGGTCGTAGATGCCGAATGAGTTGATCTACAAGCCCGTCATTAATTTCTCCCGGTCCAGATATTCGTCCGCTTCCCGATATCTCCTGTCTTGCTAGGTGGGGCCTGCGGGATCGGGCGACGGACGATTGAGCCCGGGCTGATCCGCGATGGGGCTTTTACTGGAGGTCCAATCCGCATGGCAATCAGCCCATACTTGCCAGGCCACTTCAATATCAGCTTTAATCTTTGATCTACCAGTTCGTCAGTATCGTACTTCGATCTCGCGAATCTTCGCAGCGAGGCTGACAGCACTGGGTCAATGGGCCGAACATGAACAACACAGTCAAATTACATGTTTTGCCATAAATGCACCAAATTATATCAGAGCTGTGCTCAAAATACGAGTAAACTTGAGTCCATATTCTCGGCCACCAGAGCGACGGCAGTGAATGCTTATGACCATGCATTACACGTAGAGTCCTATACATGAATAATTTCCCTAAAGCGCAAACAAAACTTGGCTAGGCACCGCTCATTCCAGGAAATTCCTCGGGATGGGTGATAAACATGAAATCATCAAAGTTGATGATACGATTCATTTCAGCAAAGCTTTGATCCATGAGCCCCTGGGAGATAGTTGATAGCTCGTCCATTGGTAATGCCATAGTTCTCAGCGACTCGTCGTGGAGTTGTAAAACGGGAGAAGTGATCACGCTTTGTTGACTTAGACGCTCTGACCGACGGTAACTGCCATGGTACAACTGGGGTGACGCTGTGGCTTGCGGTACTGCATCTGCGGGTGGCTCTCTAATTTGGGCTGGTCCGGATGCCAGTGCTGGACTCGACTGGGATGGCGAGGAACCTGAAGCTGCCTCTCGACTACCTGGTCCGAGCAAGAACCGTGACACCATGTCTCGATCTGTGGCGCTCGCATTGTGAAGACGTCTTAGCTGAGTTGCTAGAGTGCCCGCAAAGTTGGTAGAGCCGGTGTCAACCTGTGCTAATTGACCTTGCCACCTCCGACTCATAGTTTCCAGGCAGGTTATCAACAACCAGAACTCTGGAGCTAATTCAGACTGGTAATGCTGGGAATGCACTGCCACAGTGTGTTAGAAAGAATTGCCTTGTCAACAGAGAGTCTGACTTACAGAGCAAGGTTCTGGCGCTGACAAACACGCAGATTGCGAATTGGGGTGCGACCGGCATCTTCCCGGGTGCACATTCCAGGTATTTCATGGTGATGTTTGCTGTCTCTGTGGCGGCAACGTAGCATGTGTCGGCGCTGCACGTGCTCGGGAGCTTCAAATGTTTCAGGTCTTTCTGAGGATAGGCTATACGCTGGTGTAGTAGGATGGATGATGTATTGTGAGTGATGTGTGCCAATGTCATGTTTGGATCCATGTCCATAACTGTATGGCATGTGGGCGTGGAACTCGAATCCACAGTTGACTCCTTCCATCTCTGCGGGAGAAACATTTTCCAACTTGATGCAAATCAATCGTTAGGAAGATCAAACTTAATACGAAGGAGATTACAAGTATTGGTCTACTTACTGGACGAGTCGAAGATCCAATTCTTTGAACCGGGTGAGCCAACTCAAAACATCCTGCTTGCTCGAGAAGTCGATCTTCTGCTGCACAAAGTAGGTGTTGATGCGGCTTAACGTCTCCACGGATTCAACGTAGTAGGAAAAGGCACCAAGCTTCGACATGTCGACTAATGTGGTGAGATTCCCAGGAAGGGACGGGGGGTTAGTCGCGCCGTCTCCGACATCCCGTGTGATTGATGCCGCTGGTTTCCCAGGACTTTCATATTTGGAGGGTAGGAACGTGGTAGTGTTTCCAATCTTAGCAGCAGAGTGATCCCATATGCCCAGATATGGAGTCAATGCAGGTTGATTCCGTCTCCAAAGCCCGCCATCGATAGGCAACCTGCGGCAGACGTCATCTGCAGTGAGGCTCACGTTCCAGCTGTTCACAATGTAAGCGCATGTCATTCGAGTTCTCACTGGACGTGTAGTATTACCCAGTAGTGATTGAACAAAACCTACATGTAGTTAGAGATGGAAATATTCGTAGACGGATAAAGAATGGTTGTCTTCACCTATCAAGTAGAAATACGTTCCAGAAGGCCCTTCTTCGTTCTTCCTCTTCGATCCAGTTCTTTGGAGCCGGCAGAACTTGGAGATTGGATAATAGAGCCACAGGTTCAACAAGATCTGTATCTTCGACACTGAGATGCAGGAATTGTACCGTCCGGGCAAGAGAGCCGATGGCGGACCAGGCTTTAGTCTCCTCCCCTTGCCCGATCTAGATGATCGATATCAGCATTTTGATCTCAGTGGTACTGAAACGCGTATTAGCTCACATAGGTGAAGGCAACAAGGAGAAGCGCTTGAAGATTTTCGACTGCAAGACTGCCCATCGCGTTCAAGACAACGTAGTTCCTAGATATTTGAACTTCCCTCTGGATCTCCTGTGGTGAAATTGAGAACCTGTCGCTCTCCACAAACCTTAATGAAGCAACGACGATGGCATGCAATATGATTAAACACGGATCGCGGTTGTCGTTGCTGCTAAGTCTTTGCCGGAACTGCATCTCATGCAGAATCGGGATCCAAGGATGAACATAGTTGAAGTGAGCATCCAGCAATTCTTCCAGAAAATCCTCTCGGGTCAACAGCGATGAGCCAGTATCTTCTTCATCTTGAGACAGAGACCGGACATGTGCGTTGAGACGAACGCGTTTCGGAGGGTTCCCTATCCGCGCTGACGTCTCGTTCCCATGAGGTGCGACGTGTCCATCAGAAGGGGGTGGGGTCGCGATGGCGATGGAGGGGCCTCTTGATGACGTGATCGTCAGATTCGAGTTGAGATGATGTATCTCCTTCGTCAACAAGGATAGAATACCGCCCAAAACATCAGACGTAGTCGGGACGGTATTCGCATTGGGTTGTTCGGTTGGGGCCGATGACAGCGACGCGGTGGATAGATCTCGGCCATCGAAAACAGCATCCTCCAATGCCTCTGCGATGCCACATCAGAATTAATGGTTGACGAGGGTAATACCATTGCTGCGTCACTTCGAGAACTTACTAACTCGCTGGCTTAAGGCCTCGACCGCACCACCCTTCAGTCCTGGTTTCTTCCTCTGATACTCATATGCGCACTTCGTGCCTGCAAGATAAACATCGTTAATGGGATAGCCTCCAAGTGGAACAGAACTTGACGAACGCACCAAGTCGTCGGCAGTGAGAGCACAAAGGCCAATCTCTCGAACAACGAAGCTTTCGTTTGCGACATGAATCACACTTCGATTTGCGTTAGCATTCATATATTTGGGGAGGATGCAGTGTCATCGAAGCTTACCGACGGCAAATCATTGTCAGCTTCGTTGGGCATGTCAGGGGCTGGTTGACCCGCCATCAGGATTGCTCCATTCTACCTCGCGAAGTAAGGCAGTGAAGTAAATCGAGGCGGAACTCGTAAAAGAACTAGGATCAGAATCACGGGGAAGAAAATTCAACTGAGCTGGCTTATTGTTCTGTGCGTGGGAGGCATTTTGCGGGGAAGAATGATCACCGACTGTGTGATGTGCATCCTCTTCTCCACTCCCCCAACTAACTTCGATTAGCTTGTGGTCGAATGTGCGACCTTGGTGGAAGCTGATTCGCTATTAGAGACTAGGGGCTACTGCTAACTCAACGGACAAAGTAAGCCGGGTGAGTTCGTCCGGCCCCGGCACGCCAGGACCGAGTCAATTGGTACCTAAGATTTGATAACTGTCCTGGTCGAAACAGCCATACCGAGTACATGTGGGGAATCTGGTAAAGCTTCCATACACATCTTCCAAGATTGACGAGCAGTCATATTCGTCTAATGAGGTGGAGTTTCTGCCTGCATTATCGCCTTCATCACCCCTACTCTAGACTGGGCGACACCATCCACATCTCCAACCGTGGGTAAGGCTTCAATTTCTAGAGGGTCAAGGACAGAGGTCCGAACAATTTATAGCAATTGTTGGATTGACAAAAAGAAGCATACTCAGCAATGACATGTCAATAATACTTGAGATGACTTGATACATGTCAAGCGGCCAACATTGAGCTTCAAGCATGTTCGATACACTAAATCTTTGCTAGTCGAATTGCAATCAAATAACCACTTCCGCAGCTAAACTTCAATGAACGACAGCCATCCTTATTACACGACAAGAGAATCGATGCACTGCGTTTAACACAATTCAACTTGTTGATTTGAGAAATCCACCAGGACGTGGTGTCCAAAACTAGGTCTCTTGGGCGGCGTTGATGGCGACAATGCGTTGAGTGGCAGTCTCCGTCTTGTGGAATCGCCACGGCTTAATCTTGCGCTCGAAAAGCTCATCGAGCTCAGCAGCCGAACGACTAAAGGTTAATACTGTGTTAGCACTTCTCCAATCGTGGGTTGTAAGGGCCTTGAATATTCTAACTTACCCTGCTGTCTCTGGGATAAGGAGCCAGATCCCCACGACGACTGGACATCCTATACCCGCGTAGAGAAATCCCGTCTTGAGGCCCCAGTTCCATTCATTCGCATTGATCATGTGGGGAATCAGCTGATTCATCCCAATGTTGGTGACGGCATTGATAGCAGCGGCTGCCCCAGAGGTATAGTGGCGCAGGCGTTGGGATGACATCTCTGCGATGAAACCCCATCCAGTTGCTCCAGTCATGGTGAGTCCCATGTCTAGGAGAGAAGTAGAGTTAGCAGATGAGTCCAGGAACAAGATATTAAGACCTGTGACTTACTCCAGAAAACGGCAAGCATAATGCAGACCGCATTAACGGCCTTGTTCCTCGGGACAACACTGAGGATGCCAATGATGAGACAGGAAAGCCACATCGTCGTGGCACCAGAGCAACTGATCATTCTCCGACCCACACTGTCAGCAACATATACAACGCAGACAGCAGCAACCAGCTTGACACCAATGGTGATGCATTTAATCTGGAACGGGTTTCCAAGCTCTGCCTGTTGGAAGAAGTAGGTGCCGTATGACGTAAAGAGGGTGAGGCCAATGAACTGCTGTGAGCAGAGTGTCCACAACGCAACAAGAGTGCGGAAGCCGTCAACACCCTTGAAAATGGCCCACCACCTCTCCTGGAGCTGTAGGGCTGCCACCTCGGCTTCATGATCGGCTAGGAGCTTCAGCACTTGGAGCTGGTGCTCGACGTCAAAGCCCTCTACACCCCTGTAGAGACTGGTGAGAGACTTCCTAGCCCTATTCATATGCCCAGTAGCGACGGCCCATGCCGGAGACTCGGGAAGAAAGAAGTAGATGATGGCCATGAGACCAACGTGGGTCCATTGCGTGTAGACGGGGATAAGCCAGCTCTTGGGGTGCTGGTGCGACAGCACCTCCAGAGCGATGTAAGTGAAGAGCTGTCCAACAGTCCACCAAAGGTTGTATGTCATCAGAATCCTTCCGCGGAGGCGGGTTGGGCTGATTTCGGTGACATATGTTGTCATGTTCACCTGCATGCAGCCTGTTCCAATACCGGCAAGAAGCTTGGCCACGAGCCAGTGTGGCCACTTCCGGGCGAGGCTCTCGGCAATAACACTAGCCGCGAGGAAGATGACGGTGATGTACATGGCGACCTTGCGTCCGAATCGCGCAGATATAAAAGGAAGCGAGGAGCTGGCTATGAACTGGCCGACGGGAAGAATGGTCCCCCAAGCGGCAATGACGTTGGATGCCAGCACAGGCTTGCCCTTGGCGTTGGTGTCGGTGGCAAACTGTTCGACGAAGCCTGGATTGACAATGATACCGGAGTTCAATCTAGGAGAGCAACAAGCTGTTAGTGAGCCGAAACACACAGAGTACGTGGATATAACAGGTCCTAATGAACAAACTGACGCAATTTGATAGCCATCAGTGGCAGCAGAAAAAGCAGCTATGACAGCGAAGAAGGTGCACCACTTGAATTTCTTGGCTGTCTGCCATGCAGTGAGTGTTTCGTAGCCAGTCAAGGCCTGGCCCCTGGCCGCGGCGTCTTGGACCGCGTCTTTGGGCTGCATCACATCATCAGTACGGGACTCTGCGTGGCCGATCTCGTTTCCCGTCTTCTCCTGAGTTGTTTCTGTTCGGTTCATGGCAACGGCAAGAAGGGATAAGTCCCTTGAAAGAGTGGTATGATGCGAGGCGGCCGCTCGAAGAGTGTCGTGATGAGAGGAAGCCTTCTCGGTTTCGACGATGGCCGGAGCATTCTCTTCTTATATATATCAAAGCTTTGTCTTGGAATGATCACACGCATGAGTTCGATACCCCACGGGGTTCATTGTCTGACCGTAGCCAGATTCCGGAGAAGGTTCACAGGTTGGTTGGTCTTGGCAGATGTGGGGTGGCGCTATTGCAGCGGATGAAGAGCTCGGAAAACAATTGTCCGTTGTCTAGACGTTAACCATCCCTTGCAATGATGCGTTCTGGAGAAGACACCGGCCGGCGATCTATCCGTCATGGAAGTTAGGATTCTCTGGTGTTAGCGAAATATCAATAATCTCTCCGGGGAATTCTTGCTTGGTGATGTAGTTGACTGGTGCTGCATGTGTTAACGTATTGCACTGCCTGTTGAACTGGCTAGACTTCTCGATCAATGCATTCCATCTCATGCCTTCTGATCCACGATAGTCATCGTGAGAATTAACACATTGAACTCGCCGGGAAGCTGAAGGCATTGCTGCCTTATCAGATACCACCTTGCCATACGCTCATACTCACATAGTTACGGTGCAACGTGTCCGAATTACACGAAATATGTGAAGTAAGTTGGCCCAGTCACCAAGCATCCCTCCCTTAACACACAAATGTTCTTCGTGAACGCGATGATTCGAAAGCTTCTATACATCACGTTTGAGGGACTGTCATTTGAATGGCGGATGAAATTGAATCTCCCAGCTTCACGAGATATATTAATGCAACGTTTTGGTGGGGCTCATAGGCTCTTCTGAGTCATCCTTTGTATTGGACTGAGCTAACCTACGACACTGCGAAAAAGCGGAGACAGTCAAGTTCTTTCCTCGCAAGCTTCCTGAACTTCACAAGGCGAAACCACCCTGCGGCACTTAAAGAAAGTGGAACAAGATGTCCGGAGCCAATGCTCTGTCGTTGCCTGCTTCCATCTCCTCACAACTACCCCGCAATGAGGCTTGCGAGTCAGCCCTTCGGCTCGCATGGAAGCTCCTGGAACGACCGATCTTCAACCACTCCCTCCGCGTGTATCTGATAGCCAAACACCTCGCCGAAAAGGAAGACTCCCCATTCGCGTTTGAGCCACGACTGGCCCTGCTCTTCGTCTGGGCCATCCATCACGATATCGGCACGACCGACGCGTACAACGGCGCTGAGCGCTTCGAGATCTGCGGCGCGGACTGTGCCAAGTCTCATCTCTTGCAACACGACTACTCCGAGGCCGAGTCACACCAAGTGTGGACGGCAATTGCGATCCATACCTCACCGGGCATTGCGGAGCGTATCGACCCTCTATCTCGGCTGATTCGTATTGCAGTCCTCAGCGATTTTGGATCCCAACACTATCGACAAAAGATGGGGGTCGAGGAGTACTGCAAGGAAATCGAAAAGATGCTGCCGAGGCAAGACGTTGAAAAGGCTCTCGGAGATGCTGTGGTGAAGCAGGCAAAGAAGATCCCACATGTAGATAGCCTCACCTGGCCAACAGATGAGAAGTTTCCCAAGGCCAGTTGGCCAGGCATTCTCCTGCGGGCGCATGCTGAGAATCCGGACCACACTGGAGTCAACCCTGCTTTCTAGTTACAGCCAATGAATCACCATCTGAACATCTGGGAAAAGGCAGCGTGTTGATTAAAAGCAGTCAACTTTTGTTTATGGTCATTGTCGCGTACATCAATTCTATTACCCCTCTCTACGCCCAGTCCCTTATGGTCTTTAGAAGACCGTACCCTTCGTCTGCTTCTTGTCAAGAGGCAGGTTGCGCCAGACCACAACGCAGACGATGATCGCCGGCAAGAACGCACAGCCCGCGATAACCATGTGTCTCTGGACGTAGGCGTAGGCGCGGATGACGCCGTCGCGGACGGGGTTGCCAATGGGGTAGCGCATCTGTTCGGTGATCTTGCCAAAAATGACCCTGGACTGCGCCTTTGCGCTATCAGGCAGCTCGTAGTACAGCCGGCCGGGCAGCTCGTTGGTCCAGATGGCCCCCGAGACGGCGAACCCGATGGCCTGGCCGATGGAGCCGAACATGGAGTGGAGCGCGAGCACGACGGCGAGCTCCTGGTGCGTGACGGTCGTCATGATGGCCAGAGGCGCCGTCATGGCCCAGATGCCGCCGCAAACACCGTGGAAGACCTGACACATGACGAGGTAGCCCAGGGCGTGGCCGGGCTGGCGGAAGTGGATGAGCAGAGCGGTGCCGAGGACGCAGAAGGGGATGCCGGCGACGGCGGGCCAGTAGTAGCGCCCGTACCAGCGCAGGAAGAGGCCGATGAAGGGGGCCAGGATGGTCGAGGTGACGGAGAAGGCGTTGAGGGTGTATCCCGAGACGGAGATGCTCAGGTTGTGGACAACCTGGAGGTAGGAGCCGTAGTACGTGTCCCAGGCACTGGATCGCCAGTCTCAGTCAGCTATGCATTCAGAGAGCATGACACAAGGGCTCGAATACTTACAAGATAGAGATGTTGAGGAAGAAGCTGAGCAGACAGGCACCCAGGATGGTGCGGTCTGTGAGGTAGTGGAAGGGGAAGAAGCAAACTTTGGCGAAGTACTTCTCCCAGACGGCGAAAAGACCCAGACAAACGACGCCAACCACGAGCATGGCAATGATGTAGCCAGTGGCCCATCCATTCGGAGCAGTCTTGGCGATGTTGAGAGGAACCAGGATCAGGGAGAACCCGGCAATGGTGAGGACCATCCCGATAACTATGGTCAGGTCCATTAGTAAGCTTTATCCAGTAAGATTCATACGAGAGAGCAGCTTACAATCAAACTCGACCAAGCGCATCTTGAAGTTCTCCCAGAAAGGCCGCTTCTCTTTCTCGGGGAGGAGTCCGAGCCTCTTGGCCTTGCGCTTAGAGAACATGAAGATACCAGCGACCGGCATCGCGCAGACCACCATAATGATACAGAAGGATCCGAAAGCCCAGCGATAGGTGGAGTGCTTGTAGAACAGCTCAGCTATGGTCGGGCCGCCGAATGTCGAAGCCAGACGCGGGCTCATGTAGAGACCCCACATGATCATGCGGTTGCGAAGGGTGGTCATGTCGGAGAGCACGACATTGACGATGTATCCGAGGCCGACGTGGCCGACCCAGTAGAAGGTGTGGCCAGCGGCGTAGGTCTCGACGTTCTGGCACAGGGCCTTCATGATCATGCCGATGAGGATCAGCAGGATCATGAACAGGAAACCCTCGTTATGGCCGCGAATATCAATGATCTTGGCGATGGCCAGCTTGCTCACGCCGCCAATGACGGACGCTACGACGCCGATGACCGCTAGGAGGCCGTGCTGCGAGAAGGAAGAGGTGACGTAGGGCACCAGGCTGGAGTGAACCGCCTGGAGGAGCGTGTCGACGAAGCTGACGAGGTAGAGGCTGCGGAAAAGAAGCAAAGATTGTGAGCGCCGGGATTGGATGCGGTCTTCCCCTCGTTCGTCCGAAATATTGACTTACAAACCAAAAACAGCCCACATCATAGCCGGAGACCAGACAGTGGTGACAGCCTCGACCTGCTTCACACCGTCCTGCTTCATTTCGGAGCCGGAGTCGGTGTCTTGGGCCTTTTCGTCAACATCGTGGATCTCGGGGGCCGAGCCATGGTTCTTCTCAATATCGACCCGGGAGGTAGGCCCCGGTTGAGGAGTGATTGTGCCAACCATTTTGCTTGTTCACCACAGGGTTTAGGTAGTGAGGGTGGTCTTTGAGACTCGAGATACACAAGGCGTTGAGGAGAGTAGAGCTACGCCCAAGATCTGCAGTGTAATGAACAGCTCGAAGGCCCGGCCCTCTGGGTGTTGGAGGGATAATGAGACCTTATACATGCAGCTCGCGTGGCAATTTCCTTCCTGCAATCCATTTTAATCCATGTGTAAGGTACATTTGTTGCCCCCCCCCCCCTCCTCCATTCCTCCATGGATACAGATTGATGGATAAGATAATTGCCAGTGATCGTCCGACTCGGATCAATGCCAAGAGCAATGGACGAGAATTTCAAGGGCGATGAGGGGCATCAAAAGAGGGGCTAGAACCGGCGATGCAACGTGAAAGCGCTCCGGGCTCACTCAACAACGGACTTCTTAACCAGGGGTGGTCAGCTTCGATGGTCTACTCCGTAGTCGGCTGTCCCTGGTGGATCTGAGCTCCGTTAGATAGTTATCCTTGGGCTCAATGACAAAATCGAGATCCTACGCTAACCCGGCGTGTGTGTGCCCAAACAAGACATCTGGGATCGATTCTGGTCAACTTCTGGGTGCCAGGCCGGAGAGGAAACCCCAGAGAGAACATGACAGCCGATGCGGCCCAGGGATGTTGGTCTTGGCCATGAAAAGTCTTCCAGAAGAGCGCATTATCTGATCATCAGATAACCTAGTCGTACTTCTCTTGGCAGCTTGCGATGTGGGGGTTCCCGCCAAGACGTCCCATCAGCCAGTGGCGCCCTTAACACGGCTCACTCAGGGCTTGAATCCTCAGTGGCTTGCATACGACGAGCCTAGTTTTCGATACCCGTCTTGTCTCCCGTAGCTCTAACTTGTGCAGAACGGGGTAGGACGCCAATAGTTGAGAAAGAAGTCACAAACGTGCATGACGACGTTTTATTACAGTGAGCTGCACCAACTACAAGGTTCGACCCAGCGAGGATACATTGTAAAACATTGGCAGGCAAGGACGGACCTTTAGCTTGTATCGGGCCTGGGTACACCACCACCGTTGCCGACATTCCGGATCAAGCTCGGGTATACGCTTGTCCGCATCACTATATTTTCGCTTCTTCGGGTCACCTTTTTGTTTTCTACTCATCTACGGGTTCTTTCGGCCCTTTGCCCTGCCCCAGTCAAGGGCTTCTCCACCTAGCCCTGCCAAGGTAGCTGGCGCTGTGCTAAAATTTGGTTAATGCAGCATGGTACCCGTCTGGGTATGAGCCTGCCATCACAATTTATCAAGCCATTTCCATGGACCACTAGGCGGCCGATTGGTCCACTCGTACGAGCGACGGAGCAGAAACGGGCTGGCTCTAGAGACCTTTGCCACGAAAAGAAAAGGAATTATAGCTCCGTGGAAGATTTTCGAGAACCTGGACATCGGCTTAGTGCTGCAGATAGGCACAGCGATGAAGGTCGCTCCATCAGCTGCATATACCCTGTGTACATTGTACAACTTCGTCATATAATTAGCACTCGGCTTATCATACGTTGAGTAACGAATGGGGGCCTTGGTGTGATATGACTGCGCCTTTGTAACCGTGGGTCGAAAAGTAGTATCTCAAGATAGCGAATCAACCTGCGAGGCTCTCGGTGTAGTGCAGAATGGGCTTGGATACATTCGCTCGGGCGACGAGAACTTGATGGAAAGGGGCTGTTGACCCCCAAAAGAGCGCGATCCAGTCCGCCAGCGACGATGATGACCGAGATTTTGGGGTTTCACGAGAGCTGTCTTGCCAACGGCACAGCCTACTAATCCTTCCGATGGCATGTGCATGGCTCCTGAACTTTCAAGCTCCCAGCCACAAAGACAGCCATAAAACCCTTGAGCTGATGGGAACTTCAATGCTCCAACTCGGTACTTGATTCACGTTTTTCTGATGTCTTATTACTTGACGTATGAGAGTCGATGTTAAGACTGACTCTTGACCTTCGTATTGGCCTTATCAACAAGACGACCACACAGAGCTATTGTGCTTCATCTGGTATATATCAGCATTCATTGCTTTAGGTGAAGTCACGTCCTGGTAACGCCCTTGTGGCCGAGTTGGGCGAATACCTTAGAACAGGTCCTCCAGCAGGTGTCGTCAGGCACGAGGGATACTTTCGCGACCTCGACAACGACTCATCGAGCACAAAATCGGACAACACAATGAACGTACTCAAAAAAGTCTCCATCATTTCTCTATGGCGGTCTACATATTTATGCTGAAGAGTACTGGTCGTGCTTGGCCTTCTGTTTATGGTGCTAGCCGTCACAACAGAGACTTTATTAGCAATGTCAGCTGAGAAGCAAGGCCTTAGCTGGAACACGAAACGCCTCTCTTATTTGTGGACATTCTTTCCCATAGCTGTGTTCACAATGATCGTTCTGTTCGCAAAGATTGCTGTGTTCGTAATCATTGCTCTGTTGGCAATGGTTGCTGTGTTCACAGTGATTGCTGTGTTCATATCGATTGCAGCCCTCTGGGCCCGTGTGGAGTTACTGGCCAAAATGAGAGCACCTTGAATCTCTTTCTCTCAAGGCTGGACAGGATAATATCTCTTCTTGATGACATATCCCTGTTTCAAATGTTTAGCGGCATTCAGAGCAATCAGAACCCAGCACAGGGCTGTAGCCCTCACGTCTTCGGTCTCACTGATGCTCACCCTACTGATTGTCCTTTGCGCGGGTCTTGTCACCCTGAGGCCGGTGGATATGATTTCAAGACAAAGCCACAGAAGGCGCTGGCCGAGGATTTCTTCTTTACCAATGGATGGAGGAGCCTTGGAACACAGCACTTGTCTGTGATTGACACTTTTGCATATTGTTTGCGAAACGATTCATTATTATATAGAGCAGCACGTTGGGCCCTTAGGCCTTGTTATAAACTACATCAATCTGGTCTTTGAGCGTCTTTTCGACCTCCTTCCTCCGAATGTTCCCCTTGGTAGCTGTGCGAGGCAGGGAGCCCTTAGGTACAACCATGATAAATCGATGGTCCTGTATTCTTTCATGCTGATACCTTCGTTGATGGAAAGGCATGATTCTCTCGAGAATGTCCTTCTTCAGCTGTTCCTCATAAGTATGCGGCGTGTTTCCATTGACCCCGTTGGGAACTGTCTGCTCGTGCGGCTCTACCACAAGCATTGGTGAAGGACGTCGGTCACCAACGACGGCAACGGCGTGGACGAGGTCCTTGCCACATGTATCTATGACATTGGCTTCTATGGCGCTAGTGTCGCACCGAAGACTTGTCTCCATCTTGATCCAGCCATCCGCCCTCCCTTGAGACAAGTACCGACCGGGGGGTATCTCGGTGAAGAGATCACCAGAGTGAAATTTGCCGTCGGGACCCCGCAGACTCTGGTGCGGGCAATCAGGCGACTCTGGGGGGATCACCAGCTCGAGCAGCTTAGAGTCAGACCCAGAGCCATCATCGAGGGGCTGAAACTCAAAGGTGGATCCGGGGAAGGCCTCCAAATAGGAGTCGTTTGCGCTCTGGCGGCCGGCCATGGCATAGCCCATCTCAGTCGATCCAAAGAAATTGACAGGCTGCATGCCCCTCTCACGCGCCCAATTTAGGTCCATAGGCTCCAGAGCCATACCGCCGTACCCGATAGAAGCGAGACCCTGGAGAAGCGCAAGGAAGTCGGGGTCCTTGTCCGCCTCACGGAACATGCTTGACAGAAGTGGCGGGAAAACCATGAGCCTGTTCAACCCACATTCCTTGATAATACGGCTCAGTTCATGAGATGAGTAAGGAATGGTCGTTGGGAGCACCATGGTGCCGCCCAAAACGAGACTTGCCCAAATGCACATGTGGCTTCCCATGTGCATATAACTTCCACTGATAGCACGGAGACGTAAGCTAGTGAAATAGAGAATTGGGCCAGGAAAGTACTAACATGGCTATGAGAATCTCAGGGTCCGGCGTAAATGCATAGTCTCTCGAGTGCTTCATCTTGTTGAGAAGAGAGTCCACCCATCGGGCGGTGATGGGCACCAGCTTTGGGATCCCAGAAGTCGATCCTGACGTGTGGAGGATCATAACCAAATGATCCGGATCTGAAGCCTCGCATACCGGAGACAGTGATGCCTGTCCCTCGAGCGGCTCAGATGGCAAGGTTCCGCCGGGGAAGGTTGGCACGGGGCTGTTGTGCAGCATCGACGTAAAGCTGGCATCATGGATCAGAGCCACGGCCTTGGCCTTCTCCAGCAGTTCATAGACCACAGAGGGGTCTGTCATGCGTAAAGAGATGAGTTGCGGTATGTAACCGGCCCGGATAAGACCTAGAGTATGGATATAATCGTCGTATGACACGCCTTTGAGCCTGCCATCCGTGTTAGTCAAGGCTCCAAGGTCTTGGGAGGGACGATGTACTCACCATACCCCGACGACTGCTCGTGCTTCCGTGACAGTCCCTTGTAGTCTGCGGGTCCAGGCCTGGGCGCTTCTCTCGACGTCGGCTAAGCATGTAGCATATGAGACGTCCTTCCACGACTGCCGTTCACCGTCATACTGGGGGACTTTGAAAAACACTGAAGATGGGATTCGGTTTGCTTGTTCTCGAAGAACCGTAAGAGTAGTCTTGAAAGTAGCCATGTTGAAGGTTGGTATGCATCTGCATGGTGGTGAAAACAAGCCTTGACAAGGTAGCGGGAACAACACGCTCATAAATACGGAGAATGAACAATGAACCCTGCATCAGGATGCCGATCGCTGACCTCTCGTCAGCACGACTCCACAAGCAACCGCCGCATATTTCTTAAAACGCTAAGATGTCGTCCAAGGCAAGTACAAGGGTCCTAGTATTGCACTTACATGAAAACTTATCCCTGCAACTAGCAAACAAAAAAGAAGAAAATAACGAATAAATAAATCAATACCGCTTAAAGCCCATGGGCCATGACCAAGAACCTTTGTTTTGCAACTCATGGAAACGGTCTTTCTACCCTGGAGGGAAATGGTTTGATTATTGACAAACTCATCCAACGGCCAGGGCGGCCGCCCTGGTCTGTGCAAGGGGGCATGTTAAACCTCATCATCAACCCCAGTGGCAGTGGGCTGATGAAACCTTGTCTCCACCAGGCCTAGTGGCCAACTCCGCCTGCGCGTGAACTTTGCCAGCCCTTTACGGACATGAAAATGGTCATTCCGTCAGCGCTAAGTAACTATTCTTGCACCACGCAAACTATACCGGGGCTCGCTTCGGTGTTGCCGCAGCCTGTCAAATTGAATGCCTGGACACCGCATCTTCAAGACCTTGATACTCCGTGGGATGTCGGGTCTTAAACGCAGGTGTAATAGCGCTTTCCGCTCCCCACCACCTTCCCTGTTCGCTGTCTCCTGACGACGAATATAGAGACGAGAAATGTCAGCCCCATGAAGCCATGTGCAAATGCAAAGCCAACTTCGACATCCCCTCACATAATACGAATTCCCGGGGCTGGGACCGAGGGTGTGGAGTTCGGCCACTCCAACACCGAGCACCGGACTTGACTCAACGTCAGATGCGGTATTCTGCATCCTGCACTTCGTTCAGGGGTCACTGTCACGCCGGGTTTCGTGAAGGCCACTCCAATTGTTTGGAAACTTTGTTTGTCTACAGTTGGGGTAGTAATGAAAAGATCAGGGTAGTGAATACGAAGGTTGCACGTAAGAATGGCCGTCGTGGTAGGCGTGTTACTCGCATCGGTATTGGCCTGGGCCATGATCATTGCCAGCTGAAATTCGATGCCGACGTCGTCGAGAATCTGATATCCGACATATTTACCTGCGGCAGTACCTATGTCGAGCACATAGATCAGACAGTATCCAACCTTCGTGAGAGTAGCTCGTACAATCACACGGGGGCCGCGTATCCGACTACGGATATTAGGGCCCTTCTCACCACCTGGAGTATTGAGACTGCGAAGATGAATGGGCAGTTTGCGAATATCGAACTCAATCGCGGGCAAGTTGCCGATGCTCTGGAGCTAGATGGGCGCGTAGTAGATGACGGTGGGTTAAGAGCCTAAGTAGAAGAAAGCCTATTGCTCGTGCTGACGGCACTTCCAATGTGCTGGTCCAATCGAGGGGTGCACACGATTTTTAACCTCCTATGGATTTCCCAACCATAATGTGCAGCTAGAAACAGCACAAAGCCGACGATTCAGCCGGTGACCAACGAGAGGTTGCAAGGTTGCGTCACACCGCCAAACTTTATGGCGAGAATGTAACATATCACACTTACCAGCATGAAATCCGTTCCAATGAGGTGCATTGGCCAGCCTGTTCATCACACTGCACTTCTATCGTCACCATTTAACGCCGGAGGGCTTGGAAAGTTAAAAACCAATGAAAGCGGCAAATATGGCCGTTTGGGGCGGTTTGATGCAGAAAGACCGCCACCACGGCACTGATGGTCAGCCAAGAAGGGGTCCGACCACCGATGCAATTGCCGGGACTTCAATAATCATGCTCTTGAGATGTGGATTCTGTAATTCGGTACATGCCATGTGATGTGCGAATCAAGCCCGTGAAGGACAGGTCTCCTGGGAGGGGAGAAGGCTAAAATGAACGATCTTATGGTGATGCTGGCAGGGCCCAGCCTTGCAATGATTCGTTCGACCATGTGTGCGTCGCAGACCAGACTGCCAACTGCCAAGCCGAATATCGCAAGAAAAAAGTGGTCTCGTTGAGCGGACGTAGCCATTAGCCAGCCTCTATGATTTGTATTCAACAAAGATGGCCGACTTCGAACATTGCGAGATTTACGCGTTGAGGGCTGTTTGAGAGCTAGCAGTGAGAAATAGAAGACCCAAGACGTACTACGCCATGTTGGAGAGGGTAATATGGAAGTAGACGTTGATTCTCGAAAGAGGCTTGATGATATATGACTCGGCAATGTCAGACCCATGACGTGTTGGTAGCGACCATCGGAGCTTGGACATCACTATTGGGAACTCACGGAATCAATCGAAATGAAGAGTGTAGCCAGCCTCAAGCCTACTAATCACAGTTGTCAACATCCACAATGCTAGGGACCTACTGTATGGGGACATGCACAAGTGGAAAGATAACCTGGAAAGCGCCATTTCCCCACAACTAGCTGTCTCTTCCCCATGCCCCAGTAATTGGTAGCATGCACCCTTCCTCCCGGGTTCAGATCACATTGTGTTACTTCAAGCCGCAGGAATATCTAAGTCGTGGTACATTGCCTACATATTATCGAATTTCTTGAGCTGTCGTCCATATTTGGCAATTCGACAAGATGTCGGTTGGCCCCAAGGCCAGCGTTGCTGGAATGACCGACGCTTGCCGTGCCGACTTCGCCGAATTAGCCGAAGTTAACCGCACTCACAACGCGGGGCAGATATGAGGCCTCTTGCCAGTGTTTGTCCAGAGACACAATCAACTTCCCGTGCAAGTGCAACAGCAGCTATGGAGGGAACAGTTAACAATGAGGAGAGCGTGCAGAGCCTGTCAGCGCCAACGCGGCAAGAGGTGGCCTCGAGCGAAAAAGGCCAGCGACAAACCCACCGAACCCGGCCCTTTAGGCACAGATCTTCCCGGGCGTGCAAGGACTGCCACGCTCGCAAAGTGCGCTGTGTAGCGTTGCGACCAGGAGTTCCGTGCTTGAACTGTGAGGAATTTGGGATCCAATGCATCATGCCCTTGACTCAAAGGCAAAGGTAAATACATGTACCTTGATACGCACGGAGGCTGAACCGGGTTGCCCGATAACTGATCCGCATACAGAGCACTCCATAGGAGACTTTTTACAGCGAATCAGCAAGCCAAGGAATATCAACGAGTACAAGAATTAAGATCAATTCCGACACAATCACCTTCCCAGAACCCAATCCCGGCTCCGGAGCCTCAACCGGCCAGGGATTACCAAGAAGCCATAGAGCCTCAACACAGGAAAGAAGCAAGCCTGAACAGAGTCAGCCTAGCATGTGTGGAAGTTGCTGCATTCCAGGAATACCTACCTTTTGATGACTATGTCCCCGAATATTCTCTCCCGCTCACGCAAGCAGAGGCTGGTAGCCATCCGCTCAACCCGATTACCAACGTGGCCCAGACTGTTGCAGAGAGCGTCAATGGTTCGAGCTCAGGCTCGGAGAGCAATGACTCGCCGACGTCCACAACCTGTGGTGAAGGGACTTCCTTAGAGTCCTATCAGAGCTTAGGAGACAACCGACAATACACGACCGCGATATTTCAAGTTTTCCCCACCACTCTCGATCAGACTGCTTTAGCATATCTTCAGTGCCGGCACGCGTTCATCCGGCCCCAGCCAGCGTTCCAGACACACCTTCTTCTGAAATACATCCGCCATGTTCACAGTGCCATGCCAGTTCTCGATATCCATCAGCTAGTCTCAACTATAACGCAGGATACATCGAGCGTTCCCTCACCAACCAAATCAGCTGAAGAGAAACCACAGATACCATACCTACTTTATCAAGCAGTAATGTTCTCCGCAGTCAAATTTGCAGATGGAGAGGCTTTAAAGTCGGCTGGCTACGACACAGTGAATGCTGCTCAATTGGAGATGCTTCAACGTGCCAGAGTGAGTGCTCCAGGCCGCGGTTCAGATCGGCCCTGCGAGAGAGTGGGAACTGACATAGACTATAGGTGCTCTATGATCTCGACACTTGCACAGATGTGGTCACCCTGATCCAATCTCTGTTACTCCTCTCCTTCGGCAGTCGCTTTATCGACGAGCCTCCGGGTGGCAGAAATTCTCAGTTCTGGCATGGGCTGGCCGTATCTACTGCCATGAGATTGGAAATGAACAGCCACACCTCATCAAACAATTCGACAGAACCTGAAAGGCGTCTATGGCGTCGTATACGGTGGAGTCTACTTCTCTGGGATCACCTGCTAGTGATATATCAGGGCTCCTCTCACAAGTCAATGGCACGCCGCCTAAAATGGGTGGAGAATGACCTGCCGATCTTGAGTCTAGATGATTTTGACACCAGGCCGATATCAATCAATGGTCAGAAGGCGGCAGAGAGCGCGCAACTGGAGCAGGATGCAATGAACACCATTGAGAAAGTCATGCTGTGCTGCCAGAATACTGGCTCCAGCTAATGGCATTATAGGGCTGGAAGAGTCTGTTTGGAGATATTATACCGTAAGCGTTCTAGTTTTGTGAGATTTATCTTGTGTTCAAGAGATCGGACTGTTTTGTGCCTTTAGAGACCCCGTCCATGATCGTGGCATTTTTCGCCTATTTCTTGGAGCCCTTGAAAATTTGATCGAAATCAAACTCGTTCCAGTAGACCGTCGGCTTCATGCCTGACAGCTTCCACTCGCCCCCGATCTTCTTGTAAGTGAACTGCATGACGGCGTGGCTGTGCCCCTTTGCCTCGATCGTCTTCTTGTCTTCACCAGTGTATCGCTGGTGCGCAGCACGAAGCTGGTGCGTGCCGATGGCCTCATCGTCCGAGACGCGCTGGTACTTTGAGGCTCCAATGAAGTGCTGTGATGATACGAGCGGATCTCCGACGAATCCGGGATCGCTCACCATGGCCACAAAGTCCTCGGCTGGCATCGCATCCCATTTCTGCCCAATCACGTTCCGGTAATCGACCTAGACCGGTCAGGTAAGACCTCAGGGGCACGTGCGGGACACAGGAGTGCAACATACCACGAGCTCTGGAGCAAGTATGCTCCTCAATCGGTCCCAGTCCTGATACAGTCAGCTCGGTGTCCCCATGATGCTCGTGCGTGAGTCTAACCTTTGTATCGTAGCTATCCCCCCACTCAAAGGCGATGGCTCCGAAATCCAGAGCATCTAAACGAAATCATGTCAGATTTCATCGGACCTCGAGTGATGGCACTATATCTCACCTTCGGGTCGAACTTTGTTAGCCATGATTGTTCACAACAAGACCGGAATCCGTGGAATAGTCTTGACGAAGATCGCCTATGCTGAGGAAGCACCGTTCAAACTTTTAAACCTCTGAGCTAGAACCGCTTGGCAATAGGCGCCAGGGTGGGGGCAGTTTCGGCTACGTTCCTATCTAGCGGAACCGGAAGCGGGAACGGGAACGGATTCCGCGGTCCCTGACTCAATGCTCATCGATCAGGCTTAGTGAGGAACTGGGCTTAAGATCCTCCAAGATAAATCTCACAATTGAATACTATAAAATCATTTCAGGCCTCACAGAACCACACAATCGACCACTTCTATTGTAACGAGGTTGTACACTGTTTGCCATCTTCATCCTTCTTCGAAGAAGGCCCCTAAGTCATACACTACAAGTTAGAGGGTCATCACCACGCCTTTCCCTCCAGATGTTCGTGGCTATGACCACATCTCGGCACCCTTGCAGCAGGAACCCCCATTTCTGAATGAACTCTTCTGTGACTTCCCATCCCGCGACGTCCCACGGATCGGACCACGATACGAGTCCAGGCTCCACTGCACGCAGCGTACCTAAAGGTGGGGGATTGCTTTCCTTTGATTCATCGTTAGACATCTTCATCTCCGTGATAGCCTTAGATTCTTCTTCTGCTTGTCCCTGCTCCCCTTCTGATCCGCTACAGAGGCTCTGGAACGCATCACCTAACACATCCATCATGAAGGCATCCTCGTCGAAGGTATATCTTTCCAGAGCGACGATAAGGTTATCCCGCAGCTGAGGTGAGGGAAATAGATCAATCCAACCGTAGTGCGGAACCTGCTGTTGCAGAAGAGTAGGCATCAACGACGGCGGCAGCACAAAGGCGGGTGCCATAGAGGTTAGGCCATCCATCGGCGCCTGAATGGGTGGGGGTAGGCTCAATACACGCCGTATGGAGCAGAATCGATTGGTCGAGAGCGGCACTGACGAGAGGACAACGTAGTTGGCAAGGATGGCTCGAGAAACGTTAAGAGTTATGACATGGAGCAGTTGAGCATCTCGGGTCAATGGAAAATATGTTTCCGTATGGTCTACCCGGGCGGGAGAAGACATGGCAATGGTTCCATTGCCAAGCTGCGAGTGTGAACCGGCTGGTTGGCTAGAGCCTCTGGGAACGATCTGGTGCTGCTCTTGTACTTGATTCAAGCGCTGTCGCCTTCCTAAGAATCGAACATGGTAAGCAAAAATGGTGTCAGTAGAGCTCCAGGGGGGAACTGACGAGCTGCTCTTTGGTTGATTCTGTTCTGGCGCCTCTTTCTCTCCTTGGCATCACTTATGCCAGACCATTCGTCCTGCTCGCCTCGAATCTATATGATGGATTAGCTGGGCACTCAGTTAGAGCTACACATTTGACGATAACTCACTCTATCGCCTGCTGGCACAAGTCGAAAGGTCTTGAACAGTGACATCGCTCTGCGCGGAAAACACCGTCACTCATGGCAGTTGTCCTGCCGTCGAGCATGAAGAAGCCAGCATGAGGGGTCATCAAGAAGGTTAAAAATGGCGGCTGACACATTTTGACCGAATCGGGAGTCTGGACTGACACTTAATTATGCAGATGGCTGACAAAACTAAACCGCTTTAGGCCTGGAGAGAATCTAACATGGGTCCTGTCGGACTTAAGGCTCTATAAGGTGATTGATATCGTGTCATACACGCAGGAAAGCGACTAGAAATGTAGATGCCTGTTACCTGATCATTTAGCTTGGTGATTGGTGTTTAGTAACAACTTGGACGTAAACGGCAATCCCGGCTGACGTCCACTTAGGTACAGCTGATTCGGGTTGGGCCGATTCAAGTTTCAAAGCGAATGGCAATATTAGCAGTAGCAGAATGATATAAAGCATGGGTTCAAGGTCATGAAATCTAATTCACGAATTCTTCAAGAATGCCATCGATCTTTCGGAATTTCAAATAACACCTGATCCTATATCTTACACAGTTGGTGTCCTTGCATTCCATGATATGGAGCCAACCACAACATCGAAATACACCGCAGCTCATCTCAAGCCTAACGGCCCAGGTGATGCTCGTCCCACAGCCCTACAAATTGTCCGCAATGAGCGCAGGGAAGGCGATCTCGTCGGCAAGGTCGCTCTCATAACAGGATGCTCCTCTGGACTGGGCATCGAGACTGCACGCGCGATGAAGGCCACGGGTATCACCGTCTTCGTGACGGCGCGTAACCTAGACAAGGCTAGGGACACGCTCGGCGACATCCTCGACGGAGATCAAGTACAACTATTGCACCTTGACCTCGAGTCGCTCGAAAGCGTCCGGAAGTGTGTGTCTGATCTCAAGGCCAGGACCAACAAGCTCAATGTCCTCATTGAGAATGCGGGGATTCGGCATGTCCCCAAGGGCCGGACCAAAGACGGATTCGAACTGCACTGGGGAACGAACCACCTGTCTCACTTCCTCCTCTTCGAGCTTCTCAGACCGATGCTGCTCGAGTCCTCCGCGCCCGACTTCCAGTCCCGCGTAATCATTGTGTCCTCCACCGCGCATCGGAATGGACCCATGGACTTCAACGACCTGAACTGGGAGAAGAGGCGCTACGATCCGGTCCTTGCCTATGGACAGAGCAAGCTCGCCAACGTCTACACGGCGAGCGAGATCGAGAGACGCTACGGGTCGCAGGGACTGCACGCTTGGAGCGTCCACCCGGGCGGTATCAGGACGGGGCTGCAGCGGCCGAGTTTCTCCGATGCCATGATCTTTGTCAAGTGTGGGGTCATGGCTACGCTCAAGGTGATGATGAACGCTGAGCAAGGGGCTTCGACGACCGTCTGGGCAGCTGTCAGCCGGGAGCTGGAGGGCCGTGGAGGAAAGTATCTGGAACGCAACCAGATCAGCCAGCCAGTGAAGAAGGGCTGGGGTTTGATCGATCCCGGTCATGTTGAATGGGCGTATGACGAGGAGAGGGCGAAGAAGCTGTACGAGATATCGCTCGGGCTGGTACATGCATGATCCATTGCGCTGGTGGACTGAGTTATCGAATGGCTATTGTCATAGATCAAGTCCGGATTGTTTCTATTACAAATCATTTCCCCCTTCTATATCTATAGACCAATTTTTGAAACGCCTAGACATATTCATTATGCTTTGATTCGTACACGCACGCACACAGCTTAATCTCTCTTCACTCCCACACGCCCGGCGCCCCTCAAGCCGATCCCTCCCAGTAGAATGCAGAGCATCATAAACGAGAACATGGTCCAGAAACTCGCCTTGTACCCCGCAAACAGCGCATCATCCCCGTCCACATTCCCCTTGCGCTCCTCGGCCTGCCTCACGAGCGCCGATACGATCTGCATGACGGCCAGGCCCAGCGCCTGCCCGAACTGTGCGGCGGTGTTGAACACGGCGCCCGCGAGGCTCTGCTTGTCCTCGGGGAAGGTCTCGGAGACGATGATGAGCCCCACCGTGAACATGACGTCGACGCTGATGGGCTGCAGGAGCTGGGCGACAAAGGCGTTGGCCCAGTAGGTCCACTGCGGCTGGATGACGGCCATGAGCAGGGGTCCACCGGCGCAGAGTAGGGAGGAGATCATGACGAGCCAGAGGGCGGGGATGCGGTGGACGACGAGCCCTGTCCCGAGATTGAGCAGGGTGCCGACGATAAGGGAGGGCAGAATGCGAATGGAGGCCTGGAGTGCGGAGAGGTGCTGGATTTCTTGGAAGCTGAGGTGTAACACAGTCAGTAGGGGCATGGAAGGCAAGGCCTTACATCTGTGGGTTGTGACTTACAATAAGCTGGCAAAGAGCTCCATGGAGCCAAGAACGGCAAAGGACAAAGTGATGGTCCCGCAAATGGTCGAGAAAGCCTTGTTCTTCCAGAGAGAGTTGGGGATCAGGGCAGGCTTGTTAATTTGAACACGGTAGTGAACCCAGTAGACGAAAGCGGGAACCGCCGCAACAGCCAAGCACAGGATGACGATGCTGCCGGCCTCGCGGATGCGATGCGGGTCGGCACTGACGATGCTGCAGACCTAGTCAGCAAGGTGACCAATATGAGTGGAAGTGAAGGGGACGCATACGCGAGGAGATACGACGACAGCGCCATAGCCACAGAAGCCAGCGCCGCACCGACCCAGTCGACCTTCTGGCCGCACTCCTTCAGGACCTGGCCAAACGTGCGGTTTTTTCTCTGGCTCGGCAGCGCCCACATGCCGACGAACGCCAGTCCCAAGATGATGCCGCCAAAGATCCACCACCCGGGGCGCCAGCCCGTGGTGTCGATCATGATGCCACCCGTGACGAGACCGAAGGAGAAGCCCATGGGCTGGCTCAATCCCAGAAAAGCAAATGCCAGATTGCGCGCCTTGCCGGCTCGCAGGGACTGAGACACAATGCCGACAGAGGCGGCGAGGTGCAGCGATAGTGCCACACCTTGCAGGGCACGCATGCCGACGAGCTGCTCGCCGGTCTGGGAACCCGCAGCGGCGAGGATGGCGACGCCGACGAGGAAGCAGCCGGCAATGTCGACAGTGCGAGGGCCGATGACATCCGAGGCCGCCCCGGCAATCATCAGGGTGGATGCAGTGGTCAAGTTGGTGACGGAGGCAGGCCAGAGAGCGAGCTTTGTGGGCAGGTTGAGAGTGGCTGAGATGGTGGGCAGGCCGACAGTGACGAGACCCGTCACGGCGGAGGTCATGAAGTTAACGGTGGACAGCTGGAAGATGATGACGACGGTGCGGAAGCGGGAAAGGGCCGGGACCTCTGCCTCCTGGGTGTCCTGGGATGTGGTGCTGCCCAAGAGAACTCCCGAGTCTGACGACGGGGCCGGTGGTGAGACCACGGGAGCACCGGGAGGCACGGGAGCGCCATCCTTGGTGAGCGTAACCAGCTCTACTCCTGTCGTGGTCGATGCCATCTTGACTGCCAAATGAACAAAATATGTCTGTTCGATCCTGGTGAGTCTTGTTGCAAAGAAAGGAGAAGTATGAGGTTGAAAAAAGAGAATAAAGTAACGAGGATCTGAGATCTTAGACTCGACATGACTAACTAGACTTCTTTCAGCAGATTCTTGCATCCACACACACCTCGGTGGCTTTTTGACGCCACCCCGGCCGCCAACTGCGGATCCCTAGCAGTACCTTTGGCGGACGGACTCCGCTGTTAAGGCTCTTTCACTGGTGATTCGAGTCATTTCTCCAAGTTTTGCCCTAGAAGGGAAAGGATCGTGTGCCAAGAGGCGTTCACGTAAACTGGGCCTCTTGAGATGAGAGATGCTGAAATCCCATCGATATTGGTTGCACTTTTAGCCAAGATTTCCAAATAATCATTTGCACCTTGATCTGGGTGCAATGAAACTTCGGCCGGCATCCCCAGTCAAAATGTCAATGACAGGGCGCACGCTAGGGACCAAACCCGCAACTGGAGGTTAGTGGATTTGCCCTTGCAGTGACATGGGCATTGCTACCAGAGTGTCTGCCGGAGACGGGCTCAGAGACATCTCAGCTTGTTCAGCTCTTTCAACACGTGGATATTCGGAAACATTTCGAATGCACATCAATATGACTCGATCAACTTCTTGGTTGACGAACATTGATCTTGGTGAGAAAGGGAGGATCCCTCTATGCTATGCCAAATGCCTTGCGAACCTTGGCCCCTATTCCCCGTAGTCTATCCCGTCCCTCATTCGAGAAGACAAACCGGATATACTGCTCTCCGTGGACCTCTCCCCAGCCATCCATAGCCGTAGCACAGATACCTTGCTCAAGCAGGCGTTCAGAGGCAGCCTTGCCGTCCAAGCCATAATCACTGACACGAATAAGCAAGCTCCAGCCTCCCGCGGGAACACCAACCGGCAGACCTTTCAGCTCTTCGACGAGGAGGTCCCGCCGGGCTTGGAGCTCGGCTACGTACGCGGGCAGAGTATGCTTGGACCTCTCCAGCGCCACCGCAACGGCATGTTGTGCAATACCGACGGGCACAACAACATTGGCCATCGAGACGGCCGCTATGTCTCCCATGACCCATGACGGCCCGACAACCCAGCCCACTCGCCATCCAATCATCCTCAGCTCCTTGGCCGATGACCCAACCGTGATTGTCCGGTCAGCCATGCCCTTCAGTCCCGCTGGATGGATGATAGGCCGCCCGTCAAACACCAGCCGCTCCATCGCCGTGTCTAGGATGAGCAGTAGGTCGTGTTGAACGCAGAGCTCCGAGACAACGGCCCAGTCGTCCGAGTCCAGATAACCCCCACTGGGCATGGACGGTGACATCAGGAGCATGGCACTGGCTCGAGACGTGATAGATGCCCGAAGAGCATCCCGGTCCAGCTTCCACTCCTTCCCGGGTTCGAAGGTGAACGGTACAAACTTGGGCACGCCCCCGGCCAGCAAGATGCGGTTCGTGAGCCCACGATAGGTGGGGTCCGTCACTATGACTTCGTCGCCCTCCTCGACTGTTGCTAGTAAAACGTTGAGGATACCTGACAGCCCGCCCGCGGAGATGACACAGTTCTTATCGCCGTCGTATTTGACTCCAGACATGGCTGAGACGTGGAGAGCGGCTGCATGGCGCAGGTCCTTTTTGCCAGTGAATGGCAGGTAGCTGTTGCCCTCGGGTTTGTTAATCAGATCTCGCGTTGCATCAAGGGCTTCTTGATCCGGGGGGATATTGACGTCGAGATTCTCCAAGCGGAGGAAGTCGATGTCAGAGGCATCGGCGAGATTGCCCATCTGGTCCACGCCGATGCTCTTGATGCTGGCTAGACGTCGAGGGCGGTGGCGGGGCATCGTGGAGAGTTCTCGATGATTCGTTAGGTCTTGTTCTGCTTTCAAATTGCAATGGTGGGTGCTAGTGCAGCGTAGATTCCTGGGGGAGTGGCCTCATACAACAGGTAGAGAACACTTCAGCTGAAGGAACAGCTTGAAGAGCCGAGATACACCGATGAGGGCCGTTTCATTCACTGTAGCACAACGATTCAGGTGACGGGACAAGTTGATATATGTTAGCGTTGAATATCCCCACTGAAAGGGCGCGCCGCATCATGGCCGGGCTACCCCGCGTGAACGGACGGCTCAACTCTAGTGCTGGCAGAAGAATTAAGGACTCTAGGCTTGATTAGGAAAGCTTCAGCGGCATTGATTAACAGGGCTGGAGGTTTCTTTAAATAGGCAGCGGTTTTGTTCTATCCCAATCCGCACCGAGCAGCCAAGCCATACCGTCCAGTGTCATCTCCTTCATCTTGCGAGAATGGCTCTGCGGCCACGGAGGTGACACCCACCCTATGTGGTTCTCGCCTTCCATCAACACCAACCTGGACTCAACATGTTTCACGTGCTCAGATAGCCACTTTTGGTAGATGATAGCATCGTCGCGAAACGCATCGAGAGAGCAGCAGTAGATAAACACCTTTCCCGGATGGTCCTTTGTCGTCCTTGGGTCAGAAACATCCAGGTTGAGCGGCGAGAACCACGGCGTGTGTACGAGGTTGACCATCCTCTCCATCTCTCGAATCATTTCCAGGTCCATACCGCCGTTCTGAGTGTTCTCAATCCTTGACTTGAGGTCAGACCGATACTTCTCTGGGATCATGTCCTCCGTAACAGTCACCGGGATACCGACAAAAAGGCCGGTGATGGGGCTCCGGAAGGGTGACAGATGTGCAAACTCCGTCATGTTGGCCGAAGCGGCTCCCGTGATGCCAGCAATGACTGCAGCGGCCGTACCGCCCGCGGACAACCCCCCCACGATGAAACCACGGTTGGTATCGACGCGGGTGCTTTCGTGCTTCAGCACTCCGCCGTTGAGATTGGTTGTGTGAGACAGCCATGCACAGACTTCCCAAGCGGCTTCGATCGGTGCCGGAAAGGGCTGCTCAGGAAGCTGGTTGAGCGAGGGGCAGGCGACGACCGCCGACAGCATGGCGGCGATGCCCCGTGCAGGCGCACCCATGAGGCCGGGACTGCATGTGGCAAAGCCGCCACCGTGGAAGTGCACGATCAACGGGCACTGATCTAAAGGTTTGGATCCCGGCGATGCCTTTGGCCACATGACCATGGTACGATTCGTCCCGCCGCCGGGCAGAGGAATATCGATGTATGTTTCGCCGAGGTGAGGAGGGCACTGGCCAATGTATTGGATGCCCTCGGCTTCGAGGGCCGCCATCGTCTCGCGCTGCTGTTGGACAGTAGACATTGCTGCTGTTATTTCTGCGACGAAAGGCAGCTGCGACGATTGCAATATTAAAGTATCGGAATTGCAGGAGAGAACAGAATCTCAAAAGCCCGAGACTTAGCAGAGTTTCCCGGCGCAGTATATGCAGGAAGAGTGAGCAAACGCGTGATTGACGGGGATCCATATGCAAGGTTACTCATTGAATGTGGAGAATATACGCAAGACGGAATACGCAATACGCTTTCAAACAACCCACTACCTAGGTAGTTGGAGACATGAGATCCGTAAACCGAGCCCCGCTTCTCGTTGATCCCACGATGTTTTAATAACACTTGGTATCAATGGCTACTACTTTCCCGCCTTCTACCAAAGTACCGTTCACCGGGTTGTTGATGGCACCGCTGGTACTGACATATAAGATATGCTTGTCCTTCATGCCGCGGCCAAATGCCACAGCCGTGTCACCAGCAACCGTCATCTCGGTAGCCGCTCCAGCCACAGTCACAGTCTGCCCCGAAGGCCCAATCGCTAGAAGTCGGTTGTCGGTATTGGTCGTCGCCCAGATAGTGCCCTTGGTGTCGATCGTAAAGTCGTCAAGAAATGGAGCATCTGCCCTCGCAACCATCTCAGCTTCAGCGCCTTCGACAGGATAACCATCCGGCATGATCTTGATACGATATATTGCAGCTTCGGCGCTATTAGTCCAGTACAGAAAGTCGCCGTGGGTCTTGACACCATTCACACCGAAGCCATTCGAGGCACCAGATGGGGCAGCTAGTTCGGGTACGTTGACTGCGATATCATATTCTCCTGTTTGAATGTTGAGATTCCAAATAGCTCCCAGGGTGGAGTCGGCAATAAGGACCACATCCTGGGATCCTTCTGGAGAGGTTAGGCCGTTCGGGAAAATCACTTTTGGAAGGGACGTAATGAATTCGATGGTCGGTTCTTGATGATGGCGAAAGTCGATACTCCATGCTGAGAATGACTCTGGCATTGGCGTTATCCCAGAAAAGTTGCCCCCCACGACAACGAATAGGTCATCACTGACTTCAGTTATGCCCGTGAGGCTCTTGACTGCTCCGAAAGGGTGAAGCAGTTTCGACTTTGGCGCCAAGCTTGCTGGGTCCGAGATGATGAACAGCGGAGCATCAGGCTGAAAACCTGTCACGAGCAGGTCACCATTGGAGCGGACCGCAATATTTTCAAGCCACGTTGGCTCTGCATATTGCAGGACTAGGCGGTGCGGAAGAGGTAAAGTAATGGACTCCGGTAATATTGGGACCAAGTAGGCCACACCAGTAGCGCAAGCAAGGCTGAGGAATGTAAAGGTGTAACGCCACATGGTGATCGAAAAGTCTTGGTTGGCCTGTTGGGGAGAGAGAGCAAGAAGCTGAGGAACTACCGCTGAATTGCAGAACTCGCGAGGAAGCGACGGCCATCTCTGGATTGCTTTTATAAACCTTCAATGATATCCTAGCGTGCCTTAATTTCTTCCTAGGAAGTGGTCTTCAAGCAAGATCTGTTCACGAAGGATTAGTCGTTCTCGGACATTAGACAGGTCATCGGAGATATACGCTGCTCTGCAGCAAATGAGTGGGACCAAATCCTCTTTGACTGGGATGGGACACTGACAAATCGCAACTCCCCGAGAATGGGCAGGAAGCTTACAAATATCGTCAGAGGATAAGGTAAGGTTGGAATCGTTAAGCCCCTATTCGGACTGAAGTGAGGCCGACTCTTCGTGCTGCCGCGCGGAAGAGATCTGTGCGATACGTGGACCGGAGGAGGGGGATTTGGCATACGCATGCCGTTACTCTTAAAAGGATAAGAGTTGATTGATCGGTCAAAGACGTAATCGATAGAAGGACAGTGTTTCTGTGCGTATTTACATAGATATATGCGCACTTCCACAATGTACAGCCCCAGCCCTCAGACTTGCTTCTTGGTCACTAACCCATTCTTCTCTCTTAGAGCTGCCACGTTGTAAATCATCCCCTTCTGCAGCAGCCTGTACGGCTGTATGCTGCAAAGCCACATCTGGAATCGATGTCCCCAGTATGGTGCGCGCACTACAGGTCCGGACCCGGCCGCCGAGTCGATGATCATTCTCGCCATATCCTTCGAAGCCGGCGTGAATAGACTGGTCCCGACTTTGTGCCCGTCGCTGTCAGTGTCGCCTATGAGCGCAGATATGACCTCCACATGCTGGCCCTCTCCTTTCAGCTCCGAGTCCAGTCCCTTGCTAAAGCCCGCGATGTACGCCTTTGCGCCCGAGTACACCGAGACCCAAGGAAGACCGAGATCAGCAAGGGAGCCAGCGTTGATGATGAAGCTGGGATCTCCCGCAGCCGCATGCTCCTGCATGCCCGGTAGCAGAGCGTGCGTGAGGAAGGTCATGAACGAGATATTGACCTGGATAATCGTGGCGACCTGGGCGGGCGTCTGCTCCGTGAAGGCGATGAAGTCCTTGGCCGGGTTGTGGCCCATGCCGACATTGTTGACGAGGACCTTGATCTTCAGGCCGCCGACCGAAGCGATCGCCCTGCGTGCCTCTTCCGTGGCCTCGCCAGATGCGTTGAACGCGGTCGCGGCATCGAGGACGAAGCCCTTTACGTCGCAGGCCGGGTGCTGGGCGCGGAGCTCTTTGAGGAGGACCTCCAGGCGCGTGGAGTCCCGCCCATGGACGATAATATTCAACCCGCGGCTGCACAGCTCGTGTGCCAGGTCGCGGCCGATGCCTGAAGTCGCGCCGGTGACCAGCGCGTAGGCGTCTCGGTGCGCTGGGCCTCGTGGGCCCGACAGGATGTTTTGTGGTTTCGACGACGTCAGACCCATCTTTTCTGACTACACTACCTGTGCAACAAGCGCTCTTGACACGAACAACACTGAGTGACCGGCTTCGGACAGTATTCATAGATAAAGAGTAAGAAGGTCGAGAATCAAAGCGATAGTGTATATTTCCAAACTAATACTCGTAGTCGTGGTCGTATTCGTGTCATCTCAGCACAATTGAGCTCCTTGGCTTCTGTGGTGACTAGATCCTCCTGAATCCTTCAAGTGGAGATGTCCAGGATGTCTCTGGTCTCCCATAGATAAGCCACCCTAGGGAGGCTTCATTATGGGAGACCAGGAGCAGAGGACCTGTCCACCACAGCCCGCAAATCGTTTGGAATCACAACAGCGAAAAGAAATACGGAGACATCAGGAAGAACAGAAAAAAAAATGAAGCAAAAAACGTACAACACCAGGCATTCGCTGGTCGTCACCGACCCAACTACTACTCCGGCGATTGGCAGCTTATCTATGGGAGAGCGGACGGGATCCCGAGTTCTCTACCATCTATGGTCGTACGTGGAAGGAACATTGTTGTCGATACCTATGACCTTTCTCAAACAGAAGTACGTGGCGGTCCTGGGTTTGTTGCTGTATGGGGCGACGTCATCATGAGTGGCTTGAAAGATTTACGTTGGCTTTGTAAGTCAATGTTTTTTTACTCTATCGAAAGCATCACGATGAGCGAACATCCTTCAACGAGTTGATTGTACCAGCCTATCTTCCTCCATATCCTCAACTGTGTGGCCGTGCTCACGCCGGCATATGCTTCCCGAACCAGCTCAGCATTCGGTGACTAAAGTCGATAAACGCGGGAAACTTCCTGACTCCATGTCCCTCCTGAGGATAAGTCACGAGCACAGACTCAACTCCGTGTTCGAGCAAGGCTCGATGATATTGGAGGGCGTTGCCCGGAGGAGTACAGCGGTCCTGGGCGCCAGCTACCTGAAGGACCGGGGTGGGGTATCGGCCCGCAAACCGCACCGGGCTGCGCTCATAGTAAAGACCGCCCGGGGCGTATGGGTCGCTGTTGAGGAAGATCTGGTCGAAGTAGGGTATGTTGGAGGTCGTGTGCTGCCCGAACCAGTCCGTGACGGGGGCCAGGGCGACGGCGGCTGCAAAGCGGTCGGACTGCGTGATGATCCAGGACGAGATGAACCCGCCATAACTTCCGCCCGTCACGCCCAGTCGCTTTGGGTCTGCGATGCCGCGAGCGACCAGTTCGTCAAGCCCGGAGAGGAAGTCGTGCGTATCCGCACCTCCCATGTCTCCGTACACCTTCTCGGCAAAGCCTTGGCCTCTGCCTCCAGAACCTCGAGGATTGACGCACAGCACGGCATATCCCTGAGCCACCAGCAATGGCACGTACTGCGATGTTGAGCCCCACCAGTTCCTAATGGCCCATACCGGACCACCATGGACATTGAGCACCGTAGCGTACGGCCCCGTTCGACCCGTGGGCAAATAGAGGAGGCCCTGTATCTCCAGGCCATCTGGGGCTTTCCAGGACACTTCCTCGACGGCGCCGATTTTCGAAAGTAGCCACTGCCCTCCTCCCTGATCGAGAGAAACGACTGTCTGGTATTTGCCTTTCGACACGATTCCAATTTCGGGATATCGCGTCCAGCTCTCACATACCGCAACCACTCCCTCAGCTGCATAAGGGCTTGCCCGAGGATAACGATACCCGCAGGTTTCTGAAGTTGCCCATATTTCCTTGACCTCTTTGCTAGTCAAATCGATCTCCCCGGCAATCGTCTGCAAGCCACGTTGGCCCATGTAAAACAGGCGGTTCTCATCCCGCCATGTCAGTTGGGTGGCATCGGTGCCTGCGATGGCAAGTGAGGTTGTAGTTCCATCTTTCGAGTTCGGATCGATCAACAGAATATCTCCAGCGATGATCCCCCGATCACTGCATACTGCCTGAGCGAACGCAACGAGCTTGCCCGACGGGGATGCGGCAGGGAGGCCCAGCTGGCGTTTGCTTTCATAGAGCACACGCTCCTCCCCTGAGCAGAGCTCTATGATGACGAGTTTGGCCGTGTACCACGCCTCTTCTCCAGGAGCGGTTGAGGCAATCGCAATCGCGTGGTCGGGACCACACCAAGCGGCCTCCCAAACATTCGTCCCCTGGCGACTTACCTGCCTCATGTCGTCTCCCTTGGCGTCGCAGACCCAAAGGGTCCGCCAGGCGGCATCATCATCGGCTTTCGAGTGTACCTCTGGCATCCAGGCAGGAACTACGTCTGAATCACCCGAGCCTGTGGCAAGGTCGCCTGAACCATCCGCACCCGCCTTGTCAGCACCAAGCCCAGCTGTGCCTATCAAAATTGCCGTGCCTTGCGGGCACCAGTCAAAGTATTCGACGATACCCTCTGCAGGGGAGCTTGGCGCGGCCTTCGAGAGCTCATCAGCGCCGCCAATGTAAAGCTGGAATATGCCCTTTTCGGCGCGGTCGGACAGGAAAGCCACACACTGTCCATCTGGCGACCATTTCGGTAATTTATCATTGTTTGGCCCATCAGTCGCGACCGTCACTGCGCCTGTGTTGGTATCAACGACACAGATCCGGGTCTGCGGTGTGTCCTCGAGCTTTGCCCACATGGAACCAGTGAACAGAATCTTGCTGCCGTCAGGGTGGGGGCACGGATCGGAAGCGCCAGTTATCTTGCCAAATCCTGGACCGTGAACATTGAGGAAATGCTCCTCCATTTCACGCCAGAGCGCCGTGTTCCTGACATCGCGCGCCGTCACGCCTGGGTCGTTCTTTGCAGCCATTCCAATATAAACTAGTATCGCAATGCGCGGCTTGTTCTGACAATGGTTTGCTTATCGGTCGGAGGAGGATGGCTAGGGGAGTCCACATCTTATGTCTACGTCGCGGATCACTGCTTCATCTGTAGTGGGGTGAGATGTCCAGAGAAAGGCGTGCCACACTCGGTAAGTCACGGCTTGGTGCGCTGACCAGCACGGGCACCTGCGGCTTTGGGGACACCCTCCATGCTGGGAATCCCCTCCTCCGAACTCCCCTTCAAGCACATGAGATGTGCGATAACCTCTCGGTATATAATGCTGGAATTGAGATACACCCCGGCAAGCCAGGCTTTGTTGTAATCATCCGGATATCATGAATGAAATTATGTTACTCTAGTACGGTCTTGCAACAGTGCAGGGGTAGGTTGTGTAGAACGCATCAGTTCCACTCAAACAGGTGTGAGTCTCCAAGGAAGACAGAACAATGAAGATGAGAGCCATCACTATAAGTGCGAGTGTATACCACTTATACCATGTCGACTGGGAGCAAGGGATGATGGTGGTTTGGTTCCTCCCTAGCAGGATGTAGTAGCCGTGAATGTCGAGAAGCCCTGTCACGATCAAGAAGTAGGAAAGTCTTCCAGCCGCAGCCGTTGCGGTCACCATGTATCTTTCCCGAAACCAAATAATGTCCGACCCCACAACCCACATAGTGAAAGCAAACGTAGCAAGAGAGGTCGCACCCTAAAAGAGTCTGTAAACCCTCCTAATGAGTCTTTTTAATCGTGTCAAGGCAGGCTTCAACACCGCCTACAAGGAGGGCAAGAGAAAGCCGCTCAAGCCCTCCAGTGCAGAGTGCAGCCGAGTCAGAAGTGATCGTCGTAAGGCTGATAGGCCAGTTCAATACAAACTAATTAAATATCTTATCCTTGGCTGAATACGTTACACTTGCATGCTGTAGGGCTATTATTGGCAACTTGTGCCACGATTCCTCCACGACGGGTACGTGTTCTGACTCAATCCCACAACACCTTGCAAATACTCATCATCTTTTCTGAAGGGCAGGTCCGCAATTTCAATCTTGGCCTCCTGTCTGATGCTTGGCCATGGACAACTCAAGCTCGATATACCTTGCTTTCTCAGTGAAGCAAAACCAATAAACACTGCTATAAGTCAAAGATTGCACTCTAGGCTGGAACAGCCCTGCTCTCAAGTCTGTAAACCAACTTTCGTGTCGCTGTCTGATTGGAGATGATGACCTACATGTATCTGAAATGGATCATACCTACAGCTAACAGGAGGCTTAGAGCAATCCATCTGGTAGTCTATCTCTTCTGTGCTATCAGGTGCCTGAAAATTTCACCCAGGAACAGAGCCGAGCGCTTCGTATACCGTGTGCGCTTAGGATCCTCGAAGTCCACCCAGGTCACACCAAACCGCGCCGTGTACCCCAACGCCCATTCGAAGTTGTCGAGCAGAGACCAAGCCAGGTATGACTTGATCACGATGCCCTCCTGGGAAGCTTTTGCAACTTCAGCGACATAGGACTTGTAGTAGTCGATCCGATGCGGGTCCTCTAGAATATCATCATTGCTGTTTGGCCGCCAGCCAAGTTCGCCCTTCGCAGTTGTGCCGTTCTCTGTGATATAGATAGGCAGCTGGTACCGATCCCAGATCCACCGTAACAGCTTTGCCCAGCCCCAAGGTGCCGTGCGTAGCCACGGAGTGTCGCTCTCGGTACCACGCTCCTTGCCATCCTTATTCGTGTCCATCCTGACGATATTACCCTTGGCGTCGTTCTCCTCGGGTGGCCCATCGCGGTGCTTGATAAAGTGCGACGTGTACGAGTTCATGCCGTAGAACTCGGAGCTCCCTCGTATCAACCGTTGCTCCTCCGCGGTAAAGCAAGGCAGTCGGTCGCCCAGCTGCGCCCGCATAGAAGCCGGGTAGTCGCATTCGCCCTTCCCGTAGAGGGGATCTGCGAACCAGCCTATGTCAAAATCCATCGCGCGCTTCGTAGCCTCGAGATCGAGTGGGTCGTCCTGGTCCCAGGGCTCGCACCAGTCCCCGCTCAGAGTGATCATGATGTGGCCCTTCTGCGTGGGCTGAAACTCCTGCTTATACATTGCGCAGACGCGAGCGTGGGAGACGATCTCGGTGTGACCTACAATCCAGACCTCCGTGGCGCTTGTGTGACCGGGTGCGTGTCGGCCTTCGGCGTATCCCGCACGCGCGGAAAGGACTGGCTCGTTGTATGTGATCCAGTACTTGACGCGGTCTCCAAAACTCTCAAAACAGACTCGGGCGTAGCGCATGAAGTCGAGCGTGTAGCGCGCCTTATTCAGCATGCCGCCATACCTTCGGTAAAGAGACTCGGGGAGATCCCAATGGTAGAGTGTCAGGAATGGAGTGATGCCATTCTCCAACAGTCTGTCAACCAACTTGCTGTAATATGCAATACCGGCTTCATTTACGGGGTCATCCTTGCCGCCCAGGGGGATGATGCGTGACCACGACAGGGAGAAGCGATAAGCATTGATGCCGTAGCTCTTCATCCGAGCGACATCCTCCTCGATCAGGTCATAAGACATGCAAGCGTCGTCAACGGTAGTGTTGTCCTTGATGTTTCCGCCGCTGTGGCAGAATGTATCCCAAATCGAAGGGCCTCTGCCATCCCTGTTCCAAGCACCCTCGATCTGGGCAGCGGCAGTCGCAAAACCCCAATGGAAGTCCGGAGGAAGACTGCCCTCGAGCGTTGGGTCGAATTCTGTCGAGAACGAAGCCATGTGGTTCTATTGGGTTATTCGACCAAGTAGTTAATGGAGAAAGCTTCTTTGGAATACCAATAATCTGTCTGGCCTTGGCCCTTGGGCGCTCAAAGATTGACCGAGATCGGAAGGGATATTATGATGATGCGATTGAGAAGTTGAAGTTGAAGCGGGGCATGTTCGTTGTCATCCCACTTGTTGGAAAGGCAATAACATAAGGCAAATATGTCAAAGCGAATTTCTGCTGGCCTGTCGAGACGCATCTAGAAATCCGCGAGTACCCACCTATCAACCACGTTACAGGCATCTAAAGGAACGCAAGGGCCATGACCTCCATTTTCACGGTCTACAAAGATCATTATATAACAGAGCAATGTTTTGCGCAAACATGAACATGACTTGAATGTGGATGATCGATATCTTCTCTATGCAAACTAAGAACATGTGCATGTGCTTGGCCCATCGAGCTTTGCAATTGGGTGGCAGACTGATGTCACACTCTAACTCACGAAAGGTTGCCTCAGCGCGAACGTTGACCAGGATCCAGTATACCTCAGCTATAGTACCACATCAGGCAAGCCAGAACCAGATCCTCTCAATAAAGTTCCTCGGCTTCCGCTCTGGCCAGGTCCCCTCGAGCGCGTCGATCTCGGCCTTGCCCGACCAGATGTCCATCTCAGAAAGCTTGACAAACTTGGTCTTCTTGACAATCTTGTACCCAAAGAAGAGCGTCAGGAAGATGGGGATGTTGATGTAGGGGGGGATGATGGCCTTTGCGCTGATCTTGCTCGGGAAGAAAGCGTCGAAGCCGTTGAAGAAGGCGACGACGACGCAGAAGCAGATGGCAAAGTAGGCCAGGAAAGGCTGCAGCGGCGACTTGAAGGGCAGTGTGTCGCGCGAGATGCCGTTATGCTTGAGGCAGTAGTAGAAGCGCAGATAGGTGAAGCTCACGGCCGACCACACGACCAGCGTGCTGACGGCGCTGAGGTTGCTGATCCAGAAGAAGACCTCGGAGCTGTCGTTGCTGACGGTCAGGTAGGCAAGGCAGCCGAGGGCGGAGGTCGCGCCGACGCAGGCGTAGGGGACACCCCACTTCTCGAACTTGAAGAAGGCCGGGGCCTTGCTGTCGAGGGCGGCGGCGTAGAGCACGCGGGTCGAGCCGTAGAAAAAGGAGTTGCCGGCGGACCAGGCGCTGGTCAGCACGGCGGCGTTGATAACCGAGGGGAAGATCTTGATGCCGGCGTTGGTGATGGCGATGACGAAGGGGCTCTGGGCCGCGCCGGGCTCGGACTTGTTAATGGCGTCCAGGAGGTGCGGGTCCCGCGACGAAACGCACAAGGTCACCATGAATATGCCCACGACGTAGAAGATGGCGATACGCCAGAAGATCCTGCGCACGGCCTTGGGGACGTTCTGGCGCGGGTTCTCAGTCTCACCGGCGGCTACGACGACCATCTCACTGCCGCCGTAGCTGAATGTTGCCTGGATGAAGATCTTGAAGAAGGCGAGGAAGCGGCCGAGAGCGCCGGGTTGGAGGTATTCGTTCATGGGCCCTGGGTTGGCCCAGTAGCGGAACCCAATCTTGTCACCCGAAGGACTGCCGCCGACGGTAATAATAAACATGGTCAAAATGAGGACGACGATGGTCGTCAACTTGATGGCACCAAAGAAGAACTCGGCTTCACCGTAGATGTGCACGGGGAAGAGGTTGATGATGACCATGGCGAGGAAGAAAATGGTAACGAAGATGACCTGCGGGATCTGGTCGTTCCAGAACTGCACAATGACGGCCGTAGCCACGACCTCCATGGGCACGCCGATGGCCCACTGGTACCAGTAGTTCCAGCCCAGGGTGAAGCCGAGGGCGGGATCGACGAAGCGCGCAGCGAAGATTGGCACCTGATAAATTGTGAGTGGGAGTTCCTTGCGATATTGAACGTCGATGGGTGACAGAATTATGAACTTACGGCTCCAGGGAGGGGAAGCCAAGTGGCCATCTCTCCAAGGCTGTTGATGACGCAATACAGGTTGAAGCCGGTGATCAGATAGGCCAGCACACAAGATAATGGACCTGCGAGCGACAAGGCCTGGCCGGAACCGACGAAAAGACCCGTTCCAATGGCACCGGACAGGGCGAGGAACTGGACATGCCGCGCCTTCAGGCGACGGTTTAGGGTTCCGACATGTTGCTGCTCGCGGGCGAGCTTGAGGTCGTCTGCGCCGCCGAAGTTCTCGACCTGCACCGTGCCAATCTCATCATCGTTTGCACGCTGCGTTGTGGGCGGCGCGGCCTCCACGTCGTGGGTCTTTTCTGCAACCATGTTCGTTGACGGGCAACGATGTAGCCTCTGTGGGGGAGTATCGAGGTCGAGAAGGTCCCGGAGGGATGGTCAACGGAGGGAAGTCAACGGGTTTTAAGGATGTCTACAGGGACCAGCTCCAATTGACGCACCCGGCCACAGAGGCTGCAACTATCTGCAGCTCGGCCAGACTGTGACCCGAAGCTGGGGATTGGCATGTTGGGGCTTGCGGTCTTTTGGGAGCCGTAGACGACCCATCCCAGACGAAGAGCAGCTTGGCAGCTGCTGTGCCCCTCCAGCCCAGCGTTGGAAATGGTTTATCGCATGCCGATCGCCCCTGTTGGCTATTGAGGGCAGCCAATGTTTCTGAGTCTGATTGCCTGAAGGTGCCAATTCCGGTGGAGGTGCGGCCGAGCAGACAGACTCCAAGAAACGGAGACGTTCGGGACCTGCCTCTTCGGGGCAAGTGGCCCAGACGAGTGGTGGGCTTCTGGTACGTTGCGCCTCAGTGGAGGTTCTCCCCATGCTAGACAGGCCCAGTGTCGTTGATGCTACCCCAACTTGGTAATTCAGCATGACCTGGATGAAAGTAGTAGACCCTAATGTTTGGGAGGCCGTTCGGTCATTGCGTCAGAGGCGTCGGCATTTCTACCGCTGGTGGCCACGCTGTCTATTTCTAACCACTTTGTCTTCTGAGCACATCTCTACCCTTATCCTGGGGTGCTTGCTGGAAAGAGCGCTCTTAAGCATAAGTTATGGATCGATAGATTCATTTTGAAGATATCTTGGTTGCAGCCAGTTCTCTCTTTCTGTATGGTAGATAGATTTGCTTGAAGGAGGAGGAGGAGTCTCGTGCTCAAGCGTTTGTCGCCACAAACAGTCCCCAAAACTCGAGTAACCTTGTTCTCTAGAGTGGGGAAGCTTCTGGGGTTCTCAAACAAGGGAAATGAACAAATGTCGCCCGGTGCGGGGAAGGAGAATGGCCTACTTGCCACAGCCAATACGAACTTGTCTACGCTGCGACTTCAGCACTTGGCACATCCCAAGTTCTGGGATTTGCATGGACTAATGGTTCCTGGCCGAAATGTTAGTCACCGTCAAGCCTGCAAGTGTATTGTCCTCCAAGGGCCTGAGATGGTCATCAGTGCTGTTTTCACTGTTCAAGTGGCTCTGCGAAGCTGGGATCTAGTTGGCTCATGGATCCAGATGTAACGGCTGCACGTGGGCAGATGGCCCTGAGCGAGATGCTCCCTTTGGTTGTGAGACTGTTGCAGTGTTGCCGGTTTACAAGGGTTGAACCCTCCCTATCTGATCATTGTCTTACCTTCATCAACGGCTTGTCGGGGAAATATCTATGAGGCGTGGTACATTGCTGCCTAGTCGAGCAGGTTTACCATCAGTTGCTTCCATGATATTGCTTGCCGGGCTTTTGTCAAAGAACTTCTACGTAGAGTTGATCCCCTGGCAATTCTATAAACTGCTCAGACCCGGACTTGGTATTTCATTGGCTGCTGTTGCACTGGGGCACGATCTGACCTAAAAAGCATCCCAGTGTGGTGGTATCGGAGAGCTATTGTGTATGTGGATTATCCCGATGTTTTGTTCGGTAAAATCTGGAATATGCCTAGCCCCAACTACCCCCTAGTAAGTGACTGGGGTGGTCACCTTTTCACGAGGGAGGCCAGTTCTGTGCCGCAGCGAAGTTAGCGACGTCGGCAGAGTCTAGCTGATCGGCATGGAGATTGTGTGGAATAGATAATCAGATTACACTCTACACTATGCGTCTAGCAATGATCTCAAGTGAAGCATCCCTCCACAGTCCGTGGAACGAGCGAGAATCCCTGTTCACCGCTCAATATCCCGATACATCAGGCCAAGACGTCTCGATGCCCTCTCGCAATACCACCTCGTGAAATGCCGCGAATAAGTCCGGCTTGCCCTGCACCTCGTGCGGCGTGAGCCCCGTGTCTAGACAATGCGCCGCTAGCAGACCCGCCGCCTCGCCAATGTTCCACTCGACGGGGTGCAAGCGATAGCACCCGTTGGTGATGTGCGTGGTGCCGATGTTCTTGCAGCCCGCCAGCAAGTTGGGCCGGTCCACGGGGATCAGTGCGCCCAGAGGAATCTCGAAGGGGCAGCACGCAACGTCGATGTAGTTGTCGCCGCCCGTCGACGGATGCAGGTCGATGCGGTACATACCGACGCCCACACTGTCCGGGTAGCGCACTGCGCCCTTTGCACCGCGGACCTCGAGGGAAAGATCCTGCTCTACGATCCGCGTGACGGCCTTGATGCGCCGAGACTCTCGGATGTAGGGCGCCATGGCTAAGCCGTGCTCCGTGCCAGTGATATCGCCTCGTAGCCGCAGGCCCGGGTACCCTGTGCCGTTGCCGTCTGCCCGCGGGCACTCGGTCTGCAAGTAGTACAGCATGCTATAGGATAGCGATGCCGCGGCGTCTAGGCGCTCTTCTAGCTCGTGCTCCTCGACATCGATGATGGGCTTCTCAAAGTAGTCGATCATGGGCCAGTTCACGAGACAGACATCCGACCGATACGCTCCGGGTTGGAAGTTGTCGCGGGCTGCGATGCGTCTGAACGTCCACAGGTTCATATCTCCACCCGACTTGCGCTGGTCGGCACACACCAGTGCAGGGTTGTCATTGGGGTTGGGTGTAAACTCGCGCTCGACGATCTCCAGTGTCCTGGGGTGAGGCGCTTTCAGACTTAGCAGCGGCGCGCCCCAAAAGGCCGGGTGGCATTTGCGCCAGTAATCGTACTCGGCCGGCTTGGGGATCGTATGGTTCTCGCCATCAATGTGATCAACTGCAAAGCAGATGGACACGGCTTGAGAGTTGGTTGGCTGCGCTTCCTCGGGCGCGCTGGGCTCTCCGGTGTCATGACGCGACTCGAAACCCGTCACGTACGCCGTCTTTGTCATCGGCAGTAGATCGCCAAGCTCCGTAGCATCAATGACATAGCTAGCTCGTACTGTGAACGTCTCCTGCAAGTCGAGACGTCGAAATTCCACTGCTTGCACATGCTCACCATTCATCTCGCATGACACCGGCTTCGTCCGCTTCTTAATCACAAGTAGCCCACTTCCAATGTACGGCATGAGCATGGCATCGATGACGGCCACCGCGACGCGCGGCTCGTGGCACAACTTGCTCACATGCCCAGCACCGGGGTTGAGCTCCGGCCACCGCCTGGCGTCTTCGGTCAGGGGGTAGTGATCGCGATAGTACTGCCGAATGCCGTCGCGCAGCGATCGATATGAGCAAGTGATGCCGAACTGCTCCACCCAGCAGTGCTCATCTGGCGGTACCGCCTGGCTGGTCAACTGTCCGCCTAGCCATTCGTACTCCTCCGTCAAGACGACGCGGCGGCCCCGTCTGAGAGCTCCGAGCGCGGCAGCGACGCCACCTAGGCCACCGCCGACAACGAGTAGGTCGGTTGAAAAGGCGTGATCCCTGGCTCTCTTTCTTGACGTTGGCAGTGTGCCATTGGCATGGATTCCATTTGTTGTGGCCAATTCCGGCTCGGAATTATGAACCAATTCTCCCATATTGGACTATTTGTCTGTCTGTAGGGCTGGGCAGTAAAAGTCTATGTCGTCGCTCTGGTATCCCGACATGTGATGAGCCAGCAGTGGCAGAAGGCATAAGCAACCTTTTATTCTGTGAATGCCGGGAATGAGAGCCAGTCACCATACATAAGCAGAGCGTGGTGTAGAAGTGATCTAAGTTGCAACCAACATGGATCCGCTTCCCGAGAGTCCCCGAATGGAAGCGATGACACTTCCCTTGCCCAACATCACGGTTTATCCGTTTCAAAGCATTGGGAAACATGACTTGCAAGTTGTCCCCGACAGGAGGATCCGCCAAGACCTTGCCGGACATCATCTCTGTATTAGCTAGTAACCCCCAGTCGATCTAGTGGTGAGAAGTGGAGATGGTAGCAGCGAAGAATCTTTAAATCCGTGGCTCCCCGAACCTTGTCGCGTCACTACCACACCAGTTTCTGCCCTACCGTTCGGGTGCAGAGGGGACTTCCCCGATCTTTATGCAGAGTCCCCCAGGTCCCATGTTCCAGACTTCTGCTCTTTGATCATCCAATGCAAAATGCCTGACCAGGATGAGACGCAACCTGTGCAGTCGACCCATCTGGGGAATGATGATGATGTCAGCCGAAAGCGCCCTCACCAGCCTCCGTCCGGGTCCCGATACCCACGAAAACGGAGTCTGAAAGCATGCCACGTCTGCCGAGCAAGGAAGACGAAGTGCGATAACGTGCATCCCACCTGTGGCTTTTGTGCATCGCTCAACATACGCTGCTCTTATGATGAAGCGGAAAAGGACCATTCTGCGTGAGTTGCGCGACGATTGATGAACCATGGGAAGCCACTGCTGACACTGTTCTGCAAAGGTTTGATCCCGCCAGCCTCGAGATCCTGCGACAACTAAATCAGATCATCACTTCCCAAGACGACTTGCTACATACCGTTCGCTCGATAGCTGCTACGCAATCCCAATGTGTGCCGTCAGCCCTATCACCATCCGGAACGGGGCACACGCAATTGCGTAGTCTCGGCGACACGTTAGCATGGGGTGTTATTGGCATGCAGGACCAGCATTCGCCATACGTAACTAATGACTGGGGTGGGTGGCATCCCGACTCTGCGGCGACGACTCCTGCGGCATCAGCAGGCGTTGCAGCCGTTCGATGGTTTGGGCTGTTGGCCAACGATGTCTCTCGAGAAGCTGTCGAGGAGGCTGACGCGCCGCTGGGAGGCGAAGGAGGTTTCCTTGATCCCGCAGATGGCCAGAATGAAGAGGACATGACACCGCTGCAGCGTGCTACGAGGATCATCGATAAACATACGCCGAATGCAAGTGACAACGCAACACCAACTCGAATGACAACAATCATCGAAGAGAATTTCTGGCAAACCGCGGAGAACATATGTCTACTTGATAGGGAGCAGGTACTATTTGCCAACTTTCTCAACCGGATCTGTTCTTGGGTATGTTCTTTCCGCGTTACAAAATAGGCCTCATTGCTCACAACTATTGGCAGCTTGACTTGTTTGACCCCGGACGCACCTTCTCAACTCGAGTACCTCACCTCGCTGTCCGTAACGCAGGTTTGCTTAATGCGATTCTCGCCCTCTCCGCCTATCACCAGTCCCTTGACGAGAGTATCAGTCTTGATGAGCGTGCAGATCAGAGCATAGCTTTACAGTATTACTATCAGACTCTACATTATGTGCAAAAGGCCATGCGATACCCCACTTATCAAGATAGCCAAGAGCTCATGGCAACCACCCTCATTGTGTCAACATATGAGATGCTACGTGGCTCAAGAAAAGACTGGGAGCATCACCTGCAAGGAGTGTTCTGGATCCTCCGTTCTCGTCAGATCAAAGTCGAAGTCGCCAGCCTCGAGAGCACGACCTGGTGGGCCTGGCTGCGTCAGGATATCTGGGTTGCCTTTCGTGAGAAGCGCCGGACATACAGCACCTGGACTCCCAAGAAGACGTATGCTGAGCTGAGCAGCCACGAGCTAGCCTCACGAGCAGTGTGGATCATGGCTCAAGTGGTTAACTACTGTGCTGTCGACTCTTCGGACGACGTAGAAGGGACACTCCCGGGGAGACTCGGCTGGGCCAAAGCGCTTAGGAAGATGTTGGACGAGTGGTATTCCCACCTGACCATGGAATTTTCGCCTCTGCCTGCCACAAGCCGCAACAGTGATCAAGTATTCCAGCCTCGGCTGATACATCCTCAATGCTTTGGTAAGTACCTTTTCAAAAGTGGCCTATTTGTTCGACTATACTAATGTTCTCTATTAGGATTGGCGATGCAGATTCATTATGTATCTCGTATTCTTCTTTGTGCTCATGAGCCATGTCTTGGCGGTATCGAAGCATTTATCAAGCACCAGAGGACGATTCAAGATGGTATCGAAATGGTGTGCGGCATTGGCATGACGCTTACAGAAGATGCTTCGAGTATGCTATCGTCTCAGTGCTTATTCATCGGTGAGTATCTGGCATAGATCATTTACATTGGCAAGTCTAATGGGTAATATCAGCCGGAATGTTCATGCAGAACCCTCGACAGAGGACCTATGTACTGGAAATGCTCGATTCGTGTCGGAAGAGATGTGGTTGGCCAACACCCTCACTTGGGTCTGAACTCGAGAAGATATGGAGTAGTCCTATGCCTCCTTGAAGTAACGGACCGAATTACCAACAAGCCCGCAATATGAACTTTAGCTTCCAATAGTCTGAATGATCTCCGTTGCCAGAAATGCATGGGGGCAGGAGTTGCACCACAGTTGTGACTAGCAAGCCAAGAATATGTATTGTCCAAAAGACTATCACTCAGCCTTCCAAGAACCCAGCTGAACTTACCCTGATGGTTACTTGTTACTCTAGACGGATGACCGCCACCTTTGTTGGTTCAACCATCCATCGGCAACGGTGCGAGACTCCCCGATTAGCGGCTCCACTCGTGAAGCCAACCCTGTCTCCTGGTGAAGCTCGGGAATTGAGCGAGAGTCCCCGACGAAAATCTAACCCCAGATTTCATCTTGCAACTGTGCCTCTATTATCTGGACTGATCCGCACCCTGTCTTGCAACCCCAGATTGTGGAGTGCCGCTTTCACGCGTGATGCTACATGTACATCACGGGCAGACCCCGGCTTGCGACCAGACTGCTCTGCCTCTCCAGAGCCGGTTCAAATGTTGCAATACTTATATCGCCATGCTTCTCGGCCAGGTCTGCACTCTTGAACCTGCCCGACCACCGCTTTACAACTTGCAATAGCGACTTGCCTACCCAGGGTAATAACGACCTCACAACCTGTAAGCCAATTGGTCGAGCCAGCAACAATGACTATCCACGGCGTCCTCCGACGCGTCGTCCGCAATGATGCCATCAAGATCGACCCTCCCGAGATCTACAACTGGCGCGTCTTGGCTCTAGCCGCTTCAGTAGGTTTGACGTCGGATCCAAAGACATTTCAGATAGTCTGATTGCTAATTCTACCCTACGACAGGCATGTTTCGCCGGAGCCCTCTTCGGTGTCGATGCGGGTATCATCGGAGGTGTGCTGGAGATGCCAGACTTTAAGCAGTACGTCTCTATTCTGCTGTTTGGTCCCATCTACCTCTTGAAGGTGGAGCATACTGACCAAGCCTTTCTCGCACAGTCAATTCGGTCTCGACACCCGCCCTCCAAGTGCCGCTGCCGACCTGTCTGGCAACCTCGTCACCACAATGCAAGCCGGCGCCGTCGGTGGAGCTCTCGTCTCGAGCCCATTTGCAGACATGAAGGGACGAAAGCCCGCCCTGCTCGCTGTCGCGGTCACCGGCCTCATCGGCGGCCTCATGCAAGCGTTCTCCTACGGCCACTTGCCGGTCTTTTATATCGGGCGGTTCATTGAGGGTCTCGGCCTCGGTGCAGGAACCATGCTGGCGCCAACATATGTGTCTGAGAACTCTCCTCGCGCTATTCGTGGCTTCCTTGTCGGCTTCTTCCAGCTGCTCCTCGTCATGGGTGGTATGATGGCGTACTTTATCAACTACGGATCTCATTTACATCTACCGGTAAGTGCAGTCAGAAATGTACTCTTATGCGTGGATGTACTGACACAACAACAGGGCAAAGCGTCTTGGATGGTACCTCTGGCTTGCCAGTCCCTCTGCCCACTGTTACTTTTGATCAGCATGCTGTTCTGCCCCGAGTCACCTCGATGGTTGGCATCCCAGGACCGATGGGACCAAGCTAGCGACGTCTTGTCTGACGTGAGGCACCTCCCGACCGATCATCCATACATTCAGCAGGAGCTGCTTGAGCTGCGCACGCAGATCGAGCAAGAGCGAGCCATCATGCAGGATACGGGCTTCTGGGCGATTCAGAAAGAGTGCTGGACGATTCCTTCGAACCGCAAACGAGCCTTGTTGACCATTGGTCTCATTACTTTCCAGCAATGGAGCGGAGTAAGTCATATCTTGTCGGGTTGAGGAAGCGTGTGAGCGACAGTGGTCACTGACATAAATCAACCTACAGACCGGTGCCATCAACTATTACGCACCCAAGATGTTCAAGGGCCTCGGTATTCAGGGTACTGACACAGCCCTGTTTGCACAAGGCATTTATGGCATCGTCAAGGTCGTCACATGTCTGATATTTGTGTTCTTCCTCGCCGATTCTCTCGGTCGTCGATGGTCATTCATGTGGAGTGGTGCCGTGCAGGGTTTCTGCTTCTTCTTCTTGGGGTTTGTAAGTGCAGAGCAGTAGTGCTGAAGATGGCAAAGATCCCAGCTAACCAGCGCAGTATCTCCGATTCGGCCCTACTCCCAAGGAGAACGAAACACCGCCGCCCATCGGCATCGCAGCGTTGGCCATGATCTACATCTTCGCCGCCGCGTTCAACATGGGCTGGGGTCCCGTCTGTAAGTGAACTGCAGCACAATGTCTCTATGATAGCGCAAACAGGACGCAAGACTAATTGTAGACAAAGCGTGGGTGTATGTGTCTGAGATCCCGACCAACAGGCTCAGAGCTTACAACGTCGCGCTTGCATCGCTCACGCACTGGCTACACAATCTTGCCGTGTCAAAAGCGACTCCATTCATGCTTGTCTCGAGCCCCTATGGAGCTTACTTCATCTTTGGGTCCATCAACATCGTCATGGCCATCGCTGGCTGTTGGGTCCCAGAGACCAAGGGCGTAAGTCTCCCAGGCACCGTTTCAATATTATACATCATTGCGAATGCTGACTGGCGTTACCTCAGATCTCCCTGGAGCGTATGGACGAGATCTTTGGCACAGCGGACTTCTCGCACATCGAGGATGTTGGTCTGGCGGCAAGGCATGCTGAAAAGGCTGGTGTTGACGGCGACCACGAGGAGGACTCGAATCGGTCCAAAGTTTGAACACGCTTTGGGTGCTGACATATTGGTATCGCTTCATATAGATGAGATACATGCGGGTATGATGCTCAAGAGACATAGCTCGGAGGCCGCCTGGCGGTGACGAATGCCGCCCTTTTTAGGCAATACCAGGCATGAAATATGACTTGTGGCACCACCAATGTGGTCCATAGTCATTTCGAGGGGACTTGAGACTTGTTGTTTCTGCTATTCATCAGCCCCTAACTGCATTTGCAAGAGTACGATGCGAATGTGATTGCGACATGCAGAAACGATAACGACCGGACAGCGAAAGCGAGAGCGAGAACGACCAAATGCTGACCCTTGAAGCAATTTGTGGAGACTGTCAGCCTGGGGAGTGCCTCAATGCTTGCGAGTTCCCACCATCAGCCACGCATGCGGATCCCGTCCTGGCTCCACATGCTGTCCATCTTTGCTCTTGTTTGACGGCGCTGAGCATCCAGAGCGACAGTCATTGGTGGGCGGTACGGCTCGGCGGAGTAAGGTTATCGAGGATAAGCTCCGATAGGGCTATGGCATGGGACGTCGAGAGCGTGCCTGTCGAGGAGGGCTTCGAGGCTATGTTTCCCTTGCTGATCGGTGTTGTCAGATTCTCGCGAGTGCTGGGGGTTAGTTTGTGAGACCAAAGGTCCGACATAAAAAGCACGATGCCCTCCTCATCTCTTGGTGCAACTTTGATAGATTTATTATTCCAGACTCGAGACTTTTTCCTTAACACTCCCTATCTGAAAGACATTCGCATTCCAACCTTACCATGGGAAATCATCACTCTAAAAGTACAGAGCATGTGTGTCCGGTTCATTCTTTGGCGCAAGGTACGGCTTGTGTAGGCTTCCTAATCCTTGTTGACAACTGCTCTGACTCTCCCGTTGCGTAGATGCCAGCACCCCCCTCTTCGGCGACACCACCTTTTACGAGTTCGACAAGATCCTCTCTGGCAGCTGCTTCGCCTTTTCGACTGCCGTGGTCCTAATCCACATGGTGTTGCATGCGACACATTACAGCGTGCCCACAGAGCAGATCAAGTACGATATCAACAAGTCAATCGCAAGCAAGACACACAATCTCACATGAATATAGGATATTACGCATTAGCATGTTGATACCGACGTACTCTCTCTTCTCCTTCTTAAGCATCACTTACCCGACGGCGCATGTCTACCTGCAGCCCTGGCTCGAGGTCTTCCAGGCCAACTCCCTCGCCGCCTTCTTCCTGCTCATGTCCGAGTTCATTTCGGATAGCCACGAGCAGCGCGACATCTTTCTCGCAACGCTCGAGATCCGCGACAAGAAAAGCCCCAATGGAGTGTTGCATGGCATTGTGTGGTTCAGGGTGAGTAGGAGAAACGCCCGGCAGAATTACAGTGTCACATATATCAGTTATTAAGCACAGTAACTGGCATATAGAAACTCTGGGTTATGTTATTCCAGTACCCTGTCGTCGCATTGGTTGTCGCCGTCTTGACGGATATCACGGAAGCGGCCGGCGTGTTTTGCCTGTTCGAGACCAAGCCATACTTCGCCAAGCTCTGGGTGCGTCGAGCTAGTGATCTCAGTGACCGTCGAATAATTATGGCTAACGATCGTGACCTGGTATAGCTCACCATCTTGGTCAAAGTCTCTCTCACTTTCGCTGTCATGGCGGTTTTGTCCTTCTACATCCAGGTCCTCAGAAAGTACCTCGCCCACCACAAGCCAATGCTGAAACTGGTGGCATTCAAGCTTGTTGTCGGGCTCGGCTTTGTTCAGTCGGTATGTCTGGGTTCGATCTCGACACTCCACATACGACTTTCCTGACTGAACCATTAGATCATATTCTGGATCCTACGAGACACGGGCTCGCTGAATCCCACTTCGCAACTGACCTACGCCGATCTCGAGATGGGTCTCCCAAGCATGCTGCTTTGCATCGAAATGGTCCCTATATCCCTGCTTTTAGTGTATGCATACAACGCTGGCCCGTATTTCATTCGGCGGCCGCGCAATGATGATTCTGCGAGAGAGGAGCTGCAGCAGGCCGGAGTGCTCAGGACGTATCAGGGTGGCTTCTTGGGATGGAAGGCTCTCGTGGCAATTCTGGACCCCAAAGAAACTCTTCAAGCAATTTTGTTTGCCGTCAAGCTGCTGATAAATAAGACGGACCAGGCTCCAGTGCCGTTGGCGAACCACAATCCCGGCGGAAGTCAGCAGAATTCTTACCGCTTGTAACTAACTACCCTGGCTGTGGCTGTCGCTGTGGCAGCGCTCGAGGCAGTAGACATTGGGATGATTCATCTCGCGATTTGCGTATAGAGCTTTCGAATAGGAAAAGATGGTCAAGGCGATGTTTCTGAGAAGGTGCCAAGGGCTAAATATATCTAGCTGACATGCGCGGGAGGATCTCCCTTCGCTTGAAGATACACGGAGCTACTCACCACTACACGTTAGATAACAAGCTTCTGACTAAAGACGTGCACTGGAGATGCGTTTGGCAGTGTCAGAATGGTTGATTCTGTTTTATTTTTGAGAATTGTCGCGTATCGAACACCTCCTAGTCTGGCATTCAAAACTTATAGAAATACCTATATTGGTAGAGCTAAAAATTGAAAGGGGAAATAGCACAATCTCGTTTAAACGGCAATGACTGGAGGATGATGACATCGGCATGAAGATAAGCTTAGTCATCCAGCCCACGTGGGCTGGCAGGACCGACGAGCTTCCAAGTCAAAATTGCGCCATTTCAGTTTTGTCTGCTTTCGATTTTTGCTTCGGACCTGTCCTCACACAGAAAACCGGACTGAGTCGGCGTAAAATCATGGGTGTCCGAACTTTTCGCGACTTTCTGCCGTCGCAGCTCGGCTCGCGGGCTCTGGACGTGTTTCGCAGCAATTGGCATCTGGGTTTTACGGCATTCGGAGGGCCGCCGGTGCATTTCAAGATTGTACGCTACACGGCCCTAAATCGTGCTGGACTGTCTTGACACTAACTTGGTGATGGATTAGTTGAACGATAAGTTTGTGAAGAAGCTAGGATGGATCGACGAGCAGATGGTGAGCAAAACCCCGTTTTGCCTTGCGGGTCTCCCTGCTGACGTCGCACCGTGCCTCTACAGTTCCAGGAGCTGTTCAGTGTCTCCCAGGCCCTTTCCGGCCCAGGCAGCACAAAAATGCTGTACTGTATTAATCTGATCCGGAGCGGGACATTTGGTGCCCTCCTCAGCTTCCTTCTCTGGAGGTAAGTCTTGCAATGCTCGAAGCTATGGAGGAACGAGCCTCTGACATCGGTACCCGAAGTCTACCCGGCGCCATTGGCATGTATGGACTGGCAATCGGCGTGTCAAACATCTCCGAGACTCTGCCTCGACCGGCATATGCTCTCCTATCGGGTCTGAACGCCGCGGCTGTAGGTATCATTGCGCTGGCGGCCGTGGAACTTTCCCAGAAGGCCATCACCGATAAGCTCACTCGAGTCATTGTGTTCTTGACCGCTGCCGCCGGCCTACTGTACAACGCTCTCTGGTACTTTCCCGTGCTGCTGGTTGTGAGCGGCGCTGCAACGCTTGTGAACGACTCCCGCCTACTGCATCGAGCTCTCAACAAGATTTTGCTCAGAATACAGCGGAATCCGCCAGTCAGGGCCCATGAAGAGAACGGTGTATTTGCCGCAGAGTTATCCGCCATGCCATCGCAGAATCGTTCAACCCGGAGCCCTTCACCCGCGCAAGACGCTTCCGCTGCTCAGTCGATACAAGAACAGCTTGAGTCGGCACACGAGCCTCGGGTAATCCCGCAGCAGGTTCAGCTCAATATCTCATGGAAGCTGGGCGTCGCCATCATCGTGACCTTCTTTGCGACCTTCATCGCGGCCATGGTGCTGCGCGGCACCCTCGCGGCCCCGCCTCTGCTCTACAGCCTCTTCGCCAACATGTACCTTGCGGGCACTATCATCTTTGGAGGCGGGCCCGTGGTCATCCCGCTGCTTCGCGAGTACGTCGTGGCTCAGGGTTGGGTTAGCCCCCGTGACTTTCTCATCGGCCTTGCCATCATCCAGGCCTTTCCTGGGCCGAACTTCAACTTTGCCGTCTTTCTTGGCAGTCTGACTGCGATCAATGGCGGTTATAGCCCTGTCGCGGGCGCGTTGCTCGCCTGGGTGGGCATCTTCAGCCCTGGAATGGTTCTCGTGCATGGCACGATGGGTATCTGGAGTGCGCTGCGGAGCAGGCCCTGGGTCAAGTCTGTCCTTCGGGGTGTAAACGCTGGGGCCGTCGGCCTGATCTACACGGCCGTGTATCGTATCTGGCAGGTGGGATACATCGACGAAGGATTCCAGTCCGGGCGCAGCTTGGCCGATGATCCGTGGTGGGTGGTTGTCACTGCTACGAGTTATGTCGGGGGTGCCTGGTTCGGCGTCAAGGCGCCAGTTGCTATCATTATTGGTGCTGTGTTGGGTCTAGTACGATACGGTGTTGTGAATGCCTAGTTGGGTACACTATTGTCCTATCGGCGAAGACAATCTGTTTGATCTCTTACATAGGACTCATCATCTTTGCCCTAGGAGCCAATCTATCGCAGTTTGGACCGAGTCCACACTCAGGGCTCGATGTTGAATGAATGCCTCGCTGACCGATCCCCCTTTTTGATCCACAAGAAGCGGCATCGGGCGAGGAGGTTGTTCATGCCCCTCCAAGAACAAGGCGTACCAGCCAGAGTCAAGCGCGCCAAGTACGTCCTTGTCATAGTCATCTCCGAGGTATATCTTGTCCCAAGAAGACGCTCCCACGTCAGCAGAAGAGGTAGCATCCTGAGTAGTGACTTCTCGCAACAGCTCCTCCGCCGCAGAAAAGACCCTCTTGTCCGGTTTTTCGTAGCCCACATCGTAGGACATGCAATGAAGGTCAATGTCGTAGACTGCTCCTGCCAGCTTGGCTCGATCAATTGGAGTGCCATACCGCAAGGGGCTGACGCGGACCCCGAACGAAGCCAAGATATCCGGGACTCGGTCGTCGGAATTCGTGATGACGCCGACAACGACCTTGTCAAACCCCTTCTTAGGGTGTGGCTCCTTAAGAGCTTGGAGCAGTGAGGGTAGCTGGGGTACGCAGGTGTAGCCCTCATCAGATGCAAATCTGTGCTGGAGACGGGGCGCCAACCCGTCGGGTATTGCTTGATCTGGGCCCACTAGGGGACGGAGTGTGTTATGTATAACCTGGACGCCTGTGATTAGTAGTGATATTCAGGTTCGATCGCCTGGTCACAGCGATATGGCAGGATCATCTGGCATACATTTGTCCACCACGTCTGCGCCCCCATACCCGTCGCCTTGCCGTAATTCGGGTGCACCTTGGCTTCTCTCTTGAAGGCCTCTCGGAAGGAGGCCGTGACCTGGGCATCGTTGACGCGCAGGCCGAACTGGCGCGCGACGTCGGCATACTGCTTTGCGACCGGCTCGGCTGGCCTGAAGAGCGTGCCGAACGCGTCAAAGCATAGGAACAGGTTTCGTTTTGACATTGCAGATGACCATCGACAGTTCACTCGAATTGCTTAGAGCCGTTGGGTGGGCTATCGCGTCTCTGCAACGTGCGTCATGTCATTGATGAAACCATTCTGCTGTCGGGGTTTCAAATTTGAAGAGGATTCCAGTTCGGCGCGGGGTCCACATTTCAGGTAGGGGAAGCGTATCGCCAAGGCAGCTGTAAATGAACTCGCGAGTGCAGACTGAAGCAGGACAGATCTCTCGAATACAATAGTGCTTAGCACGCCGCATATACTATAGGTTGTTATGCTAATGCTGGTGAACGTAATTGGCTGTGTACAAAGCGATGGAAGCACAGCATTGGAATTTCGGCAACTACTCTCTAATCAAGGTCCCAACAACTCGCGGACGTGGTGCAAGATGACGAAGTCGGAGGAGGGGAGTGACAGTCTCAAGAAAACTATATAAGTGATACAACTCATGATCGTTGGCCAAACGTGGGTGGGGGGTTTCCGAAAGAAAACCCGCTACCATTGTTGCTTGTACTGGCCCGACTACCGCCAAACAAGCCACCAGAGCCAAAACCTGTAGGTGGAGTTGTGGTTGAAGAGAGACCGCCTCCAAATAGACCCGAGGTTGGTGCAGTGGGGATTATGCCGAATGGGGAGCTTGAAGGCTGGCGAGTGGCTTCAGGAGAGAAGGATGGCGATGGAGCTGGAGTGCTTGCGGTAGAGAACAGGCCTGGCGTGGGGACTGCGCTTCCATTATCGTTGGTCATTGCTGTGGAGGTTTTTCCGTTGGCTGTTGCAGTCGGCCTGGGGGAGCGAGGTCCTGTGACGTGTTAGATCGATGATTGGTGTAAGAGCCAACATTCCTGTTGTGACGAACCTGATTCATGTCTACGCGATGTCCCTGCAGGGCTGAGGTTCGAGAAGGTCGAGGGCATCCCTAGTGAACGTCAGTGATTGCTGGAGAGCGCATATGGGTCTCTGCATAGAGAGTGATACGCACCGTTAATTTCCCTGCGGCCGTACTGGCGACACTTCTGAAGAGCCTGCCGGAGAAGGCCGGCCTGCTGCTGGAGCATCTCACGCTCTGCCAGCACCTCCTCGGACTCTGCAGCCAGCTGCCGGAGCTGATCCTCGCTCATGGCGTTGACCTTCTGAAAGGTCAGGATATCGGGGATGTTGAAGATCAAGCAGCTCTCGACGGCGAGGTTGATAACATTCTCAGTGAAAGTCTGTCGGGACATCTATGTTCAGAGAGTATTTGTTAGTTATGCTCCAAGTCAATGTGATCGGGTGTTTCCTACCCTGTAGTAGGCAGTCGTCATGTCGATGATCTGCTCAGTGCCGAACTCGCTAGACTTCTGAATGTCGCGTGACTTTAAGAGGGTCTGTTCGATCTGTTTATGAGTGATGCCTCTCGGGTTGGCGTCTACGGCGTGTTCGTCACACAGCACATTTGCTACCCTCTTTGCCAATTTCTGTACAGTCACATCATCCAGCAGTGTTTGGAACTCGTCATCCAGCGTCAGAGTATATCCTTGCTTGTACGGACGAAACAGCTCCTGCAGCTTGGCCTTCAGCAGTTCCCTGGCGGTCTGAAAGAAGGGGTCGGCGGTGGAACAGAGTACAGCTCCGAGGGTCTTGTCATCATTGCCAATCACATGTCTGAACAGCTGCTCGACGAAGGCCCGCGAATAGTCCGTGACCAAGTTCACGTGCCGCTCAGCGATGCCTAACCAGGGCTCCGATTGCTTGCGGAAATAGGACATGATCAACTCTGCGTTTGGCGAACCCGGGAACTCTCTCCCCTGATTAATGGAGGCGCATAGCTGCAACTCTTCATGTACCTCCTCTTCAGACAAGGGCTCTGGGTCTGGGAAGTCGTAGAGGGCGAGAAAGCCTTCGAGGAAGTCCAATTTGTCGTCATTCTCCATGTGGTGCACAAAGTCGGAACCTTTGTCGGCGTCATTCCACTTGATGCTGACTTTAGACCCCTTGAGACGCAGAGTCTTGTTGAACGCACGGTTGAAGTTGCGCAGTATGGCTCTCAGCTTCATCTGGTCCTGGTCCAGACCCCCGAAGAAGGCATCGCTGTACTTGCCATCGACGCCGTCTCTGGCAATGCGCTGGTACTGCTCGCTGATGCCAAGGAGATACGATCTGAGCTCTTCCGGGGTGCTCCGGGCCTTGCCCAATCGCTCGAGCTCTGTCTGCCGGGACTCAAGATTGGACTCTATCTCTGAGACGAGACTCGGAAGGCACTTTTGAATGTGTTGCAAGAGTACAGTGGCAAGCTTCTTCCGAAATGAGTCAATGCCTCGATCTCGAGAGCTCAAAGTCGACCATGGTCCGGTCTGGAAGAACCGTTCCTCGGCTGCATCGCGAGCATCGGCGTCCGCACTCTCGTCGCCTTCGGATCTGTTTCTAAGCACATGCCAGCCCCGAGAGAGCTTATGCATGCTCTCCTGGCCTTTGGCGAGCTGCAGGAACTTCTTCTCGTCTGCAGAGCCCCGGAGTGGGAGATCAGGCTTGGTGATGACGCCCATCGTCCGCTCTCTTCCTGGATCGTGCTTCTTGGCCTTTTCAAGGACCGTCTGATTGGCCAGTTGGTTGTTGGCAGACACCACTGCCAGGATGATGCTGTTCTTCTGCTTCATGTACGACTCGGCCAGCTGATCAACGACCTGTTTGCCTTCCTGTGACTGATCTGCAGTCGCACTGTGGAAGAAGCCAGGGAGATCAACGAGAGTGAGGGGGTACACTCTCGGGCTGGAGATCTCGATGCGCAGTATGTCCTTGGAGAAGCCCTTGGACGAGCCCGCGCGGATCCCCATGCGCTCTTTAGCTTCCTCAATGATCTTGGGCAGAGCGTCCTCGTCGAAAGTCGACCACTGCGACGCGCTCGACGCCCCTTGCTGCGGCCTCGGGTCGAAGAGGCTGACATTGGCGAACTGGATGCTGACGTTTATGCTCGTCCTGGGGGCCTTGCGGAGGACAAGCTCGGTAGCAAAGCGGGTACAGAGCTCACCCTTCACCGGGAAGGGCATGCGTGAGATCGCCTCGAGGACGGAGCTCTTGCCGGAGGACTGGTCGCCAACGACAATGATCTGTGGCAAGCTGACGATGTCGCCGATGTGCAGATCTCGAAGGCTGTCGATAGTATCGAGCAGCGTCTTGGCTTCGGGGTTGTTCAGCTGGTCGAGAGCGGAAGAGCTCAAGGACAGGTCGGCCTCCTCCTCGGTCGCTCCATCCGAGGCAGTTGGAGACGTTGTTGGAAGCGTTTCCGGTGCCATGATTGCTACGATTGATTCTGAGATATGTGTTAAAGGAGACTGAATGGCCGCGAGGTAAAGGAACAGATTGAAAGATGGATCGACTTGCTTTATGGGGCAACCACAGAAATGAAGAAAAGAGGCAGCAGCATGGAGAAGTAAAAATAGATAGGTCGACTACGTGCGCACGTTTTGCGTTCATCATCCTGCATTCGAACCACCTCTTACTCTTGGTGCATGTGCATGTAAGTTGCGCCAGCCCCAAAGACCTGGAACCAACAACACGCCAAGACGCGCAAAGATTGGTCCGCTTCGGGGTTTCTGGGGGGAGGCCCCGTGACGAGCTGAGCCTACAGGGCCACTGTTGGGGCTGGCGCTTCACCCAGCGGCTACAGAGGGGGGAAAGCAGCTGCTCGATGGACATAGCCACTGGGGAAGGCAGTTTGATGTTTCAAGTGAGTGATATCTCGGGGTTTGCCTTGCCTCCTTGCAACCTGTCTAAGCTCAGAGCGTTGGCCCATGGGCAGCCACATCCACTCTGACCTGATGTGCTTCGCCCCTCTTCAGAGTCTCTAGTCTCTGGGGAAGCTCCAGCCTGCCTGCATGGCATGCTTAGGACCAAGAAGATGGCCAATTTTTCTTTTCAAGGGTTGATATGTTGGCCCCAGCCCCCCCAGACAGCTGAATTCAATGTTTCATAAAGCGGGGTTGAGGTTGGGCTGATCGCGGGACGCGCCGATGCGCCAACCTTTATCTTCGAAAAGCGTGGACGAAGGAACTTGGTCAATCAAACCATCTCGGTCTGCTGTGGTGTTAGTTCTTTGCCTACAAGGATTGCTTCCTCTACGTTAGCTTGATCTGTCTTTTCATGAAAGATGTCAGTCAAACTTGGCTTGTCCAGCCCTCTTGTGCTCGCATGCCCACTGGGATGAAGCCGGCGTCCTTTCTCGCTATATATACATATACCAAATTTCTCACGTAGATCAAGTTGTATCCCGTTCACTATGAACTGTTCCTTCCATTCTTCACCATGGATGGCTGTTGCTTTGCTGGTCGAAGTGCGCAGCATCTCATTGGCTGTGTGACGCGGCGGTGCCGTTCAAGCACAAATACGAAATACGTCACCGTGATCGCGTCGTCAAAATCAGGGCGTACGCGGACCTTCTCTTCTCATTCCGAATCCGTCGCAGACAGGCCCGACGAGCAGTTGCCTAAGCCCGAGCAGGAGTAGCACACAAGTGGCAGTTTATAAGCCAATACCATCTCCAGGTTTTACACAAATTCTTCAATAAGCATCATGCCGGATCGAGCGATCCTGGTTTGCGGTGCGACCGGTAAACAGGGCGGCGCCGTCATCACCCAGCTACTTGCAAGCAACGCGGACTTTGTCATCCTAGCAGTCACGCGCAATGCCAGCTCCCCCTCGGCCAAGAAGCTGTCGGAGAAGTCTTCGAAGATCCGCCTTGTGCAGGGGAACCTGAGCGAGACGCGCGCACTGTTCGACAGGGCAGAGGAAGTCGCCGGCCCCACGGCCAAGCTGTGGGGAGTTTTCAGCGTGCAGGTAGTTAACAACCTGTATCCATATCCCCTATGGTGATATCCTCAGTAGCGCTTACCGATATTTACCCTAGATGCCCGTCGGCTTCGGCCAGGGTAAGCTCAACGAGGCGCAGCAAGGCAAGGCCGTCGTCGACGAGGCCATCAGGGCCGGTGCGCTCTTCTTCGTCTACAGCTCCGTCGACCGCCACGGCGCCGACTCGATCCACAACCCGACGCAGGTGCCGCACTTTGTCAGCAAGCACGAGATCGAGCAGCACCTGCTCGCCCGCACGGCCGCGCTGCCCGATGGCGCCGAGCGCATGCGCTGGTGCATTCTGCGGCCGACGGCCTTCATGGGCAATCTGACGGATGACTTCTTCGGGCGCGTCTTTGTCACCGCCTGGCGCATGGCGCTCGGGGATAAGCCGCTGCAGCTGGTCTCCGTCACGGACATCGGGTGGTTCGGCGCGCAGGCCTTCTTGCGCCCGGACGAATTTGCGGGCCGCTCGCTGTCGCTGGCTGGGGACGAGCTGACGGCTGCGCAGGCGGCGGAGAGGTTCAAAGCCAAGACGGGCAGGGAGATGAGCTACACGTACGAGATTTTCTGCAAGCTCCTGATGTGGATGGTTAAGGATGTGGGATACATGTTTCAATGGTTCCGGGAAGTTGGGTACGCGGCTGACATTGCTGCGCTGAGGGAGATGCATCCCGGTCTGCTAGACTTTGAGGGATGGCTGGAGACTGAGAGTCAGTTTACTACTAAGGTCTAAGGTAAGACACGAGTTCAAACTTAACATAGGAGCCAGAATCATGAGTCATCCTCTTCAGCAAGGTCCACGTTTCTTGAAATGACTGGCAGAGAGGGTCCGGAATCTTACAAGTAGTATTAACAAGCTGATGAACGTAGTTAGCCATTCGGGACCTTCTAGATGGCCCAGTCTTCTGGATCCAGGTAAGAGGACTAACTATGCCAAACAAGGTAGTCAATATCCTGCATTAGCGTTGTCTTGATTGTGTGGATCATCTTCTTGGCCTTCGTAAGCATAACCCTGACCTTAGTTCGGATCAGGCATGAGACGGGTTCCGCCTTTCCCAAATTTCAACCCGGTCCCCAAATAGGACGTTGTCTCTAAACCCCCCCTTGAACTACACGCGGATGGCAGATTCGAAAATGACTTATTCCGAGTCTGATGGACATGTGAGGGAACAACAGCTTAGCAGTGCCTGGTATTCGCAATGGCAGATATCCGGCCGCTCATTTTCATTGATGGGCTAAACAAAACCCAAGGAGAGAAACGCAGGTTGATCAGGCAACATGTCATGCGTGGTCGGAACAAGGGAAAATCCCGTCCACAATCTCGGACGACCATGCTCGACAGCTCCAGCCTTGACGATCAAAGTGGCAGGTCCTCGCGGGACCTGCGTCTGGTGGTCAAGTTGCCCAGCTGTTCGGTCCCGAAACAAGTTGGGTCCGATTTCTCCCTCGCCCAATTTCCTGCCCCAGTCGAGCCAGCAACGATGCGCAATCTTCTGAAGTGTAGGCCGAGGCACTCACTCCATTCATAGGACCTCCTACTGACTTCAGCCTTCATGGCTAGTTACCTTGATGGCGAAGACGATAATATATCCGCTCGAGAAATACTTTCACAAACAGGCCAAAGCCGATGCCTTATGGTTCGAGCTGATAGCTACAGATGCTGCTTTTATGCATGCAGCGGCGGTCGCGGCTGAGGCATACTCCATTCGCACAGGTGACAAAGAGACCACCGCATCTACCAGGCAATTACTCCATCACCAGTCCAAAGCGTTGGGTCTCATCCAAGAGAGACTGTCATATTCGCAACAGACCAGCATTGCAGATGCGACCATACTCGCCGTGTTGTACCTGGCCTTCCATGCTCACTTCTTTCTCGACTACCAAATAGCAAAGAACCACATGGAGGGTCTTCGAAAGATTGTGGACGTGCGTGGTGGTCTCTCCGCTTTCAATGACAATACAAAGCTCGTTGTGGAGTTGCTTAAGTGAGCTGAACTTACCTACGTGGCTCCCAGTTGACTTGCCTGACCAGACGTCTCTAGATGCGACCTGAACATAGCACTCCATAACGGGACTGAGCCCATGTTTTTCACAGATACCATGGAGTTTATGTCACCACACGACTCGATAGCTCAACATCAGAAAAGGGCAGAAGGCCCAGAAGCACATATAGGCTGGAAACCTGCAGATTGTGGTCTTGGATCGGATCTTTCCCAAGCATGGGACTTGGTGAGGTTCTTCAGCGAAAAGATCAACGCGGCTGCTAGAGGAAAACGGCAGCTTCCCAGGGAGACGCTGCTCTTCGCCATGATATCAGTCATGTACCGGCTTCTTCGGATGAAAGATTTCGAGGCCACCTCTGTCAACGAGGCAATCCGCCTTGGTCTTCTTGCCTTCTCGTCGCACATATTCCTAAGACTGCAGGGAGTCAAGGTGTCCCATTCGTATTTGCGTGATACCTATAGAGACTGCCTCCTCCACTTGGAAGCGCCAGACGCACTGCCAATACGCGTATGGCTCTGGTTGCTAATGATTGGCTCTCTTGCAATCTTTACTTCTGCAGATGACTCTTGGCTACTGCCTTGGGTCCGGACGAATGTGGAGCTGTCCGAGACAACTAACTGGGACGAGTTACGAGGACGTCTGAGCAGCATGCCTTGGATTGGTGACTTGATGGACGAACCGGGCAGAGCGATTTATTTAGCTGCCATGTCGCTAGATATGAAATCACATCCGTGGTTGAAATAAATGCTGATATCAATATTCAGGACAATTAGATCCATCAGAAACGCGTCTCTACGCATCATAAATGCTTGCGTTCCATTCATTATTTAAAGAGCTTGAGTGCCGTTGATCCCCCCATCAATCCAAACTTCTGGCCACTCTGGTCCAATGTAATTCAGCACCTCCTCCTCCATACCCAGTATCGTCTGGTTGAAGAACGCTCGAATGAATTCATTGTAGACACTGATCATCCGCAAGCCCTCGATGGACCCAAGCTTGGGCCCTTCACCCCCAAGAGTCTTCCAGAACGTGAGGTCGCTAAAGTCCAAATGCGAAGTGCCGTTCACCAGAATCCGCCTCCACCACCCGGTCTGGGCATCGGGGAATGTCTTCCAGGTCTCATCGATCCCATCAGCCCCGTGGTAGTACGCACCGAAGAATAGGAGCGGGCGCTTCGCGTCGAGCGATCCGCTGGGCGGGTCGTCTGCGAAAAGCGAGCCGTCCATATTGATCACCGCAGCCAGTTTCTCCGGCGCTAGGCGCAGCGCGGCACCCATGGGACTCGCCCCGCCGATTGAGTGCCCAAAGGCTCCCAGGCCGGTCGTGGCAAAGGGCGCGCCGCCAAGTTCACCTGCCACGAGTGCCGGCCAGACCTCGACCAGGCGCAGGATCTCGCGGATGCGGATCTGATACACTGCGGTGGCGAGAGCGAGGTCCCACTCGGCCGTCGCGTCCTCGCCGTAGACGGCGGTGCCGTTGGGCCAGCGCAGGAAGGGCTGCTCGTACGGGTGGTCGAGACCGACGGTCACGAAGCCATTGGACACCATTTCTGAGATCATGATCGTGTAGGCCTCGACTGGTGGGCCGCCGCCGCCGGGGCCAAACACGAGGGTCGGGAAGGTTGAGCTTGGGAACGGCGGCGGTGCGTACGGGGCGTGTAACTGGAGGTTGGAGGTGAGCGATGTCAGAGTGCCGGCGGTGTAGTTGAGCGAGGCCTCCCAGAGCCGCGCCATACCGGGGTCCAGATACGGCTTCGGTGCGCCGCATGGCTTCTTGAGAGTCGGGTAGTAGATCGTGGCGAGTATGCCTGTCGAGATGTTGCCGGGAGCGAACGGATCGTCGGTCGTGAGTAGGTCGATGACGTGCTTTCTCACGCCGATACCGTACGGGCCGGATGGCTGGGGAATCTCGACAGCGAGAGCTGCTTGACCAAGGGCGAAGGCCACTACGGCCGCGCGCCAAGGTGACTTGGATAGCATTTTACAAGAGCTTTCTCACGATTCGAGGACGATGATTGATTCGAAGCCAGGAATGCTGAACTGTAGTTCTTTGCGAAGCGGATATTTCTAAGGTGATGTTGATCGGCGCACGCGGATAATTGCCACCAGTAAGCCCATGCCTGTAAGCTGCAGCTGTCCATCTTGGACACATGCGGAAGGAGGTTAGGCCATTGCAGCGCACAATACTGCTGCCTTCAGGTGGAGGTTGAGAGACCTGCTTCTCGCCGTATCATAACTTGCTCATCTTGTAATGAAAAGGACAGCCGTTCTCATGCAAGATCTCCGTGGATATGATGGGATTGGCCCAGCTTGCCCGACCGTCACAACTGAGAATGAACCAGCCATGCAGATTCGCTAGAGAATAGAGCATCCTGGCTACCGAAACCTCTTTCACTATGCCAGTGCCGACCGTCATGCACTGCACCTGGTCTCTCAATTCCGCCATCTTTCATCCCTCTCACCACGAAGTCATCCCGAAGTACCCGTACGCACTAAGCACGACGGCCGAGAGGAATCGGAACATGGCTTTGCCGCGCAAGCCCTCGTTCCAGCAGACCCAGCCGTCCGCAACCCCGGCAACCCAGGTGAAGCTGAAGATGGTGTCGATGGCGCGCAGGTCACCTCGCAGGTAGAACGTGTAGAGTAAGAGGCCGAGCCAAGTCATACGCGACGCGTAGATCTTGAAGACTGACCCGACGTCGCGCTGCGCCTGGAAGCGAGTCGGGAGGCCGAAGTCGGCCATGGCGCTTGCAGGGCTATAGAACGGGAGCATGCCGCCAAAGGTGAACGTGGTTGCGATGGTGAGAGGCAGGATATGCCATCGCATGAATGGTGGGAGCTGAGTGGTCATCTTGGGCACGCGATGCTGATACGCCGAATGATGCAATGGGCGGCTATCAGTTCAAGGTTGGTATTCGACTGATGTCCGGGTAGCAGTCGTATGTAGTAGATGACACGTCTGGGTTCGATTCTTTCAGTGTTTTTGACACCAGAGAAGAGGGATGCGTGATGCCTTGAGTACACGTTGAGCGAGTATTTACTCCGTGGGCGGTCGGAGATATGAATGAGCCAGGATGAGTTCTGTCAGCACTAGCTGAAAACGTCCACCGTCAGGGTGTGCAAGTGCCAAGCTGACGGATAGATCCAGTATTGGGCAAAGACTCCAACGGCCATGATCGATTTGCGCATCAGGGGTTATGAATCGAAGAAAATCGAGCCTTGCCAATAACACAGCTGTTCTGAAGAAAGATTCTAGTCAACGAGACAGGGACTTGGAGAGGAATCTGGCTTGTGGAGCCCACCATGGTACTTGTAGAGCCAATGGGTCAAGGTGGTACCTACATGTATGCAGCACCTTGTAGTTTTCTCCTCTCTTGCTCTCCTTGACCTTTGAACAGCCTTCATTGAGTTATTCCGTTTCTTGCAGAGGTCATCAATGCTGCGTATACTAGAAACACCATGGATAACCTTTGACTCATGATTCATGGCCATTTATTTGGGTAACTTAACACATGCACACACCGTCACAAACGAGCTTGGCGGTACTTAGTCTCAATGTTTGCCGTGTCTTCATAGCCCGAGTTAGACTGCCCTTTCTGGCTTTTTGCACAAGCAACTTTGAAGCAACGACGAATGCAAAGCTGAATAATAAGTTCTCATCCCCACAACTGACTGTCCTGGATCCTAGGGACCCTTCGTAGCCAGCTTCCCTTGCGGGCCGATCAAATTAGATCTCGTTTATCGTCAATTGGGAACAGCGCGGAGCTAGTGGGAGCTGCTCGGGCGAAGGAGCTGAATGAGGCAGTTGATCACCGTCTCCACTCCAGCAGGCAACGCGACGCGGGCACACTGCGGGCGAGATCACAACAAAGTGACAGGGATCACCGGCCCTCCCCATGGCCTCCCCCGCACTGTCATACCCCATCTTCGGGTGGTTTTGGTTGCATCGTGGGTGCAGTCTCCCACCGCCAGTCAGTCATCGGATCTAAGCGCCGACTCGCTTGGACATGTGCACAATGCAATGGACGCATAACAGGGAAGATGACACGGAGAACACGTACATACAGCATGGAAATTCTCCCCTAACCCACAATCATCCCGCACTCCGTGGCACAATGCCCGACTGTGGTAACTTCCGGCACCTCAGCTGTCAACCCCCCGAAGCGTGGCCCCCCAATCGCAACCGTTTAGTCCGCATCCCTTAGTGACGATCAGCCTTCCAAGACCTCGCGGCGCGTGCCTAAGCTCTGTCTAGTCTCCTGGACGCGCAGCCGATGCCGAGGTCTGCCACCCTCCCGCGCACCTGGACGCCGATCCAAATTCCCATGTGCCCTCTCAAAACCGCCTTGTTCCTGTCTATCACATGCACCAACCTGGCCCTACAAGGCCGTCATCCTCCGGCACACCTGGGTTCCCCGCGAGGATGGCTGACAAAACCCGATCTCTGAGAGCCTACCCCACGGGGAACGATGCAATTCCACGACGAAAATGTCACCATCCTCCGATAATTCGTGCCCAATATCCCTTCAACCTCGACACGATCTGATACCCCAATGCGGATAGCTCCATGATATCCACCGGGGCCTTTCGCAACCTAAGCTTGGAAAGTCCCCGACCCGCAGAGCGGTGTGGCCGTTGTTTCCGCTTGGCGGCGGGACCCCTCGACATCGTGAAGAAAAAGAAATTGTAATAGGTTGTGGAGACTATGGGTTTGCGTTATTTCGTGTTCGGGAATGTGGGTGACAGATGTGATGATCGTCCCAATATTGTATAAGACCCCGGGTTCGAACCTGTTCGTGAGATCCTCGTTGTACCGGGTTTGACCAGGCCCTCTGTCCCGTTTGCATCTCAGAGCGTGCGGAGTAGATCTGTCCTCCAGTGATTACCGTACTGCTTCTCGGGTTCTTGCATCATGAGATCCTTTGCACTTCCTCTTCTGGCCCTGGTTGCCTCCGCGACGGCACTTCCCGCCCCTGTGCCGGCTCCGGTCCACCACCCCATCCAACCGCCTCCTCAGCGTCTAGAGGAGCGGGGTCCCGCGGCCACTGTCTCTGTCTCCAGCAGTGCGTCCATCATTGGTGGCACTCTGGGCAAGATTGAGTCCTACAAGGGCATTCCCTTTGCACAAGCCGGCCGCCTGGAGAAGCCTCAGCGAGTGAACATCTCCTCGCTAGGTGCCAACTTTGATGCCACGGGTCTCGGCCCGTCCTGCCCGCAGATGTTCTTCTCTACCGGCAGCGGAGGCTTCTTGACGCAGGTCCTGGGCGATGTTCTCAACTTGCCCCTATTCCAGACAGTAACGGGAGCCACGGAGAACTGTTTGACAATCAACGTTCAGAGGCCGGCCGGTACCAAGGCTGGAGACAAGCTCCCGGTTCTGTTCTGGATCTTTGGCGGCGGCTTTGAGGTGAGTTCATATTATGTTGCATTCATTATGTGGTATTGTGCTAACAGGTTCTCTCCTCTCAGCTCGGCTCAACAGCCATGTACGACGGCTCAGGCCTCATTGCCAACGGCATGTCCTCCAATCAGCCGTTCGTCTTTGTCGCCGTGAACTATCGCACGGGTGGCTTCGGCTTCTTGCCCGGCAAAGAGGTCCTGTCCGCCGGCGTCGCCAACCTGGGCCTGCTGGACCAGCGCGCCGGTCTCGAGTGGGTCTCGGACAACATCGAGCTTTTTGGCGGCGACCCGGACCGCGTCACCATCTGGGGCGAGAGCGCCGGCGCCATCTCGGTGCTCGACCAGATGGCTCTCTACGGCGGAGACATCACGCACAACGGCCGCAAGCTCTTCCGCGGCGCCATCATGAACTCGGGCAGCATCGTGCCCGCTGACCCCGTCGACTGCCCCAAGTCCCAGGTCGTCTACAACACCGTCGTCAGCGAGGCGGGATGCGCTGGACAGACGGACACGCTGGCCTGCCTGAAGGCGCTGCCATACCAGAAGTTCCTCAACGCGGCGAACTCGGTCCCCGGAATCCTGTCGTACAACTCGGTCGCGCTGTCGTACCTTCCGCGCCCAGACGGCAACGTCCTCCCGGACACGCCCGACGAGCTCATCAAGAACAAGCGCTACGCCGCCGTGCCCATGATCATCGGCGACCAGGAGGACGAGGGCACGCTCTTCGCGCTCTTCCAGCCCAACATCACGAGCACCTCGCGCCTCGTGCGCTACTTCAAGGACATCTTCTTCCACGGCGCCACGGAGCAGCAGCTCACCGACCTCGTCAACACGTACTCGCCCTGGCCCATGGCCGGCTCGCCCTTCCGCACGGGCATCTTCAACGAGATCTACCCGGGCTACAAGCGCCTGGCCGCCATGCTCGGCGACCTGACCTTCACGCTCACGCGGCGGGCCTTCCTCGCCGTCGCGGCGCAGGTCAACCCGGACGTGCCGAGCTGGTCCTACCTGAGCTCCTACGACTACGGCACACCCATCCTCGGCACCCTGCACGGCAGCGACATCCTGCAGGTGTTCTACGGCATCCTGCCCAACTACGCGAGCAGGACCATCCAGGGGTACTACATCAACTTCCTGTACAACCTCGACCCCAACGTGGGTACCAGCTTCATGCAGTGGCCCAAGTGGAAGGAGGGGCAGCAGCTGATGAACTTCTTCGCCAACAAGGGGGCACTGATCAATGACGATTTCAGGCAGGACAGTTATGAGTATATTGCAAATAACGTGGCGGCGTTCCACATCTGATGATGGGTTGTGAGCAGGTTGAGGGGTTTTGATTGACCAGGCGTTTACGGGATGGGACATGGATAATGAAACGGGTCTGGGTTTAGCATGTGATATTGTGGTAACACATGCAAGGAATGAAAGCAATGAATGATTCATGTCATGTCTGCCTTGACAGTAATGTTGGAATAGTTCTTCCACACGATATATTACCGGAAGGTCATTATGTGAGACTTGGTCCAGCCTCCCGACGGAGATATCAATCACATTGTAAAACAGTATTCGCACACCATCCTAGCCCATAAAACCCCCATCCATAATCTGTAATCAACAGTCGTCCGGCTCCTCAGCGTCACTGTCACCTCGGCAGGAATCGTCGCCGACATGTGACTTGGGTCCGTCCCTCTTGTCCGAGAGTTGCTTGATCTTCTTGCTGTCAGGTCTCAAAATCGAGTACACGTCGCCCCGAACCGGCACTACGCCCGCATCCATCCTCCAGTCCGATTTCTCCTTGGCCCTGTCAAGCGTGGTCGATCCATTTGCCCGGCTTACACCCCAATCTGGCGACACCTTCATAGACTTGATGTACAGCAGCTGCTCTCCAGCGATACGCCAGACAAACGTGTACTTCCGACGATGGTACAGCTTGAAAGTCATGCTGGCCTTCAGTAGTTCCCACCCGCGAAGTTCCGGTCGTAGATACTCCTGTTGGAGGATAGGACCGATACCCCGCACAGCTTGCCGAGCATACTCCTCATCTCGGGGCTTGATCACGAGCCATTTCTCGTACACTCTTTGAACCTTGACGCGGTATTGGCTCTCCTGATCGCCCTTCGTAGCCTCTTCTGCCATGATCTTTGACCACAGGGCCGCACATTCATGGATATCTTCCTGGAGGCCACTCATGAGGCGTGATAGAGCCTCGAGCTCTGCCTTCGTCGGCTCGATGTCCCACGTTTTCGTCTGCCCATCAAGCTCATCGCAGAGAATGGTCAGGTCGCGGTCATAATCCGGCACCATGGCTGATGCGCTCGCCCCTTCGTTCAGTGCCTGCGTGATCTGCCTGAAGCCCTGCCTCTCTGCCCGGATGGCCGGGATGATGACGTCGAAGATCAGGAAGTCGATGAGGTGCTCCGAGTTATGCTCCAGAGGAATGTGTTCCAGGCTGCTCTCGACTCCGCGTTCCCAGTGCTGCTTGTATGCCGGCATGGCCAGATTGCGTTGGTCGTCGCAGTGGTCCTTGACGAAACTCCACCAGTCCTCGTTGGTGAATGTGATACCGCGCTTCGTTTGGTCGGCTATCTCTCGTAGTAGCCACGATAGGGCTATGGCGGAATCATTGCTGATGCTGTTTCGGTCATAGCACAGCTTCTCCTTGTACGTCGTGGCCATTCCTAGCAGGTTGGGCTGCATGCTGAAGTGGAAAGCTTTGCGGATCATCTCATCGACGTATTTGTCCTCACTGGATTCCTCGAATATCTCGGCCAACGTCGTCTTGTCTTCCGTCATGTAAGGCTTCAGGTTTGGCATGGGTGGCAAGTCCTCGACATTATCAAAATTGTCGACAATGTCGGGATCGAAGCATATCCATGCCTTGTCGCCATCGTAGTCGCCTCCAGAGAGCTTGTCGGCGAGGGGCTGTAGTCCCTTGGTGGAGAAGTAGATGACATCTTGGTTGACATCCAGCTCTTCTTTGAAGACAGCCCTGACTTTCTGGATGTCCGACGCAAAATGCGCGGGGCAGCGACCAACCAGGATGGCCCGGTTTGACAGGAACCGGGGTCCCGTCATGTCGTCGGGGCTCTCTTTGAACCGGTTTGAGAAACTCAAATGAACCTCGTTCGGCTCGAGGAGCTCTGAGAAGTCGACAACCATGAAAGCCCAGGTCGACTTCTTGAGCTTGATGTTGATCTTGGTCAACAGCTTCTGGCAGTTGTGTTCCTGGATTTCTGAAACAATGTCCCACGCAAACTTCATTCTACGTGGGTCGAAGCCTGCGTCGATGAATCGCTCCAAGGTCCCTGTCTTGCTGTCGGGGAGTCCGCCAAGAAACTCGTGGCCTTTGTCCATATCGGCTGCACGGACGAAACTGGATGAATTGTTGCGTATCCATTGACGAAACGCCTCAGGGCTCTCAAGGCTCCGCGTCAGGTTCAGATCCTCCGCGAGCTGAGTCTGAACGCGGTCCCGGAGAGTTTCAAACAGCTTGGCCTTATCGGGGGCCCTGTCCTGGAGGATCATAAGAAACTGAGTGTTGAGAAGAGCCGGCTTCAACTCTGACGACCAGCTTTTGACTTCTAGTGTCCGGTGCTGCTTTTCCTCCCACTTGCACACCCACTTTCGCTGTGAGCCAAATGTCTCGATCCACTCGCCTCCAGTCTTGTCAGTGTGGTCGACAATCCACATCCCCTTCGCGCTGCCAAATCGGCCCTGGAATGCTGCTGGAGGCGGATGGATGCCCAGATCTGAGGTGACCCTGCTCATCAGAGCAGGAGAAATACGTGCTATTCCATCGTTCATCGCAACCTTGTGGTCTTTCGGGAAGTCGCCTGGGTGGTGGATGATTTGATGGTCGTCAAATGCAATCTGCAGTAGAGGTGTCGTTGTTGAGAGGCCTATTTACTAGGTTAGTCTCATACGCATTGCCCACAAGAAACATTTGTCAACTGACCAAGTGCGATGCGAGAGAAAAGCTTGAGTGCGAGTTGGTCCCGATTCATGTCCAATTGCAAAAGCCAGTCCAGCATCTGTTTTCGAGTATACCTTTGAAAAGATTGAGATCCCTCGTCTTCTTCTGCAAAGAGATACACACGGTCCAACGGTACTGGTCTTGACTCTCTCATTTCCAAGGCGGAAGTCTTCTCGGGTTGCTTTAGACCGTAGTTTCGGGTGTAGAATGCGGTCCACTTTCGGAAAGCGAACTTGTGCTTGCTTTCACTGAGCCAGGTTATGACCCTGTCCACTTGTTGAGCCCGCTGGCTATTAAATAACTGACGGCTCTGATCGTGGATGGACGGCATCGTAAGCTCGATGAACCTGTCTGAGCCAAACCGTCGGTAAATACGATTTCCCTTCTCCTTTTGTAGAGGGCGAAGGTGCAGACGCATGAACGGCATGACTCTTGCTCTGCTCAGCCTGGTGGCTGTTGCTGCAAAGACAACGACTCTGTCTCCGAATGTCGAGCCATCTTTCATGATGTTCTGCCATAGCTCCGGGTCCGAAACCGATGGCAGGTTCTTGCCCGCAAAGGAGGGGTGAGCTGCCAAAGCGGCCCAGAGCGTCCCTTGATCAGCAGCCCATTCTGCGTCGTACACCAGATCCAACTCGCCTGGCTCGACAGAGCAATGAAGGGCCGCACGCAGAATCTCCCATCTTGCGGGAAAGGGAGCAGAACGTAGTGACGTTGGAAGCTTTGCTGTAGGCTGATTAGATTCCTCAATGCATTGCAACAGTCAACAGTTGACGTGTGGGGACAGATCACCTACGCCAGGACAGGTTGCAACGCTCTTCGAGTGTAGGCAGAGACGCCAAAAATTCCACCTCGCCTAGTATGCTGCGCGTCGCTGGTTTGATACCTTCGTCTTTGCCTCCAACTTTGTCAACATCCTCGGCGCTGTAGTAAGCGGTTCTGTCACTGGTGGGCGAATCTGGAGTGTTCGGGCTGTATTCGAAGCTTGTCAAAGGTGACTGGATAGACAATTGTGCCAGAGATGATTGCAGTGGCGACAATGATGGAGACTCCTGGGATTGTGACTCTTGAGACTGTGACTCTCGAGACTGGGACTCTTGAGATTGGAACTCTTGGGATTGAGATTCTTGAGAGAGCGAGAATGCCTCGCTCAGAGCATCCACCAGTGATGGGGTCGGAGAGAACTCATCATCGGAATCGAAGTTCTCCAGGGTGGTAACCTCGTTTCCAGATTGCAAATCATCAGCGTGAGAGGCACCGCTCTCCTGCTGGGGTGGCGCCTTGTCCACAAGTAATCCCGCACCCCGCAGTGGAGCTGCACCGCCGGGAGCTCCCGCGACCCTGGATCTCATGGGGACATTGTCAATTGCGCGATGCGAGTGGTTAGCTTGTCGGAGAGGCGATGTACTTGGAGAGGAAGGAATCCAGGCATTGACGTGGTCCCCCTCACTCTGGTGGCATGAGGAATCGAGCGGCATGCTTCCGGCTGAAGCAAGGCCCAGCCACGAGCAACTGAGTTGAAGGGACGGCAATTGAGGTGTCTGCAGATGAAAAAGACAATGAAAATATGACCAGAAAACCAATTGCAGAATCAAAAAGCAACAAGACTAAGCGCCACGCTCGGAGTTGCTGCAAGAAGGGACAATTGGCCAATCTGGAAGAATGAAGTGTCTTTGTTCAGCTGAGCAATTTTGAGTTGTGTCTCAAGAATCCCAAACGGTTGAAGCCACAAGGGGCTTTGTCTCACGTGATGACCTTATTTGCATCACGGCTGCTTGCAGGAAATATTCCGACACTCTTCAAAGATAGCCTCCTGATAGGAGCATTCGTATAATTGAGACAGGCTTACCCACCAGCAGCGGTTGCTTGGGATGATAGCAACCCTAACCAGAAATTAATCTACGTCACTAGTCACTTCCCATGCATCAAGACCACCCTCAGTGATCTATCAAAGTTAGCAGCAGGCAGCGTGTTGCTTGTTCCGTGGACCTCGTCCTGAGTCAATGGTTCACCAGTAATGATGGCAGCGTACGAGGGCTGATGATGTTTGGGAGAGTGGGGGTGGAGGGGCTCATGCCGCTCACCTTTCTCTCTTCACTTCCATATCCATGCACACCGTACCTGCCGCTCGGCAGTCCCGGAATATATCCCTAACCATGCCTGCAACCAACCTCCAAGACGTGTCAATGGCAGTTGTCGACATCTTTGCCGGTGATGTCGACGGCGCCGAAGTCGTTGTCGAGGTGTACGGGAAGCGCGTTGCGGTGTCGGTGTTCTCTGGCGCCTCGCCAGGGCAGCACACCGTAGAGGATCACCTTATCAAACTTCTCAACCTTGCTGCTACTGTCGATGATGACACGGAATATGACGCCGCCATTGGCAATATCCTAGATATTCTAGAAGCCGCTGGGGGGTCCGTCTTTAGACAGGAGCCCCCTACTTCGGCCGAAAGACTGGCCAGCCCGGATAACCTACATTCGGTCCTGTATCCCGAAACACCAAACTTCCAGCTCAAGACTGTGAACGGTATTCCCAATATTCTCCCAATCAGTCCTATCGACGCGTATGCCGACCTTGGTCACCCTGATTGCGATGTCGACGTCGATTTTGACATCAATGACACGCTTCCTCAATATTCCTCCAAAAATGTTCTTGTCCAGGATGTCCTTGTTCGTGGCGGAAGTGTCGTCAGTCAGGTCTTGGTGGATGAGCAGCCTGTCATGCTTTGCAAGGCTGGCGAGACTGGATTGTTTGATCATAGGGTGCGGCGGGAACTGGAGGCGCTGAGGAAAGTTGATGGCGCTCGCGCAAGCTTTGCCTCGGAAATCCGCGTCCCCAAACTGCTTGGATACGTCAAGCACGCCGAGCTGGGAACTGTTATCGGACTGTTGCGGGAATGGATCCCCTCTGGCTTGGAACCACCGCTTGACCAACTTGACAGTACGGAGAAGAGTCAGACAATCGATTGCCTTCATGAGATCGGGGTGGTCTGGGGAGATGGGAAGATAAACAATGTTGTCATCGACAGGGACGATAATGCGTGGTTGATTGATTTTGGGGGTGGTTGGACCAAAGACTGGGTCGACAGAGATCTGGCCGGCACGGTAGTGGGGGACAAGCAGGCCATTCAAAGCATTGCCAGGTATCTAAGAGTGGACGGCGATACTTAGTGCTGCAACTTCTCTACTACCAGGAGATACAGAAGCATTTCGGGCCTGACTGGGTGCAGCCCTTCGTCTTTCCTGGGCTAGATAATTGCTTATGTTGGAAATACACAAAAGGTTCCAGGGAATGCAAAAGACTTTATCCTGTTCTGGCAACCAAATCCCGTCCCAACTGACTCCCGGGCCAAGCCCTATCAACTGCAGGTCTGCCCATGGCACTCAAAGCGGCCCCCAGTGCAGCAAGCTGCGAACTTGGTCTGTACGTTCTCCTCCGGGATGGCACGACAGTAGTCCTAACACGAATTGGTCAGATAGCACACTTCTTAGAGAAATGGGAAGGGATGGGCATGGCGAGAACATACAGGTGGGTCTAGATGGCCGCCGGTGCCAGGACAGCAGCGTGTGGTCTCATCCCACCACCTACTATTGCCTGCATCTAGACAGGCACAGTCGTCCGTGCATGCGCTGGCAGTCAGGGAGTTGGCGCTGGCCGCAGTAGCCCCAGGAGCGGCTAACACGGCGGACGAGAGAGCAATGATAGCGACGGCGATGAAGTGCATTGTCAGATAATTTGGTATGACGATGCTCAATTAGGGTGCATGTGTTCCGGCTATTGGGCTTTGGAGTGGAAGAAGAGACCCGGTGAAGTTTCTATCGCTGTCGATGAAGACGGGGATATCACCATTTTTATACCCAAGATTGCCATCTGCAATGATTATTTGAAGGGAAGTTCTTCTTCAAGCCAGGAATCAAGGACGAGGACATAACAAGACCTCTGGATCCATCTCGGTGCTATTATTTCCATTTTTTGTCTAGGTGTCCAGGTCGACAGGAAGCTCAATTGTCCAGACCGAAGGTGAGGTTAAGGTGTCAATCCCTTGGCGTCTCAAATAGTCAAGGAATCTCCGAGCTGCCATGGTCCTGGCTCATATGTCCATATCACCAGACTCGAGATCATTAGCAGCGTCACAATTTGGTTTCAGTTAATCTGACATAAGCTGACGGATCAGATACAAAAGTTTGGTTATGATCGAGCCCAGTTTACGGGACTGAAGCGCACTGGCAACGCATCGGGGTAGCAGGGACGTATGAATTTTCCATCCATAACCATGACAATAGTAAGGAATGATCGAGCTAGCTTCTTTCTCACTCTTGTAAACCCCGGCGATAAAGCCATTCAGACAGACAGTTGCAACCTGGGAAATGGAGTCCGAGCCTTGAACTACTCGAAGCTACTGGCTCGTATGACTTCGTAAGTGTGTTTCACATAATGGAAAGATCATCGTGCACTGCCACGACTAGGGATTGTCCGATCAAACGAGTGTGCTTTGTTACTTGCTATCGGCTTTTCTTCCGTTTTCTGTAGTTGCCCCTGACACTTCAACATGAATGGATAGCCAAAGTTAAGATGGAAGAAACATAAATCCGGTTTCTTTCTTCCAGTCCATGTCAGATGCCCGCCGCTCTAGGGCTTGGCACACTTGCCATTCTTACAAACCAGGTCATCCGAGCAGTCGTTCTCATCATTGCAGGATGCTCCTAGAAATAAAAGTTAGAGACCACTAAGCAAACGGAGCGAGCTAATCGAGAACTTACCCTCGCAGTGACCAGGCCAAGAGCAGTCGTTCCCGCCACCGCCGCCGCCACCGCCTCCGATGCGCTGAATCAGCTTGTTTCCACGGTCCTGGATGCTGTTCTCGAAGGCGGCATAGCTGCTGGCGCCCCAGTTGGCACCGCCGGCCCCAGGAACAGCATCATCTCCAGGGAACGCAATGTACAGAACATCGTTCTCGTCGTGGCCGTTGTTGCCAGTCATGCCGTTGCCGAAGCAGGCGGTGGCAAGGGAGATGGAAGCCTCGCCGACAACCGGGTGCGGGCCGTCATTTCCGTTCTCATCGCCCCAAACACCATAGATCTAAGGGTATAACAAGCCATCATTAGCATTCTACTCAGGATTGATGCTGACCAGTGGGTAATTACCAGCCTATCGCCGCATACGACAGCCATGACGCTGAGAGGCTTAATTCCGTGCGCCTGGGGGTCGAACTGATTGCCCTGGCCGACATTGCCGAACACCACGTAAGGGTGGACGAAGGGGTTGAGGTCATTGATGCCCTTGTTGTAGCCCTTGACAATGTACTGGAAGGATGTGATGTCCTGGGAAGTACCGTCGCCGTTGCAGCGGCCGTCGTTTCCAGGTCCGCTGCGATCGCCATCGCAGTCGATGTCCATGTTGACGAACTGACTGCCTGGGCCCTTCAGGTAGATGACGTTGTAGTCATCTTTGTGGTCGCCACAGTAGTAGTAGTCTGCAATAGCGTGTTAGGTCACGCCCAGGGGCTCTACAGGAGAAGCTTGTTCTTACTTCCGGATCCACCATCGGTGCTGTAGAAGCCAGGGCCGATCTTTTTGGAGCAAGCTCCCGCGTTCTTGACAGAGTTGTAGAAGTTGCGGACATTGGTTGGCACGTCTCGAGCCGAGACAGCGGCTGCGAGCAGCGCAGCAGAAAAGAGGATGGAGCGCATGATGGGTAGAAACGTCGGTCAATTGAGTTGAGATTGAATTACAGAGCGTCTAGACCCTTGGGCCACTTGGACATGTACAGCTTGCCCTGACTTTAAATACTTTGTTCACGGTACGCTGCCGTGCCGCAAATACACCTACCTAGCCTGGTCAAGATCAGATCTGCACTCCCCTCATCGTAGCTGTCACCCCGCCAGCGAGTGAGACCCCGGACAGGGCACGTTACACCACTTACTAAGGTGAATGTGGCACCTGTTACTAAGGGCGGTTCGGATGGCGTCCAATTAAGCTTGTCTCGATGCGAAACTTGTTTATGTAATTGAAGCTATTTTTGGCCTCAGCGGCAAGACTGTCATCTGGAGGAAAGTGCCCGTATCGAGTGACGAGACGCCAAGGGCGTACAACTGCCAAGGAATGGTGGCCAAGCTGCGATTGGATGGGATCAGGCCACCAGTCAGAGGTGACATTGTCGCCCCCGTGCGGCGGGCAGCTGGGCGGCGGCGGGGTTGCGGCGTGAGACACATGCAAGAAGAAAGCTGAATAACGTAAAGTGGTGCGCTTTGCAAATGAACGAGATTCACGACCAAAGGGCTGAAAAGGTGTCGTTCTTATTGCTATTACGTTGGTTCCCAACAGAGCTGAAGACAAAATGCAACAAGGTGCTGACGTGAGGCTTGCAGGCGAGCTATTGGCCCGTCGAACGACTCTGACATGCTCCTCTCACCTGATCTACCAAAAAAGGCACGATATGCCCAGATCTAGGCCTTGATATTCATTGTGGGGCATGACTTTGAGTCGTAACCGATCAGATTAGGTGGATTGTGGTATCACTTCGGGATGGATGCCTAGGTCAACCCGCCATCAACGGCGGGTATGGGGGCCAGTCAGCCCCCTATGGGTCGCATGTACCGGAAGCACATGGATGGGGCGACTTGGCATCTTACGCACAGAGTCTTGAAGTAGAGTAGAGCGCAACTGCGCCATCTCCCTTACTTTCATGACGTCGGTCAACGTCCTCGAGATGGCCCAGATGCCACACTTTCCCCAAATGAGCTCGCCCATGATAGCCTACAGGATGATGCAAGAAAACCAGGGAGATTGAAATTGCCTTCTTTAGTCACTCACATGTAGATCCCATTTCCTCATCACCTCCTGTAAGAACTCTAGTATCTCGAGTCCAGGCACCGGCCAAGTCTTCGCCATGCCACACAAGCTCATCCTACACGCGCGGTATTGTGAGGCGGCCTTCGCTCTTGCGCGGGCATCAGGACCCAGCATATTGATCCCTTGAACCGTCGCGGCGCGCATGACGCAGTACACAATGTACGGCGGGACCTTGATAGCCCCCGTGTGTTCGTTGACCGGGAGCTGGCTCGCCAGTTTGGTGATCGCGTCTGCTGCGGCGGAGCAAGCCGTGAATGACGAGGCAGGATCGTGACCGGGGAGAAGCGGCGCGGACCGAGGCGAGATGAAAGGTCGGTGTAGGTTTAGAATTGCGCAGTGGTAGTATATCCAGAAGACGAGCTGGGCTGTATGAGGCGTCGATGTGCGTGTGATGAGAAGTCGCGGGTCGATCTGCGAGCGAAAGAGAGTCAATGCGCTCGACGCGTGGCAGAAGGCCGACAGTCGCTCTGCTGGTGGCCGCGTCTGGAAGTCGAATGCGTATCTACTCCCAATATCAGTCTTACCCCATCGTCCCATCCAGAATGAAGCTTACATGGCGTCCAGATGTTGTTGCTGTAGTTCCAGCAGGCGACAGTGGGCTTCGAAGGTAAGGTCTGTGACATCGGTCTCATCTACCGTAACTGTACTAATATAGCGGGGGATCTTGGTGATGTCCCACGGAATGCTCGACTTGAATCCAAGTGTTGGTGTGGCGACCCTGTATGCCTGGGAGATTAACAAAGAATCCCAATGTGGTAATCGAGGGTCAGGGTGTGTTACCTGTCTGTAACGAACAGCGCCCAGAGTGTTGTGATGGTTGGCGACATATCTTGAATATTCACCTCTGCGGCCATCGTGAACCTCTGGTCCAGAACACCCAGATGCGTCGACAGCCCAATGCTCATGTCTGGAGGTGCGTTAGCCAACAGCAAGAGACCTTGCGTGTATAACAGGCATACAATGGTACATGTATCCGTGTGCCGTGGCAAGTATCGTGTGCTTATACCAAGCCAGGATCAGCAACGTCTGTGTGACAGGTAAGCACAAATGCTCCCGGCAGCATTCCATGGCCATCTTTTCGGCATGGTCGAGCAGGCATTCTGTTATTGTAGGGCCCGTTCGACTCGAGATGTGTGACGCCACGGCGAATATGGCAGAGTACATAAACTGCAAAACTGTGTCGTTTTCGGGGAAGACATCGGTGAACATGAGCCATTGCGGGTTGACGAAGCGGTAGTAACTATTGATGTGATTCAAGAAGACATCCTTGAGATGGCTTTTCAGATCTGCGTCTAATGCAGTGGCAATTGTTAAAGGCTCAGGACGCCCTGTGGCCGTTTCGCTTAGAGAAGAGGCGGGCACTTCTTCAAACGTCGGTAGTGTTTTTCGAAAGGGGATAGAGAACCGTCCCACCGATCCAGTGAATTGGAAGCCGGGAGTACTCTTATTGGACGAGTATTTGACGTTCCAATCTAGGGAAGCGAACTCGCACAAGGCAGACGAAAACCGGCTAGTGTCAAACTCGGTATCCAGCGGCAGCATGAGAGCAGGGCTGGAACTCAGTGGCGCAGGTAGATCCAGGAAGGGCATCAGGTGCGGGTCGACAGACACACTCGGCTGGTCACTGGAGTTCAAGGAGAGCGAGGTCAACAGTGCGATCTGGTCCTCTAGAGAGCGGACATATTCCTCGTCCCAATACTTCTTTCTGTCGTGGAATAGTAAGTCAGTTTGCCACTGCTTTGGTGTGTTCCGGTTCGCCTTACTTCCTAGTTGTCTTCTCTGCCAGGTAGACACAAGTGGTGGTGCTAGCTGTGCATGTTTGGCACCGAGGTTTCCTCCCATCGCACTATGATAAGAGTAAGCGCATTGCTTTGAGAAACTATGCTTCTCCCTCCAGGAATGCACTCAGTAAGCCCTACCTTTCTCTTGCGCTTCCTACATGATTCACAGGCTAGCTGTGTTCTCCTTGCGACGCCGCTCGGAGCGGAACGTCTCACTAATGACATTATGCCCGCTTTGGCGTTGACCTAGGAAAGCTTGACGATAACCAGCGACGAGCCAAGTCGTTCGATTTTGGGTCGCGTGATGGTTGCGTGGTTGGAGGATGACGCCGTTTCAGGAGAAACGCAGGCATCGTCGTAGAAGGAATCGCAACGTCCGCTGGCGGATGTTTCTCATCCGCCGCTGATGGATCCCATTTTGAGGGGGCATGACAACACAACCCCAGACTGTGGCCAATGACGTCTCTGTGCAGGTGCTGACATCCTGGATGCATCCGGGGGCCACAAAATTTGACCCAACGGCTGATGAGAACAAGGCAAGCAATCCCCACCTGGTTGACGGCTTTTGGATTAGTGGATGAGGGAATGCCACTTGAAGGGTGGCGAGGGTGGGTGCTAACTGCTTGACATATTTGTATGCGTATTATGATTCGAGAAGGATTGAACAGGTTCAGTAAGCCTAATTCGGGGATAACATTCGGGAGGCGGCTTTGATGTCGTTATAAAATAGCCATATCATGGCGTCAAGGACTCACTTTCCTTGAACGATTTAGCCAGTTGCGAACACTATCACAATCAAAAGTCGAAGGGTACTAAAATGTCCAAAATTTCAACAGCTGTGTTTATCTGTGGTGCAGGACCAGTCGGCCTCCTGACTGGTCTTGGACTAGCTCTCCAAGGCATTGATACCTACATTGTTGGTAAGGACTGATTGCATGATGCTCACGTCGACTCTTTCTGGCAAGCCTGACAGCAGTGTAGAAAAACGCGAAAGAGAAATCCAGGCCACATATGGCAGGGCCACAACCATGTACTGTCGAAGCATGGAGCTGCTGGAGCAGCTTGGCGTTGCCGATGATATGCTCCAGAGCGGGTTTGTCGCCCGATCAGCTGTAACCATGAACAACGGAAAGCGCGTCACCGGTCGAGGGTTTGACAGTTTGCCCCAAAGCATGATCAACACTTTGCACGACTACTTTCTCAGTATCCGTCAGAAATTCTCCGAAGACATATTCCGAGAACACTATCAGACCGCGTCGAGCAAGGATGTACATTACGGCTGGGGCGTCGAAAACTTCACTATTGAGAAACTCCCCGAGGATGACTTCAATGTCACTGTCCACATTAAGAAAACCGGAAACGGTGAGCAGCGAGTCGTGAGGTGGTATGTTATTCCTTGTGAATGCTTTGCATCTTTTCTGTCCAAGCTCACAGGTTTCTCTTGTCGAGCAACTACCTGATCGGGGCGGACGGCGGTCAATCATCTGTACGGAACCTAGCCGGCATCCCTATGGAGGGTGATAGCACGACATACAGGTGGGTTCGTATTGACGCCAAGATGAAGACAAACATGCCCGAGGCCTCGCATATGGGCGTGATCGCTATCGAATCACCCAACCATGGCAATGTCCTATGGATTCGGCTGGACAGGGACGTTCACAGGATAGGCTTTGCTATGACACCAAAGCTCCTAGCCAAGTACCCCAACGGCATCACACAGGACGAAGCTGTGCAGGAGGCGATAGAGTCCGTCAAGCCATACACTCTGGAGGTTGAGCGAGTTGATTGGTGGACCAATTATGGGTAAGGCCTCACCAACTTCCCAAGGGAGCTATGAGACATCCACTGATTGGTAAACCCAGCATCAATCAAAGGGTTGCCGCATCTTTCCAGAAAGACGAGTTCATCTTGCTTGCGGGAGATGCCGCCCATGTCCACTCCTCGGGATTTGCTCAAGGCATGAACACTGGCATCCACGACGCCACCAACTTGGCCTGGAAGCTTGGAGGCACCATCAAAGGCTGGTACTCCACCGACGTCGTTCTCGCTAGTTACGCCAGTGAGCGTCGGCCAGCAGCCCAAAAGCTCATCGCCATCGATAAGCTCGCTTCGGCCGCCATCTCGCACGATGTGAAGGCCGTCGGGGCTCCCGCGAGTGCCCCCGAAGAGGGTGGTGCGAGCGGTGCAGCCGTGCCAACCGTGTCTCCGGACGAGATGATGGCCAAGATCTACCAGGACAACATCAGATTCAATATCGGTCTCGGGGTCTCATATCCCCCAAGCCCTGGCAACCCCCTCACCAGAGCGCCATTAGCTGGGTCAGTGCCCGCCGGCACGAGAGCACCTGATGCGGTGCTGCGAAAGCCGGGCTGCCAGATTCCTCTGCGGCTGCTCGATGTGTTCCGGGCCGGAGGATATGGCAAGTGGAACCTCCTTGTGTTTGCGGGTAACCCGATTTATACGCGTGAGAACATTGCGAGCTTGCGGGAGGCGCTGTTTGCTGAAAAGGGACTGGCTAGTCGTCTCAAGCATCTCCTCAATCTGTCCACGCTGATAGTCGGGCATGTCGGAGGCCACTGGGAGGCATTTAATGGACCCGCTGTAGCGAGACTGTATTTTGACACAGAGGGCGCAGCTCATGACTGCTATTCTGTGACGCAGGCTGATGGAGCGATAGTTGTGGTGAGACCGGATGGAATACTCGGCTTTGCAGCTCAGCTGGATGAGCTGTCTGAGGTAGAGGCCTTCTTTGACGGTTTCTGCGCTTAGTTGATTCCTTGATGTCCATATCAGGGAGCTTTGGAGTTAACAATCTAATGGGAATTTGGTAGAGAGTTGAATATGACAGAGTTCTATGGTTCAAAGAACTTAACAACCACTATTAACAAAGTAGTAAACCTCAACTTATCTAAGAGCGCTCGTATGTTACGCAAGAGAGGAGGTTTGCTATCATCGGATCAGTAACATTGCTAGACATGGAAACATCCGGTCTTAGGTGATGGTGGGTGCGAATAATTATGCGGATTGGCCAGGGCGAATGTCTTCGACAAAAGGTCGATCTTACTTATGAACTAGTCACAAATCTGAGGGTACAAACATTACGGAACAGATCTTCAATTGGAGTTGCAACTTTCCCATACTGAGCACAGAAATATAATGAAAAGGCCTTTCGTCCTGGATACTGAACACGTCTTCACTCCAATGAATTTGGGCGTCTGGCGTGCATTGCCTAAGTTGTGGCCGTGCTTTGTTTATTGAAGTTATGGCTTTGGGAAAGTTAGCAATCGGTATGTGAGATTCCAAGTGTGGACTATTACGTACCCGAATTGGATCTTGGTTTTCTGAAGAAAGTAGTCACCGCAGGTCATGGCGGGGCTGGGCAGAGCGTTAAGACAAAAGCCGCAGAGGTACTACTGGAAGCAGTAGACTCATTATGTTCTTGAGACTCACTATTTCTTTAGAGGACCCTGCATCACGACATTCCTTCTGCCAGTATTGAAATAGGCAATAGAATAGCGATCGGGGCTTTTGCCCACTTCTTTGGCACGGACGCGGTGGAAGTTGGCTTTGAGACGGTCATCTGACCAGGCCACTGCAAAGGAATATGTGTCAGTAACCAGCTGGCTCTTGCACAAGAGAGTTTCATAAGGAGAAAGCACATTGAACTTACTCAGCATGTCGCCGATATTAACCACGATAGGTCCTGTGTGCGCCGGCAACGGTGAGAAGTCATCACCGATAGCAAAGTCATTATGGCTCTCCCGGCCGGGGCAGACCTCTAAGCCATCCTCACCGTCTCGCTGGAACAACAAGGTGAGACATCCAATATCGGTATGATTCCCGGCCCTCCAGGTTCCCACCGCATTTTCGGAGGCCATGTAGTGGATCATGCGCATTTGGGTGAGGTTGTCAGGCGCCTCAACATCCATGGCGTTGTTTAGGTGATCCTCTGGGAAACCGAGAGCTAGCGAGAGGCATGCGACTAGCAATAAGTGGACAAGTTAGCACCGACCAATTCATCGCAAAAACTGGGCACTTACGGACTTGCTTCGAGATTTGTTCGCACTTGGATATGAAGCTCTTAGTTGCATCGTGGAATCCTGGCACAAGTTCATCCGAGGGCCACTGAGAATTGCGCTGTAGCCAAAAAGACTCTTTTTGATCGGCTTGGCCGGTGCTTGGGCGGATTTGCGACTGATGCCACCTTAGAATCATACGATGCCACGTGGCTTGAGGGTTACTTACTTTGTACTCCCATCCATTGTTTGTGTAAAGATCATGGGGGATCTGGGCCTTCACCTCTTGTGGTAGCTTGAAAAAGGCCTCGGAAATGGCAAATTGCCTGTTGATCTCATCGACACTGATGCCATGGTCCACCAGTGTGAAGAAGCCAGCACCCTCAGCAGCTTCGACCAGCTCCTTGGTGATCTGTTCTTTGCGGGCCTCAAAGGCTATACCGCTGTCAAACATATGGCATGAAAGGATGTGCGATGGCTACTAAGACCAACCTTTGAGCGATATTGCTGGAATTACAAGCTGCCTTCCCATGGTGTTGTGTTGGTGTAGTTTTAGTGTTGCTTTGCTTCGAGAGGCAGTCTGCGTTAGCTTGAATTACGTCGACCCTGTCCATGAGGTCTTGGTATTCGTCGTGGCTCCGTACCTTAGACTTCATATAGGAGGGGATACTCACAATGGCAAAGCTCGAAAATGCGTAAAGCTACTGTCACATACGAACGAAGCTTAGCGGGAGTCCAAGATCCACGGCGCGCTGCAACTCGGCGTAAGGGTCGCTCGGCCCGGTACCGGATAATGCACTGAACCGAGCCGTAGCCCTTTCGAATGAGACGCTTGCATAACAGGGGTGCCGCACACCGGAGATAGTACCTTCAGATGTTTCCCCCCCCCTACGGACTTTTGGAATAGTGCCATCAGGATCGACGACCCAAGCTCTGTTACCCTGTGGTGGTGCTGGGCCAATGTTGCACTAGATAGCTGATGGCTGATTAATCAAGGAGTCTGGCATCTATGGCTATCAAGACGCGCAGAGCTCGGCGCGCGTTCAGTTACGTTAATATGGTGGTTCCAAGGCCGTCGAGATTCAACGTAAGCCAGTCAATTCCCTTTTGTACTATTCAGCGCTCATGACTGGATTTTGGATAGTCCTTCCAAAGCACTTTCATGGACCTAAGTGTAATGTTGAACTTATGGTATTCTCACATATAAAACACGTACATACACAGCTACAGAAAGCCTGTCCCAAAGCCGAATGTAAAGTTGTCAGAAAACTGAGTACCCAAGTTATCCCATCCCCTCATATCAAATATTTCTGCTCCTTGAAATGGAGGCAAGGCGAAATCTGGGGGCTCTAGATCCGGAAAGGACCCCATTAAGGGCAGCGCAGAATCCCAGTTGTGCTGTACATTTGGCTGCTCCGCTGCAGGTACAGGCCACACCATGTCGTGATCCAAGTCATCGATAACCAACAGCTGCTCCACATATTGCTCGGAAGCACGGCGGGCTTTGCGTGACATGAGGCGTTGATATCTTTTGATAGATTCGGCAAACGCTCCTAGCGTTTCGCTGTACAGTTTAGACTGTGGGCTTGTCTCTCCAATTTTGCGCAGGAGCTGCATGACGCCATAGAATGCCTCGTTGAGATCACCCTTGACCTCCCCACCAAGTATGGAGAGGCCAAGCACGAGCCCTGCACCAAAGGCCCATACTCTACATCCGTCGGTCAGCTTGTTGAGTGTTGGATAATTGTATAAGCACGACTTACTTGAACAGAGAAAGATTTCCCTGTGGTAGGTTCAGGGTGGTCAGCAAAGTCGCAAGTTGGCGACACAAGTGGCCCATGTAGGTAGCCGAGCTCAGGCACACCTGGGCCAGGTCCACCTTGGACGGCTCCGCGACGACGTGCTGCTGTATTCCGGAGCGTTGTCGGATTCGAGAGACGTAGACTTCTGTCAAGAAAGGCCGCGTGACTAGTATGACGGCAAAGTAATATACGCTGGAGAGATAAACGCGACTGAACGCGGCCTGACGCTCGCTGCTCCCCGAAGCTGCATTGTGGCCCTGTGAGAATCGACGAGCTTCGGGTGGAAGATCTCTGCACCAGGAGCGGAGTCTCTCCAGTAAGCCATGGGCCATAGCTGTCTCAGCTAGCACCCCGCGACTAAGAATGCAGCATATGTCGTCGAGTAAAGCCACACCCTTGAGCATAGCGTTGAAGACGGGCTGCTCGGCCTCGAGAGGCAGCAAGTTGATACTGTGCCGAGTGGCTCTAGGTACGGTGCATGGCCGACCGAGCAGTGAACTTGTCAACACGTCGAGGATGCAGAGCGAATGCCAGGTTCGTAGCCTAGTCAAAGAGCACGGATTAATTCGAGGTATGAAGGGTCGAGGATTGTTCCGGGGCCTCACCTAAAAGCCTCATCGCCTCGCTCTGTGCGCTTCCAACTTCCAGGCTGATGCAATCCGAGAACCACTGCAGATTTGGAAGCGATTCCCAGATAAATGGACGCTGCATCTTGTCGGCAAGCACCCAGAGTATAGAACGCAAGCAGAAGGAATAACCGGACAAGACCTAAGCTCGGGTTTGAGAGCATATCGCGGAAGGCAACCTGCCCGGCTCGAGTGAAGTACATAGCAGCATATGGTCCGTCGTTGGGGGGTGCCATGCGGGCCTGAGCTCCTATGGCTAGGGCTGCCTGCATCGAGGCCACGTCCTCAGGTGTTTGTGGCGATGTGGTGTTTGATGTCGCATCCAACAGAGCCTCCGCTTCGTTGGCAGAGAACAAGTGCAGGATGCCGCTTGACTATGTTGAGTGTCAGCAAAGTGACCGAACAGGCTGGCACCTAAGTATCCATGAGCACTTACTACTTCGGTGTAAGATTGAAAGAGAGCGCGCTTCTCTGTGATATCCGGAGAATGCAGAGTTGTCGGAACTTCTCGCACATCCGCATCTATCATGGAGTTGTGTCGTTCGCCATCGGTGAATGCAGTTGAGCCTACGAGAGGCTTCAGAGTGTGCCGCAGGAAGTCAAGAAACGACAGCGACGCGTTCTCCCCGATATACACTACGGTGATCGTCAGGGCTCCAAGTATTAGCACTGAAATCAAGAAATAGAAAAACTACTGTAATAAATCCTAACACAACTGACCTTTCTCGCCTCTGAAGTTGGTTACAAAATGCTCCCTGGGAGACTCTTGGTCGCCAGTGACTCCATTCCCACAATCGATGGCCTCAGCTTCCGCGCCAGTTGACGACGCCAACATACGGCCAGACCGGGACGAGGGCGAGCAGTTTGCTGCCGTCTGCGACATGGGTGAGAGGGCCTGTTGCCCGAGCCGTTCTTGGCGATCTTCGAGCTCGGATCGAGCACTGGAGCCGGGCGCGGCAGTGCCATTGTATGTGCACCTGGCGGACCGGCCCCGCCGAACACAATTCGCACAGGGCACTTTAGCATCGCAGCGGATTTTGGACGCTTTACAGGGTTGGCAAGCTCTGTAGGCGCGTACCCTGTTCTCAGGCAGGATCTTGGGGCGAGGCATCATGGATCGTCAACTTATCTGACACTTCCAAAAGTACAAATTCGTCTTGCCATGCACTTAGGTTCTCCATCATTAGATATTGCCCTCGGTTGGCTGGAACATAGCCGAATTTGACAAGCGGGGGTGGATCGCCAGTGGTTTGCGCTAACATGATGACAATGTCCTGGCCTATTGCAGCGCTGACATTACATTGACTTCCCTGCCTCGAGATAAAGCTAGCAGACAAGACTTGCGGTTCGTTTTGGGGAGTTCTTCCAACGTGATAAGGGCTCTTGGTGTGTGTCTTAGTTTTGCGGGGAAGATAGCAGTCACTTGGCTGTGTGGGGAAGACAGGGTGCTCGGCACGAGCACCGCCGCATCCTGGTACAGTTATCTAGGTGCGCGTGCATTATCCGACGAGTCCCCGCGCTGCGAGGTATCTTATTGAACCATGACGTCCATGTGTGTGCTGTATCCTTTGTGAAGGTAAGCATGTGATGCAGGATTGAATAACTAGGACATGCGTTTACCTCTGTCGTTGCGACCCGGTAGAGATTCACTTAACTCACTATCGGCAAGCATACAAAGAATTTACCCATGATGATGGAAGAGGTTTACAAGAAGATTGTGCAAGACACAGTCAAGTTCAATCTTGGTGATGAAGAGGCAAGACATGTAGTCCAAAGCCCGTTTTTGATCTCTCGCTGATCTTGAGTGCTCGCCCACATAGATATGGCGACAATTGTTTGAGCCCTTTATCCCAGAACAAACGTCGAAAGTTCAGATTGTTCGAGACCAGCGCTATGGACCCGCGGAGCGCAATGTACTGGACGTCTACTTTCCTTCGAATAATGCTGAGCCTGGCAAGCCCGTCGTGTTGTTTATGCATGGTGGCGGCTTCTTCTCAGGCGATAAGGCGTGGAGCGACAAGGTAAGCCTTCTGCAAGCCGTCCTATTTAAGCACAGGCTTCGTGATTGCTAATCGAAATACCATTGGGAACAAGTACTGGGGAAACATTGGCAAATGCTTTGCCGAACATGGCATTGTTGTCGTAATAGTGAACCACCAACTTGTCCCATACAACAAGGATGACCCCAACAATATGCCTACTGGGCCGGCCGTCAAATATCCCGCTGGAGCTGACGACGTCCAATTAGCACGAGAGTGGATGTACAAAAACATCGAGTCCCCAGACTTTGGTAGCGGGTCATCAAGCAAGGTCGTTCTCTTTGGGCACTCTTCCGGTGGTGCTCACATTGCCGCCAACCTCTACGCAGCGGGCGATCCGGAGCGGGTGTCTCAACAAACCGAGATCTTCCCTCCTGTCGCTGGCGTCATCTATTTGAGTGTGCCATTCTGGTACGATAGAACACGTCCAATACGGCAAAGAATCCTACAAAGTTACTATGGGTCTGACGCGGAGGATGTCTGGGGAGTAAGTTGGTTAAACACCTTCTCAACATTTCTCAACTCTGATCGCGATCTCGACAGCCCCGATCAGCACTAGGCCTATTGAAGGGCTTACCGGAGACTTCACCCGCTTTGTAGGTCATCTCGCCAATATGATCACATTGAGTTTGGTATTCAAGAGCCAACTGACCTCATGGCACTCGGCCAGAGATGCTCTAAACCTGCCAACCTATATCGGCACCGTCCAATGGGAAGTGTGAGTATCGACATAGCCTGTAGGTGTTGGTAAATATGTGACACTGATTTGCCCGACAGGCAGGAGGCATTCGACGCAGCGGTCGCGTTCTTCAATACCTACCGTGAACGCAGCAAGCCTTCGGGCACCAATGCGATATTTCACGTGTTGAAGGGACACAATCATCTAAGGTATGGATGACACTAGCTGCAAGAAGCTTGTGTTGGCAACCGATTGACGCGCTAAATAGCAATGTTCTATCCATCGGCTCGAGCGATACTGCGCAGGCTTCTATGCTACTAGAGTTTGTCTGTACATGCACCTCGACATCGCTGACACCTCAGCATGGAAGCGGTAAGACTTTTGGGCTCTGGGCTGGCTAGAAAACGTTGACTTATTTGAATAGTGCAGTTATCCGAAGCGAAAGCTAAATTATGATTGATCTGAGATACAAATATGTTCCTCGTGTCTATCTTTCGTCTCCAGAAGATATTGGAGTGCCTTATTGAGGATGGCTCTAAGCCGCCTGTGGCCCGCAAGAAAAGCTTGCGCATTCCTATAGAGTGATGATGAGGGAACAAGAGTTCAGGAAAGGTATTTGATGGCCATGCACATCTTCAGCTAGTGATGAGGCGAAGTTATGACCGTAGGGCCGACGCCCTACACATCTCAGTCCCACGCTTCTGATGGATATAGCAAGTTGTTTCAGGGGCCTACTTGAGTTCTATTGCCATCTCTATCGCTGTCATCAGAATCATAAAGTCCCTAAAGCTCTATTGAAGAGCCATTGTAACCTCGACCTCTAGAAACCAAAGGTACCAAGTTCAAATCTTGTTTCAGACATTCAAACCTTGTGAGATCATTTGTACTTTTTACGCACGCAAATGAGACACTTATTTTCTTTTCCTTTGTTTAGAATATTGAAAATCATTATCAAATTTCTGGTATGCTTCGTTGTGTACATGTATCATAGGAAAGCTTCGACGGATCATTCCCAACATAGGCGTACCCGGAGGTCAGTGTAGTGAATATCAAAGGTGTCTGAGTTCGCTGTAGTATTATAAATGCGACCAAAATTTGTTTTCTAGTCGCAATAATGCTCGGGCCTTGTGCGGATGTTACAAAGTCGCGGGCTGAGGCCTTCAAATGGGATACCGGAACGATCTGATCTTGAAGTCGGTCAAGTCTGCAAATTCCTCATTCTCAATGACCTCGTGGATGATTCCGTCTGAGGCAGTATTATCAGCACCAAGAGTTCGAAGCAAATTTCGGTTGGCATAACCTACTCTGAGAATCTAACTTGTCCCTCTGATCCCTTCGTCGATTCCAGAGCCAGTGAAGCGAGCCCATGGCAGCAACCAAGAAGATGCAAAGTATCAGGAAGGCTAACATAGTGTACTTAGCAGTCTAGACGAAAGGCGTAATCAGTCCTGAGACCACAGTCAGTCAGCCGATTGATGTTTGGCTCACATAGTAGTTGGGCGCATCGGATTCGCGATACGTCTGAGGTCCGATGATGTTGCCGACCGTATAACCGAGTTGGTACGAGGCTCCAAATGCCAACTTCTTGGTCGAGCCGCCAACTCCGGCCGTCATGAACGTGATGACGAACAGGACGCTGACAGGGACTGTTGGTAGAGTCAACAACGGCCTGCCTTGTGCTTGAAGACTGAGTAACGTACATTGCAGAGTCAGAATGTAACCACCGTAGCGCGCGGCGGCATGGGAGGGTGGAATCGCCAGCATCATGACTGTCCCGATGCACGAAAGTAGCAGCGTAGATATGCCGGCGATTGTCCGACTTGTGTATTTTGCGACCATCAGTGACACCAGACTGCCCGCAACGGCAGCGGCACCGGGCGCCATGCTCAGGAGGGTGGTCTGCTCGGCGGTGAAGCCAAATGCGGAGATAATTGTCGGTCCTGACCATCTTGTTAGCGTGAAACTATTGGCAACGCAAATGTACACGCTTTTGGGAGGTACTCACCGAAGACAGTGAGACCGCCATTAGGTAGTCCGGTGGAAACTAAGAAGAGAAAGATTAGGTAAAAGCGAGGGTCACAAAAGGCCTCAATCAACTGTGCCCTGTCGAATTTCCAGACTTCTGTGCCTGTCTTGTTATCTCGGCACCTCTCGAGTGCGATGCGCTTCTCGTCATCTGATAGCCATCTGGCATCTGTAGGCGATGCGGCAAGCAAAAACCAGAGGACAATACCAAGAAGGATGGTGACGCCGCCCTCGAAAAGAAACAACGCCTGCCATCGGAATGAAGGGGCCTGGTAGATGATCCAGGCACAGAATCCGCCAGCCATGTGGCCCCAACCTGAGCTCGTATACCAGATTGCGACTCGGGAAACTTGTTCCTTCTTGGAGTACCACGAACCGAGGATGTAGATGCTGACGGGTGCCGCGCACACTTCGATGGAACCAAGCAGGAACCTGGCGACCATGAGCCCTGCAAAGTTCTTGCAGGCGCCGTGGCAGACGACGATGATGCCCCACGCAATGATCATCACTGAGAAGAACTTGGCAAGGGGAATTCGCTGCATGGAGACCGTGACGGGGATTTCTCCGGCGAGGTATCCAAAGCTGATGCAGGTACAGTATCAGTACTTGAGAAGATCGTGACCCAGACAGTGGCGGAAATACCCGTACTAGACAATGGAGCCCAACCACGAGTACTGGCTGGCCGAAAGATGTGTATCTTGCTTGATGCCCATAATGTTGGCGTATGAAAGGCTGTTCTTATCCACCAACATGAGGACGTAGACGAATAAAAGTAGAGGCATGATGGTGAAATCAATCTTGCGCAGGACGCGCTTCGCTTCTGGCGAGTTTGGGTCGAATGGTACGTGGTTGGTTCTGCTCAACAAGGCTAAAGCTTTGTCTTTCTCGGCCGCTTCTGGGTCAGCGACGATTTTGGCAATGTTGGAGATCTGTCCAGCCACAACGGACGTTGCCTTCGGCCCAGCAAGGACATCAAGTTAGCAACGAATACCTGAAACATGATCATCTTTAACGGACCTCGAGACCCGAAACCGACTTCTTAATATCGGCGTTGTACGTGATAACTTCCATGGCGAATGGACCTCAGGGGTGAACAACTTGTAATCTAAAGCTTGCTACTGTCTTTGAAAACCTTGAACCTGCGAAGCGAGACAGCCTACTGCTTTTAGATATTAAGCTATGTCATTGTAGCGATGTGCAAAACAGACTTTATATCCTTGATATTGTTGGCATCTAGTGGACGACTCACTAGTGGCCAATCCCAGGTGGTCTTATCATCGATGAAGGATTGGATTTTCCTGCCTGGATATTGGACAATCACCTATGAAAATGCGCGTGTGTTCTTTTAGGAACCGTACACCTCCCATGGCTTCCCTCTTGCGAAGCGATTGCATGGAGATGCTAATCCCATAAGGGATGCTTTATCTCTACCGTTATCTCTGGTTAGGATCCGAGTGCGCGGGCCGAGGGGTACGGTCCGATGGATCGCCTTTGAGCGGGGAGCTTCGTATCTCTTGCTTGACTTTACTGATGTTCCGGCCCGAATCAGGACCAAGCCTCCGAGAGACATGCTAGCGAATTGTAACATTTTTTCTAATACCCTTTGTTATTAGATCATTGAATGGTAGTTGAGAGGAGCCTGATAATGGACATACTGCGCTAAAAGATATAGAAGCCAGCCTCCCAGTGAAGACGAACCCATCATTTCTCAACCAGTTCTCAGTATCCTGACATGACAACACTGTGAGTACACCACTCCAATGCGCATGGGAACTCCAGGCTAGAAGGGTTAAGGCCTTACCAGACAGGAAGTCAGCCAGCATAGCACAGAATCGAGCTGCTGGGTTGTGATTCACGGGGTCGCGTATGATGTTACAAATTTCCTGTCGCACCACCCTGGCGGCAAACATGTCATTCTGAAGCAGGCTGGAGGCGACGCGACTCCCGCGTTCGATGCTGTTCACTCACGAGACCTCCTTGAGAAGTATCTCAGGCCATCGTAAGCGTATTTCACCAAGGAAGCAGAATCAGACAGACCAGAGGACTGATGTATCGACCAAACACAGGCAAGTCGTCGGGAACATAGCAGGCTATGAGGAATCGCGTCTTGGAGACACACAAGGTGAGACTCCAGATCGACAACAACTCAGCCGAAAGCTCCTGGCGAGGATAGTTAGTGTTCCCGACTTCGAATCAGCCGCGGCCGAAGTTCTAGACCCAAAATCCTTTGCTTGTAAGTTCAAAGTCTCCACATGACGTGCTTCCACAGTTCTAATGCCAGGATTCTTCACTGTTCAGTTTTCAAGGCCGGTGCGAACTCTGAAATTACAGCTAGCTGGAACCAAAAGTCATGGGACGCCGTGAGGTTCCGCCCTAGGGTTCTTGTCCCGATTAGCCACGTTGAAACATCAACCACAATGTTTGGCTCGAAGTTCTCTGCCCCTTTCTACATCGCACCAGCCGGGGGCGGTAAATTTGCGCATCCCAGGGGTGAAATAATCTGGACAAGAGCAGCTGCCAAGCATGGGATCCTTCAATGGGTGTGCAACAACGCCGGCTGCTCCCAGAAGGAAATGGCAGATGCACGTGGCCCGGGTCAGATACTGTTCTGGCAGATATACGCCATGAAGGACTTGGATGTTACCAAACGCGAAATACAACAGGCGGTTGCGATGGGGTACAAGGGACTGGCACTTACCGTTGATGCGATTAGAATCGGCAAGCGTGAACGCGACATCCGTATTCATCTTCCGGTATGTATTGGTCAAAATGAACCTTTAAACTCATCACCTCGTGGAAGAAAGAAAAGGGAGACTGCTGACCCATGCTTTGTCTATAGAGTGATGGTGATAATACTGGGGTAACCACTGGCTCTGGCTCTATCTCAGCGACTCGCCCGTTAGTTTATCTCAAGGCCTTCTTTTAACTTTTGGTTCTGACGAGTCTAGGATGCTCCATGATCAATTCGATTTTGCTTCGGTAATAGATTGGCTTAGATCCATGACCGACCTACCAATCGCCATCAAGGGCGTACAATCCTGGGAAGATGCAGAGCTTTGCATGAAGCATGGGCTACACCCCTGGTTGTCAAACCACGGAGGCCGGCAGCTGGATGGTGCCCCGGCTGCAATTGAGACTCTGGTGGAGATTCGGAAGCACTGCCCGGAGGTATTCGTCCGATGCGAAGTTTTTGTAGATGGAGGGGTTACTAGAGGAACAGACATTATCAAAGCACTGGCACTTGGGGCTAAAGGGGTGGCAATTGGTCGAGGATTTCTCTACGCCTTGACTTTTGGAGAGGCTGGGGTGAGCAAGGCCATCGATATCCTCATGGACGAAGTTAGGACTGCGATGGCCCTTCTTGGCGTATCGTCTATTGACCAGCTTCAACCTTCTCACGTGAGTAAGCCTTTTTTTTAGATTGATGTCCACGATGACTACATGCTGATACTGTTTGTCTTAGGTGGACACTTCTGGATTGGCATATGCGGGAGCTGTAATACGAGCACGGTTGTAAAAACTGACTCACTGGACGTGAGATTCTGGTTTGTACCATGTAATTACTTCATCATACCAGGCTAGGCTGTGAAAGAAGTCCTCTCTCTTGATAGTCCGTAGACATTCACTGCAGGGTTTGAAACTTCCTCCATCAAAGGGTCATCGCCCCTGTGGATCCGCCACCGGTTGGTCGACTCTAGCGGTCCTGGGATCCCTTTGACCATCCAGCCCCATTTCCTCATGAATCCTTCTGACATCTCCCATCCTGATATATCCCAAGGCGGTGACCACGCAATGAGACCGCGCCTCTCCATCTCTTCATCGGGAAAACCCTCAAACAGACCGCCGATGCAGTCGGCCCACAGGTCATCCTCGTCGAACGTGCCGGTGGCCAGGATGAGGCGGTCGCGTGCTTCTGGACAGGGAAAACTGTCGATCCAGTCGGGATGAGGCACTGTTTGCTGAAGAATAGTAGGGATCAGCGATGGTGGGAGCAGTTCGGGCTTGGCGGGATAGGGAATGACATGGATCACCTCCTCATCGGAACCGCAGTCAAGTGGCGTGGTGAGGATGCCCGAGATCAAGGTGCGGTTGAGAGCTATAGCGCGGATGGCGTTGAACTGAAGGAGTGTAATAAGATGGTCTGGGCAAAGGGGAAAGGTGATCTTGAAGTTCTCCTTTATGTCTTTTCTTGGCAGCAAGGGGTCTCTCGCATTGTACAGGTGCTTCAAAAGGGATGCCGGGGCGGTGGAGACTGATTGCTCTTCATCGTTCCAATACTCCACCAGCAATTCAGATTTGACCAGTGCCCCGGAAGCGGCACTTGATGCTTCAAGGCTCTTTGCTAGAGCTTTGCGTTTTCCTTTCACCATGATTATTAGCTCTAGGCATCGGTGAGATAGCCCATAGAGATAGCGGATATTGTTCTCACGGTATGCTCTCGTATTGAGTCTTGTCTGAGCCCGTCTACGCGCTTTGGGGTCCTTAGTTCCGGTCCAGTCGTCCTCGGCTTTTATTGCCTGGATGATCTTAGCGAGCCGAACCGGTCAGAGGCTTTCAACAGCGTGGAAACGTACCTCAGCCAACTGTGGCATTGGCGCAAGCCGGATCCGTGGTACAGTAGCCATAGCCATAGTGTTTAGGACCTCGCTACGACTGCCGTTTCTGCGATTTTGATGATGAATTCGATGATGCAAGTTTCGATAACTGTATGCGCTCTGCTCACAGGAAAAAACGGAGGTGGAATTGACTTGCTCTGAATCCTATCTCGGGGTCGCAGTCAGACTTGAGTGGAGTAGAACTACGTTATTGGCTAGCTGTTGCAACATTCTAACTTGGGCAGGTCTAGCGAAATGCAAGCTGCTCACATTGTGGATCAGAATGCGCCGGGATCTTACTAGATGCTGAAAAGCAGTAGTGAGCCCTACCAGTCAATGTAGCTGGCTCACACGGATCCTCCTATTGGCACATCACTTCAATATGATCCACTCAGCGTGGTGTACTTGGGTTCAAACGAGGGTGTATGCAGATTGCTCACACGATGCTTGGGGCTCGGAGCAGCGTTCATCATGAAATGTGACATCGGCTTTAGGGGATGGGATCGGGCTCTCCTGGATCCCGAGATATCGGGCGAGATGAGATATAAAGAATATCACCAGCTCTTTTAACCAAATTCTCGGTGGGCTCAACAGCCATGCCGTGCAATCGTGAAAGAATTCAGAAAGGCACTTAATTCAATGTCCAGGAACGTAATCAGCTATCGAACAAGTCTCCATCAAGACAATCAACAATACTGAGAAATTCTGAATCATTATCTCATCAATATATATTCTTCCTGGGATATGACTTTTCACCCGGACTCCCTCCCGGATCTCACGGGGAAGGTATATATAGTGACAGGGGGGAACTCTGGAATGTATGTCCATCCCCGTCTCTTATCGCGAAGCCCAAGCCGCTGATTTCACAAATCAACAGTGGTTATCACACCGTAGCACACCTAGCCAAGCACGGAGCTCACGTTTACATGTGCTCCCGATCTTTAAAAAAGGGAGCCGAAGCTATCACCAGTATGAAGAAATTGCACCCGCCAAGCAATGTCGACCTCCTGGAAGTGGACCTAATGGATCTCACCAGTGTTGCCGCAGCTGCCAAGCACTTCCTCAGTCTCGAGAAATACCTCCACGGCCTTGTCAACAATGCCGGCATCATGGCAACACCATTCGGCATAACCAAGGATGGCCACGAGGCCCAATGGCAGACCAATTACCTGGCCCACTGGGTCTTAACAGAGCTCCTGTTGCCCTTGATGCGACATACTTCCAAAGGCCTTCCCGCAGGCAGCGTACGGATTGTCAACCTGACTTCCACGGGCCACTTAGGGGCGCCGAAGTGCGGTATCAATTTCGAAAACCCGGCACTAGAGGAGAGCAGCCCTTGGGCACGGTACGGGCAGAGTAAGCTCGCAAACATTCTACACACCAAGACCCTACACGAGAAGTACGGCCCCGCTTCTTCGAGTGCAGTCAGCGGTGAGGGCGAGATCTGGGTTTCTGCGGTACACCCAGGCCTAGTCTCGACCAACCTCTCCAAGCCGGCACAAGAGTCGGGCTCAGTAATGATCAATCTCTTATTAGCTCTGCGCGGCTTTGGGTTAATGTGGTCTGCCGATAGGGGCTCATGGAACAGTCTGTTCTGTGCCGCGAGCCAGGACATGAAGGTGGAGCAATGTGGCAAATATCTCGAGATTTTCAGGCGATTTGGCGAACCTTGGTGGCAGAGCGGTCCATCCAAGGACGACATGCTCGCCAAGACACTGGACGAGTGGACCAGAGATGCCATGAAGGAGGAAGGATGGCTCCAGTAAAAAGGCGTTGACACCTCACGGGCCCTCGCTCCCATGCTGTTGTGCTGATGGTTCATTGTATCAAGTCTTTCCATAATATTGTTTGATTTTCTGTATTCGCATATCATTCCGCAGCACCCTACAGTCCTTGCTCGGTTCAAGGCGTCTACCAAGAAAGCGGCATACGATCAAACTTAATACGTGAAGCCGGCTCCAGGAAGTGGACTGTAACTTGTGACTGCTTAGCCAGCTCATCTTAAACGCGAGAGGTCGTCCACAGAATATCCATATTCATCGCCATTTCCTGCTCCTTTTTCTCAACTAGTCTACTTCATCTCGACAAATTGCCAGCTCCTGATCTATGGCCGGCTAGGATACGTATCACCAGCCAAAGGCCTCCTCGAAATACTCCACACAGTCACCATACTCGAGCATGGCCTTATGCGTAGCATCTCGTGTCGCGTCCGCGAGCCCAGCAGGACCACACACCATTACGGCGACCCTGCTTTCACACTCATGGGCATTCTTGGCCGCCTTGGATATGATCTGTGCGACATCAGGCCTGCCGCGAGCGATGGAGACTCCCCTGCGCCCGACAGACTTGCTAATAGCCTTGCTGTCCTTCCCGGCCGATCCGACCGACTTCTCCTCCGATGGCTGGGATATGGCCTCGGATGATGTTGATGCCGACCCTGACTGGAGTACCTCCGTCGAGTGGAAGACGGGACTGATATCGTCTCTGATGAGAGCCTTCGCGAACTCCTTATCCGCCACATTTTGTATGAACCTGGTGCTTCTGTGTGCCCATACGACGGAGATGTGTCTAGTCTGTGTCTTGATCTTTCCATCTGACGACCGCTGTGAGCGGCGCATGTAGTCCAGGACGTATGGGGCGGTAGCAGCAATGCCTGAGCCACCAGCGATCAAGACAAGTTCTTCGTAGGCATGCAGAGGCTCAGCCATTCCGTAAGGTCCTTCAAGAAGGATCTGCGTGGCGATGGTAGGCTCCGATGACTTGAGGCAATCGTCCTTGAGCTTCTTCGTCCAGCCGTCACATGGTGTGATCCAGAAGATGAGTTGGGTCTCGCCTGAATTTTGAGATGCGGCAGTGACAGAAGACCGGGGAGACTGGGCACTGCTGCCGATATCTGCCTCTGACTTGGCCGCGGAAGCCTCTTGCTGAGTCACGATGGGCTCTGAGGCGATTCCAGGCTTGTTCCAGAAGCCTAGAGTAAATGGATGGTTTTCCCAGCCCCTCCAGCGGAACGGCTGATAGAGAAAGTAGTGCTGTCCCGGGCCAGGGGTAAGATGAGGCGTTCCTGGAGTGGCGACTATGGTCAAGACACCGGTTTGCCTGTCGTACTCGACCGTTGCCTTTGTTGTGTGCAGCGTTTTACCGCGCCGTAGGCTCACGTAGATGTTGCAATAGACTTGTCGTACGAGCCTCAGGAGTCGATCAAAGACCCAGATGGCTACCAGCGGCCACAGGTAGGGGTCGTATTCTTTTGTGTCGAAAACCCAGGTATGACTAATATTCCATCAGTGCTTCAACCCTTCCACCTGGATGCGAGCAGATGACTCACTAGAACAGACCAACGATGGTCACCACCGAGAAGACAATATGGATGATAAGGAAGGTCTCGTAGCACTTTTGTCTGAACCACATTGATGAGAAGAAGCAAAGAAGGCTCAACGTGATAGTTGCCTGGTCCCAATTAGCATGTGCCAACATCGGTGGTTGATACAAGTAGATGTACTCACAACCACACCCATGTACCACCAGGGCTCTTTCCAAACATAGTCGAGATAATCGTCCCCTGAGCAGCAGATGTTAAATCGAGAGTTGGATCTCAAAGAGGCAGGGTTACGACTTACAACCACCCTCTACCCAGTAAAATACAGTGTAGGCGACTGAATGAACAATAGCTTGAACTGTAGCAATCCTTGCGACATGTCGATGGAAGACGTTGAACGTTGCAAATTGCCATCCAGTTGCCCACAGAAAGATGTTATTCCTTCCACTAAAAATCCAAAGAATGGGCAGGTTTGCGTAAGACATGATGCCAGTCCGATCGGCGATATATCTCCAGACTTGCGGGGCAATCTCGTTGTAGCTACAGAGAATTGTGGAATCAGTCATAACAGTCATCAGAGGCTGAGAAAAGAGCATTGAGAGATTGGCGATGCTTACTAGGTATTCCCCACGAAGACCTGGTAGTTCACACAGCCCAGAACGATGCTGATGATCCAAAAAGCGGCAACTATGAAACCTTCCATGCGAGTAGGAACAGAGCACCACAGAAGGGGTTGTCGACGATAGGGAGCGAGCACGCTGGGAATGACCAGATGTTTCTGGACCCAAAAGCGTGCGGCGTGCAAAGATCGGGATATGCCAGAGGACTTTCGTCGCGACACAGCAGGACTTCCTTCAATATCGGAAGAAAATACCTGCCTCGCCATCAGTGACTCGTAGCCGTGAATGAGCATCCCGACCAAGAGAATGGTGCCCCAAAACCCATACGAGGCCCATCTGCCACGCAGCTCCGTTAGTATAAGTCCACACAGCTTTATTCCGCAACAGGTCATGTACTTACCCATAGAGTTTGTGAAGGCCCTGTTCCCAGTACCAGACTCTCTGGAGCAGTGTCAGCAGGAAGAGGTCGCCAGGCTGGGGCTAGCTCGCAGGACAGAACGCACAATAGTCTTGGCAGTCATCTTGTACCAGTCCTCAGTGATCAAGATTGGCTCTGTCATGTTCACCCCTTTGGTTTCTGGCTTGGATACCACCCTCATCTTGCTGATCTTGTCCTGTGTGACATTCTCCGCAACCTTCGACAGAGGCATGAACGGAATCTTGCCCCACTTCATACAGTAGTCCTCCATGAACATAGCGCCTGGGTCGACATCTTCTGGCAAGCAGAGTGCCCTGATGTTTGCATAAATGCTTGCTACTTTGAGCGGGTTTTGGCAGGCCGACTCATAATACTGTCCGTAGCCATGCCCAACAAAGTTGACGGTGCCACAAGCGCTGAGAATAGCCTCAGCACACTTTTGGCTGGGTGGGGTATCGTAATCCGCATAGACTGGACTGAGGAGCAAGCTCGCCAATATGGCAAACCTGCCAGCCCCAAGGGCTTTGAGATTCTTATTTCGCATGGTGAGATGGGATAAGTCTGAAGTAACTGGCCCAGAGGATAAAGTACCACTCCGTCGTAGCGAAGCAAGTTGATCCACCTACATAAATGGAAACCATGCGACTGGCGAGGGTTACACTGGTGATATACCTGCACGAACCAGCAGCGAATTCCTGATTACTCCTCACACGGCTCCTCGGTTCCCGCCTCACAGGGACGATCACATTCCATGGCTCCATGGACCCGGGCTGCCCCTATGTGCTCCACTTGCATCGGCTAAAGAGATGAAGAAACAGAATACTACCAGGCCATCGTATGCAGGTCACGCGAGGCGGGCTCTGCTACGGGGTTTGTTCCGGCATCAGGAAAGGGAAAAGATCGCCAAGGTGGTCCAATTAGGCGTAAGGATCAAATCTAATCAGATAAAATTTAGGTTATCAGATTAGATTAGATCCACTCATCCCAAACACATCCAACGGGTTTTCTCAGAAGTGCCGACGTCGGAGAGAACCGAAGGGGCGTAGGGCGGCCTCGTCTCGCATCCCCCCATGGAGACAAGAGTTTTTGCCTAGCCATGGACCCCACGCTCGGACTTGACGTGGCGTTCTGGTCTCAGGGTTCGTACATTTTAGCGACGAGAGTGCGCGATATTTGTGACGCCATCGTGCCAGTGATGCATTCAGGGCTTCCCAAGACAGCTAGAGACTTGACCATGTCGGGCATCTCATGGAACGAAGGGTCCGACGGTGCCGTTGAGATCATGTTATGCTAGTGAGCTAGAGGTGCTTTGCCGAGAAAACTCTTTGTGCTAGCCTCCCATTCCTCCCGACCAACGTCCGACCCCGCGACGCTACTGGCAGGCGTTTGAGACTTGTGTTAAGCTTTTCAGGCCAAGCCGGGAAGGGCAGATGCTCCCACGATGCCGTATTTCATCGCCTTGGAACCGAGTCAGCGGGAACAACCCTCCTCGTAGCTGAACTTGCACAAAGAGTGTGATGTACGGTTTACTTGTGGTGAGGTTGGGAAGACAAAGCTGGGGTCTTGGCATGAAATCTCTTTCCTGTCGATCTATCCACTTCACGAGTACCCGAGGCAGTTTGAACGTCCTTGGCGTCTAGGTGGTGATGTTCTTCTACTGCCGGCTCCCTGGTCACGGTCCAATGGTTCCGCAGCTCATGGGCGCAGATCAGAGGCCAAACCTGCACATCATTACTGCCTTTGGAATGGATCCTATCTCAGCACAGCACCCAGGATCCGTATTCATGGTCCTGAATACTACAGACCATTGTTTAGTTGAACTACTGTGCATCATCATCCTATCCATCAATGATCTCGGCTCTTTAACCCTACGAGGTTTGTGGGTGGTGCCTTGAATTGTCTTCTCGGGACAGTGAACCAATCGAATGGTTCGCGAACAATACGGGACATCCACTTGGTAGCACCAGTTGACTCAACGGCTGTAAAGGGGGGAGGGGGGGGGGGGGGGGGGTTCCGCACATTTCCGCAAAATGCCCCT